TTTGCTCATAGATCATCCTTCTACTGCTAGAGTCATTTTTTTTTCTGGGACCCCGCATTCTGGCTCCCCACATGTCTTTCGATTCCTAATCCCCTGCGGCTCATCGTACACATTTGTATCCGCATACGCAACCCTTGGGTGGGCCGGCATTAATGGCTCACAAGGTCAGTTCATTGCATTTATGCCCTGTCTTGCCCTAGGAATAGCACAACACCAGCAGAGAGTACGAGTTGGAGGAAAGTAATGGAAAGCACTAAAAGTGAGCCAGGTTGACTTCACGGAATAGCAAACAAGGGCCAAAATAAACAACCCATACTAGTTCATGCAAGGGAGGGAGCGGAGAGAGGAAAGGCGGGGGAAAAAAATGAGACGCAGTATGCATTTAGAGCGTTCATGTCAATGCAATACTAGGTCAACTCTGTCCGCTATGGACCCATTGGACACACGCAACTGCCTACAGTTACATAATTAACTGCAAACGGCATGTATGCATAATCCTCTCTAATCTACGGAAATCCACACGTCGTCCTTGTTTACTTCCCCACCTTTTTCCTTGATGAAGACTTCATCGTTGGCTTTTCCTGGACCAATTGGAGAGCTATATTTTTTCCCTCGACACACAGATTGGTCGATAATCTTTTTGGTCGTTGGGGTTCAAGGGGGTTGCGATGGAAAAGAAGATGAAGAAGATATTAAGTGGTTTAGTTGCTTGGATTCTAGGACGTTGTGAAGCGAGATAGGGAGTAGGATGCATCAAGGCATGAGGATGTCAGGGTGTGGTGAGGTTAGGCAGCCAAGCAACCAAATCAACCACAAAATTGCACGCACTTCCTCCAACTTACAACGCCTTCGTTATGCCCATGAAAGCTGCTTTCTTGTGATTAATGCGACGCCTAAAACATGCGTCAGCAAGAATAAGCCCATTCCAGGAAGGCCAGGAAGGCAAGACAAGCGCATTGTTTTTTGTTTTGGCGCATGGAAAGAAAGACAAAGAGACAACAACGACGGACATGTGGACATGTGTCACAAGAAGAAAAAATAAATAAATAAAGGAGGACAACAGTCAAACAATTGTCAACAATCAAAAGAGTTAACCCCAAGGTCCAAGAACAAGATTGAAACACAATCAACAACAACAAGAGAGGGAAAAAACATCGTTTTTTGGCCAGGACCGACGACGACAACGACGACGACAGAGAGAGACAGAAAAAGACGACATTTGGGTTTATTAGTTAAAAAAGTTTGTTGGAAGACGACGAGGATCTCAACAAAGTTCAAGGGTGTTTTGATGTGAACGTTAAAACGTCTGATTTTTGAGGTAGTAGCAGGGACGTCTCTACTTCTCGTCGTTCTCCTACTTTCTTTTCCTGAGCCGATGTCTATTCATCGACGACGCTCTTTTTACCCTTCTTTCTTTCACGTTCTCTGCACAGGAGCTACAAGGTTTTCTTTCGAACCAATTAAGAAGCCTTGTTCACTATGGAAGCTATATGTCATGCGAGAATAGATAGTTAGGAAAGAGGCTGAAAAGCAGATGACATATACTTCACGCATGTACCTTTCTAGCATTTTGTTCAAAAACCGGTTTGCAACCTTTTTTTGTTTCTTTCTCGCATTTGTCTCTACGTTGTACACAAAAAGCACCTTCCACCTTGCATTTCTGTTTTCTTTGATAAGAGATGAGAACAGAGAAGAAAGAGGTAAAGAAAAAGGTACAACAGAAATTACATGCAAGGGGTTGTTTGTTCTCGCTTTTATTGCTTGTCTGTTTGTATGTTTGTGTGTGTGTGCTCGTCGTTTTGTGAGCTTGAGCCAAGTGAACAAACAACACTCCTAATCCAATAAGCACCATGCATAACATCATGTCAAAAATTCAGGACCCAAGCCAAAGATTTATCCCTGTCCTCCGCAAAAAAAATATTCATGCCCTGTCTTGATGTGAACCTTCAATTATCGACTACTAATAATTCTTCCTGACTTTTCCAGCATTACTTTCCCCTTCTCCTCTCTGTTACAAATGCTCTCTAGTACCTTTTTTTTTTTCAGCTAACACACACACAAAAATTCCTGAGAGCACTTTTTTCATTTGCATGCAGCCCAGCCCTCTCTCAACCGCTGAGGCGCAATCAATCATGTACCTATCCTGCTTTCCTAACAGTCCTTGGCCAATAAACTTGTCGAATGGCGCGTCCCTTTTAGATGTCTGTTGGCTGTTTGATTGCAGACCTCTGGTTGGTTCGTTTATTTGTTGGATGTGCCAGGTTGGCGTAGTTATCATGCGCGTCTGTATGGAAGGGTTAATTAGCTTTGTCTTGGCAGTATCTTGTTCCGTGAGGGCGTTTTTCTACTCTGTATATTCGCCTCTAGCATCGTGTTATTGTAGTGGTGTAGTTGTTTGTGTTTTCTATGTCCAGTTGTTATTCGTTCTAGGACTTGTCTTATCCAAAAGAAAAGATGGACTGATGTTTTTTTGTTTGCTCGCATACATTCTCAATCCATGAGTTTGTGTGTGTGTGATCGCAAGTATAAGATCTTTTTTTTTGAGGGAAAGGGTGAAAACAAAGCTCTTATTTGTTTTGTTGCAAAACTTTTGTAACCCCACTGTACACAAGGGGTCAGTGACAGAAGGAGAAAAGGAGAGAAAAATACACATACACATAATCAATGTACATGCACCTTCTTGCCTGACTATTGACGTCCAATGGTGAAGACGTTCCGTTTCGTTTCGTCTCCCAAACAAATAAAGACGGCGAACGTTCTCAACTCTTTTCTCTCTTCCAGTCACTCGGAAAGTTCCGAAAAACGAACCATTACCGTCAATTGCCATTTTGTTCATTGCCCGTTATTTTGTGACCATGCATTGCATGCGATATTGATGACTCCCTCCGCTCTACTTTTTTCATTCTTGTACCCTCGTCAAAAGGGACAAAGGAAATGGTCATCAACCAAAGGAGTTTTTTTTGCCCATTCGTCCTTCATTGGGCGGTGAAATGGACACAAGAACATCGAACGTTTTGATTTTTAAACGCGATAAACTTTTCGGCTATTGTTTTGATTCCTGTGAGAAATAACAACAAAACAAAACAGCATTGGGGTGGAGGGATCACAGAGAGAAAAAAAAAACACGCTAGTGATTACTGGCGCCTTTGATTGAGTTTTCGAGGTCAAAGCGTACTTTTGACCATTCAGTCCTTTCCTTCTCGCTCCCGTGTGTCTTTGCTCTCTCTCCTTTTCACTTTCTAATTTTTTCTCAGAGTCTCTCGGTCTCTCGTAAAGATCCGTCAAATGCCTCAGTGTTTGATTCTTTGCCATTGTCCACACAATTTTTGTTCGTGCGCTTTTTTTTGGCCGTTTTGCTTTCTGTGTTCAGGACTTTTGAACAGGAGCAAAATTGAGAAAAAGACGTTATTTTTTCTTTCTGTCGGTCGTGGAAACATACGACACTCGGTACTTTGCTCCGTTGAAAAAAAATATGCGCGCCCCATCATCAATGAGGAAAAGAACAGGAACTACAATCAAGCGAATGCTTATCTCTTGGCAGCGCACATACTGTAGGATTGCGCCTTTGAAGGGGGGGGAATCCTTGTGATTGGAGTCATAATAGGCTAATTGACAACAGTTACTTGTTCATGCTCTGTCGTCTTTTTGATGACCAGAATATAAAAAAAATAACAATCCGTGAACGACCATGTCAATATTGTGTTGGAGTGGGTCCATGCACTAATGAAGGTTAGGTCGTCATCTTTATTATCAGTATTCTGAGAAATGAATGCCCACATTTGGATGCGTTCCTAGGAAAAAAAACGTGGGTGGAAGGAGCGACCAACAACAACGTTGAACAGAGGAAACTACAGAGCATACTATTGTATGGGTCCTTTTCTCTTGGTAATATAGTAGGTGGGCATGGTCGTTGTTTATCGTCTGTCCCTTATAACTAACTCCACTCGTCGTTTCGTAGGGTACTCGTGTTTTTGGAAGGAAAATAGAAAGCAAACCAACCCGTTTCTCAATCTTCTTTCTCACCCCTACCCTCTGTTTCGTTTTTTTTCTATGCTCCGACCTTCGGAAAATCAAAAGGAGAGAACATTTTGTAAGGGAGTTTGCATGGTGAGGCGATGCAAAATGGAACGATCCTTGAGGTTTGGAAACATAGAATGTAGACTGGCCATTTTTTTTTTTTTTTTTGGAGCCTCAACTAGCACGCTTCCCTTTTCGATGTGCCCCTTTAGAACAACAATGGAGTTGCGCCTAGTTCACCGTTTGAGAATACATGTTGTAGTGAACCTGCTTCTAGATCTTCCATACTTATATTATGGAGGAAGTGAAAACTATAATGGACGTTTTCTATGGATACGCGAACACGCATACCGCAACAACGCGTTTTTGACGCGAACGTCAGGAAGAAAAAGCAAAATCTACAAAACCCTAGTCCGCTCAACAAACAAATATCACCAGCATTCAACGCCTATCAACCACAAAAATACAACAGCCCCGATCTCTGTACCCTGCCCTCTCCCTCTTACCTACTCTCTTACCTTCTTGTAAATGGTCCTACTTCTGTCTCTCAACTCATCCTTATTTTCTCTTCCTTCCAGAAAACGAAGGAAATGGCGAAAGGTACTCATCGTTTCCCGTATCCCCGTTGTGCATATCTTACACAAGAAGAAAAAAAAGCAATTGGACAGAGCAGATGCACAAGACCAACAAAAAAAAAAAAAAAAGAGACATTGGGAACGTGCATTCGCAAGGGCTCGCATTAGCAACCGCTCAGGTTCAAGAAGATTATTGGTCAAGAAAAATCATCGAAAAAGAGAAGGCACTTATGCATTGAAAATGCCAAGGAAGAAAGAGGGATACATGGTTGTTGATGATGCAATGGAACAAAGATGTTTCTTTTTCTATAACTATAAGGAAATGGGATGTGAGGCTCGTGTATGAAGTGAAAGCAATGATACAATGTAGAATATAGTAATAAAAAAGAAAGTAGAAACGATTAAGAATTAATGCATAGCTAAAGCCTCGGCGTCCTGTGCTGTCGTCGTCCTGGATGCTGTAGTGGTAGTGGTAGTGGACACCGTCGTCGTAATGCTGCTCGTCGACACAGATTGCATAATCCCGGTATCCCCTTCCGAAGACGCCCTCGTTGCGCTCGGCGCCGTCATCTCCTGATGTTCCTCGTCAATCTCCATCGATTCAACCTCTACAATTCTCGATTCCTCTCCTCCTTCCAACAAAACGTCCTCATCGCCCACAACAATGTGACCATGGGTTTCTGACATTGTCAACTCAACTTCCTCCCCATCCTCTTCTTCACCTTCTCTACGTCCCTGACTCTGCTCAATCGAGTCCACATCCACAGTCACTTCCTGTTCTCCTCCATGATGGGGACGGCCTCCCTCAAACTGCTCCCCTTCAACGACATTTCCCTTCCCCTCAACAACCTCTCTCTCATCAATGTTCCCTCCGTCAAGAACAACCACCTCCGCTGCTCCTGAGGTGTAGGGCGACGAAGACTTAGCAGAGGAAATCGCATCATTTTTCGAGTACGACACGCTAGCAATCGCTCCGCTAGGTCTCTTGAACGTTATCGACGACGTCAAAGGTGAGAGTGAGTAGTTCTCATCGACTGGGCCGGGTACTGGAACTGTGGTAGAGCCCGAAGGACGATGGTGGATCCTGTGTGAAGAGGGCTTTCGACCATCCTCCCGCGGCGACTGCTGGTAAGATGTTCGACGCTGGTGACGAAGCTGCTGTGACTGAGGTTGGCTGTAGCGTTGTTGGGGTTGAGCAGCTGATGATGAGGAATGGTGGTGGTGGCGAGTGTACTGGCGATCAACAGACGATGAGGGTGGTGCATGTGGTTCGAATCGGAAACCCTCATAGATATCTTCATACTCCTGATCATCGTAGGGGCTAACAAGCACCGGGATCCGGATCTGTTCTCGGATTGCGTCCCAACGACGTCCTTGCCTAGCCACTGCTGCTGCCAAACGAGCCATGTCACGGCCCTCCCATCGTCCATTAGCCCAGTCTAGGTCATCCTCCATCGCATAGTCGATTAGGTCGCCGTCCCGCTCCTGGTATTGACCACTGCGACCGTGAGACGAAGACTGACGATAGCCATAGTCCTGGCGGTGATGCTCATACTCGGCACTGGATTGGCGATGCCGGCGTTTTCCATACCCATCGTCATAGTATCCTCCTCCGTTCCGGCCACCGTCGTCGCGACCTCCGCGGCCTGGGGAAGAAAGTCGTCGAGAATGATGTTGTTGTGGTTGATGATTTGACCGACGACGAGGGGGCTGCTGCTGGTCACGGTAATGACGTTCGTCCAGCTCGACCACGTGGTAATCTTCTTCCTCCGCCCCACGTCGGGAGACCAGCTCCCGGTCCCGGTGTCCGCCATGGCTAGTGCCGTTCGGATAGGAGGACGAAGATGACGAAGAAATGTGAGTCGTTCCCACGAGGTCTCGGATAGGGCTGCGTCCTATTGGCTCGTTGTAACGGGCAGGCTCTTGCGGTCTGTGCCGTGCCTCTTTGTTTTGGTCCAGCGTTGCCCTTGTTGACTCTCTCTCTTCGTAGTAAGAGCGACCGTTATTCTCACCAGCGTAGTTGCTAATCGTGCGATATCGAAAGAAAAAAGAAGGAATGGCGATAACGATTAGAACCATCCAAGATAGGAATCACAAAAGAAAAAGGTAAAAAAAATAGTGACATGATTGCTCTCTCTTGCCCGCCTCCGGGGGAGGGGGGAAGAGTTGATGGGGGGCTCTGATAATTTTTCCACAACTAAAAAACCATGTAACTTTTCTTTCATACCTTTTGGAAGAGTGAGGCTCTCGGTGTTGGCTCTTGGACGACATAGACGGCGGCTCTTGATCGTTATCGACCACCATCGCCGAATCCCATTCTCGCTCGTCGTATCTTCCTTGTCTTTCGCCGTTGTGGCTATCACGTTCAGGCTCATAGTGTCCAGCCGAGCCAGTCGAGCTAACCACAGGACCAGCTTCCTCCCCAATAACAATAACGCCTTCGTCCGTCAGAGGCGGGCTTCTCCTTCGACTTCTCTCGCGCTCGCCATAGCCTCCAGAAGACGCACGCTCGTCTTGTCTGTAACTGCTCCGTCTAGGATAATCCTCGTGACGCACCTCGCTAGACAGGCGACGGTGGTGGTGATGGTGGTGGTGATGATGCGCAGATTCGTCCTCATACGATGGCGACGCACGACGATCATAATAGCCGTTGGCGGCAGACTCGGTTACTGCATATGGTTCATTTCCATGGCCCTCGCCCTCAATGGTTCGTCTTCGCTTGTTGCCGACATTGAAGTACCGTTCGAACTCCATCTCGACAAGACGGGCGTCTAGCTGTCCCACTGGGGATCTATATTCGTCCCGATCGTATGCTCTCGAGTCGACCAAGTCTGACTTGACTCGCTTTCCGCTGTTAGGGTGGCTGCTGCTGTGATGATCGCCTCCACCAACAACCGAACCCCGATTGTCGCCGTAGACCAACAGATCCTCCTTGCGGGGACGCCTGAATCCCGTCAGTCGGTTCTCGCGATGCATATTATACAAGGACGAACCGTCAATGTCCATATCATCATCCAAATCCATGCTAATTCCACTGGGTCGTCCGCCGGTGCTGTCGTTCGAGGTTTTGCTGTTTTTGAGATGTCGCCGCCACTTGGACATGCACTGAGTCTGAGAGTATCCGCGACTCGCCATCCGCTCACCAATCACACTCCAGACGACATTTCCAACCGGAAACTCGCGCTCAATCATCCGGAACATATGCTGACTGTCCTCCTCCTTCCACTCGATGTGCTTTTGGTGTTCGTGGCCACGCGTCGCACGAGGAGACCGTGCATGATCATCGGCAGTACCCTGGCTCTCCTCATCCTCCTGTCTCTCGCCATGGCTCGGCTCTTGTTGGTAGTGGGCACGACTGTCGTTCAGATCCGATGGGTGAGCCAGAGGAGGTGGAGGTGGAATAGACGGTGACCGCATGGAGGCAGGATCGTGCTGCTGATGAGGCCTACGATACTCACGAGGAGCCTCGAGTGCCTGCTCTGGATGGATCTCCTCGTTGTCTGACGTCTTTTCCTTGTCGTCCTCCAGGTGGTCAAATTCCTGTTGTTGCGATTCGCGCCGGTCGATATTCTTACGGGGCCTGCCTCCACGAGACGATGGCGAACTGACGCTTCCGCCAACACCTCCCTGGCTCTGCTGGCTCTGACTCTGTCGATGCTGTACGCGCCACCATCGGGACTTGCACTGGGTTCGATCGTACCCCCGTCCCTCCATCTGCTTTGAGACATAGGCCCAGTCGACCTTGCGCGACGCAAACTTGGTCTCGATCAAGTGAACAAGATAGTCGCTGTCCTCGGGTTTCCATTCGATCTTTCCAAATATTGTTGGTGTCGCAGCAATGGCTGAAAGGGTTGTTGAGGATCGACCGGCGTCTTCACCCTGGGTAGAGGACTGGTGATTGGAACTTGAGGTGCGGCGATGTTGCTGAGGTGACCTTGAAGGTGGGGTTCGGTCCTGTTCTGGGTACTCGCTGAACCGTTTAGCTGGCAAAATGTAGCTATCGACATCCTGCCGTCTCTCGTCGTCCTCTGACCAGGGCTCGCCCGCGTGCTCAGGGTATGAGGACTGGGTGACTGCTCGATTGGAATGTTGAGATCGTCTGGCAGCTGCTGCAAGTTCTTCCTCGCGAACGGTAGAGCCGGTCCTGTAGGCGTACTGGGGTCGGTCATAAGCCCCATTGGGTCGGGCCGATTGTGATTGGCTGGTCGAGATCTCTTGCTCGGCCTGTTGATGACGCCATTTCAAATCGGGAATGTCGGTAGGCAGCTCCTCGTACTCTTCCTCGTTGAGTTCGTCTATTTCCTGCTCATGTGCCGCGTGATCCCTGTCCTTTGTGTGTGGGTTTCCATCTCCATGTAGGACCTTGGTACGGATGCGCTTCCACTTGGATCGACACTGGCTCTTGGTGAATCCACGATCGACCATCTGGTGTCCAACCCAGTCCCAGATGATGTTGCCCTTGGGGAACTGAGCCTCGATCAGCTGAACCAGATACTGCGCGTCCTCCTCTTTCCAGTCGGTCTTGCTGACTATGCTGCGTCCCGAGGCGAGGGCATTGGCGACCTCGCTATCGACTTCAGACGATGTGCTCCGGGCGAGATGTCCCAGGGTCTTGGTTTTGGCAGCAGAAATGTGCTTGTTGTTGAGAGTTGCCGGGAGGTGTTGATTGGATGATGCCAAAGAGGATGTTGAGCTGGAGGATGAATGTGTCTTGGTGATATCCCCAGAGGAGGTTGGCTTTTTTTCCGTTTCTGCTTTTGTGGAGGGAATAGTTGAGCTAGAGGGTAGCCGACGAGCAATCTTTTCGATCGAGGACCCATTTAATGAATGACTGTTGTTGATATTTTGATCCTCGTCATACTCGTATTCGTCCTGGTCGACGGCCCGAGAGTGCCTAGATGACGAGGAGGGTGGCGGAGAAGGGAGACTTGTCTGTGATGCAGATCCTGCATTGGGACCGGAAGATTTGGTAGGAGGAGTAACGGGTGGCGATGTTGCGGCCAGTGCGGATGCTGCTGCGACGGAAGTGACGCGATCCGAAGACGATCCCATAGTGCCAGAGGGTATAGATGAGACGATCGACATACGTCTGTTGTGGGTGTAAGTGTATGTGGTTGAGGTGGTAGTCGTTGACGACTATTCTTGTTTTGCCAATCAAGGGATGAGGTTGGTGGATAAACAAGCAAAGTGTGCACAGGGCAGAGGGACCAAGCACCGAATCTCACGCTATTCAATAATTGTGAGGGTAGCGGGAGAGAGAGTAGGGTGTGAGTTAGTGCGAAAGGTTTGGACAGCAGAATAAAAGGGGCTGGAGAGGATGATGATGCCGATGGTGAAAATGACAATGGAGTTGGGTTGGGGAGAAGGTGTTGGATCGTGTCAGGAACAACCAAATATAAAAAAAAAGAGATGGAACAGATGCCCCAAAAATCCAGCACAGCAAGGAGGGGACGGAAGGAAGGATGGAGGGGGTTATATCGCAAGGGAAGCACAGAAAAAAATGAGCCAAGGAGCCGCGGCAATGATATTAGTCCAAGGGGAAGGGCAAGGAGTGGGCCAAGAAACGGGGCCGATAATGGATAGAAATGGGTCAATGCCCATTACGCTTTTCTGTTTATCTTTGTTGGCATGATCTCAAACATAAGCGCGTAATAAAGCGACGCACGCAGTAAAGCACCAAATGCAAAGAAGTACTAGTGAATCGAAATGGGGAAAGGCAAGAGAAGCAAGGACGCGTGCCAAGGCGACCAATATGCAAATAAAAAAAGGAGGGAAAGTGTGTAGAGAGTAAACAACGTTGCAAACGAACCCCTGGCATATATTTGCGCTCGCAGTGTTCACCATCAAACAAGGCAGGGATATCCAAGGGAGGAACAAATGCAAAGAAAAAAAAGAAAGGCGAGGGTGTTCGTAGACGAACGACAAGGACAACAAAAAAAAATGTTGTGCCTGAGACGAGAAATGTAGTGTGGGTGTGGGCAAAGAGACGAGGTGGGTGATGGAAGAGAGGGGGAGGCGTGGCGGTAGTTGGACGGAAAAAGGAGGAGAGGGTGGAAAGAACGCGAAACAGTTTAGGTCCCCAACATTAGATGACGAGAGCTTTTTGGAAGAGAAAGAAAAGTAAAAAAAAAAGACGGGTCCAGGGGAGGCAGGGTGCGAAATAATAACAACAACAAACCGCGGATAAGACGATATGAGATGAGGGTACAGCAAATAATTTGTGAGAATGCGTGAGTGATTCAGACGGAATGAGCAGAAAGGGAACAACGATTTAAAGAGCATTCTTTTAATCCGTGTAGCCTCTTGTCTTGTAAGGAAGAGAGTTGTTGTTGTCCCTGAATCCTCGAGAACAATAAGGAACGGAGAAAAAAAGGGCGCCGTGAGGGTGATGGGGACCTAAACTCTTACAAGCCTTCTTGCTTCCCTTTCTTATTGCAACGAAGAGGCTCTTTAGACAAAAACGAACAATAGAAAATGACTACAAAAAGAACACGAGGGGGAACAACCAAACGCAAAACGAAGCAAGCACTGGGAGGATAAAGGAAGGAAGGAAGGAAGGAAGGACGGAAGGAAGGGAGGAAGGGAGGAAGGGAGGAAGGGAGGAAGGAAGGAGTTGCAGTTGTTGGCGCTGTTGCAATTGTGGGGTTGACCGGGTTCTCGTTCTTTCTCTCTCCTGTTCCCGGGTCACCGGTGGCCCAGTTATGTTGTGGTGTGTTGTGGTTTTGTTTTTGCGCCGGTTTCCTAGTCGGGCGGGTTCCCTTTGCTGTCGTTCTCGGGAAACGTGTATCTGTTAAGCTCTTATTTTATTGTTGTTTGAGTACCGTTGCCACCACTTTTTTCTGAATCAGTTTCGGAACCAAGTTCACACAGTCCTTTTTTTTTTCATTGTCCTGTTTGGCTTTATGTTTTCTACAGGACGTTCAAAGAGGAGGGATTGCGGGGCTGTGCCAAAAAGGGAAAGTGTGTGCGAACAAAAAGGGCATGTAGTTCTCATGGTTGTTGTCGTTGTTTGTTTGTTTCCTTGGGTGTGTGTGAAGAGGAGCCTTACCGATTGAAGAGTTGTATGTAAGGGTACTGCTAATTAGCAAAGAAGAGAGGAGGAGAGGAAGGAGGGAGGTGGTCGGTGTGTGTTGATTAGGGATGAGAGAAAGGCTGGTGTTGATTGTGTCCTTGTTGTTGGTGCTTTTGTTGGCTGAGTAATGAAGTGAAGTGGGAGTGCAGTGCAGGTAGAGAGTGTATGTGGATTGTGTGCGTGGGCGTGATGAGAGAGAGAGAGGGTGGGAAAGGGTAGTGTTGTTAAATGAGAAGGAAGTATGAGGAAAGGAGAGGGAGAGAGGGAGAGAGAGAGTGGGGAGTGAGTGAATGGAAGGAAGGAAGGAAGGAAGGAAGGAAGGAAGGAAGGAGTGGAGAGTGAAGAAGGGAAAAGGGAAAAGGATATGTGAGTGGGTGAGTGAGTGGGTGGGTGGGGAGTGTGCGAAAGAAGAGAGGAGAAGGAGGAAAAGAAAGAAAAAAGACGGAAAGGTTGTTAGGTCGGAAAAGGAAAGGATCATCACATCACATCGTCCTCTGTAGCCAGGTCTGGGTCTGACTCTTTTTTATTCTTCGTAGCAATTTTCTTCTCCGGTGAAGAATCGCCGGAGGGGACAGGACGGCAAAGGCAGAGCAGGGAGGTGGACGGGGGCTGGTGGCGGCGGAGAGGAAGGGGCTCTGTGAGTGAGCGAGCGAGTGAGTGGGTGAGTGAGTGATGACATTAGTGACGATGATGATGATGATGACGATGATCGTGATGAGCGATAGTGGGATATATTGGGATATCATCGACACTCTGAGTGACGAGGGTCAAGTGGGTGCGCTTGCTGTCGTCGACTGGTTCTTACTATTTTCTAATGGAAGGGTGGGATGACCTGCAAATGAGTCGAGAGGGAGAGAACTCGAAGAGGAGGACGGGCGATGACGACAATGATGCCCCGGAGGAGAGGGAGAGGGAGAGGGAGAAACAAGAAAATTGATTTGAGAGGGAGGGTCTGGCCCATAATTCGACAATTGTATGAGAGCAAGAGAGATCCTGTTAGTTCGATCGCAAGAAGCAGGAGAGAGAGCGAGAGGACTGGATCAATTGAGACCAACTTCACACCACCCCGACCATCCATCATCCCTACATGCTACCCTCAACTGCCACGTCCTTGGACCCATTGGGGGTGCAGCATCTTTCTTTCTCTCGACAATTCATTTACATCTCCACCCCTGGAAAGCATAATTCAATTGTCCGTTGGACATAATAGACAGGGGTAATGACACGCACTTTTGTGCATGTCCGTCCATCATTGTGGCATATCCATATCACACCAACATCGATACAATAACAGGCGTGGTGTTCATTTCCACTTTTACGCTTTGTAATGATCTCAAATGCTAAATGCTCAATGGTGAGAATATAAAAGAAAGTAACAACACGGATAGCTCGTATTCAGTACATGACCATTGTGCTTCCCCCATATTCCCTTGTCTATCTGGTCAGCTGCTGCCACTCGCAATTTCAGAAAATGACGACAAACAGAGGACTAACGAGACAGCAACGACAGCGAGAGAGAGAGATGGCGATGGCGATGGTGATGCCGATTAAGAGAAAGAGTTCGTGCCACACAAAAAAAATAAATAACGAGAAGCAGCAGGGCTAAGACGCCAATCTCACATCACCAACAACAACAATACCAACAACATGTCAACAACAATCGCTGTTATTCGTGTGGTCACTCCCTTCTCCCTCTCGTTTCGATATTTGATGTGAACATGGCAAGCATCTTGCCTGGATCTCTGTCAACAGGGTTTATCTTCACATCAAAGTTCTGGGGCAAAACTGGATGAGCCTGGTCATGCTTGAAAGGTTACTTGGCACGATAGCAAAGAAACCATTCAATCTCGCCGAGAGCAACAAAACCAGAACGAGAGAAAAGAGCGAGAACGTGGTGTGCATGTGTTGTTGTTTGTGTTCTTTTTGTAATGTGTGCAAGATCCTCGTTTGAATGATCGCGATACTCTTCGCTCGAAGTACTCCCAAGGAACTACATCCTCTCCTTGCTTCTTCACCTTGGTTGTAAAACATTCGGAAGTAGTTCCCTCTTTCGTTCTTTCGTTCTCGCCTCATTTCTTTTCCGATCGGCCCATCTCTTCCCTCAGTTCTCACACACATTTAAAATCCCCCCCCCCCCTCTACGGGCTCAACTGTTCCGATGGAGCCCGTTCTCCGCAGGTTCTAAACGGCCATGCCTGATTATTGGGCTAGATATCGTCAAGGTTTGATTCTCTCTTTTTGCTCTTCCCTTCCTTCTTCTTCTACTGTCGTTCCACGCCTTCATCCTCCTGATTGCTTCATTGAACAAGGAGAGGCTTCCAGGGGATGCTCTATGTGTTTGATTCATGGTGGGGCAGTCAGGAGGAGGAAGCAAGGAAAGGAGGAAGGAAGGGAGGAAAGGGCTAGAGGTATCCGAGCGTTAGGCCTGGATCTATCCCGCTTTTATTTTTATTTCCGGCGATATATTTTTCTTCCGGTTCCCAGCTAAAAGTAAGTACTCCTGTGACAAGACCCCGGGGATTTTGTCATTTCTACACCCCGAATGTCGAATCTGGATCAGACAACGCCGCCTACTAACATACCTCCGTCCGTTCTCCTTCCTTTACCCCACTCCTCACTGCGTACTCCCTTTGAGGATTTTTAGAAGGAACTCTCGCAGTAATTCTGGAAACTCCCTTCAGCTCCTTCTAGGAATGGGCAAATGTACCTCTTGACCTCTTGATATCGCAGGTAAGTGTGCCCACCAAGGTCTAGCTCAGAACTCAATGACCACCACCCAACGCTCAACCATCATTTTACCCACACACTCAGGAAAAACAAGATTTCTTTTTTCGTGGACTCTCAGGGCAGCATCATGTACTTTATCAAAGTTGTTCTAAATGTCTCTCTCTCTCTCACCCCCTAACGGCCATGTCGTTTTCATTTTCGTTGTGCATAATTGAGTTCCATCCAACGGTTTTTCTTTATGCCCTCCTTTATTTTTTCTCGCCTTCTAATTTTGGATTCTTCCTCCCTTTGACAAACCCCTTTTTCACCTCAAAAGATGAGATGGGCGTTCAGTTGAAAGACATTTTGCAAAATGACAATGCTCCCCCGTACGCACAAATTATTATGTTTCTCGTGTTTCTGGAGGCGAGCGAGGTGGTTTGGAGGTTCCCTTTCCGTTTAGCTTAATGGAAGAACGTTTTTCGAAGAAAAAAAATTGGCATGGGTCTATCAGTCTATGAGAGCCCTGCTTCCAATTGATTCTGATAGGGAAGCACGTCAACGACTCAACAAACAGACTCTAGACTCGAGTCATTCTGTCAATTAGTCCCTATTCCCCAACATCAAGATGATTGTCCTCAACATCAAGATGATTGTCCATCAATATGGCCATCTTGCAGTGTAGAGTACATTGCAGTAAGAGATGGACGGATGAGTGGGCCACAAGTCTAGGGGTCAAGCTAGGGGGTAATTAGGGAGTGTGTGAGAGAGAGGAGAGTCTATTGCTGTGTGTGTGTGGTTTAGATGTAGGAAGATAGATATGGAGTAGATATGATGGGGGAGAGAAGAGGATGTGTGTGCGAGCCAATGGTGAAGCAGAGAAGTAGGAAGCAGTGTGAGTGGCGTGAGTGAACTGCGATCTGATTAGTTGTCCGAAAAAGAGAGTCAGAAAAAAAGAAAAAAAAAGGCGGCGGTCGAAAATACATGTATAAGCCATGTGGGAGCGTATGAGATCATTGATATGTGGTGGTGTGTGTCCATTATGGTTTACTGTGCTTCATATCCCTGTCCAGAGGAGGTTGCCCCTGACACGTAAAATGAAAGTCAGTCAGTTTTTGTACGTGTGATCGGACCGAGAGCTTTCATTTGCAACAGCAACGCACACGCCTCACCAAAGTGAAAAAAAGTAAATGGGCGAAACCTAGGAGAGAGAAAAGGTTAAGCAATTGAAGAAGCCTGACCCACCTTTCACAGACACGAGTGAAAATAGGGGCAAGGTAGCATCAGGAAAAACACTTCTTGCTGTTTGAAAGCACAGAAGGATGAATATATCCTCGCTTGTACACATGGCAGGTGGGTGTCTGTCGGTGCAGCTGTATATTGATGTTGTTTGTTGATTTGCGTTTCTTTCTTGATTCATGATTGATCGCTGCTGATGGTTGTGTTGATGCATTGACATGACATGCTTAAACCCAATAAGCTACTCACATACGAGCACAAAAGAAAGAGCCAACCTCTATCGCCATTAAATAAACAACAACAACAACTGATCGTCTATTTCTCATCATCATCATCATCTTCTTCTTCTTCTTCTTCTGTGCTGTCTTCTTTCCATCTCCTCCCCTCCACCCTCACCACATTTAAACATCCACAGCATAACGTTTCCTCACACTTCATCTCTCTCCCTCCAACAAGATCAATCCCTCCCTCGCCACAAATTTTTATGACAGCTCCCCTAGAATCCGTTCTCCATAGATTCTATTCTCGTACACTCTCGGATGCTACTCTCGGATGCTACTCTGATGCTATCTCAAACACACACCTCTCTTGGGACTTCGCTTTGGCAGTGAAGCCAAGACAAAGAAGCTTCTTTTATGCACAGCAATGACGATGTATTACGAGAAAAGGAAAGGGAAAGGGAAGGGGCAGGGTGTGAGTTTGTGGATGTGCCAAGACGAGTCAAGTCGGGATAGACTTTTCAAAAAAGGGAAAAAGACAACAAGAAAAAAGAAGGGGGAGATCAAGACAAGGCGTGGCTCAGCATTTTTAATGTGCGAATGTGCGGCGGGCGTGCAAGGACTAAAAAGGGGACGAATGACAGAGCGAGCGGCAAATCGATGGGCCGGGCGCACGAAGGGACGCGTAACTCGATTACAAATGAAGCGATCGAAGACCCAAAACATATGGAGAACAGAGGGAAGGGCTCTTTTGTTGTCCCGAATTGGAGCTTTTGCGCTGTCTCCATCTGATTCCTGTTCTCAGGGCTAGCTAACAAGGAGCTTTAATTAGACGAGATGACTGGGACTGGACAAATAGGAGACCTTCCGCCTTGAACGGCGCCCCAACAACTGCTTGTTGAAAGATAACTTGCAAAAGAAGAGCAAGAATGAAGAAGGCTGAACAAATGAACCACGGCACAACGATGAAGAGGGATATGTTCATTACTCAACAGACTGCAATTGGCTGTTCATCCCATGGTACTTGGCTACTAGCACGAAAGCATGTATCATCAACGAGAGCCGTTTTGAAGATGTGGAAGGTGGAGGTGGAGTTGAGCGCCAAGGACCAAGGAGACTTTTTTTTTTTCTTTCGTTGTCTGTTGTCGACTTTTGTTGCAGCCACTTTTTCTTAATCCGTTTTGTCTTTTTCTTCACTTCTCTTTTCTTTTTCTTCACCTCTCTCTTCGTTTCTTATCTCCTAACAAACAATAACAACAACAACAATAATCTTTCACCAACAAAACAAATTCTTACTTTGTTTCTCTCTTCCTTCCCTCCATCCTTCCTTCTCTCTCCACAACCTCTTTCACTCTCACTCTCACACACTTCCTCATTCAACCCTACTGCACCCCTCGTTTACTTAATCACTCCTTGCCCTCTCATCATCATCATTCAACACTGACATCACCACAGCCACCACTCTTACTCCACTGTAACAACGAACAACAAAGATGAACTTTGGCAACCCCGACGCAAACGTGGAAGATATGTCAAACTCGGAACTCTTCCAGTACCTCTTCAAGGCTGAGCTCGACCCCGATGTATCCGACCCTTTCACCCAAACCCTCTTCTCAACCGACAACAATGCTTCCTCTCCTTCCTCCTCCTCCTCTTCGCTCTCGTCCCCTTCTTCCTCTACCATGGCTACCTCCCCCTCCTCATCCACCTATGACTTCTCCTCTCCAGAAACCCTTTCACACTCCTACAACACTCCTCCCCCACCTCCATACCAACAACAGCCTCAGCCTCAGCAGGAAGAGCAATTGGCACAAGTGCAGCTTTTCCAGCAGCAGCCTACTCTTTTGCCCTCGACCTCCTTTTCTTACCGTCAGATCTCGCCCAATATGCCCCCTAGCATGCCCAACCAGATGACAGTCGATAACAACGACAATTACATGAACCTGCCACAGCCCTCCTCGGATATCGATGCCATTACCGCTTCGTCAACCTCTACCGACCAGATGAGCTACTGGATGCAGCGCTTCCAGCAGCTCCAGCAGCTTCAGCAAGTCCATCACCACCAACAGCAGCAGCTCCTGTCGTCGACTCTCTTCCCTAGCCAAGCAGCAGCTGCACTGAATTTGAACACTGCCTCGACTACCGCCGGTTCGAGTGGTCAAGAGGATAACCACAGCACCACAGCCTCACCTTCGTCGCCTGCCTCGAGCGCATCCTCCAGCTCGCCTACCATCAAGGCTGAGCACTACCCTTCACCTCCCATGAAGGACGACATGGCCATGGACAGCGACTCTGACGACGGTGAGTCGCCCAGCCAAGATGCCAAAGGGTCTGACCCTCTGAAGCCCAGCCCCAGCGAGCTAAAGAAGATGACCAGCAAGGAGCGTCGCCAGCTCCGCAACAAGTTGTCTGCCCGCAATTTCCGTGTGCGCAGAAAAGGTACTAAACCGCCCTCTTCTCCTCAGCCCCTGCCCGCACTGTATCCACTTGCGGACAACCACGGACGCTGTTTAATTTTCATTCTCTCACGCATGCAACCCGCATGCCGCTTTCGTTTTTATTTGCGATATGTATGATGATGTTTGTTGTCTAACGCATAGACCTCTTACCTTCCACCACATAGAGTACATTGGCACACTCGAAACTCAAGTCAAGGAGGCTCGTCGTGAGGCAGCCGAATTGCAAAAGAAGTTGGCCCAGTCTGAGCTCAACTGCCAGTTCTTGCGCCAGGAGCTCGAGACCGCCCGCCTTTCCCAGACCCTCTTCAATGATGGTCGCATGTCGCGCGAGCATGCCAACCTGCTCGCCAGTCTCTTGAACCCTAACACCGAGTCTTTCCCCACGTCCTCACCCCCCAACGCCCTTGCTTCATCCTCTTCGACGTCGTCGATCCTCTCGGCCCAGGAGTTACAGCAAAAGGAGTTGATGAACAGCATCGACAGCAATAACATGACCATCCTCAACAACGCCCTCACCGCCAACCAGCAGCAGCAACAACTTCAGCAGCAATCGACCATCATGTCGTTGCCCCAGGGGTCGATGCAGCCCTTCGTTCCCTTTGACATCAACTGGGACCCGAACATGAGCGTCAACCGTGCCGAGCTGATCATCAACCCCGACCTGGACCCCAAGGAGGCCGAGGCCAAATCGTCTGTCCATGCCCTGTTGGCCCGTTACGAGGCTGCCAAGCACGAGGCCGAGGTCGACGAGCAGATGCGTACTGAGCTCAAGGCCTACCACGAGCAGAAGCTCGCCCAGACGTACATTGTCATGCCAAAGGAGGACACCCTGTTAACCACTTGGACCCAAGCCAACCAAGACTCCATGTTCTTGCAGACGATGGTCTACATGATGATGCTCCACTTGACCCGCTCCTTGTTTGAGGCCGCAACTTTGTCCAAGACCCAGATCGTCAATGTCTACCAGAGCATGGACGGCAATCTTCGATCGCAGATGGGACAAGTCCAGGAAGAGCAGGAGAAGCGTGTCACGCCTTGCAAGTTTGCAGAGTGGCGCGAGGCCTGGATCCGCAAGTGCTGGCCTTCGTTCTACAACAACCGTCAGCGTGTCTGCGAGCTGTTGAAGAGCGGTATCTGCCCCATAGCGGCTTACTCGACTTCGGCCGATGTCGATGAGACGGTCAGGAAGATGGAGGAGGGTGTCAAGGGCAAGACGGTCGAGACCGCTAGCCCCCTCTGTCTCTGGATCCGGTCCCACATCCCCAACTGGTTGCGATGCCCAGACAGTGTTGCCCAGGAGAAGCGTGAGCAGGAGGAGCGCGAGGCTCTCTTGAACAAGGCTGACCAGCCCGTCGAGGTTACGGTATAAAAAGGCCCAAGGAAGCAACACATCGTTCATCTATCGCCATGAATACAACGACAACCAACAACCACACTAATGACCAACTCACCCACAAGTAACGACAAAACCGCGATATCAGGAACACACACTTCCTTGCTGCCTTTTGCCTTTGCCTCTTCTGGTGCGAGCCCCCTTGCTGCCCTGGCGATCATCCTGTACATATCATATTCCATCCCCTGCATCGTCCACATCCCAGCTGTATTAGATATCTGTCTTTTTATTGTTTTTTTTTATTATTTCATTACCATAGCCTTCTCATGAATAAATAATCATCGTTCACATCCATATCTTTCTGTCATGCTTACCCTTTTGAGTCTTGATTGTTCGTTCGATGCCTTGGCTTTATTTTACCTTGCATTTCATCTGCATCAGAGCCAAGTGGTCTTTGGACAACCCGCCCCATAAAACGAGTTGGAAGAAGATGCGGGGAAATTTCTCATCAATGAGACTGTCTCTTCTTTACTCTCGTTTTCAATCCTCATACTCCTCCAGCCAACAAGCGGCGCTCGTCTCTATCATTCCTTGTCACACTTTTCATTTCATTTGCCCAAGTCATTCAACTCATGTCGTCCGCATTCGACAGATTCCTGGGATAATCCACACCTGGCCGCTATCCCGACGAGCTTTCTCGATGTGGACGAAAATCCCACGGCAGCAACGAATCAAAGATTTTGACATGGCCTGCGCTTCTCACTTCTTACGTCGAGAACCTCTACATAATGATTCCTCTGCCTCCTCTCCTAGCCTCCGTCAGATGGACTTTGATTTTAACGCCGCGACAGAACACTCTTGGCTGGACGGGCGGGGCCCCCCTCCGACTTTGGAGGTGCTTTTAGCCAAGACCTGCTGGATCCTACAAGTAAACCGGCACACATTGGGACCGGTTGTCGCTCAAGGATGTCTCCATCAGGGATGGGTTGAGATGAATGGATATCGGTCCCAGACCGTTCCGTTCTTTTGCAGTTCTTGCAGGATCTCAACTTGTCGCTTATTGTGCAGTGAGAATGGGAGCGTCATCCAGTGGCTTCGTGCGTCTTCTTTGCATTGGTCCCTTTTGGTCCGCCAGGTCAAGGCTGTTGTTGGATGTTATTGTCCATGGGGATTCTCCGAGCATATCCTTTTTTTTTGGTATCATGGCGGCGGAGGCATACTTTGTAACGAGGCGAGATGAGGGATGGGGACAGGTCTCTGCCACAGCCGGAGTGGAGTGAGTTTGAAGGCGATGACGGTTGCAATCCTCTCTTGTCACGCCTAAGGATTGTAGATCTTTGGAGCTTTGATCATGACACACTCAAGGGTAAGATGACCTCTATCCTCAAGCGTGCACTGCGGCTGGAAGAGTTGGGACTGAGCGCGTCGATCGATGGAGTAGACTTGGATAGACGGATGCTGGGCGAGTTGTACCCTCACCTTCGGTGGTTGGTGTGCACGCATGGCAGGGGACCTGTCGGTTACGGGCCATTTCTTATGACTGAGCCGTGGAAATTCCCCCCCACATTCTCGGACCTGTTGCCTTACTAGTGCAAATCTGTTTTGGCCTTGTATTCTCGAACCTTGCGGCGATTTCGTGGTGGCGTCTGGTCTTCGACCCTGCAGCAGAATCATTTGCTTGATTCTGACAGAACGCAAGGGGTTTGGAGTGGATCAAGGGGGCAGAGGATATAGTCAAGCTTGCGCTGGCGTACATTCCCTAAGCGAAAAAAACGCGCAGGGAAGTGGAGCCTATTCACCTGTGGCATGGAAACGTGCCCAAAAAAAAACGCGGCGTTTTTCCGAGTGAAATAGCACAATCAACAAATCTTTTCAACAGTGCGGCGTCTTCATGGCTCACCCAGCTCACATACTTTATTTTTTTTCTCCGTCTCTTCAGGCACAAGAAATATGCTTTGAGAGAACAAAAAAAGAGTTGGCACATCTTGCAAGAGTGCGGCGTCTCTCTCTTTCTTTGGCCCTCTTTGCTGAATCCTCAATCCCTTTCTTCTCTTTCCTCTTCTCCTCTTCTCCTCTTCTCCTCTTCTCCTCTTCTCCTCTTCTCCTCTTCTCCTCTTCTCCTCTTCTCCTCTTCTCCTCTTCTCCTCTTCTCCTCTTCTCCTCTTCTCCCTTTCCTCTTCCACTCTTTATCTCCACTCGCCTCCCACTTTCACCTCAATCATCCCTTTTCCTTCCGCCGTATTGATACATTCGAAATGGCTACTACCGAGCCGCCCCTCTGCGTTGCCTCCAACAGCGATTCTGTCTTCCTCGCCACCCTCGATGACTCACAAGCGTACAGGAGCAGACCCCCAGCAGTCGTGATCTATAAGAGTCAAAAGAACCCAACCTCTTTGGCATCGATTCAATGGACATCCTTAAGTTCAATCCTCGTCAACGGTCCCATCCCAGGCGTTCTACCTTTCGACAGCAACGGCTACTGGTGTGCCGCGGACGACAGCGGAGCGTTTGTAATTATTTCTGGGGCCAAGAATACGAATTCATGGTCGTCGAATCCCTACAGCGTTGGTCACAGCAATGGTTTGTTGTATATCCCTCCTCCACCAACAAACCCCAATTCTGGCGGTGGTACCATTGGAGGTCCGGCTGCAGGCGTTGGGTTCAGTAATGTGATCACAAACGGCTACTATCCTTGCATCGATAATTCGGGGCAATGCAGTGGCTACTTGTATGCTCTGCCGAGCGCGACAGCAGGAGCCCCGTCCAATTTTGTGTTGGCCATGTATAATTCTTCGGGGTACTCGCTCGAGGTGCTTGATCGAACAACCAAAAAGTTCACCACCCTCGTTGATATTTCCGTGAGCGCCGCTGTAAGGCAAAAAACAGCCATCAGTTTTTTTTTTTAATGAGGAAATCATATTTTTTAAAACGATGATATGTTTCTCGTATGCTTCACCCTCTATTAACTCTTTTTCGTTCTTTTTATTAGACCTCCTCTCCTAACGCATTTGGATACACCAACAACAAACTTGTAACGCTGACGCCGCCTGGAGGACAAGCAATCAGCCTGAATTCACAAGGTCTACCTCCACAAGGCAACGGAACCTCGTCTAGCGCCAACTTGGATGCGAGTGTGATGAGCGAGTGCGGGGTGATAAAACGAGGCATGTACGCCAGTGTCAATGGCCTCTCTTACTTCTCCTGCGCGGTATGAACCCTCAGATGATGGAATGACCTTTTTTTTTTTTTTTCTTTGTTAAGTTGACACAACTGGAGGAACAAAATGAATTACAGGGTAAATAACAACATCTCTTTCTCTACTTTTTAAATCACTCCATAGTCAAATGGAAATCGTCTCTTTTTTTCAACAGATGGTAGCACGATCACCAAGCTGGCAACGGTCACTGAACGGACTGATGCCGCCCTTCAAGGCGTTATCCCAGTCCCTGGACCCAATGGTGGCGCATCTACCTGGGCTTTGGCATACAGCACTCAAGCCGGAGGCCTCTACGACTTGATGATGTCAGGCTCCTGGGAGGACCAAAAGGCAGCGAGTACAAAAGCAGGGATCATTGGTGGTGTTTGTGCCGCCATCGCTGTTGTGCTTGGTGTCGCCGGCTTTTTCTACTGGCGCCGCAAGAAGCAACAGCGAGAAGCAAGGAAGGCTGAAGAGCCTCAATATCCCGGTACCAAGTTGGAGCCTCTTGACGGAAACACTCTCCCTCCTCCTCCTCCTCCAGGTAATAACCAGGTCAGCGGATTCAGTAGTGCACCCATCTTGGAATCACCACTTCCATCTCTTCCACCAGACTCCCAAGGTCAACCCCAGCACCAGTCTCAGCCATACCCCTCGCAATATCCTCAGCAGTTCTCCCAGTCGTACCCTCAGCAATTCCCTCAACAATTCCCTCAACAGTACTCGCAGCAGCAATTTTCACAGCAATTTCCTCAACAAGGTCCCCACCCTGGTCAGCCTAACCCAATATTCAATACGACTCAACCAATTCCCTCCGCGTCGTCACAGTCCTTCAGTGCCCTAACCCAACCCAGCTATCAGCAACAACCTTCACCCTCGACAACAACAACTTCAACTCCAACTGCAGCTACAAACGCGCCTAGTTTCAATGCCAACGCCAATTCTGCACAGCAGCTCCAGGATATTCAGTTCTCGACCCACCCTAGACCCAACTTCACCACCATGGCTGACGGAGGTAATTCGTAGACTGTCAATGCGACAACATCGACCTCCACACCTGATCAACCTCCCGTTTGATAACTTTAGAACCTCTATTCCAGATTATATAATTTGCGTTCCTTCTTTTCCTCCGATGCTCCCTCCCCCCTCACTCTCTCCTTTCCATAACGAAAGTATTGATGCCGATTTAATAATGCGAGATCATTCGTGTTCACATTTCTATTTGATGGCGATCATGTACTACTGATGGAGCAAAAAGAACCTTGAAGCATCGATTTTTAGTAGTGTGCATGGTATTATGCATACATGACTTTTGGAGGCGTTGTCTTTGGAGAACTCGGCCACCTCTCGTGGCAGTAGTGATGGTACAAACCAAGAAATGAAAGGCTCTTCCAGCCTGGTAGCGGGAGAAGGGAGGAGGAGGAGGAGGAGGAAGGAAGAAGTGTTTAAGGCGGGGGTGCTTATGAACTCGGTTGACGTTTGGGTCTTCGCACACCCCAACTGAATGAAAAAAGAACGCGTAGTGATTTCTGTTTTTCTTCACATCACGTTAAAATGGACATTGCGTAGATAGGATAGACTGGTAGAAAAGAAGGCGGACCAAGGCAAATAGAAAGAAAGGTGGGGGGGGGGAATAGCATGAGAAAAAAAAGTATGGTTGTACATCCATAGTACAAGACAACACGGACATCACTCCCAGCTGGCAAGCCCATCGTCGTGTGGTTTTGAAAGAACCTGAAAAAGTATATATCTCCATCTTGTTCCTGATCCACGCCGCCTGCTGAGAAGCCTCCTGGGCATTCAACAATAACTGGTCCTTTGCTTAGCTGATTGGGCTGTGCCAATCGCAAAGGTTGTCCTGCCTCCTGATGTGATATATGTTGTGTTGTTGGAATTGTCGCTCCTGTCCACGGTATGTGTGTCCAGCCCAAGTCGGGAGAAGAGTCGAAATATCAATTGGAAACATCGCCTTATGACCGTGCGGAAAGAACTTAGAGTCGATTCATGCGAGAGCGACACTCATACCATTGATGTTACACCACAAAAAGTGCCTTTGTGCCGGATGCTTCGCCAATCGACAGAAAGGCAAAGAGGTGCAGGAGGAGGAGGAGGAGGAGGAGGATGAGAGAGAAGGACAGATGATTGAAGGGCAAACAGGAAAAACAGGAAAGCATCTCCACGACACGAAGAGTGGGTATGATGCTGGGTAGGTGTGTATTTGTTATTGTTACTGGTGTTCTTTTCCTTCTGTGTCCATGCCCAAAGACAATGATTGTTTGTGAGCAATTGTAAGATATTTGCATGACGGAGGGGGCTGGTTGAGGGTTGGATGGGATGGGAAGGCAAGAGCAGGGGTGCAGCGTGTTTAGACTGATCCTTCTGTTACAAATATGCCTTGTTGCTGCAGCTGCCGTTCCCTGTGTGGATGGGCGAGTTCTATCTGTCTAGTCGTTTGACATCCTGCAGGTGTTGGAAAAGAGAGAGAGCGAAAAAGAAGGATGGGGAGGGGGGTTTGTTTGTTTGGTTGATGTTGGGGTGGGCATGGGCACGAGACTTTTCTTTTGGTGGACATAGATGTCTGTGTCCATCGATGGAGTAATGTCCGGAGTAGTTGATGTCCAGAAAGCTGATGTCTGAAGCAGAAGTCCGATGAATGATGAGGAACGCAAAGAGGAGAAAGAAGGATGGAGATTCGGATGTCGAAGGCGAAGCAGACAAGTTCGAAGGCAAGTGGGTGAAAAAAAGGAAAAAAAATACTCCCACCAGCAGAAAAAAGGGAGGCAATACTTCTTTCGGTAACCCCGCCGCAAGCATAAGAAAATACCGCAGCCAGTGGCGAGTACATTATTCTGGATAGAACGAGTGAGACAATGACGCTCATCAGTGATGGATGTTGGCTTGATCGTCATTGGAGGCGTTGCTGAAGGTACCCTGTTCCTGAGTTGTTTGTTTATATCTTGACAGGAGGGGTTCGCGAGTCGATCACCCTTCCCTTTCGTTCTCCCAACCACCGATCGATGCTGCCCTTGGTATTCCCTCCCTGGGGCGCTCAGAAGAAACACACGGTGAGCAAAAAAGAACTAGACGAACGCTCTGAGTCGTTGCTGTTGTTCGTCTCCATCACAGGCACATTCATTTCGTCAAAAAAGAGTGCAAAAAGACATCGACTTTGCTATGTGAAACACGGAGGCTGTGTTTGGACATGCTACCATTGGGAGAAGCAGTATGCTGCTGTCTTTTGTTCGTCTGCTTTTGTCCTATGCATCGGCATGACGACGTGTCTGTCAGCTCGACTATTTCGGCCTGGTGGCAACACAATACTTACTCGGTACTCCCGGAGATACGCAAGGCGGCTCAGCATTAGCTAATCGACACGATGATTAAGAAAAACAACACGGAACGATTGATGAATGGTTTTGCTTGATGGGAGGGCAGTCTGAGCACGAGTGGAAAAGTAAGTGGCAGTGCAGAAAATTTGCTCTTACATGTTTGCTTCTTCTAATGTTGTGAACATAATCAATAGAAAAAAGACATATAAACGGCTGTGTCCTCTTTTGTTTATTTCGAAAGGTGAAGAGTCAATGGACAGCAAAAAATAAAAAAGGCAAGCAACCATCGTTGCTATTTGTCCCCTCCCTCTCCCCAACTTCTCAATTGCTTTTCTACTCGACTCTTCTTTTCTTTTATTTAACGACTTTTCTACTACAGTCTGACTCACGGGTAAGAGGGCATTCGTTACTCCAATTCGGACACGTACGGTTCCAACGTGTATGCATGGGATGGTTGACAATGACATAGAAACTCAATGGTCAGCAACAGAGAAATCGACACCACATTCTTCTGACAGACAACCCTAATTTTGCGCTGCGCTCTTGACTGCATCGCCTTTTTTTCTTTGATTGACATTGACTGAGCCTCAAACTGGTACTCTACATGAAGGAGGGCACTTTCCCTAGTCTTCGCCATGCTCTCTCCCATCCATCCTTCCATTTGACCTTCCCCCTTGACATTGCCTTTGTGTTTTATCTTTCGCTATTTTAACGTTTTCTCGCTCATCCATGCAGCCGCCCTCTCTCTTTCACTCTCTCTCAGCCCTACTCACAGTTTGTTTTCTACTCTGCTCTCATCCGCTCTTCCTTGATTTTCCTTAATTTACTTTTTTCTCTTTCCAGGGCAAGTCTGGACCGATCAGATACGTTTAAGTCTTCGCCAACGTTAACAACACTCATAATCCTGCCTATTGACAGGTAAAGGGTATGGTATCGCTTAAATAATGACTCAGTGACTGACCATGTCCCTGCCTTTTGGGGTGCCTGTGTATAAAAACGGGTCCAAACTGGGTACACTCTCTCTTCTTTCCTCTTCATCACACAACAGCTTCTTCCACCTCAAACACACAGCACAGCGAAAAAATATATATACACACTTCTATCCTATCCTCTCCACTCCTCCACACCCCCTCTTCCACTCCACACCTGGTTAAGTCAAAGAATGATATTCTCTTCGAGTATTCTTTACTCCTCAAGCTAAGGGTCCAAGTTCCCGATTCCCAAGAAAGGCCAATCGCCCAGGGAGGGGCCCGATGTCCGCAAGAGTCCAACCCATCGGGCTTCCGGAGTCGAATTCCTTTCTCAAGGCCAATTCCTCTTTCTTGGACCATTCGTGAACAAAGTAAGCAATACCTGGATTCCCCTTCCATCTCCAACCCTGTTTGGTCGTAAGTCTGTGCAGCCTCATCACTCACCCATCCACCATCCATCCCCATTCGCCTATTTTCACTTCCATTGATTCGAAGTAAGCAAGAGAAGCGAGAAACACCCAATTCCAATTCCAAATTCCAATTCCAAATTCCAATCAAATTCCCATATCACCGTTGGAAGAAAAAAAAAAAAAGAGTTCCCAACGGTCGCAAGATCAAGACAACACCATCCGTCCAATTCCATCATTACTATCAACCCAATAACGAAGAAGAGAAAGAAGAAGTGAGGTATGAGAGAAAGAGAAAAAAAGTCCCCCAATGGGCACCTCACCTTTGTCAGCAATTCCACGTTTTTTTTAACCCTGTCAATGGGTTATGGGGAAAGTGAAAAACAAAAACGAAGAAAAAGTCCCCACGGGAAGAAGACAAGGCATAACACATCAGACATGCAAACACACACGCCTAAGCACACACAAGCACAAACACACCAGGCACAAATACACAGCAAATTTTCATAGGCGCTGGGTGCATGCGCAAAGGCAGGAAGGAGCGACAGCTACCCATCCCATTTTTTTTCAAACATATGAAAGCAAAGCAAGGCATACATGCCAAGGAAAATACAGGGGTCTAAAGGTAAAAGGAGAATACCCTCTCCGTGTGGTCAACAACAATACATTGATCTTTCATCAATGGTGGCGGCATCAAAAGAATAGCAATGAAGAAAGAGAGCAAAGAAACTTCATGGTCAACGAATAAGGTTTCTCTCTGCTCAAGGGCGCAATCAAACTCAATTCAACGTCAAACACACGAAGACATTCAAACGAAGACAATTCCAAGCACTCATACACACTTAAAGGAGATTCATACACTCAAAGGCAATTCGAAACACACACTCAAAGGCAACTCATACTACACTCAAGCCCAAAGACACGCACACAAAGCAAGGCGGCAAATTCAAACACAATTTCGACAATTCCATCGAAGAAAACAAGGCGAAGCAAGGGTATGGTAGAGAAACACAAAACCACTTTTTTTATTTCTTGGGTCTAATTCCACTTTCACTCTGGACCCAATTCTATCCAATTTTATGTTGAAGAAAATGGCAAAGCAAACGAAAGGCAGCATGGTGATACGAAGCAAGGAACATCTATTATTTTTTCTTGGGTCCAATTCCTCCTCGGACTCAATTCCATCTCACTTTTTTGCTCATGAAAAAATTCCAAACAAAGCAAGTGTGAGAAACCAAGCAGAGTATCATGGCGGTAAGAAGTCATTCCTACATCTTGGGTCCAATGCCTTTCTCGGACCCAATTCCATTATTATTTCTTTAACCTTGGTTAACGAAAAAGCAAATCAAGGGTGAAGCAAGACAAGTCAAGCGATTGTAAGTAAGCAAGCTATCCCTCGTTTTTTAAATTCACTTCCTTTCATCCACTTCAAAAGTGAGAACAAACAAGTGCTATGTCTTGTCCCTGCCCTTCAGCAAATCAGCCATTGTAAGTCAACAACCTCTTCCAAATTCCATACCCTATCGCCAACACGAAGCAATTCCATCTCCTGTTATCACGAAACACCACATCGAATCGATTCCTCTTCAACAATAACAGTTCCATCGAAGCAACTTCCGCTCCAACAAATTCAATCGAAGCAAAAACGAAGCAAAGAAACGAAACAAAGCAAAGACAAGAGCCTTCATTCTGGGCGGTATAGCTAAGAACACCATTCTACTCTTGTAAGTTCAATCCAATTCCTTCTCGCCCAATTCCACTTCATCATATTTTTCATAAGGAAAGATATGAGCAAGAGCTGTTTACTCGAAAAGAAAGACAAGCAAGCCAAGTGGGCAAGCAAAAGAACCTTCATTCTCGGTGGTATAGCTAAGAACACCATTTTACTCTTGTAAGTTCAATCCAATTCCTTCTCGCCCAATTCCACTTCATCATATTTTTCATAAGGAAAGATATGAGTAAGAGCTGTTTACTCGAAAAGAAAGACAAGCAAGCCAAGTGGGCAAGCAAAGAACCTTCATTCTCGGTGGTATAGCTAAGAACACCATTCTACTCTTGTAAGTTCAATCCAATTCCTTCTCGCCCAATTCCACTTCATCATATTTTTCATAAGGAAAGATATGAGCAAGAGTCATCTACTCGAAAAGAATGACAAGCAAACCAAGTGGGTAGGCAAAGACGAAAGCACAAAAGGACAAGGGCTCACATGCAGAATAGGAACCCAGGGTTTGAGAGCACCTTTTCATTGGTATGGAGACGAAAAGCTACGACAGGTGAGAGGTAACGAACAGAACAAGGTAAAGGGAAAGGGATGGGAGTACAAAATATTTTGAAGAAAAATCAAGTGAGAACAACAAAAAAAAAATGGACAGAAGGAAAGAGGGATATGAGAGACGGGAACCGGTAGTTCACTTGAGGTCAGAGAAGACTCGGGCTTAGAGTCCGTTGAGGGTCAATGAGTTACCATCGGGATCCTCCATCTGGGCCATGGTGCCCCAAGGCATCTTCGAAGGGGGCATCGAGAACTTAACTCCCTATTCACATCAAAGTCAAAGGCAAACGAAAAGAAAAGTAAGCAACAAAGCCATGACAATCCCATCCAATTCCCCAATTCCATTCAGTTCAATCCCTGAGAAGCATATTGAGATTCCATCTGCTTCAGTGCCTAATAAGCACAATGAATTCAAGTCGAGCAAGAAAGAAAAGAAAGCAAAAACAAGACAACTCAACAAAGTACAAAAAGGGAATAACACAAGCAAGCAAGTAAGTCCAGTAGTGGTTACCTTCTTGACAAGAGAGTCATAAGTGCCTTGCATATCCTTGACACCGAAAGAAATGCCTGCCTTGTTCTGTCCTGCACAGTTGACGCCAGGTCCACCGTAGTAAACCGTGAACTTTGTCTTTTCTCCACTGTTGACGAAATACTCCATATAGCGGGCACCGTTCTGACCGGCTACTTCGACATTCATGACCACCTCGAAGCCCAAGGTCTTGTGGTAGAACTCCAATGCTATGAAAGGTAAGAAACGATAAGGCCGGAGATGGACAGGAAGGAAAAAAAAAGTTAGGGGACGGACCCAAAAGTCAAAGACAAGATTTGGTGAGACTCAAGGGTCACTTCCACTTCAAACAGAAGTATCAAAGAGAGAGGGAAAGCAAAGGGCAAAGAAAAAGACGGGAGTACATACACTTCTCCCAGTCGTTGGTCATGACACCGGCAGAGTACATGCCAACAAGAGGTGTGGCGGGACGATGCTCCCAGCGACCGCCCTTGATGTAGGCACTGACGCGGGGGTTGGATTCAAGACGTTGGAACATCTTGAAAGTGGCAGGGCGGTGATCCTGGGAGATGAAGGTTTTCATGTGCTCGGGGTATTCGCCAGAGAAGTAGTGGATCCATTCGAACCAAGCAAACTCGGGGTACGTTGTCTATGAAAAAGTGAGAAAAATAACCAAGATCGGTTAGCTTATAACTAGAACACACAGGGCAAGTTCCAGTCATGATAGAGAAGAAAAGACGCCGCCTTTTTTGAGTCTGTGCTGAGTCCATGCCGCATCGACCTCTTCCCTTCCCTCCACACACATGCGATCGACAGTCAAGCTTAATACCGGGTATGATAGTAAAAATGAATCAAAAAAGGTGACATCAATAAAGAACAAAACAAGAGGCCGGCGAAACTCACCTTTTCGCCCAAAAGATACCCGTTGGAGCCGTTCTTGACCAAATACTTCTCGAGGCCATCAAAGAAGGGTGCCATGCTCTCAAAGGCCTTGTCGATATTGGCCTTCTCCTTGGGATCGGGCTTCATCCAGATCTCCGTCATCATCACGTTGAGGACGTTGTCACAGGCACTATGGAGGCAGGCATCGAGCAGCGCATCCTCCTCGAGGTTGTTGCCGTCAAGGCCAAAGAGACGGCCTAGGTATCGGGTTAAGGCAGGGACCTCGGAGACGACAAACTTTTCACCGTCGGGCTTGATATGGGTGAGGACGGGAAGGACGCCAAAGGGGGTGTCCTTCTTGCCTGCGGGCCATTCGACTGGGGTCACACTCTTGTAGCTCGCCTATCATTTTTACAAAAAAATAAGCCTCTTTTTCTACAGTGTCCAATTATTCCCATAGTCAACTGAAGTGAACAAAGGAAGAGACTTACGCCGACAAATTCGAGAAGGTGACGGATGACCTCAGCTCTGGCGCGGGTGGCCATGTACAGGACCTCGAAGCGCGAGTTCTTGAGAAAGTCGGACTTGATCTTGTACTCGTCCTGGGCATAGGTAAAACCAGAGTCGGCGGTCTTAATCTTCTTGGCGGTTTGGTCGGTCGGGGTCATGTCGACATCGTTGGCGGTAGCAGGGATGGGGGATTGTCTCTTGGTCATTGTGCTTCGGAAAGAAGTGGTGGCAATAGGAAGTGTTTCTTTTTGTTTGAAGGTGTGTGTGTATGAAGGAAGGAGAATTTTGTGTGAGTATTGACATGGAAACAAGAAAAAAAAAGGCGGATGAACAGATCCCTTTTATATAGGATAAACGAAATTGGCGGCGTCAATGGACATCCGAAAGGCCAGTGGACACCACAAGTCTGAAAACAACCTATGAACCAATTAGGCGATATGACGCCATGAGCTTGCAGATGCACCATGCGCGGAGAGAGCGATCGAAGAATGGATTTGGGCAAAGTGGGAGAAGAGGAGTTGAGTTCAGAGGCAAGGCCCATCGAACGAGATGTCCCCTCTGTTCTTTAATTGTTGTGCCCAATTGCTTGGGCTCGGATTGCAATCAAACAAAAGGGGTCCAGACCAACGAGAAAAAAGTCCATTCGACACGCCGTCTACGACTAAGACAGACGCTGTTGCTCTTCCAACTGTCAACTTGGATCGAGCACCTCAACCTTGCACTGCGCATCTTATCGTCCAAAGGTAACCGACATAGCTGGAAGTCCATGACCGCGAACACGTAGCATAGAACGATCGGAGAAAGAGGGAGCGAATAGTCCTCCACGCATTGGGACAGGAAAAAAAAAAGTACGAGGCATGGACGGCTGAATGACAAGCGTCAACCAACCCCACACTTGCATGACAGCGCTATCTTCTTTCTCTGGATAAAAATGCATGCCCGCTTGCTCCTCTACTCTCTCTACTTCTCAATTTCTACTTCCCACTTCTCATTCCTTTGTCCATTCCCATTCCAACCTACTCCTTCCTTCCAACGCCATTCAATTACATGGGTCCACTCGATGCAATGCATCACATTCGGAGAACAACCGTCGCAACAAGAAGCGGGGCTAAGAGGGGATCTTGGTAGAAAACAAGGAGGGAGCCAATGACGAAGAAGGCGCATGTCAAGGCAGGGATAGAGAGAGACGCGAATAGAACATAGTGTTGCCGCCAGCTTTTCTAGGTAGTGAGCCGAAGTGATCGTCAGTGAACAGTAGGCTAGTTGAGAAGTGAATAGGCAATGGATACAGCTATGCCAACTGCTCGGCAAAGAGGAGAGAGCATGACATGGTTGCATTGGGGATAAGCGCACCCAGCTAATGGGTTCTCTTTTTCTCTTGTGCATCGAGTCGTCTATCTGTGTGTCTGTCTGTCTGTCTGCCGGCTCTTCCGCCGTTATCCCTTACAGCGCTGAAGATATGACATGTCCACCGTTACCGCAACAACAGCAACACACACCATTTCTTCAAATATAATCATACCCAAGCCCACTCTTCCTATGGTTTTTTTCCGGTCAGCCCTCTTTCTGGTGTTAAAAAAAGCCGCCTTCCTTCCACAACCACGCTTTTAATTGCGTCTTTTGTCCCCTTTTCGATCCTCCTTCAAAAGTACGGACGACTCCTTTATTCCATTCTACAGTCTGCTACTCTTTTTGACATTCCTGCCGGAACGTGCGTTGAATTCTACGTCGTCTTCCCCTTTTATTTTTGTCATATTATCGCAAATCAGGTTCTTTCTTGCCATGAGACGAGCATCGAGTTCCCTTTGTACCTTTTCATTCACCTCTCTTTCCCCTTCCTCACCTTTGTATTCGTTCCTTGGCTGCCTCGAAAAAGGAGTTGTTCCATTTGTTGACAAGGTGGGATCATCTACTACCTTTCACGTACACATAGTAATGACAATCTCGACCGAGGGGAGTCACTCCTTCCCCCTCATCCTCAGCTTTACCTTTTCTTGCATTGTGCGATCGTTTTCTCTTTTGTTGCGATTTTCGTGTTTATCATATTTCTTGATGCCAACTCGGACTGACGACGGAAGCCGTAGTATCCCCTTTTTGTTTCCCCCCTACCATCCATGAACTTTCTCCAATAACCCAAGTTGTCGTGTTTTCTTTCTTCAGTTCCTTTAAATATCACTCTTGTCTACACCACTGTTGACGTGTTCTTCTTTGAAGTGATTGCCCATCCTTTCCCCCCTCCTCTACACTCTCCTTCGCCTGTTACCTCTCTCACCTTTTGCATTTTCCTTGTTTCTTGTCATTTGCTACGCCCTTTGACACCCAGCACACCGCAACAACCACATACACATCCATATCGTAGAATGAAGTTCTCAACAATCGTCACCGTCTTGGCCTTGACGTCTGCTCTCGCCATCGTGAATGCAGATTCCACCAACAATCAGAAGGGAGGGGCCATTATCGATGCCCAGCTCGCCAACAATAACAACCAACAGCAACAGCAGGGTACCGTCGGCGTCGGTGTTTTTATCAAGCGCTTGGTTGACTCTGCAATTGGTACCGAGGACACTGCTCCTGACGCCCCTGATTCAACTGAGGAGGTCAGCCCTGACGCGCCCGACCAGGCTCAAGACCTTTTTGCCATCCTTACCGTTGATGCTTCCATCGCCGAGAATCCTACCACCTCCAGTGCTGCTGCTACTGCTGCTCCTGAGCCTGAAGAAGTCAACAACGAGGATGAGGATGATGGCGATGACGAGGAAGACGATGTCAAAGACGGTGAGGACGATGAGGGTGATGATGATAACGACGCGGATGTCGTTGAAACCAACTCCAACGTTGGCGCCGACCTTGCTGCTAGGGATGTCGTGACGACCGAGAAGGCTGCTGCCCGACAGGCTGCCATTCTTGAGGCCGATGCCCGTGAGGAGATGGAGAACGAGATTGCTCCCAATAACCATGATGAGGACGAAGAGAATGACGATAAGGATGAGGATGGGGATGGGAATGAGCATGAAGATGAGAATGAGGGTGAGGATGAATACGATGGCGAGGATGAGAATGGTGATGAAGCTGATGTGAACGACGAAGAAGATGACGAGGCCGAGGGCTCCGCTATCACATTCGAAGTGGATGAGGCCTATGAGACTGGTGAGGCCGATCAGGCTACCCAGGGTCTTGCTATTACCTTCGAGGAGGGTGAGGCCGATGAGACTGGTGAGGCCGATCAGGCTGCCCAGGGTCTTGCCATTACCTTCGAGGAGGATGAAGCCTATGAGAATGGTGAGGCCGATCAGGCTGCCCAGGGTCTTGCCGTCACCTTCGAGGAGGAACTCACAGATGAACAGGAGGAAGCCCAATATGAAGCACCTGTTGACAGGGAGGAAGCCCAAGATCAAGCACCTGCTGAGGAGCAGGCACCAGCTTTCGACGAACAAGCATTCGAGTCCGTACCAGGTACGTCATCTCGCCTTTTTTTGTTACCATTTCATTTGACAGGTATCAGGTACCAAATCGTTGCTTCGCCCAACGGTAATCAAAAATTAATTCTAACCTTGATTATCTACTTTGTTTCTCTTTTCAGAGGTTCCACTTCTGAAGCGCCACCATCACCACAGCACCAAGCACCACAAGAGCAAGAAGAGCCACCACAAAAAGCACCAGCAGTAAAGTACAGCACATGCATGGGCTGACTGCAGCTTACCCAATACATTATCCTGCCCTCTTCATTCCCCAACACAGACACGCATCGCACCACAAAAGTGACAAAAAAGACCACACACACATACGAACATTCAGTTCATACCAAAGGAAAAAAATATATCCTTCTATCATGACCCCTCTCATTCTTTTTCATGGCCACCTTCTGTAGTACATTTGGTGCCATCCTCCTTGTAAATCAAATAAAAAACAATGATCAAAAACCCACTTGAAATAACTTTCTTTCTCTTTTTTTTTGTATTGGTTTTTATTCTCTCTTTCTCCAAGAACAAAAACAACAACAATACAATAACCAACAGCAAAAGAGACAAAAAACTTATATAGCACACCTTATCTCTAGTCATTTTTTTTCTCTTTCTCTTTCATCCTTTCTCGTCTATAGTACTTTATTTCTTGTTCTAAAGAAGGAAGCAACTACAACTACAATGTTTGTCAGTGATCGTCCTTCCTAATTGTTCCGACCTGTTCAATGAGCTTGGCGAGAGTGATCTTGAGGTTGCGGTGCATACATTCGACTCGACCATTGGACTGTGGGGGGGCGGTAGGCGGTAATGGAGCTGTGCTTAATTCTCAACGTGCAGAACATTAATTCGGTTACGTGATCGTTAATAAATAGATCCTCGGTCTGATATAGTTTTTCTCGGGAACACCGAAGGCGGCACATGGTTCAGAAAAAACTCGACCAGGATCTTGGTGTCGATATTCTTGGTGGGGGTGGCAATCGGCCAGCGAGTGAAATAATCGATCGCGGGTGAAAAGATATTAGGATCCATTAGCGACGGCGGGAGTTATGGGACTTAAACAATATCGATATTAACCATGGCTAAGGGGTTTACTGACCGAAATCGAGCGGGAGTGGTTCTGCACGACCGGCTTGATTACTTGGGTTATATGTCTGATACAGGTGGCACGTTCGGACGACGGACTGGATGACGTGACTAAAGTAAAGACCATCCACTTGCCTGTCTTAGCCTGTGGTACATGTTTCTTGGAGGTAATGTCAACTCCCTTTGAACTCAATGAAAAGGTGTCTTCCTCTCATCCTCAGATGGATCTTTCATCCGATGATTCTTGCTTATCCTTCTTCGGCCTTCTCTTTGGTACCTCATCCTCAGGAAACTCATCAGTATCTGAAGGCACAAAGTCAGGGGTATGTGGCTTCTTCGACGTCTTGGAAGGCTTGGCACGCTTCTTAGCAGGCGCTTCATCCTCACTGCTTTCCATCTGTTTTCCATCTTGATGTCGTTTGCATTGTGTCTCACCAACTTTGGCTACACTACCACAATTGACCTCCTTGACGGTGACACCCTAATACTTGCACTTTGGATCATGAACATAATAACGCATGTCTTTATTGACTTCATTCATGAAACTGTGCTGCAACTTGGTGCAGATTGCTCCACAAAAGTAGTACCTCTCCACTTCATCATCCTCATCAAGCGACTTGAGAATCTTCGTCGCATCTTTTTTTCTATATTAAAATCTACTTTCTTAGAGGAAAATGCCTCGAGCGCCTTGGTAAGAACCTCGATTGTCAACTGGATGTGCATTTTTTTTTTGGATATGAATGATATATATTTCACTCGTGGTGTTGTGGGCGTGAATGGCTTGTCAGTCTATGTATGGTAGATGGCAACTGTTGTTGCCCGGGTCGATAATGGTGTCGTTGAATGGTCGTCAGCGGGAGTAGAGTCGATTATTCGCTTGCGTCTAGATGAGAGCTTGGTATGCTCCATCAGTAGTGCAGCGGATCTGTTGCAGGATCCTGCCTTTTCGACTTGTACTCCTCGAAGGAAAGCGTTCGCATAGCACCACGAACTGTACCAGAATGGTCGATTTGTTGGTTGTCAGGCGGCGACGGCGGTAGAGACGATCTTCCAGTCCCAGTCCTCAAAAAGGGTTCGGCTAGCATCCTCCACTCGGAGAAGGAGGTCATCGGTGATATTATCTCAACCTGCAAAAAAAAAGGGAGCAAGAACAAGCATGAAGTTAATTACACTGATTGTTGATGGTCATAACAAATGCCACACAAACGAAAGAAAAAAAAAACACCTCCCTCCGACGCTAGAAAAGGCGATCAATTAACGACCATAGAAATGTACATACCGACGAGTAACTACTTCAAACCGTTAAGAGGCAAAGAACGCCCAAAGGCCCGACCAGGATGTTTTCTTCTAGTTTCTGCCAAAAAAAAAGGCAAAAAAAAGAAAGCCGGGATGAGCACATATGTCTTTGCAATTAATTGGACCAACAAAAACAAAAAATAAGAAGCAAGCACAACAAGGATAATGGCATATATAATAGTATTACCCGTTACTCCTATACAATGCTCATTGGAAGGAGGTATACAGTGCCACGACTCAAGGATGAAACTCGTACACCCCGACGAGACCGCCGACATTCTTGAGGAGGATCCTCAAGCACGGGGAAAGATGGTCCTCTACCCCGGATAGTACGCGGGGTAGTTTAGTTCGGGACCCGACGCGCGTGCTACCTGTCGTCGTAAGTGCCGCTGCTGTCGCTGCTTTCTTTTGCTGATTGAAAAGCTTATCTTCTCAGACTCTGGGTGCAACAGGCGAAGACTGAGACAGAGAAGTATAGAACGGGGACGAGAGTTGAAGCAGTGATGATTGATGTTATTACTATGATACAACTAAATATATATATATATACAAAGTCGCCAACTAGGTTTCTAGGTGTAGTGTCATACAAAGTCAGAGGTGACAGAGGGTGACAAGGAATGACTAACTAGAGAGCAATAGTAAACCTAATATGTTGCACTGGGCTTGCTTTGCTGCTTCAACATCTGCAGCGCCGGCCAACCGCCTCCCTCTGTGATAACCGGTGCCCACTCGTCACTGTCTATGGGTCCTTGTATATGCTGCAGGCTGTCCATATACGTCTCAAAGGTCGTCTCGTCGGGCTGCACACCCATCATCCCCTCAAGGACCATTACACGTTTCATCAGCAGGATCATCGTGAGAACATCTGGATCGACCGCTCTCTGCAGCAAGAACAACAAGTCAGCGAACTTGGGTAAGTCCTTGACTTGATATACTTCCATCAACCTCTTCATACGTGTCGCTATCGGGTTTACGTTGCTTGTTTCTCGCCATTTGTCGCTGTGTGTACGGTAGTGGAGGGGGGGGGGATATAAGTATGTCGTCAAGGTAGCCGCTGTTATACTACCCACAAAAAACGAACAACAAAAACAAAGAGTGTAATTCTTCATCAGCCATCTTTTTCTTCTCTTTCACAATATGAAGCGGCTCGATCATACTTTTTCAATCCAAGATCCAAAGTGTGTGTCCACACATACCTATTATTCTTTCTTCTCACAGACGATATCGAATTACGCAACGTGTTGTTGATTATATTTGCCGAGTGTTGGGATGATTGGTGTGCCTTCAACGAGGCCCCTTGGAAGTGGGTTGTTTGTTAATGTGTAGTGTTGGATCCTGTTGGAAATATGATATTGGTATTGTTGAGGGGGATTGGTGAGAGTGGAGTTGAGGTGGGGTGGTGTATGTTAAGGAAACATGGTGCCCCACCTCGGAGCCCGTGCTGCAAACCGTGCAGCACCGGTTGAACGACCGAGGTGGAAAAGGGTGTAGAAGAAGAGGGAAGAAGGAAGAAAGGAAGAAAGGAAGAAAGGAAAAAAGGAAGAAAGGAAGAAAGGAAGAAAGGAAGAATGCGGAGAAAGAATGTGCAAAAATTGCGCATCGTGGGACAATGAATGCCCCAGAATCAAAACAGAGTTCCCTCCTTCGATATGTTTATTTTTGGCTTGTTTTTGTCATTTTGTAATAATGAACTGAAAAGACGACGGACAAAGAGCGAAGAACAAACGAACAAACGTCTATAGTGATGCTGATGACGGGCCCCCTGCCGCTGCTTAAGCTACTCTTTTCAAGTTGAGAGTTGAATGGCACGGGACCCGAGAAGGACGCACTTATATTTCGTGTCGACGAGGGATAAGCAAAGTGATGACGCGTACGTATCAGTTCCAGGTCAAAACGCGATCCCTTGTTCAAGTTCGTTTGTCCCTTTTTTCTTTCTTCTTTCTTCTTTCTTTCTCACCTTCACGTTCCTTCACACCTTTCCACTCCTTTTCGGCCCTTGTCAGAGAGCAATTGGCACCCTTCACTCTCTTCTTCACCTACATCACGACTCTTGTTGCCCACACCTCATCACTAGCACTGGCATTCATGCCGCCATGTTCCCAAATGGATTCTTGACACCGTCAGTTCAACCATAATGAATGTTTGTATGGAGGAAACTGTTTGCTATTTTGTATTGCTGCCAGTTCTGTGGTCGCACAGTAACTAAGAATCAACGTTACTCACCAACTCCTTTTTTTTGCTTGCTGCTTAGGTCTTGACACAAGTTGACAGGAGACACGGACACGGACTTACTATGAGGAGCATGGAAGAGATCCAGGACAGCGAGGTCGACAGGAGCTTCTCGATACCACGCCTCACGATCACCGCGGATTCCTGTTCCCTTCTCGGTCTCTTCCGTGTACCAGCAGCAATTGGATCACAGCCAACGCTATTTGCCGTCGGTTGTTGCTATCGCCGCTTGGCCCTTTGCTCAACCCTGCCCTGACTCCGCTACGGCGTCTCATCGGGATCCTCCAAGTTCGGGAGCATATCACAGAACTGTCCAATGGTCTCCAACTTCAGCCACTCCCACACCTCGAGACCCCGTTACCCAAAGCATAGAGGTATCGACTGGAGGAGCCCTTCCATCACGGTCATCACAGCACTACTAACCGGGCACACGAAGGCGAGAAAGATCTCGACCTTCCGACCGTCAGGAAGCTGTTCGACGTCGTACATATCAACCAAGCGTCGGAGCCTCTGGGCGTAGTCCTTGTAGCCCTCCTATAGTTGTCGACCTGACTTGGCGTATTGGAGCCCTCTGCGATCCTAGTCGTCTCTGTTGTCGTAATCTCAACAAAGATTCGCTCATACGCTGGCCATATCCATTGCCGGATGTGAGGATGATTCTCGCGCCGGTTAAGGAATTCGTAGTGGAGCCTATTATTGGTGGGGTCGTGTATCGATGTCTCACTCAAGATGATGAAGCCGGATCTGTCGCCTTTGATATATATGATTTGTCGTGTATGCTGGCGGCATCCAGCCGCCACCGGTAACCTCGTGCGCGAATGGGACCTACTCCCTCCCCAGGTCTTACTGTCCTCATCGTCTTCATGCCCCTCCACCTGGGCCTTAATCGCATCCCCTCGAGCCTTCCCCGCTCTCGTCGACACTCATCAATCACCCGCTCGTCATGTAGGATGCATCATGTCTACTCAAACGACTTGTAACCCGAAAGCATGGTTCGCTTCAAACGTGAATGCGACTTGGGATCACATCAATCCTCCCCCGACCTCTCGTCGGGAGGTACCTGACTGTACTTGTGGTAGAGGAGAAAGAGTTGAAAAGTTGCCTTCTTTAGTACCTCACGCAGTTCCCCCTTCTCGACGTGGCACCGTTCGCTGAGTTCCTCCTTTGTTTCCAACCTGCGGCGGTGGCGGCGATGGTGGCGATGGCAGGGAGGTGCAGCCGCTTGTTCCTGTTCCTGTTCCTGTCCCTGTCCCTATTCCTGCTCTCCTTCTTCACACTCGCTCCCGGTTTGCCTCCATTGCTGCACTTAGTGCTTCTCCTTCTGTTCGCAATATCGCCGACGTCTTGCCCGGAAAGAAGTATGCGTCGTAACGACGGGTGGTTTCTGCCATGACATTCTTTCCCGAGTCAACTGGATGGTGTTGTTTTAGTATGGGTGATAGGTACTGTGACAACGAAAAACATAGTTTTAGTGCTGGGCTGCGAAATGTGGTTTGTTAATCCGTGGTAGAAACTAGAAAGGTACAGTTGTTTAGATGGAGCATGGAAAACTTCATTTAAAAAATAAGTCGGGGGGAATAAAAGTACAAGAGAAAGGGGAAGACAAAGAAGTTCTACATGGTACAAGAAACTGAAGAAGATTATGAATGATAGTACTACATGGAAAACAAAAGAATTAAGAAACAGAAAAAACGAACAAAGAAAAAAAGGCATCCAAGAGAGCTCAATAGTCGTCCTCATCGTCATTGGTGTACAATCCACGTCCCGCAGTCGTGAACAGGGGGCTATGAAGCCCTAGCATCAGCATGATCCGCTGATAGGTCGCCGAATGCCTGATGTAACGACCAGCAACGCGCTTCCACTTCTTGCCGTGCTTGTACAGCTTCAGAACTACAACCAATGAGACGCCGACCGCAAGACCAATCTCAATGCTGAACACAATCACCGAAATAAATGTTGTCCACCAGATCAGAGCCTCCTTGCGACGACCTACTCGCCATAGCCGCTTGACCTCCATAGTATGTGCAAACAACGACTTGAGCGCCACCAGCACAATGGCTGCTAAGACCGTGTTGGGGATCCGCTCAAACAGCACCGTGAACCATAGCAGACTCATCAGAACCATAAAGGCTCCGACCAACGACGCCAGGGGGGTCTTGGCGCCTAATTGGGCAAGAATCGCCGACCGCGTCAAGTTTCCTGTACATGCGTATCCACCAAAGCAGGATCCGACCAAAGAACTGACGCCGAGTGCCAGCATCTCCTGATCCGCATCAATCTCGTATCCGTATTCGCGTCCAAAATGCTTCGCGACCGAGAGCGACATCACATAGACGACCATCGCCATCAGGATTCCGGGCCAGAGCAACGGCGCCCAGTCCTGAGTCGACCAGGCGCCTATGTACGCTCCTGGCCACGCCATCGTCGGAAGCCCGGTAGGGATCATGCCAATGACCTCGATCCCGTACTCGGTATCCAAGTTGAAAATCACCGTGGCAACAGTAAATACCACGACACAGATGAAAATGTCGGGAATCGGCAGGTGCACTTGTGGGATACAGGCCCTCCAGTAAGGCTGTTGGGTCGACTCCGTGCGCTGAAATTCCTGAAGGCGTTCTGGGTGATAACGTCGTGTTCTCGCATAACGCGTAGAGCTGGCACTCGAACTCGCATAGCCCTCCTCAGCCTCACTCGCTGTTCCGGCGCCATTGCCACCGTTGTTGACAGACAAGAGCGGTTCGCGCTCGTCATTGAGCAAGTCCATGGATCCACGCTGCTTCTGCTGCTGTTGCTGTTGGTGACTCTGAAGATGGGGCTGAGGATGATGTTGAGGTCCGCGCGAGGTTGGTGATGGCGTTGTAGACCTAAAGGTCTTGTATCGGCGGACCTTGGGCGAGGGCTTGTGAGACCGTGATCCACGATCATGGCGATGTCCGACTGCTCCTGTATTGGTCAATCCGGCAACTCTAGGACTCGTAGGGCTGTGGAGTTGTGGAGATGTCGACCCGCTTGGCAGAATAAGAACAGAACGGGTTCCATCGGCTCCCGAACGAGAGTTTGGAGGCGAAAAGTGGGTAGGCAGCTTTAGGTTGGGAAGCACTGGCTGATCTTCGTGAGGGTTGGGCCCAAAGTTGGGTGACCATCCTGGACTGCAGCTGTCATAGTCGAGGCAGGGCGCCTGCAACGCCACATCCTGTGCTGTCAATAGCGCCTGATCAGACACTGCTCGAGGAACAATGACACTTTCCCGACGCTGACCGGGTCGCCTCGTGTTGCTAGTGACTCTCGGTAAGCGTTGAGAGTTGAGTCGATCCGTGTTCTGAGTTGATCCATTGCTGCTTGGTCGGTAAGCCTGTTGAGAGTAAGAGGATCCAGAGTTGGGAGCAGAATACGAGAGAACGGACGGATGTCCTGGTACGGAAGGAGAAGCCAGTGCAACCGAGGGGGCGGGTGACGATGAGTACAATGGCACCAAGTCAGTGTCAGACCTCCTTCGCCAGTATTCAATCCGCTGCAGAATATACATAAAGATCATGGCGGCCAGACCCATCGCCAGCGAGGGCCAGACAGTGTCCTGCCAGAAATGTTGGACAATCCAAATCCAATTCCTGATCATGCCGAATACCCCGCCTTCTCGTGGAGGTTTCATCCCCAGCCAGTGCCTCAATTGGTGAGTTCCGATATGAAAGGCTGAGGCAGTGTTGAATCCAGAGACCAGGGCGGTAGGTAAAAGATGTCGAGAAGTCCAGCGCCCCAGTCGCGCCATACTCAATAAAATCTGGACCCCGCCGACGACGGCGGTCAACATGAGACAAGTGGGGAGATACCGGCGTTGATATTCCCCGTCGGGTAGCAGGTCATCGACGAATCCCTGGTCAGAGAGGACCTTGTGGGCAAACTGGCCGAGAAGTAAGGAGGTGATAGCAAAGGTGCCTGTAGACATGTGCTTGCTAGTGCCGAGAACTGCATACAGTGCAGTAGGGACCAAGGAGGTGTAGAGGCCGTGGACAGCAGGCAGTGAGGCGAGCATTGCATACGCCATACTCTGAGGAATGATCACAGCGGAGATGGCTATACAAAAGATCAGGAAAGAGAGAAAGGAGCAATTAGCACAACCCTTGACTCTTTCATATGCCAAAATGACCCTTCTTTTCGTGCAACAAAAAGAAGGTTAAGTGCGATAAGGGAGTGATACTTACTCACGCCTGCAAAGAGATCTTGGGTGAGGTCATTTTTCCAATTGTATCCGGGGTTGCTCACCAACCAGGAGAGGATCGGTATCCTGCGACGCACAAATTGGCCCACTGCCGTCGAGCCTGCCTTGACTTTGGACTGCCATGGCTGGTCTTTGGGCATGGGTCCACTTGTACTGCTACTGTCATTGTTGTTGTTGTTGTTGTTGTTGTCGTTGTTGTTGACACCACGGGGTAAGGACGAACAGGAGAGGGAGGATCCAGACGACCGAAACGAGGCTGGTGACTGATCGCGTCCTATTGGAGGCGTGTTGGTGTTGTTCTTTTTGCGGCCATTATTATTGTTGGTGTAGTTGTCGTTGGCATTATGACAGCTAGCTGTACTACTGCTGTGTTGCAGACTGGAGAGGGACGACGGAGCTGTTCTCTGTTGTTGTGGTTGTTGTTGTGGGGCTGGTTGTGTCGTTGGAGTGGAGTGGGCAGGAGTGGAAGAGGAGTCGTCTACTGCGGACGAGGAAGGGAATGAGCCGTAGCTGTTGTTGTGATTGCGTCCCCGGTTGTGATCGGGCATGGGCATGGTTCTGTGTTTAAGCAGGCTTGTCGTTGTCTGTTTTTTGTTGTTTGTGTGTTTGTGTATTGTGCAAGACGCTTCCAGTTCATTAGATCATGAAGAGAAAAAGAAGGGTGGGTGTGGGAAGAAAAGCGGACTGGGTGTTGGGGGAGGATGCAAAAAGCAAAAAAAGAAGGAAGGCAAAGTGGAGTAGATGAGCAAAAAAGAACAATGAAAGAAAGAACACGTTAACGTTAGGAGAGAAAGAGAGAGAGGGAAGGAGTCGGAGGAAGGGAAGGGAAGGGAAGGGAAGGAGAGAGAGTGAGGAAAGAAGGTATGGAAGAAAAAGAAAAAAAATAAAAAAGGTGGAGTGGACAAAGAGGTAAACATGTAAGTAAGGCTTTGCCTTGGTATGGATGCCTAAAAAAGGGACGACGGGAAAAGAGAGATATGCAATGTGGGTACTGTGCATATTTGCATCAAGAAATGGAATAACCCTTCTGAGTGTCTGTGTGCGCCCATGGTATGCTCTGTGCTAGACATTCATTTCACTTCTGACCTTCTTAGCCTTGTGAGCCACAAGAGATTGAAAGAAGAGAGACCCTAAACATTTAGGGTCAGCCAGGCGATCACGCTTTGGAGTGCTCAGCCATCATGACGACTGCTCAGGCTCCTCTTCTTTACTTATCTTCTTTCTCCTTACTTTTCTTTTCTTTCGTTTCTACTCATCTCGTCGCCGCCCTCTCGTTTGCACCTGAGTGTATTGCCAGTTGACTCTTGCTTGTTGCCATTCAGGAACAAACAACATCCCTACTATCTTTCCGGTCCAATTCGGTTTGACTGACCTTGACCGACTGACTTTTCTCCTTCTTCCTCGTTCCTGTTCCCTTCTGTTCAATTCCATCGTGCCACCAGTAGATGAACGATGAGATCCCTTCCCTCCAAACACAACAAAAAGGCGACATGGACCAAGAGAGATCGATCTATCCAGGATTGCATTATCGGCGGCCTTTAGTATTTTTCACTCCGCCCAACAATGAAGTTTGGACTAGATGCGGCCAGTCAGAAGGAAATAGGAGTCATATCATCATTCGAACGAGCAGGAGACAAGAAAAGAGATCTGCACCAGTCTGTATTCAAACACAGAACACGAGAAGTGACAAACAGACATTCATTGACACCAGGGAGGAAATGATAACGGAAAATGACGACTTCTTCTGCCACTCCTGTGACCCCAAAGATCCTTTTCAAGATACGCCACCAACATTGGTTTTCTTTTATCCTTTCTTCGTTCTTACACACACACGCATACACACGCCAACTTCCAATCGTGCTAACCTTAACCTCATTATCAAGTGCTGTGGCCACCGAGCTATTTTCCACAGCCAATGCCATTCTTCGCATTCACTTTTCTTGAAGCATACGAAAAAAAAAACTTTCATTGAAAATTGTTGGTGACCTCGTGTGCGATCGTGATGTGGTGGAGATGATATCCGGCACCGGTATTTTCAGAAGAGGGATGTCTCTAATGCTGATGTAGAGTTGTTTATTTCCAAAGTTGCTTGTCTGCCGTGCTGCTTTTCATTTTTGATGTTGTCCTGACAAGGGTCCATTGTCCAGAAACGGTGGCGATTTGATGAAGAGTCGAGCGGACGATAGGCGGTCGCATTTTCGCTCAGCGATATCGGAGGCGGAGTCGACTTGACCAGCACGCTCCCATAGCCACTTTCGATCTTGAAGAACCTCGGCAATATCCCATTTTCGAAGACGCATCCTTTCAGCTGCGCTGTCGTCCAGCCCGATCCACGATTTTCCAACTTCTTCCAGCGGCGATCGGTACAACAACCAAACACGAACCACGATGGCTTGGTATGTGGAGTGAGATCGCCGATCCAACGCCTCAGAATCCGTTCCTCGATCGGAACGTCTGACCTCAACGCGTTTCAACGTGTTACTGGAGTGCTTTTGATATGTTGCCGTCCGTGTTGATGGTTGAGATGTGTCGAATTGAAACCATTTTTTCCCAAACGGCGGCGGTGGATGCTGTATTATTGGTGTTCACAGGATATGTGTTGTCCTGACCGAGCGATTTCAAGGTGTGCAGAGCTGGGAGATACAGAATGCACCAGTGCATAGGCGACGGGGCCTGATAAAAAAGACCAACCAAGATCCAGCAGATACGGTCAGATTCGCTTCCTAACAACTGACCCCTTTGAACAGGGTACAGTTTAGGACACGCCTTGATCACGTCGCAGCGCCCCATGTCCTTCAGAGACAGGGCTCCAAAGTCTCTTGTGGAGGTGACAACGACTCCTTGATTTCTTAGCGCCCTTTTGACAGCTTTATACCAACTCCTACAGCCGGCATTCATCATCTCACAGCAACCTTTCACGACTCAATCCTGCCATGATATAGATTGGTACCACCTAGTAATGCGCATAGACTCGCCCTTCACCAACTATGGTGACTAGCAGACCATACGCCTATCAATTGACTCCTCGTTCCTCTCAGCAGAACCCGATAAGGTCCATAGCCGCCAACCGACCGGATATCCAGTAAGTAAAACGACTTGGGTCATGCCAATGAGTGAGCTGTTGGTGCCGATATTCAGAAGGAGGATGTCCATTAGCGAATGTTATTTCTCAGTTCAGTTGCTTGCAGGCATAAGCATCCCTTTATTTGCTTCCTTCTGCCCTCTTAGTTCATTTGTTCCCCCTTGGACTTGGGCAGTTATGTTAACCAGCGCATTTGTTTTCCAAGGACTAAATCCTCAAGGCAATTGTTCAATGCGGGTTGAGTTTCAAGCATTATTCTTGGTTCTGTGCCTGAAATATTGGGATGTTTTAGATCAATCGATCAATCGATAGGAGCATGGACACCATGAGACAGTAAGCAGTAAGCAGCTCGTTTGGTTGAAGCGCCACCATTAACTTTTCTTTGCTGCCCTTGATTTTATCTTGGCTGACAAAAAAGGCGGTCTCTCCTTTTTTTGCCTCCTTTAATTTTGACCCCAACCACTCGACTTTTCTCTCATCATCTCTTCACTTTACGCTTGCCTTCTCAGTCATCATACAACCCTCTCCACTTCACATCACTCGGCATTACTTTTTTTACATAGACGGCATCGACTCTTCAGGACTAGGACCGCTCAAAGAGGCAATTCATGAGGCTTCGACTAACTTCCCGCAGCACAATGGAGAGCAGGCTACGCCATAAAGATGGGTGCACTCAATCGTGTTTCTCTAGCATGCACACCGAATGATTGCCAAGTAAGTCCTCCTAGCTTGCTTGACTACTTTGAGGATTAACCCCAATCGTATGTCGTATACTGGTTCCAATCATTCTCCAAAATGAACTATGTTGGCGGTGTATTCTTGGAGGTGATCTGTGCTGGTGAGGGCTCGCTCTATTCGCTTCGTACTAGGTTCATAACTGAGCCGTACTCTTATGGACTATAGAGGTCGCGTCCTCCTACTCTCCTAGCCTAGCATATGTGCTGTTGGGTTCTGTCACGCAAACACTTTATGGGAATACTGTGGGCTACCTTCTTGTAACTTCGAGGACTATGTTTGACAAGTGCATACTAACCCCTCTTTTTTGTTATTGAGGTCTGCGAGCAGAGAGTCGGACCAAGACAAGAACGACATTATCAACAAGAACAAGAGCAGGAGCATGTCGTCAGGAACGGCACCATGGGCGTATTGTTGATCAGAGACAACGGCAGGGAGTATTGTCCGACAGGGAGGATTTAACAACAATGTCATTACCGTTGCGAATAATGGGCGAATGAGACTTGCTACTTGGTCTTGATCACTGTTCTCAGAGTCTGGATCACCAAGGTTATTAGTCTCAGATTCAAATCAGATGTTCAGTTCGAGGTAAGTAAGAAGACGCCAGATTGATCACTGGTACAGTAAAGATTTGTTGCAGCATGGGGTAAGAGCTGCGTCCTACTGAGACTACCAAGGCTACGAATAGCTGCAGAAAACGACGTTTTAATAAGACATGAAACGAAACTACATGTATGTACATGGCACGCTGTGACAATTGGCAAAACAGTTATGAATTGTGAAAATAAAACGCATTATCGACTCGCGAAAATACCGGTAGATAAATCAACATAAACTGGACATTTGGGTTGTCGACCTCCATTCTCTTGTTTCGAAAAAACATGATGTGGAATGCGGACGTCTGGTTGCAAAGAACGATCCATCCTTTTAATTCCTTGCAACAAGAAGTCTCCACACGAAACAAACACTTGTTAAAGATTCAAGCCTCCGACATGCCTCTCTCGCCCACCTGTGTGAATGATCGGTGGCGTCCAAGCAGAAGGCTCGATGAAGCCCAGCTGGATGCCCTGCATCTTTTGTCAAGGCTGGGATATGTATTTTGGCAATGACCAACAAGCAATATTAGGGGGTTTCAAACCTATTATTGTGTGTTGAAGCAGCCACAGGCGGCATCGTTTGTCCTGTGTAACGGACACAAATGGAAAGGAGAGAGGGACAAGATGGGAGAGAATGGCGCTGATTAGACTTTCTTCTTCGCTTTCAAAAACCCTCGCCATCCTGTTTTTACATCCGCTCACTCGCCAACACACTTTCCCATCGCGCATTCATCATCCCCATCGACACCTGAGCAACAAGTTGCTCTCTCTTTCACCCTCAAAAGCAACATACATTTTTCTCCGCGCCTTCCCTTAGTGCCAACAACTCACAATTCTCTTTTATCTCAGCCAATTGCCCCACTCGTCTTTTGGTCCACTTCCTCTCCCTTTCGGACTACATCGCATCCAGCAGCTGCAAACACATACACCTCCGTGACGGTCGAGTAAGACAGGTATCCTCGTCAGCGCTGCTTGTTTTCGTGTTAACGAGTGCAAGGCACTTTCTAACTGAAAAATGTAAAAACGATTAGGCGTCTACTGAATTCTCTGTACGAACACTACTACCATTGACACAAGGACAAGCGATAATACTAGCACGCAGAGAACTAGTAAGTACCGCATGGAGTTGGCATAATGATAGTTCAGCAAGGGGTCATATCTATTTGTCCTTGTTATTGAAAAAAAGAATGAAGCGCTGTATATGCCAATAAATAGAAATGATTTCCTCTTTACCTCTTCGTTCCTGGTAGCCTTGGCCTCCACTCTCTACCATTTGGACCCTCCACTAATCAACACGGTCCCAAATCGGTACCTTTGGCCCAGACGCACAGGCAAATCAAAGTAAGAAATAATACAACAGAGGGCTCAGAGTAATTCCTCACCAAGGTGCAATTGATGTGGTGACTTAGCAATGTCTTCTAACATGTTTTCCTCTTGAACGACTGACAATGGCACTTGTAGACCTCCCTATTACCATGACAGTTCATACCATCAACGTTTTCCTCGAGAACGTACCCAAACCGACCCTTAAGACTGACTTGCCTGGCCCCAAGCAACGCATCGAGAGGACCGAGCAGCTGATCTATTGCAACACCTTGTTGCTTCAGGATTCGCTTTCTCTCTCCTTGTCTGAGCAGGAACCCACTCTTGACAAGACTGAGCTGGCCTGGCTGGCAGAGATCATGGAAGACCCGATAGAGCGAGATCGTCTACAATGGCAGGCAAATTTTATGGTGGAGTCGTTCATCCAGGAGGACAAGGACTCTACCAAGATCGCCGAGATCGTCGCCCTTGGACCCATCTTGCAGCAGGAACCCTACCGCAAGTTGGTGTCTTCTTTCATCAAGGAGTTTGGCGATTCTCGCCTTCTGGACGTTGATGTGCTCCAGGGCCTTGTCCAGCTGGTACAGTCTTCCTCACCAGGGTACCTTGTCTCTGATGACGTGATCATGATCCTCGGTCTTCTCAGGATCCGTTTGCAAGACCCCCACCAGCAGTCATCTGAGCACCCTCACCATATCCATCTGGCCATCTCCAGGGTTCTCGATGTCATCGCCGACCACAAGGTCCAGGACGTAGACAGGGTCCTTGAACATGAACCCTTGTTTGAGATCTTGTCTGGACTGAAGGGCAGCTCCGACCCCTACCTCATGTACCAGACCTGCTACGCGTTTCAGGCTCTCCAGTATGTGCCAGATAACGAGACCGTTCTGCAAGCCGTTTTGCGACGTTCACGAAGTGTGGTGGATGGTGTGGTCAAGATATCGGCACTGGGCAAACTGGATCTTGGGTTGGTGCTCGAGGGTCTTGAGAATCTGCAGGAGGCACTGGGCGGCATGATAGGGGTTGCTGGCACTGTGTACGAAGGAGTGAGTTCCCTAATGGAGAGCGGTCGAGGGGTCATGGAGAGTTTGAAGGAGAGATTCAAAGCCGGCGAGAAGAGACCTTGGTATGCCGCCATCCGTGCCGCCTACGCGTTTGCGCAAGCAGGCCAGCTGAGGGATCTGAATCATCTGATCTGCGAAGCCCCCTGTCGTCGCGATCCCTTGTTTCAGTGGGGTATCTGCCAGTCGCTGGGCGAAATTGCGGTCGATCCTCTGTGGTCAGTTGCCTCTCGCCAGCAAGCAATCGTTCTTCTTGGCCGTCTCTACAACGAGGATCCAGACTGGGGCGTGGATGAGAGTGTCAAGGCGTGGATGCTAACCATCGCCGACAGGCTGATATCCATCAACGACCTGGATGTTGCCGCCAGTGCTCGGATCCTGAAACAGGAGCTCGCCTCTGAGAACATTCCTATGATCCAGCTCCAGTGCCCACTGAGGTCTCGCCTGCCGACCCCAGCCAAGTCTCCGATCCTTGCAAAGGTCCAGAATATCTCTGACCTCGAGTACGATCTGCGCAACCTTCGATCGCTACAGCTCCATGATTATGAAGTACGAGGGGTTTACCTCCTTCCGCAGGCCAAGCCGTCCCTCCGGGCTATGGATGATGAGCTGTTCCCTCTGCTGGAGAAGGTGTTGGAGTTTCTTGCCAGTGACCGTCAAGTCATGTTGATTTTGGGAGACTCTGGTTCCGGCAAGTCATCATTCAATCGACACTTGGTGCACCTACTTTGGACAGAGTACAAGCGAGGTGGGCCCATTCCTCTGTTCATTAACCTGGCCTCTATCGACGATCCTCAGCGCGACATGGTCAGCAAGCAACTGCAGTACCTCAGGTTCTCGGACGAACAAATCTGTGAGCTCAGGCTTCGGCATCAGTTTATTCTCATTTGCGACGGTTACAATGAGGGCCAACTGGTCACCAACCTTCACTCTACCAACGAACTCAACCGGCCCGGACAATGGAACGCCAAGATGGTCATCAGCTGCAGGAACCAGTATCTCGGTCAGAACTACCGTTACCGCTTTGAACCTTATTCAGCTAATAGCAGGGTGCCCTCTGATCATGGACTCTTTGAGGAGGCTGTCATTGTCCCATTTTCCAGGACTCAGATCAAGGCGTATGTGGAGCAGTATGTTTGCCTCGAGCCACGTACCTGGACTACACAGGACTACATGGACAAGCTGACCTCTATCCCCAACCTCATGGAAATCGTCAAGAACCCTTTCCTTCTGACTCTTGCTATGGAAGCGCTGCCGAATATCACAGAGGGCATGAAGGATCTGTCGACTATCAAGATCATGCGTGTTCATCTGTACGACACGTTCATCAAGCATTGGCTGGGTGTCAACAAGATTCGGCTTCAAGAGATCCCATTGTCCAAGGAGAGTCGGAAAGCACTGGACCTACTTGTGGATATAGGATTTACTTCCTTAGGAATTGCCTATGCTACCAGACTGGCGTCGGCGATCTTCGAGCACCAGGGTGCCAACCCGGTGGTCCTGTATACGGACCTCAGGGACAGGGGGTCGTGGAAGGCCGAGTTTTTTGGCTCTGATCCTATGGCCCGAATGCTGCGAGAAGCGAGCCCGCTGACCCGCTCTGGAAGTTCTTACCGTTTCGTGCATCGGTCAATGCTCGAGTATTTTTTCTCTCTTGGTGTCTTTGATCCCAGTAACTTTGGCGAAAAAGACGAATTTTCTCCGCAGTCCGATGTTGGGTCCACTAGCCCTGCGTTGTTCGATGCCGAAGGTCCCTTGTTCAGGCACAGCCTCCTCGCCGAGCCATCGATCATCCAGTTCTTATGTGACCGAGTACAGCAAAGCACCTCCTTCAAACAACAACTTTTTGCGATCATCAAGGAGTCAAAATCAAACCTTGCAGCAAGTCGAGCAGCAGCCAATGCCGTGACTATCCTGTTCAAGTCTGGTGTTCGACTATGTAGTGTTGATATGCGAGGGGTTCGGATTCCTGGGGCGGATCTGTCAGGGGGTGAGCTCGACTCGGTTCAGTTTCAAGGTGCCGATATGACCGGGGTCAATCTTTCCCGGAGCTGGCTGAGGCGGGCGGATTTCAGCAACGCGGTCATGTCCGGAGTGCAGTTTGGAGAGTGGCCGTTTTTCAGTGTCAATAAGGAACCGACAGCCTGCGCCTACTCGAACGACGGAGATACCCTTGCTGTTGGGCTGGCTTCTGGTGATATCAACGTTTATGACACCGCAACATGGACAGGAACCCGTACCCTCTCTGGCCACTTCAAGGCTGTAACAGGGCTTTCGTATCATCCGACCAGCCACCAACTTTTCTCAGCAAGCAGAGATGGCACGTTGAGAGTTTGGGATCTTAAGTCTGGCATATCTGAGCAAACCTTTGGCGGACAGGGGGGTGTCGTTTCAAGCATAGCGGTTTCTCCTGATGGTCAGCAGCTGGCAACGGGTGGAGCTGACAAACTGGTCAGACTGTGGTTCTCCGACAACTTATCACCGGTCCGCTGCCTTCCAGGACACATTGATGCGGTAAAATGTCTAGCATATTCACCTAACGGCTCCGTGTTGGCTTCGGGCAGCAGCGACAAAACAGTTCGACTTTGGGACACCAGCAGCGGCAACAATACTTCCACCTTGAAGGGCCACACCGACAGCATTTCCAGCATTGCCTACTCGCCGAATGGACAGTATTTTGTTTCCGGCAGCAATGACACCACCGTGCGTATATGGGACGTGTCAACTGAAAAGTCACTCGCCATGCTTACCAACCACACTGACCGCGTCTCATCTGTCGCCTATTCTCCAGACGGCCAATACATCGTGTCTGCCAGCTGGGACATGACCGTGCGCATTTGGCGTTCGTTTTCACCCTTCAATCAAGTATCCGTCCTACGAGGTGCAACCAAGATCATCACTGGCCTCTCCGTCTCCCCAGCTGGTCTTGCCCAAGTCGCCGCATGCTGCAACGACAAAACCATCCGTTTGTGGGACGCCACTCCAAGTGTCTCGGATACTTTCGCGAGTGAAACAGTGACTGAGTCGAACGGACACATCGGAGGAGTCTCAGCAATAGCCATCTCGCATGACGGACAGCAGCTCGCTACTGGTGGCTATGACACGACAATCCGGACATGCGACCCTACCACTGGATACTCCCTAGGTTCCCCTCTTCGCGCTCACAAAAGATCGGTCGCCGCGGTTGCCTTCTCTCCGACTGCCCAGGTCCTAGCCTCCGCTAGTTGGGATCATACCATTCATCTTTGGGACACTGAGCGGCGCGAGCTGAGCAAGGTCATCCCTGGTCATCTGGCCAGCGTTACCAGCCTGACTTTTCTCCCTTCTGGACATCTCATCTCGGGAAGCGCCGATTGGACCATTCGTCTTTGGAACCTGGGTTTGGACACCCAAGTGCCCATTCGTACCTTCAAAGGTCACACTCAAGGCGTTCGGAGCGTGGCGTGTTCGCCCGATGGATCTCGGATCGCATCTGCCAGCGAAGACAGGACCGTGCGAGTTTGGACTTTGGCTGCTCATTCAGAGGAGAGTGAAGTCGTCTTCAAGGGCCATAGCGATGTCGTGGCATGTGTGACGTTTTCACCCGTGGGGCGCCAGATCGCATCCGCCAGCGGGGACAAGAGCATTCTACTTTGGAACATAGAAGGAGGTGGGTTGAAACAGACGGTTCTTCTTGGCCATAAGGCAGGAGTTCAATGTGTTGCGTATTCTGCTTGTGGCCAGTACCTTGCATCAGGAAGCGAAGACAACTCGGTCATCGTCTGGAGTGTCTCGTCAGGCAGTATAATGACGGTTATCGGAGACGTATTTGGTGGCATCTCAAGCATAGTCTGGAAGCAGGGTGGGCTGGAGCTGATTGTGGGTTGTAAGGATGGCTCTGTTCGTGCCTGGAGGATGTTGGTTGAGGAAGATAGGGCTCAAGTCCAGTTGGAATGGGGCACAGGGTTCGGATACCTTGTTGCAACTGACGCCTGTATCGATGGAGTGTTGAAGCTGGGAAATGTTGCGTTTAAGCTGTTAAAGCAGCGGTGTGCTGTTGGAGAAATGTCGAGAGAGGACAACGATAATGAAATTGAAGAGTAGATATATTTCTTGAGGCGAGTGAATACAAAAATACAAGAAAGATCCATGAGGAAGCACAACCACAAGATGTGAGAGCCCAGACTGTTTAAAAAACGGCGTAGGATTTGGCAACGCTTGGGCAAGGAACAAACGGAAAAGAGAAAGAAAGAGAGCAAAAACGCCCACACCCTCTCTTTTTTTCTTTCCTTCATCCTTTTCGCCGTCTTCATTCTTGTTGACATCATCCTTCCCTTTCTCGCCTCTTTTCCCCATCTCCCCATTCACACATTCACCACTCGCCTTTCAATCCAACGACATCAACGAGACCCGCTGCCTTGAATCGTTTTCTCGTCTTTTTGCCTGTGAATCACTCCGTCACTCCGTCACTCTTCACTCGCCCTCTCAGCAGCTGTGCTAAAGCCACGGAAAGGTACACGGAAAGAGCTACTTTCGCTCATACATTGCGAGACATCGTTGCGGGGAAAAGAAAGAAAAGCTAACCGCCCTGTATAGCCCAAGTAGGCAGTCGTACCTTTTTTCTGTGTCGAGTGTACTGAGTGTTCAAAAAGCCGCAGTGTCCACAAGTCCTCCTACACTTCCTACGCTTCTGTTCTCGAGTCCCCACGGCAACCTAGCAAGTTCACGGTACATATCTCAAGTTAAAAGCCTGCTCGTATCTTATTGCTGGATGACCAGTTGTTGTTCTCATGCAAGGCCGTTGGAACTTCATTCCTATCAGATGTTATTGCTGCCATTCAAGTGCCAAGTCTCTCATCACAGCTTTTAATTTGGTCCGCTGTGTATAGCTTCGGTCATGTCTTCACCGCTTCCTAAGGACTCGTCTTCGCGACCTGCATCTGCTCTGCTAGAACCAGGGCAGTACTTGCACCCTTCGACAAATAAACGTCATTCAAGCGTGGATAACGTCCAGGATGAAAAAGGATCTAAGAACGATGCCATGTCGTTCTCCTCTTCTCGTTCAACAAAGTCAATGTTAAGTCGTTTCAAGAAAGCCTCGCGCGTTTTCCAAGGTGGCTCGAAAGAACAGAACTCTGAGACCACACCGCCCACCACAGCCGCGACTGCACCGACACCATCTACCACAACAGCATCTTCACCAACCGCTATGGCAACCTCCATTCTAGCTATCTCGACAAAACTTACATTGGGAGTCATTGCTCCGCCTAACGATTCTGTACACCAAGTCGAGATCGTGACTACTGAAGTCGAGCCCGCCCATGTATCATTGGATTCACGCCCCGCTTCTCATTCCAGCATGTCAAACAATGAAAAAACGTCGTCAGATCATGCCACCATCCCTCCATCTAATGCCGCCGTTCCTGCATCCAATACCGCCACCGCCACTGCAGCAGGCACAACCAACTTCACAACCGCTACCCCAGTTGCTCAATCGTCTTCAGATCAGAGCCCTTCGGTAGCTCTGCTCCGCAATGACATCTTCCCCCAGAATATTGACGTACCGTCGCCCAAGGTCTCTCTGCCAAGGATCCGAGGCCGAGTTGAATCTACTCCCCAGCTTGCCTTCCTCATTAGCCTATTACGCGCTGCTTCTTCATCTCACACTTCCAGCGTGGACAATGGTGGCACAGCTTCCGCTCCCCAGGATACCCTCATCGACGCTGCCTATCGCGACTGGGTCAAGACAACAACGCAACATTTAATCGAAAAGGACTACATTGTAACGCTGCCGTCAAAGCTAGTGGTGGCGTTCATTACTGATGCCAGCAAGAATTCGACGGCCATCAATGAAATTGTTCTTCTCGGACCCGTTCTGGAGCGGGAGGATTATCGCACCCTTCTCAGATGCTTCATCAAAGAGTTTGAGTCCCGCATTTTAGACCTCGAGTTGCTTCAAGGTCTGATCCATCTTGTTCAGTCCGCCTCTCCTGGGTTCCTTGATTCCGACGACTTGGTCGACATTCTCACCCCTATTTGCACTCGCCTGCAGGGTGTTCACCAGAAGTCCTCGGTCCATCCCTACCATCTTACTCTGGCAGTGTCAAGAATCCTAGATGTCATGGCGAAACTCAAAGTCGAGGACTTGGAGCGGATCAGCATTCACGAGCCGCTCTCTGTATTCTTGCGTGGAATGAAGGACAGCTCGGACCCTTACCTCATGTACCAAGCTTGCTACGCGTTTCAGGCTCTGCAGTATGTACCTGATGACGAGACAGCCCTGGAGGCCTTTCTGAGACATTCGACAGGTTTGGTGGACGGCCTAATCAAGATATCAGGCTTAGTCCAGCTCAACTTTGGAGGATTCCTGGAGGGGGTCAAGGAAGGTCAGAAGGTGATCGAAGAAGCGGCCAGTACGATCAAGTCAGCGTTCGAGGGAGTCCTATCGCTGTTTGAGAGCGGGAGAGGGGTAGTCGATAGTGTTAGGGAGGGTCTTGGATCTGGACACAAGCGTCTGTGGTATTTAGCGGTTCGTGGTGCAACAATACTTGTTCGAGAAGGTCGACTCGCGGAGCTCAACAAATTGATCGTTGAGGCGCCTTGCCGCCGAAATCCCTTGTTCCAAATGGGCATTTGCCAGCTGCTTGGAGAGATTGTGGTCGATGAGACCTGGGATGTTGTTACCCGCAAGCAAGCCGTCGATTTTATTGGAGTGCTCTATCGAGACGATCGAGACTGGGGTCGAGACAAGAGCGTCAAGCAGTGGATGTGGATTATTCTCTGCCGAATCTCCAAAGTGCAGGACCAAGCCGTCAAGAATCACGCGTCTGTTTTGGTGCGCAACTTCAGAGTGAATGGGTGCTCCGAATTGCCGGGCGAGTCTCCCTTACGGCCCCGACTTACCCCACCCAAATCTTACCCGCTTCTTAACCGAGTTCAAAAGATCCCCGAGGTTGAGAAGGACTTGCACGAAGTGGCGCTCGCACAGCTGAGTCACCACTGGGATCACCAACTCTACGTGTATATACCACCACAGGTCAAGGCCAGTGTTGACGCTGCGGATAGCGATCATTCTCCATTGATGGAAGAGGTCATGACCTTCTTGAAGGGCGAGCGGGAAGTGTTGTTGCTAAGGGGAGTTTCGGGAGCTGGCAAGACGACATTCAACCACAAGCTGGCATATGATCTGTGGACGGAATACACAACTGGATGTCCCGGAGGACGCATTCCGCTTTTCATCAACCTTCCAGAATCCAAGAAACCGGACGAGGATATGATCGCGGAGAAGCTCAGATCGCTCGACTTCAGCAACGCACAAATCAAAGAGCTGAAACTAACCCGCGAGTTCATTTTGATCTGCGACGGATACGATGAACGACAACTCCTCGGCGTCAACCTCCACACTGGCAACGGTTTTTACGGCCCTGGGCGCTGGAAGGCAAAGCTTATTGTCAGCTGCCGGAGTCAGTACCTCCCAAGGGACTACCTCTTCGACTTCCAGCCAAAACCCAAGAGAAATCCCCCTCGCACCTCCGCGGAGCTCTACCAAGAGGCTGTCATTATACCGTTCACGGAGGATCAGATCGAGGAGTACGTCAAGGAGTTTGTGGTTCTTCCAGATGACCAAGTCCTGCTTGCGGATCGACCGAAATGGACGGTGGATGAGTACATGACAAGATTTAGGGATATCCCGAACTTGATGGACTTGGTCGGCAACCCTTTTCTCCTGTCAGTGTCGTTGCAAGTCCTGCATCTGGTCATTGGCGACACCCAGGATCTGAGGACGATTCAAGTCACCGGCGTTCAACTGTACGACAAATTTGTTGAGAAATGGATGGAGCGCGGTCAGAAACGTCTTCGGGAAAACCAACACCTCCCTTCCGACCAAAGGGCAGCATTACAATCATTGAGCAACGACTACACCACCAGTTTCAGTCGACACGCCATCAAATACATGAAGGATCTGGCAACATCGGTGTTTGAGAAGCAGGAGCAGGCAGGAAACCCGACCATCGAATATTCTCAGCACGCCGAAAGGGGTACATGGAAAGCCAAATTTTTCGGCGACGGCGCCGAGATCAGTGTGCTCCGGCAGGCGAGCCCCATTGTCGGAACAGGGACCCAATTTCAACTCCTCCATCGATCCATGCTCGAGTACTTTTACTCACTCGACTTTTTCGATCCTGGAGAGACCAAGAAGACCGACAACCACGGCATCCCCAGCTACGAGGCTCTCCTTGATTCTTTCAGGACACACAAGATGACCAAGAGGTCTATTGTTGGTGAGCCTTCGGTCGTCCAATTTCTTGGCGAGCGCGCGCGGACAGATCCGGATTGGAAGCAGATGCTTCTCGTCTTGATGGATACAATGGAAACGGATGTCGAGTCGATTCAGGGGGCCAACAATGCCATCGCCATCTTGCTTGACGCTGGTATTCCTATCAATGGCGTTGACTTGCGCACCCTTCGACCCCAGTGGTACTCATCAACCTAGTGCCATAATTTATACACCATAGCCGCAAGTAGCTATTATACTCTTCTTTTATTGTCTTGATTAACATACCTTTCCTGCATTTCCTGTTTTTTTGGGCGCGGTTCCCCACTTCCTTCCATGAAAAGTTGCGGACAAACTCCAAGGTGGCTGCTCTCGGAGCCCTGAACCAGTCTTCATTTCCAGCGCCTTTTTGAGCCTCGATCCTGCTGCACGCTCTTGGGACATTTTACCCATACTGTCAGATCTGGCTGGGGCTTTCTTGTAAAGACCTCAAGTGACCGCTAAACCAGGCGACGGCAGAGAGAGAAAATATAGTGGTGGTCTTAAGCTGATCGAGGTGGCGGCGCTGATCGGGGTGGTCGCCACGGAAGTGGGCATCAGTTTCTTGAGGGAGGCGATGAAGACGGCCGTGTTGGTTTACATCCATTGTGAGCGATTCCTTGAGGTGTGTTGTTGATGGCGGTCGTTACTCCATGCTTGCTGGTGGGGGGATGATTCTGCTCCTGTTGGCGGTCAAATGGCGAAATGGTTAAGAAAGAAGACCAAAGAAAGAAAAAAAGTAGGGCCAAAGAAATAGCTATTGGTAAGTGGGGCTGGCTTGGCACCTGCAAAACGAAAAACAAGAGAGCAGTTGGTCAGACATTTTTTTTTATGCTTCATCAACAGAGTCGGGGACAATTAACCAACTCTAAAAACTCAGCCATCACATCAGTTCAGGTATCTGAAAAGTGCCAAGAAATAAGACCTTCAATCAATGATAGCCATTGCAAACTATGACAATACCACTCATCATTCTCAAAGGAAAAGAATAAATATCAAATTAAGTGTGTGTGTTGTCTTGGGGACGACAACCTTCCTCCCAACAAAAAATCTATGATCACATACCTGGCAGCACTATCCATCACCTTTCCACGCTAGTACACTTTGTACCGAGCGCCAATCACCAGAAGTGCTATGCATGTATCTAGTAATATCGGACTGGTGCAAGATAGGCACCAAATACCCGAATCTTCTCTAAATTCTATATTACACAATGAGAGTAGAAACAAGACGCGTCCTCTCTCTCTACTCGTCCTTGTTACGCGCCTAGCATCGCGTTTGTTCCTTCGCATGTCGATGATTGAGCACACCGAACGAAATGCTCTAGATTCAAACTTCGCGGTTCGTCACTCTCTCTCCTTCTCTTGCGCATTCATCTGCTTACTCCTCCTTTCTTGACCTTCTTCCTGGCCCGTTCACCTTGCTACAGCTAGCTTCTTAACTTGATCCCTCGTCCCCTTCCCCTTTGACCTCCTTGCTTTTCTTGTTCCTCGAAGAACACTTGTTTTCACTCACACGACCACACCGGACAAAACATAAACATCGTCCTTCACCTCCTGGTTTTTCATTAGACTATCCGACTATCTAGGTGAATTGGGAAACCAAAAAACGAAACCATTTCAAACTTGCAATTGTTTGTGGTCGGGTCGGTTATGTGTGTGACTTACAAGCCAAGCCCAGCATGGCATCATTACCGCGGTTCATCCTTCGTGAGGATTGGATCGCGTGAAAATAGTACGGAGAAGGGAGTGTAAAGTGTGGGGCTCCACAGTACACCCTTTTTCTTTCATTCCTCCCATTCAAAGCGCTGGAGAAATGCTTCGCGCTCGTTATTTTACCCGAGCAAAGAGAAACGAAAGGATTGTGTGAAATGAATGTGCACTTGCGTTGTTCCTTTTGTGCTCACTTTCTCATTTATTTGTTCTACCTCTTTGCCTTTTGTTTTTATCTCTTCCTTCATTACACCCTCTCGTTTTCTTCATTTTGAACATACTCATTTCATCTCTTTGCCACCTCGTTTCTCTTTCCTTTAAAGATCTTCCCTTTTCTCACCCCTCTCCTCTCTTTCACGTCCTCTTCAACCTCGACTTATCCCTCGTTGACCACAAGCAACCAAAGTCGGGAAAGCAGCAAACAACAACAAGAGCTTGCGACTTTTCCTTATCGTCGCCAAAAAAAACAACCACTTCACTTTCATTACGCACTGGCTCTGTGTCACCACCCGCTGTCCATTTTCTTCTTTTTTTCCCCTCCTCCTTGACACAACACCAACTGTTCTCTATCCTAGTCCTAACTTTGCCCTCCTCATACCACATCTCTTTCATTCACCCTTCTTCCTTCTCGTCTCTTCTCACCCATACCTTCTCACTCGGTCCAGATTGGGCCTAGCTCCTTTTTTTCTTTGTTCTTCCTTCTTCAACTCCCCCTGTTATTTTCGTGTCCACCTGTTAAGGTGCTAGGCCCAACTACCCTTTTCAAAGCTCAACTTGGGTAAGTTTTGTCATAGGGCTGTCCCTACAATTGGTCAATGTTGTGCATGTGCCTTTGTGTCTGTGGATCTTCCTTTCGTCAAATGTGGACAATGAGCGCAAAAAAGCCGGTTGTCTTGGCACAACAGCAAACAATGCCAACAGACACAGCCCATATACGCATCGACGCGTCATTTGAATTCAACGACGAAAGGAATCTTTTGATTACATTTCCTCGGAGTTGGAGAAGCTGTTGCAAACCCCCCTATCCATCTATCTGTCTATCTATCTATCCCCACCCCTGCTTGTTATTGTCCAGCAGCTCAACTCTGCTTCGACTCCTCTTCTTCTTCTTCCTTCTATTCCACCACACGCACATACACACCGTCTTTCTCCTTAATCTTCGACTTCGCAATGCGCCTTGTGCATTGTGACATTTTGATGTGTGTCTTTTTACCCGTCAGGCTTATGTACGCCGAAAAGCATAAAAAAAAAATCATGCTGAGGGACAACAGACAATGCAATGCTGTATACAATTGCAGTCATCGTGTAGGACAGTGAGTGTCAAAAGAATCAAACACCAACCAACGGTATGGCTAAAAACAGAACTTCCTCATCTTTCCTCGCTCACTCCCTGGATTTCAGGGCTAATTGGTGTGGTCAACGTTTACTTTTTTTTGTTGCTCTCGGGCTCGTCCTTTTTCTTCCTTCTTTGTCCTTGAAGGACGGCTCCCTTTCTCATACACCCACCCCTACAAGCCCCCCTTCTTCTTCAATTGACCCCCACTCCTATTTATTTTTTTTACATTCTCTCAAAGCTTTTCAGGGCGAGGTTACCCCCTCGTTTTTGGGGCTGGAATCTCGCCTCTCCTTTCCTTATCCTCTTGCACTTTACGCTCGCACCGCTACGGAACTGCTGAGCTGCGGAAAAATGGGCATTACGTAGTTTGAGTCTAGCTCACGTTGGAAGATTCATTGGACAATGTCCTCTTGCTTGATCAGTTTGACGCGTCACTGACTTTATATTTTCACGCGTCGCTGAATCAGCGTTTACCGAGAACCCTCCTCCCTTCTTTTTTCAGACCATCTTTTTCTTCACCTGATGTTCTGATCCGAAGCCAAGCAAAAAAAAAAAAAAAAAAAAAAAAAGAAAAGAAACAGAAAGAAAGGAAAGACGACATCTTTATTTACCTATTCCGCCGATTTTGGGATGATCCTCAGACCGTGTTCCTAATTCTTTCTGTGTCTGCACCCCCCCCCCCCCCCCCCTTTGTCCCTTGTCCCTTGTCCCTTTTCCTTTTTTTATTCGATTCTTGTTGGAATTCAACCGGCGGATAATATTCATTTCTTACTTGCGTACAATCAAGCTGTCTCCGTGAAAAACTATCAGAATCCGTCGAAACGAGGCGAGGCGGAGGTGAGCTCGAAACACCAACAAAAAAAAAAAAGGGAAGCCTCGTATCCGAGCCATTCATTATCTGAGAAATAGCGTGCTCGACTCCCTCTTCTCTGTCTCCAATCCCGTCCCTTGAGAACGAAATCACGGCCAGGCCTACATACGCACAAATATGGTGCATGGAGAAAAGAGCAGTGTAGGTAGCTGGGTAACGCATTGATAGATACAAAGAAGCACGATCGAGATCACCATGCAACACAAAGTTCACAAAGTTATTAATAATATCACTCCCACACAGACTAATGCCGAGGGGTGAATTTGGAAGGGGGTTTGAAAGGGACTAACAACAACAAAGCCTGAAGATCGATAAGAGTGTGAATAAAATTGAAGAGAATTAAATGACAAAGAGGGGGAGGAGAAGGATGAGGACAGGAGGATGAAGGAAAAGAGAAGAGCGAGCGAGGGGAATGCCAAGTAGAAAATTGGCTGAGGGCAAAGTAAAGGAACGGAAGAGGAAGGGGAGGGAGAAAGGTGTTGTGTGCCTGTGCTGTATGGTGTGATTTCTGAATGGTGTACAGGAAGTGTCATTGACCTGTCGCTGAAGGTTCTTGGAAGATGTGCGCCGATGGATTGGGCGACAGCCTGTTTTCAGCATCGGACGTGTCTCGCTGTGTTTTGTCCATTTATTCAACTACGGCCAGAGTACAAATAACCAGGGTGGTGCTCTCACTCATATATAAATGCGATTGCTCCAACCTCCTTTATTTTCTTTTTCACTTCTCCATCGCCTCTTCGTTTCTCTTGTCGTTATTTTCTATCGAGATGGATAGCAAGTGAATTGAATGCTCTCATTCCACTTATACTCCTTCGTTCGCCTCTCGTGCCATCCTCGTTTTTCATTATTCTTCTCCCCTTTTTGTTTCCCTTTTCTTCCCTTCTTGTTCCTGTCTCTTTCTTTCTCTTATCTTCGTTTTCTGACCTGGCTCAACCTCGACACGAAGCCAATATTTATTCTCTTTTCAACTGTCTCTCTTTTGTCTCCTTTCCACTCTCAATTGTAAGCAGTAAATAACACACTCTCTCCCTCGAGCGTGTATTCGTTCTTCCGGTGGCAAGCAGCGACTACATACGACTCATACCCATTACCACCCTAGAAGCCTTTCCTCCATCCACCATTGAACCTAATCGCCTTAATTTTCATCACCCGTTACGACCCTCTAATTGTATCATACCTCTCTGTCTCTCTTTGCGCACACACCACCTTCCCCCTACCCTACCTTACCTTTTAATCAAATACCTCTGTAGATCCTTTCACCGTCGCACAATCTAATAACAACAATGGCACAACAGCAGGAACGACAACATAGCCAGTATGATAAGCTAGAGTTTTGGTTAAAGTCGAGGTTGCACCAGCAGCAGCAAGGATACTTCCTTCTAAGGATGAACAAGACCTGCGAATCCTCCGGTACATCTCCATCTTTCTCACAATCATCATCGTCAACAACCCCCTCCTTGCCTTCTTCCCCCTCCACATCTGCTCCTCCCTCCTTCATCACCGCCTCTACTTCCATACTACTGCCAGCCTTCGGTTCTCGTTTTCTTCTTTGCTCAACATTTTCTTCCTTCTTTTCCACACGTTCCCTGCTTTCTTCTTCCTCCCCTCCTTTCCCGGCTCTCACAAAAACAGCATCATCATCGCCATTCAGGAACCCAACAACAACAGAACAACAACACCGCCGTAATAACCAAAGTCATCGAGACCAAGACGGCACACCCTCTTCGTCTTCTTCTTCGTCTCTGGATTCCAACCTTTTTAGTACCCCGTCAGCACCAATAACATTGAAACAAGCTACCATGGAGAACGACGCAGGAGTTATTGCTGTTGTCACATCGATAGTACCAGCACCAGCGCTAGCGTCGGAACAGAACGCATTTGCGGATTATTGGACAGCAGCGGCATCATCATCTTTTTACCTTGCAGCAGTGGCGGCAACAGGGGCACTAGAGGCTGCAAGATCTAAAACTACGGAGACGACATCATTGCGGCAACAACACTCGAATACCTCTTTATTCTCGTTCACATGTCTTTTGAGACTCTTGTTCCTCGTCATGACAACTCGACATACTTCTGCAACCCCCGCCCCTGCACCTGCACCTGCACCTGCACTACAGTCTTCAGAACCTTCACAACCAGCATCGGCAGAACAGAAAGTAATCCCTCCTCTTTCCGAACCTACTACTTCGAACCCACCACCCAATGCACCGGTCAAAACGAACGACCCTCCATCCCCAGCTCGAGTGGCTTCTGATGCTGCTGCTCCTCTACCGTCTCCTACATCCCCTTTGCCGCAATCTTTTCCTCATACACCCAATACTGTAGTCCCCGTCTCTCCACCTGCATCCACAGTCGGTCCTCCTCCACTTTCTACCATTACTACAACCACTTCATCCATACATTCGTCCTCCACAACAAACCATCACACATCCCTCACAAACCACCATACCGATAGCTCCCAGCCCTCAGGAACACCATACGGCACCATTGGTAGCAGCAACGAATCCAGCAACCGAATCATGTTGACCGTCTCCTTGGTCGTCGTCTTTGTGGTCTTGGCCGGGATGGGACTAGTCGTCTACTGTCTCTTCCGGAGACGCACTGCGAAACGACGGATGCATCTATTTGGTGGTAATGGGGGTAGTAAGAACGCTAGTGGGTCTTTGGACTCCTCAGCAGCAGCTGGGAACTCTGGGATCGGTAGTGGAGGGAAGAGAAAGTCGATGACAGCCCACCGACAGAGTACTATCACTCTCGGTGGGGGGAGCATCATCGGTACTGGTGGCAAGGGGGACCCGATGACGACGGCATTGGCAGAGATGCAGGAACAGCAGCGACGGATTTCGGATGGGGATATGAGCCGTGCTCTTCAGGCTATGACGGAGAAGCACCAGAACGCGTTGATGACAAGGAGGTCTAGTACTCTTAGCCTTGGAGGGTTGCACCATCATAACCATCATCAACATCATCTTCCGCAGAACCAACAACATCCCGGAAGTCGGGCTGTGAGTCCTAATCTGGGGCCTGCTAGACCGCATTCGGCGTTGGGTGGTGGGTACTGGAGTGGTAGCGGAGGACCGGCAGGCGGTGTGGACCCCACAGGCGAAGGGTCAAAGCGGGCAACCATGTCTGGTGGCAATACCGTGATTGGCAGTGGAGACTATGTCGCAGGACCATTGGAATCCTCACCCGACTTCCGTACAACCCTCTATGACGACCTTTACTACCCCTCCCCGCAGTTCCTTTACTCTTCCTCTGGTGGAGGCAGCAGTGGCGCCAACAGCAGCGAACAGCTCTTGCCACCGCATCATCATCATCATCACCCTCACTATTATAACAGTGGTCCCCCTTCGAGCGCGAATATGAGTCGGCGGTCTAGTCTCTCGCCTGGTGCGTATCCTACCCACTCACCTTCTGAGATGGCCGCCCAAGGTCAGAATCGTAGTCCAATTTTTAGGGCAAAGACGATTAGTACGAGCAGTGGACAAAGCTACCAGCAGCAGATGCAATACCAACAACTCTATCCTCCTCACGTTGGTTCGGGACCTCACAGGTCTACTCCTCCGCCTCACTCGTCTACACCGCCACCACACCTGAATCGCATGAGCGTCCCTCAGCCTCCTGCAACCATCGCATCCAGTTCTGACGACTCTTCCGAGACAGTCTCGAGCTACCTACCTCCCCAACAACAGCAAAAGCGTCCAGAAGGCGCTAGTGTCGGCGTCATTAGTAGCGACACGATCCCACGAACATCCTACCCTCTCGCAGACCCAACACTCGAACACCAGGAGAACCACCACCAGCCAAGGCGCCCCCATTCCATGTCCACGCTCCAAAACAACTCTTCCTTCATTTCACCCCACGGCGTGACAGTCGGGCTTGACAGATCCCGGTCCCCGCCCTTGATGAGTTCCAGCACGGGCAATCTCCTCGACCAATGCCCACAGCATCGAGCATCATACGACGGAAGTAGTCAGCTTATCATCCCGCCTTCGATCACCACCCGTCGCAGGTCCGCGATGCCCAGCGCCCTTGGATCCTCAGGAGGTGTAACCAGTCCAGGTGGTAATTACCCGTACCAGCAAGGATACTCCCAACAGCAACATCCGTACGGCGGTAATGGGCAGGAATATTTCCAAGATGGACAGCTGTACCCAATCTCTCCCAGATCATCCTCCCCCTACGGCTACGGTAATATACCCTACCAAGACCACCGCCCCAACCACTACCAATACGCACAACAACTCTCATCAACACAAATGAGCCGCGAACCTGACCACCAAGGGAAATCAGAACATACCCAAGATGGAGGAGCAGGCGTCGGTGTAGGTTCCAGCGTCAAGACCGCCTCATCCTCTTCATCCTCTTCCCCTGGCGGCACATCTAACACAGCCTCCACAGCTTCTACACCCACACCCACAAGTGTCAATCTGAACTCAGTGCGTCCCAAGAGCCCACCCCCACCGCAAGTCTGGCCCAGCCGATCCAACGTCAACGGCACCGGCAGCGGCCCTATCGTCCACATCGCTCCCGCCCTACCATCCTCGTCATCATCGTCTCGTGCCTCGGTAACAGCAGCAGCCACAGGGCTAACGATCCTGACACCTGTTGATCGCGAGAGTTCTTTGGCGGCAGACCTACACTTGACAGAAGTCCTTGACAGCCCAACCGACTCCTCTGCTCACTAGTCCATCCCAAAATATATATTTCCATAATAATTTAACTCGACAAACCCCTCCCCCTCCCCATGCGCATATATCGAAAAAAAATTGCCCCCATCCAGAAATACACATTTGCCCCCATTTTGCTTATTGTTCAGTTTCGGAAAATGCCTCCTCCCCCCCCCCATTAGAGAAAAACGAAGAGAGAGGGGGTGGTCGAGCTAGTTTTATTTTTTAGGATCGCGATGTGCAGCAGTGCGGGAGGCCTGGGCAGCAGCACGGACACTTTTTCTCTTGGCCCGGAAGCCATCATACCGCCTATCAATATCCTTGGTAGTCAGGTCGAATGATCCCATCCGCTTGAAGCACGCCTCCATTAGCTTGTGGCAGTCGATCAACCTCTTTGGGATATTCTATCATATGGACCATTCACAAAACAATAATAGCGCGCGCGTTAGTCATAACGTGGAGGGATGAAATGGTGTGACATGTCCTGAGATACGACAAAAATAGGCGATGGTTGTACCTGAACGACTTGGAACACTTCCAGGGGATCATCAATCTTGGAGATCTCAGACTCGTGCATACGAAGGATCGTCAACGCCACCCTGAACAAAATCTTGCGTCCCTCGTAAAAGAAGCAATCCCAAACGCGCAGAATCGACTATTGTCATCATGAAGAAGCAAATGGTAGTTAATTAATCGCGAGTTCTTTGAATAATATGGGTCATAATAACAACAATGCATTAATGCCCCATGAAGGTGAATAACGTACCTCGACGGGCAAGATGTTGATGAAGAGGGTCAAGAACCAATGACTCGTCACCAGCGTCACAGTAGGCAAGCCCGGTCCTTCATCCATCTCGACCGACGTAGCGCCCCCACTAAACTTGGCCCAAATCGTCGGCAATCGCTCCATGATTAGCGTCATCAGCACCGCCTGGTCAATGTTGGCGCCCTCCATCGTCACGTCGTACATGCCCTCTGGCAAAAAGTTCTGAATGATTACCGACAGTGTCCAGAACGACTGCTCCTCGTTCATGAACAGGAGCAGCATTCCTGCAATGTAGTTGAGCGATTGACAGTATCCAATCGTAGGAGAGTGCAAACTGAACGCCAAAAGCACCCGTCGCAGGGACTGAATCGCTGCCACATTCTCTGTTGAAAGTGTGGTCCCGCCATCCTGCTGTTTCGTGATCTGCGACTTGAAGTTGATGTTTTCTGGGAACGTCCTGTGAAGGTCTATTTGTCAAGGCCATTGTGACAGGAAACGCAGTAAAGTGGGTTAGATCTTTTTGTGCGACAAGAGTGAACATTTACTTTGCGTTTCGACTGTCCGATCGCAAAAGGGACAGAGGTAAACAAACCAATGCATACCTCGCTCGATCACTTCTGCGTGCTCATTTGCGGCGCCCTTGGCTTTAGCCTGCGCCACAAGGCGTTTGAACAATCCTGGGTTCGCCTTGCACTTGTCCTCTGCGCCGCTGTAATGGAACCAGGCCTAGAATATGAAAACAAAGAGTTGCTCATTAATGAAGGTAATGAGGAAATATGGCTCTCGGCTAATAGGTGGTCCAATGGTTGTACGAAATAGAGTTTAGGATCGCTCATATGACCTCCTCTCTCCCATCCTGAACATTCTCTCTTCCTTCCTCGTCCAAGTAGCCAGGTTCCGCTTGGTAAAAATCAAAAGTTAGCAGTCTCCTTACTTCGCCTCGTAACGCTGGTGGGATGCCCTTGCGAATATATCTCTTGACTATGTGTGTGAAAAAAATGTAAGAAAAAAGCCGCTGTCAGTGTTGCATTGTAACGCATTGACAGCAACGCTGAGTCATCCTAATAAGCAACAAGAATGCAGAGAGTTCCGTCGCCTACGTTTTGCTGATCGAGGGGGGAGTTCGCCAGCAGAGTCGTTCATGAAGATGGCCCACTTTTGTCGACGTCGCTCCATGATGGGTATATAGTAGGTCTCAAAGATGACAAAGTCGTGCTGTGAGAGCCATTGAGACTCCTTCTTGAATCCATATTGGTCGCTATAGTGCAGACAGAAAACGAATCAAGTTGTGTTAGAGAGCAATTAAAGTAGGCTAAATAAACGTAATGAAGAAAGCAGTAAAACAAGTATACTTCTAGACTTTGTGGGAATGAGGTTCATTGTTGCTCCGGTGTTGGATTGATTGACAAAAAATGACACGACCGTAACGTTGTAAACGTACCGTTCCACATGTTCATCATCCGCCTTTTCAACAGCGACGATGGGCTTGAGTCTGGACGATTTCGGTTTTGGTTTGGGGTCGAGTTGTCCTGGAAGTCCGTTGAAAGATCGAGTCTCCTTGGACTCGTTGGTATAATGACTCTGCGAGACGGGTTGGGTGAAGAGCGTTAGCTTGGGTGTCGATCTGGAGGCAATCTGGCTTGCCTGAACATGAAGGGTCTGATAGGGCGACTGGGTTGATCCGGGCTGACTGGGTGCTAGCCCTTGCTGGTCGTGTTGTTGTTGGTTCTGTGAGTGATTTCCGGATCGACTCTCTCCCCGTGGATCAAAGACGTTGCTACTCTGATTGCTTGCGTTACGATGCAGCGACCGAGAGGGTGAGAGTCCCTGGGGTTGGTACTGTCTGTTGTTGCTGCTGTTATAGTTATCCGACGAGTTGTTGCCTCCGTAAGCCTCGAGCTGAGTTTGGGTGAGACTTGGTGAGTTCATATATAGGCCCTCAAAGTCCCTCCGGAGACTCTGGGTCGTGGGGTCGGCGGTGTGGGATCGAGCTCGGCGGAGGCCATCGACAGACTTGCTCGTTTTTAGGCCTCTTCTTGCAGGGTGTTGAGGTTGGTGTTGTGAGGGGGAGAGGGGTCCGGCAGCGTCTGTGACAAACTCGTTGTTCCTGTTTCGACCAAGTGGTGCCGGTGTTGCCATGGCCATGGTTCCAGAGTTGAAAAAAGTGTGCTTCTTGGAAAAGGTGATTAGATGAAGATGATGAAGTTGGTGTCCTTGTTTAGAGTTGGTCCTTTTTAAAAGAGACGAGATGACGGAGCAGGCTTTTGGACGATTCCTGGAGGAGAGGGACGAATGGTGGCGTTGGAGACAAAAAAAGCCCTGGCTCACTTTTGTTGTGTTGGTTGGAGGTGATGAGCCAAAAGTGGTTGAAGGACTTCTAGAGCGAGAGTGGGTGCAATGGGCGAGGCTGGCTGGCTGGCTGGCTGGCTGGCTTGTCTTTTGCGGGAGAGTGAGGGATGGCGATGACGGGTGAAGGGCGAAGAAGGGAAGAGAGGGAGAAGAGAAAAGAGGAGAAGAAGTATGGAGAAGAAGTATGAAGAAGAAGAAGACGGACGAAAGTAAAAAAGAAGAAATTAGGCTAAAAAAGGGAGTGGAGAGGCAGAAGAAAGAGCTGAGAGAAAAGAAGGAGAGGGAAGCTAAGAAAAGAAAAATGTAGAGGGAAAATAATACAACTCACTTTCTCATGTCGATGAATGAGTAGCTGGAGGTTGTTGACTGATGTTGCCATTCGTTCTTGTTCATCCCCTTCCCCTTTCATTCTCTCTCTCTTGTTCGAATGTGGTTGGTTGGTTTTGTTCAAGTGCTCTCTCACTCTCCTCCTCTCCCCTCTCCTTCTTTCTCTCTCCTCCCTTCACTAGCACACATCCCCTTTGTCATGTTCTCATACACCATACACCATACACCATACAAAACCCGCAGATCAAACATGAAAGTGGGTAACCATTGGCCAGTTGAAATCGATGAAAGTGAAACCCCAGGCACCACAGCTCCTTTCTTATTTTCTTATTTTCTCACTCAACCCGGAGTACTTTGCAAATCATACAGTAAGCTCATCAACGGCAACCACTTTCTATTCTCCACTCCACTGTTCACAACCAACCCGATTACAAACCGCACAACTTTTCTACTCTACAAAACAAAGACAGAAAAAGTTCCTCTGTATCGCCACACTGACAACCAAGCACAATCACTCTCCCGCTCTTCTCCCTCGCCCTCTTCCTTCCTTCCCTTCTTCCCACATTCACATGAACAAACAAAACAAAACAAAACTTTTCCAACCCACATCTCCTTCTCATCGCCCTATTTCGCCCCACAGCCAATCAACATAGCCATCACGTTTTTGTGTTGTCCTTTTGTGGATCGAAGTTCAGAAAGGTTTACCATCGATCGTGAGAACAATAAATTCTTTCTTCCCGTTCAGCTCAGCATTGCATACGGCGTGTCGTTTGTGAAAAAAAAAAAAAAAAGAGTTGATAATGGCATTGGCATCCCGAATGTCACGATTTTCTTTCTATTAGCCTTGTTTTCATGGCAACTAGAGACTTAGATCCACTGAACCAGAGGTGATACCTAGGTGTCGGTTCAGGACCGTTTGTTTGTAACAAGGAGACAGAATACAGGAGGCAGAAAAACATCAACAAAATGGCAAGGTTTGAAGCGAACACAAATGAAAATAGATGTGGAGGGAGAGAGATGGTGCATTGTCTCCACTTCATTCATCCCTGACTTCGTTTGTTCTAAGTTCTAACTGTTTTCTCTAGAAAAGTAGGCAGGGATGAAGTTGCAAAATACTAATTAGGCAAAGAGGGGGCAGATGTATCAGAGAACGCAGGGATGCCTTAGTCTCCATCCCTGATTTCCTTTTACTGTCTGATGATTACCTATCTCTTCGATTTCTTCTCACCATCCATTTCAACCATCCATGTCGAATAAAAAAATAAACGACCTCTCTACGATTCTAGAGACTACACTTGCCTAATCTTTACTATAATAGAGTGTAGGAATTGTAGGGAAGCAGACCATCGACTTTGCCCGCGCAAAGCATCATCGTCGTTCGGACTTTTTTTTTTTTTTGCTGCTGAACCGTTCCTGACAGTGCACACGAATGAAGAACAATGAGATAGGTGTGTAATAAATAACAAAACTCCAAAGGTATCCTTCGATCCAACCAGCTACTTCCTGGTCGATGGCAATCGGATGCAGATCTAACTAATGGATATAAAGAAATCGACTTGGATGCGACTATCACTTTTTTTTCTCGTTGACATTCATGACATCTAGATTTCGTTGGATGGAACAAGGTGGCGTGGGCGGATAGCTCCTCTCAAGTCTCATGCAGTCAATTCGGAGCCGTTCCAGGTGCTCGAACATACCCGCATGGTTCATTTTTATTACAGAGGAGAAGGACTTAAAACTCGAAGCTGTGTTATCGCCAGGAACAAAAGTTTATGCGCTGCCATTGACATGTTTAGCAGCAATTGATATCCTGCAATTCACTGGCAACATATTTTTTAGTGGCTCTGGGAACCTAGCCAATGGTCAAAAGTGCCTGCCAAAAAAAAGAAAAACACGTGATGTCAGTCGCGTCCAAAGGTTAAGGCACTTTTTGCTTTTATTTTTTCTTGTTCACATCATTCTCTGTCTCTTACTCTACCTGCTGGATCCTCCCTCCCCTCGCCGACAACGATGGATCCCTCTTCAACGCCTCGGGCTAATCCCCGGAAGGGATTACGCAGACCAGACTATGGACTGCTCCATATGCGGCCGTCAATAACACCATCCAGCGGGATGTTCTCGATACATCGCACCAACACAACCGAGAGCCATGAGAGCAGCTCAGGGATACAACAGAATCTCGCTGATGAAAGGATCCACGCAGATTCAGAAAACAACCCATTCCTGGTTACCGTAAGTGCTCCTGACTTCCGTACCGTCAGGGGCCTCCAACTTGGTTTCCGGCTCGTCTAATTAGAAAGTGTCAAAAGCTGGTGTCTAACAGAGCAGCACATTCTTTTTCAACATGCAACAAACAGCGACCGTTTGTCCAAGGTCGTCCGACGCCAAGGTCAACCACAACAAAGAGCGGGTTACGGCGACCCGACTATGGACCTATGCAGTCGCATGTTCTCATGAAGCAGTCCACAGCAACAACTCATGTCGTCTCACGAAGGACGTTGGTCGATGAGAGTTTGATTGAGGCCATGATGCAGACAACCCTCAGAGTACCTGGAACAGGGAGCACGAGTGCTACAACAGCGTCCCACAAGAACGACGATGTTGCAAACCAGCGAGCAGCCGTAGAAGTTTCAGGAGAGCCATCACTTTGGGATGATACCTTGTTTCCTGCCACTGTAAGTAGAGGCTCTCTTAATGAATGCTTTGAGCATTCTTACTAGGTGTATGAATTAATAATTTGTTTCATGGTTTCTGCCTATAGGATAACTCAGAGTTCGCCAACCCACCACAGACTCCAAGGAGAGAGTCAAGGACGTTCTCGATGGCGCCAGAATCAGGACGAAGAACTCCTCGGCGGCGGCGATCAAGATCGAGCAATCAACATCTCAGGACGACCCCTATCAAGGCTCTTGCGGATGCCAACGAGGCTCGCGTCAACAGGCTGATCATGGAGGCGAACAAGCGAGGTCGTGTCGGGAGAGACAAGCATTCTCCCATGGGAATTCTTCGACAGCTCAGCAGAAGTAAGCAACTTACACGAACTGTGGAACATGCGAAGAAAGGAGCATGTTTTGTCAATGGACTTGAAATTCACCACCTTTTCCCTTCTCGCGCCGGTTTACTAGTTCCTGGATTCAACCCTGCTCCAAAACCATCACCAGACAGGGAGCCCATCCCAGGAAGCGCGAATTGGAGGAAACTCACGCCCAGGTCAACCCGCACGAAACACATCGACATGTCAGGATCTATCGACAACCCATTCAAATCCTTGTCCATCAACAAAGACTCATACAAGGACACAGAGCTGACCTCCAGGAGCACAGACCCAACCCCTAGGAGCGTAGATCGCGCAGGCATGTCAACTGCAAAACGTCGCGCATTAGACCGATTCATGGACGATAACCCTTTTCTTACTTCCGAGGATTACAACCGGCTGTGGGATGAGGAGGTGGACATGGCAAGGAACCAATTGATGAATAGTCGAGAGTCATTCGGATTGACTTTCTCAGGCGGCGATGGAGAGCTGCTACTAGGCGATGATGATACAAGGGACCTAAGCCTGGCGGCTCAAGATCTTACAGACCAATTCTTCGCCCAAACTCAACGCGAACGCAGCCAAGGAGCGATGGATATTGGTGATATTACGGGTCACTCGGGGAAAGGATTTGACGATCCAGAAGCGCGTGGGTCGGTCGAAGACCAAATCCAGGGAGGCTCTAACCAGTTGCGAGGCGCTCAAGGAAGCATGGATGCCAGTAGGGCTATTATTTCGACACGGACCTCGGGTTTGCTTCGTCCAACTGACCCATCAGGTACACTTGAGAGTGAATTGCGAGGATCAGAATATGATGCAGGGGATCCGAGTGGGAGGAAACAGAGCGGACTCGTGAGTTCTGACGACATTCAAGTGACCGGAGTTGGTCGTCAGGGTCAGGACAAGGATATGGACGTTGACTTGAACGATGGTTGGGAGGACATCCCAGACGACGAGCTGACGCAGGATTTCTTGAGCCAGCTGGAGTCGCAAGCTTTTGCAACAACGGACTCTGCATCTGGCGTTGTTGAGGAGGATGACCACAGAGGAACTGGTGAGGGTCGGGACCACTCTACTGACCGTGTTGATGCTGTTGACGCAGAGATTATGGACAAGGAGGGTCTTGCCGCCTTCGATAACGATCAGGACATGGAGGCCGTGAACGACGATGAACAAGAAGCAGGCTTTGCCCGTCTTGACGATCTGACCCAGGATGTTGACGAACAACTCGGTAACGCTGACGGTTCGCCTCGAGATGTTGAAAGACTGAGTCCGAATGCTATTGAGCAACTCGGAGAAACTGAGGTGAAGAGCCCGGGTGCTGACGAGAAGCTTGGTGAAGCTGGCGAGCAGCTCGACACTGAAGATCAGAACCCGGACCTCGACGAGCAGCTTGATGAGGCTGACGTGCAGAATCCGGATGTCGTTGAGCAGCCCGATGATGCTGAGGAGCAGAACATGGATATCAACGAACAACTCGACGTCGAGGAACAACACGATGAGGCTGATAGGCAGAAGCTGGATGACGACGAGCAACATGATCTTGACGAACAACTCCATGATGCCGATGGGCATAAACCGGAAGTTGATGAGCAACTGGATGACGTTGACGGCCAGAAGCCGGATGTCAACGAACAAAACCAGGATATCCCAGCAGCAGCAGTAGGCGATGAAGAAGGGCCTTTGTTTATTAATGGCGACAAAGGGGACATAGCACCCCGGAATGATGTGGAATACGAGGATGGATACATGAATGTCCATGAGGAAGACCATATTGAGCAGCAGGAACACGAAGAGCAGCATGGCAAGACAGGAGTGGAGTACTTTGACGATTTTCCCAGTGAGCTGGGAATCATGTCCAATGGCAACATTCTTCGAACAACTGCTCCTCCAAAACCCAGGAAAATTGTCAGGTAAGCCCACACATATAGTTGCAGTGATGCCTTAATAATATGTGCAAGACATGTTCGTATCTGAGGTCTAATCACATATTGACTTTTTCTCACATATCACGTTTACCAAGGCGTTCACGATCAGGGATTGCTATTCCCTCTATGCCAACGTCGTTGCAGAAGCAATTGGTGCACACGTTTTCCACAGCAAGAATGTCGCGAGAGGCCATGGATGTCATTCTTGAAGGGTAGGAACCTTGCACATTCTTCCTATATTATTTTGGGTGTTTAACGCAAATGTGAAAACTAATAACAAATGTAATTGCTGTGCCAAAAAAAAAAAAAAAAAAAAAAAAAACGACTAGGTCACACCTGTTCTTTGAGCAAACATCGAACGATTTGGCAGCCTACGCAGAGCACGCCGGCAGGAGGACAGTCGACGAGACGGATGTCGAGCTGTTGATGAAAAGGTACAGCTGTGTATTTATCTAATGACAGTACAATGGGTGCATCTCATAGACGCTCACTCTCAGTATACTTATTCACCTGTCCTGCTTGTTATGCTTCGTATTTCGATAGATTGCGGATCCTCCACGACAAGGTGTCGATGGAGTCGCTGCTCCAACGGTACTTGCCTCGTGAGCTGAGAGACAAAGTTCTCTTCCCAGACGACATGCCAGGTGCCCGTAGACGATAATCTAGCATCTCCAATACCACGCTCAACTCGCTGTTACTTTTTGCACCATGTACACTTCCCTTTTGTTTCTTTTTCATTCACTGTACTTCTATCCAAATAATAAACGCCACCATTTTTGCGCCTAATTTTTGATCAGGTTTTCTCCGTCAAGTTCATTTCTTCCACTTTCACCATTTTCACTTTATACTACAGTACCGATGCCAGAGCCTCAGCCTCCAAGTCAAGACCACTGGCACAATGACCCCACACCAGGGGGACAACCTGCAAGTACTGCTGCGTACAGTGCTGCAACTCGCACACCCACTCAGTGCAACCAAAGTGCCCTTGACAGCGCCAGCGCCAGATTAACCGCTCGCTCAATCGCCGTCACTTGGTCTTCGTCCCCAGTACGACAGGTCCAGCCTCAAGCTCAGAGTCAGATGTCTGCTCGCAGTCAGGGTCAGAGTCAGAATCAAGGCAGAGGAAGAGGGAGAAGGAGAGGAAGAGGTCAGAGTAGCACTCGGGAGAGTAATCAATTCTTCACCACCCAATCCCGAACTGCCGCCACAGGAACCGCACCTTCAGATGTCTACTCGGTGGAACATGGTCCAGCACCACTCGCTGGAGATGGCCTTTCAAGCAGCGTTCCATCATCACCGGCACCTTCTTTCAGATCCGGATACCCGCCTCTTCAGACAGATTTTCTCGATCCTCGCTTTGTGCAAGACGTGCGAGCTGATGACAATGCACCGGAGTGTTCTTCGGCATTTGGTTATGATCGAGAGGCGTCCTCGGGGCCATCGCACAGGCTTGAGTTTCAAGGCGATCCTGTTGGAACTGACTCGCAGTGGACTGGTCCTGACAACTCGGACTCTAACTTGCTCGGACAGCCATTTTCCAGCCTGACTCTTGGCAACGAGGTAACTTTCGTTTTTATGCCCAACTTGAAAAGAGAAAATCGAAACTGGTGAAATTTATGATAGGCTCGGTCACGATGCTGATCAAGAATCGCCTGTCTGTAAACGCATAGATCATTTTGGCTATCAATATGAGGGGTAAGACGCTGGGTGGAGCGTATTATGATGGAGCGGCCTCCAAGTTGTTTGTGATGCAAGATACGCCCGACTGCAATGCAGTTGACATGGTCGAAACAAGTACGTTATTCTTGCATCGAAGTAATTTGGGTATTCATCTATGTACGTGTCTATGCTAACCATGAGACGTTTTATTTTCGTTGCATCTAGTCAAAGGTCAAGTCCGGCCAATGTTGATCTTGACGAGCACTCGGCTGGAAGAATATGTGGCCGATGCGCTGAAATGGAATGGTTAGTATCATGTTGCCCACCATTTACACATCACGTCGCAATGTTGTCCTAGTTGTCAGCATAATCCTGACACATCCCTTTCCCCTGACATTGAATAAGTAGAGGATGGCAGCGAGAACAAGTTGGAGATCCGACCTGGTGGAGAGTTTTCTTACCAGTTGGCAAAGACCAAGCTCATCTCTATCGTTATGCAGTTCAAGCAATCAGAGCGAGCTTCTACTGCCTCAGTGACACATGGGTCCTCGCACGCCTTCCATGGATCGGCCGATATAGATGAATCGGCGCAGCGGGATGCGCAGATTCAGCTGTTGAATCTGATCGACCTTGAGAGCAACGAAAGCGTACGTGGCAATAACGCTTGTTTGCGTTTGCCCGCACTCATACGGGAAAGAAAAATCATGTTGACGCGCTTGTTCACCTTGGTTTGTGCCATCTCTCTATTTAGGTTGGCTGTGCCGGTGCAGTCATCAGTTTTCTCTCCAGGAACGGAATTGCGCATCGTTCCACCAGAGATGGGCGATCGACGATGGCTGTCTCAGTTGCAGCCTTCACACTGTGAGTTGCCGTGCATGATGGGCCCTATAATATGTTTTACCCTCTTTAGGCTTGGCAAAGTCATATATTCATTCAGATCCTCACTTTTGTCTATGTTAGTGACTCGTTCATGTATATCAACAAGAACACCTTGAGGTAAGAACAGCATGATTGCTGCCTGACAACTATCTTGTCGAGCTTGTGAACAGACTCAAGAGTTATCAATAACTCAAGAAGTGAACGCGGTCAAAACTTAGCTCGTTGCAAATCTTCGAGGACGAGTCTCACCCAAGCATGCACAGCAGTATTCGAGGCCGCAAGGAGGGTCTTTCACTCTTTGGTAGGCCATATTGTTTTCTTCTCATGTGAATGGACATGTAACAACAGTTACTGAGATGACGCTCACAATAGTATTTCCTTTCGCTTATTAGGTCTACTCAATCAGACAAAAACCTCTCAAGGACGCCACCTGCTTAAACAATGGCTTCTCCGACCCTCGCTGAACATGGCCACGATCCGCGAGCGCCACCAAACTGTGGAGTGCTTTGTTCAGACCGAGAATCAGCCGACCGTCAACCAGCTTGCTGGCGCCCTTTCGCACATGAAGAATATCCCAAAAGTGTTGCAAACAATGTCGCGAAAGGCTACCATCAACGACTGGCGGGCGATCCTGGAAGTATGTATTGTATGCTTCCCTTGAGATGAGTGCCACCAATTGACAAGTTGCGAGTAAACGATTTGAGTACTGACTTTACTCGCCTCATTTTGCCAGTTTGTCTATTATTGCATGAAGATCTCCAATGTCTCGCAAGAAATCTTTGTCGGCGTCTCACCAGTTATCCAGGGGGTACATGCTCTTCCTGGAGTCGGTCAGGTTACTACAATTAACGTTGAGGAGACGTACTAATTACCGAGCTTACTTTCATCATTTTAGATACAGCGCTACTTTGCGGTGGAGGAGCTCGTGAACATGGGCAAGAACATCAACGATGTGGTAAGCAGCGCCCCACGGCTGATGAACTCTAGGTTGGAGAGTGAAAAATATCAAGTGCCTTAATCAGCTCATTGCACCGCTTTCTCGCCACACCATTAGCTTGATTTCGACGAGAGTGTGATCGAGGGTCGCTGCGTGGTAAAGAGAAACGTGGACGAGGAACTGGATAGCATGCGCAAGAACTATCATGGACTCGACGTCTTTCTTTCCGAGATCGCCAAGGAGATTAGCGTCACCATACCTTCGGACTTTACTTCGATTATCAATGTTATTTACTTCCCACAGCTGGGTTACCTGATTACGGTGCCTAGGAACCCAGAGTGGAAGTCTGAGGAGGATTATCAACTCGAGGGACTCACCGTACAGGTATGCAACTTTAGCTTTGTAGGTTATGGGTTGCACTGACTGGAGGTGTTATGTAGCATACGTCCTCACAATACTTGAACATTTTCATTTCCTATTGGTTTTATCGTGCACTAGTTCAGCACGGAGACTACCGTCTACTACAAGAACGCGACCATGCGAGGTAACAATACATGAGATCGCTTACCTTTCTGTTAACAGAAGCCCCAAGTTGCTCTTGATTGACACCAAGGACTGACCATGGCCAGGTTGTTCCTGCGAATAGAACTGGACGAGCATCTTGGCGATATTCACGGGCTCATTGTCGGTAGGTTTCTGAGTACGCTTAAAAATCAGAGACATGGACACGAGATGCACTAGCAGCTAATGCGCTTGTGCATTTACTCGCTCATACGACAATAGACCGCGAGATTGACATTCTTCAGGCGCTCCAAGAACGGATCATTGAAAACTCGCAGTTTCTTGTGACATGCAGTGATCTCTGCGCAGAGCTCGATGTGTAAGCCAACGCGTTTTCTTTCATTAAAGGAGGACCTCTCGTATTTCTCTCGCGCGAAAGATTGACCTTGTTTCTTGATGTATTGTTGATAGGCTGGTTTCATTGGCACGAGTGGCAAGACTGCACAATTACCGGCGCCCTACGATGGTGGAGGGAACTATCCTCAAAATCACGAATGGAAGGTATGTTCGCACAGACATGATCAATGGTGGCATGCATTCAAAAGGATCCTTGCGTAATACGATTGCTCTCATAATTTCTATTCATCTCATAGACATCCGCTGCAGGAGATGGTGGTTGACTCGTTTGTGACCAACAGCACGCAGATTGGAAGCATGGACCAAAATAGCGCTTCCGCTCCAACTGTTGTGACTGGAGCAAATACAGACTCGCGTTCGTCAGAAACGGGAGATGCTCGTGTTGAGAACCGGGTCACCATCCTCACCGGCCCCAACAGCTCTGGCAAAAGTGTTTACTTGAAGCAGGTATATATATACACACAGGAAGTTTACATTGAGCTCCTCTCTAAAGGAAGGATTGGCACAATACCCTCTAACTTTCTGTCTCTGTAACTTTCGTAGGTTGCATTGATTACCTTCATGGCACACGTCGGAAGCTTTGTGCCAGCAGATTCGGCGGTCATTGGTATCACTGACAAGATCCTGACTCGCATGCAGACGCGTGAGACCGTGTCAAGTGTAAGCTAATGGCGCGTTATTCTTCCCGTTTATCCCTTTCTTATCAATCACAAGCTTTATGTGATTACAGTTGAGCTCTAGACTGATACTCCACTTTCATTCGCCTCCCTAACCACTTAGATCCAGAGCGCGTTCATGACTGATTTGCAGCAAGTGGCCCTGGCGACCCGAATGTCAACTGCACGATCTTTGGTCTTGTTAGATGAATTTGGCAAGGGAACTACGTCTACTGGTATGTCACCTCCTCCGTACTTTGCACCTATCCAGTAGAGTAGCTCATGCTGTCAGTTCATCTATATCGACATTTATTTCTGCACTGTACGTCCGATTTGTAGATGGCGCAGGACTGTTCTGCGGCGTAATTGAGCATTTCGCTAGGCTGAACGAAGAGGGCCGACCAAGGGTTTTGGCAACGACACATTTCCATGAGCTGTTTGAGAATGACCTGATGGATCTGAGTCTGCCCATCTCGCAGTACACGATGGAGGTTTACCAACAGCCAGATTGCATGGAAGCTACTTTCTTGTTCAGGTGAGTGCTGACTCCTCCATTGGGGACGGGGGAGGGGGGTTCGCGTAGCTTGGTTTTTACTTGGTACGGTAGCCTTCTGGCTATGGATGCATGGATGCTGGTGACTGATATGTTTAATTTTTGGTGGCGTTTTTTAGAGTTGTGCCAGGCAAAACTCCGTCGTCCCTTGGACCAGCTTGTGCGGCTATGGCCAGCATGCCGACGCACATTGTCCAGCGAGGTATGTATATTTCTTTCACCCTACAGCCCATGTCGCACCTTCCAGTGAAAGTCTGACGCCCCATAACAATAATCGCATCTCGCTCTTACAATCTTCGTGGATAGGAGTACACCTCTCGCAGCTCTTCAGACGCTACGAGAACGTGGTCCCGCATTTGACAGCCCACGAGAAGGAAATGGAAGGCTTGTACGAGCGGCTGATTGAGATGTTGTTGCGCATGGATTTGGAAAAGGAGCAAGCATTGGACTTCTGGGACAGATACAAGGGTATGGCAAGTACTGCTGATGACGAAAGTGGATCGCTGCAGACCAGGAGCAGGAGCGTCAAGGTAGAGAAGGGTAGCGGTGCAGCTGCTGTCTCGAACATGACCCCAAGCGGTGTTGACAGCGGCAGCAACAGCAGCAGTGACGCAGGCAACAGCAGCCTTGGCAAGCGCAGGTACGATGATGGTTCTGCTCTTGAAGAAGGCGAGAGCGAGGAGATTGCAGCGGCTTCAGAGGCTACCGGAGCGATGAAAACTGACCCCGACAACGCTATGCGAGATGCGCTACATGAGCTTTTGGAGCTTGCCGCCGAGATTGGTCGCAAAGAGCACGAAGAGTAGACTGGGTGAGACCTCTCTTTTGCTGGATTCTCGCAACACTTGGATCTTGACACGTTTCGCAATCATGGCTCGAGGGCGGATATATGAGGAACTTGATTCTTCTTATGTATGAAATACAACGTTTAATGAAAAGTAAAGAAATGCAATATGAAAGAAATGAATAATAATGGCAAGGGGTGTGAATGAGTGGGTGTGAGTAGGTGGTGTAATGTAAATCGATGTGAGATGAAGCTACGTGCAAAAAAAAGAGAGAGCCTGTAACGTCGCTGCGGTCGCCTTCGTTCCTGGAAAACCTTCGGTTTTAGTCCAGATGCGTGACGCCCTGATCCTTCTTGATGTTCTTCATGACCTTCTCCTGTCGGTTCTTCTCGTTGGCGAATGCAGTCTTGGTCGCCTTCTTGGTCTCACGACGGCTCTTCTTCTCCTGCTTAATAGCCTCCTTACGTGCCTTCTTCTCCTCCTTGGTCTCGGCCTTGTTACGCTTAACACCCAGGTTCTCAGCCTCCTCGTCTTCAGAGTCATCCTCCTCATCAAACTCATCATCACTAGCATCACCGTTCTCAGCCTTGGCAGCGGCCTCCTCAGCAGCCGCAACCTCGGCCTGACGCTGTAATGCCTTCTTGGAGAGCTTCTCTGTGACGACGGGCATACCGGTCTTAGGGTCGATGTGTATCCTGCGGCGACGCTGCTCCTTGATCATGCCAGGGTGGTTGTCGAGGTTGGAGTATGTGCTCAGGATGGTCTGCACATCCCAGTTATCACGCATCCTCTCGGCACGGCTCCTGAAATCCGTCTGCAACTCGGTCGCGATATCGTTGTCCAGGTTTTTCTTGGGCCGGCGAGTGCCTCCAACAGTCGTCGCCACCGAACGCTCCTCCTCGCCCTCGTCCACAAGAAGAGCATTACGGATGGTGCTCAACTTGTTCTCTGAGGTCGCGCCCTCTAGTCTTGGGACCATCTTGGAACCCACAATCTCAAACTTGTCCAAGAAATCGTCCAGAATCGAGTCGAAATCCTTGCGGAGCTCCTCGCCCTTGAAATCTGTGCCTTCGTCCTCATCATCGTCCGAATCCGACTCGTAATCGCGCTCAATCTTGTCGAACCGCTCGTCCAAGAGTGTCAGGTTCTCGTTACGGAACATGGCGGAGGACGACATGGAAAAGGTCGAAGCAGAGGCACCGGCTGGGCGGCGGGATGACCGAGAGGTCTGGCTGTGTTCGTCATCAGATCCTTCGAATGAATCGTCGTCCGAATGGTTTTGCTGTGCCTTCTTGAACTTTTTGAAATCAGCCTCCCATCCCTGACGGGCGCCCTCCTCACCATCCTCGTCCTCGTCCTCATAGTACTCCTCGACCTCCTCCTCCTCAAAAACGCCATCCTCATCCAGCTGGTCAAAGAAAGACTCGTCCAGATCTCCGTCCACAAACTCTTCATCCTCCAAAGCCTCCAAGGTCTGACGAATATCAAAGGGCATATCAGGCTGAAGACCCATGGGCACAGCGCTCTGGTAGACATCAGCAAAGTCCAACTCTTCCCTCGATTGCAAGACACCCAAGGGCAACTGGATCTTGCCCTTCTTCTTTCCTGCAGCAGCTCCAACATTCTCGCGAGCCATTTCACCAGCAGCGTCCACATCTGTAAACTGGATTCCACGAGACTGTTGAGCGGCCTTCTTTTGTTGAGCGGCGACCTTGGGTGCGGCCATGAAGACACCCTCAGACGAGGTTCCAATCTCCTTGAAATGCTGCGAGTAGTCGTATGAGCCGTCGTTGTAGTCATCGCCTACCAATCCCAACATTGCCGCCTCTCCAATTTTCCTATTTTCCAGGTAAAAAAAAAGAAACCCCCCATACAAGCCCAGCGTTAGTTTGCTTTTGCGTCTATTATATTCGGTCATAATTTCCAAGGCCTCACAAGTATGCTAAAGTCCCCAAGACTTACTCCTCGTTCTTAGCAGTGTCCTTTTTCTTCTTGCCCGCAGCAACGGGTGCCTCAAGCAATTCGACCGCCCCGTCCTCACGGTCATAGGTACCATAATTGATCCCGTCCTCTGTACCATGCTCTCCAAAGATATCGTCATCGCCGTCAGAGTATGCTTCGCCGTCAAACTCTTCCTGGGGGAGAGCGACTTTTCCGATAAGGTTGGAGGGGATGACTTCTTTCAGAACTCGCTGGGGGGCGGACTCATCGCGAGAGAGGGGGTCACGCTGGGAACGATGGACCAAATGGAAATGACGGGCGTTCTTCCTATCGATGAATTGCTTTTTAACCATTGCTGTTTTTTTTTTGTGCTGTGTTTTTGTGTGTATGTGTTTTTTTTGTTGGTGGGTTGATAGGGAAGGTGCTTTGGTGTGTGTCGCCCTTGTTTTGTTGCTCGTCGCTTTTTCTTTGAAAGAGGTGGGGTATGAAGAGAAGGAAGAGTGGGGTGTCCTGAATTTTTTTTTGAGCTCCTGAGCGATGTGGGGGTCTGAACAAACGTGCGTTGAAAGGTCTACAAGGGGTACAAGGCACACAAAAACGAACAATAAAAAAAGAAAAAAAATGGGAGTTGTGGCTTATTAACCAGTCGGAGAACAACAAAAAAAAATCATATAGACAGTCACTTTGGAGTTGGTGGCGCTTTATTCTTACAGGTGGAAAATACGTGGTATACTGGGCGCCAAGGTATGTGCATCTCAGGCACAACCTCATACGTCTTTACATGCGTTGTCCCTTGTCGTTATCATTCGGTACTAAGCAGGATTATAAAAAAAAAATGACAAAAGACATGGGTAGGACTGTGGGAGAAAATAACCTTTTCAATGCACGGTGCATTTGTTATCATGTTTGACCTTTATTTTTCTGGGGCCAATCAAGATTGGTGGCGTTGTGCCGCACATACGTTGAAAGTCGTTGTCGGACAAAGATGACAAAAAAATGGGTATTCATATCCGCCGCGGACAAATAAAAACAGTAAACGAGGCTATCAAGAAGAGAAAGAGAGAGAGAGAGAGAGAGAGAGAGAGGGAGTGGGAGAGAGAACCATGAGGAATGGAAGGAATAAAAATAAGAAGGTGGTTCATGGTTATCGGGACACATTAACGATGATAACACCCCTCTCTTTCATCCTGAAGAAGATTGATCGTCAAACAGAAGGTCAATCCCCCATCCATCCAGGCACTTTCTATCACTGATTACTTTATCTGTGTCAATGATGAACAAATAAGAAAGATTGTCGTAGAAGTTCATTCAAAGAAAACAACAGCGAGTCTTCGTCACTTCCTTTGCAGCTTGAATGGACAACCCTGGTGAAAGACGGTTGCAATAAACAAAGCAAGGTAGAAAGTAATAGGAAGCAGAAAGGAATCAAGAAGAGAAGACAGGCAATTGACAAAGGAAGGAAGGAGAGCGGATGGATTGGAAAAGGGTTTTAGTATGTTGCATGGTTAGCCACCGATTCCCTTAATAATAAAAATGAGAGCACCCCTGTCGCGTTTTTTTTTTGTTTTCTTCGTTCTTTTTCCCTCCTTCCTACGCCCTCTTTCTCGGGCAACCCCCCGCCCCTCTATGTTCAGCCATGTCAATCCTGACTCTGACTCCTGGCATCGACCAACAGTCTCTCAACATCTTCAAGGTTGCTCCTAATGACATCCGACGGAACGTGATCGAACCCATCGGCAAAGGACTCGATTCCATCCTCATCGCCCCATCCAGATGGGGAAGACCTTCGTCTACGCCTTGCGCCTCATCCTCGGAAAGGCCGCCTGTCAAGGAGAAGAGTAACAACGGCCGTTTCAACAACAGTACAGGGTCAGCTCTTTCGCCTTTGAAAAGTGAGATGTGATCCAGCACCAAGAACTCCTAGATTTGGAGGAAGTATCGAGCGTCCCCGAGTTAGCCAGGAACGCTTGGAGGATTGGTGAACCTTGGAATAGCACGAATATCGGGAGTCGATTGGTGGCGGTTGTGGTGGATGAACCGCATTGTGCCAGTACTTGGGGCAACGACTATTTCCGGGCACACGACGCTTTTGGCTAGCTGCTGTTTAATGCAAACGCGAGCACGGCGATTGTGGTCTTGGCGGCAATGTTATCCAGGGACAAACATTGGATCTGATGCGCAACTTACGATTCACCAACGACGTCCCGATCTTTTACCAGGGCAACAACCGGTCTAACACCCGTCTGGAAGTCCATCAATTCCCCAATCGTAGCGAGAAACAGCACCTCTATGCACATCTCCGCTTTCTGGAACAGAGACGGATTCTCCAAAAGACGATTGTTTACTTCAACGCGCGCATTTCAGTAACCGACGCCTACGATTATCTGATACGCTCTGCACTCGAAAAAGACAAGGACTGGCACAGGTGTCCGCGTGGAATAAACTCTCAGGGACATCGACGTTCGAGACTGGACCAACTTCAGGATGGCAGGGTCATGGTGCCGTTCTTGGAAGAGACCAACGAGATCGCGCACAACCTTAGCGACGCCACTCGAGTCGTTCAATGCGGGACCCCTCTTAGCCTATCCTGTGTCGTTCATCATTTGGACGCGTAGGGGTGAACCCAGAGATCAAGGGCATCGGGGTCCTGCTGGCATCGCATCTGAATTCGAACACGAGTCTGTTCATACGACCGGGTGTAGGAGAACGTTTCCTGATGCTGCATTTGGGGACAAGGGGAGCCTTGTATCGGCGAGTGTTGTGATCATTGTCATGGCATGAACAAAGCACAGAATGTGGCTATCTAGGAGCAAGAGAAACCAGTTCAGGGACAGTCAACCAATAGCATGCAGTCGCCCATAGCGCCAACACCGTCATTCAAAAGAGCGCCGCCACAACCACCCACAGCAGCGAAATTACTCATTGTACAATCATTCAAGGAAGAAGCACCAAGGAAAGTTGAGCAGCCGCGTGAAGAGATACCGCCAGTGCAGGAAGAACAACCAGCAAAAAGCGACTAGTCGCTAAATAAAGAAGACGTTCATTTACGAGACGTACTCAAATTGTACGCTGGCAATGCAGAATGGTCAGACCGAGACAGGCAAGTGCCCCCAATCGTTGATCATGCTCGGAAATGACTTCCCTACAAAGAGTTGATAAATATAAAAAAAAAAAGAATTGAACCATTGCCTAACGTGGCTGCACCCAAGTCTGTGACGTGTCTGCATGGCCGTTTTTTTTTTTTCCTTTTTCAAGGGGGTCTTTGCGCGCTTTTTCTCTTTTCTTTTCTCCTCTTTTTCCCACACATATCACCTCTCACACCCAGAACCCCCTCGGGACTTCACTCACATACACCACAGTTCTCCCTGGCTCCAAGCGCACCACCAACTAACCAACTAACTAACCAACACGGCCCTACCCACCGTCACCACCCTCTATCGTCCACCCCTCCAAGAATGTCAGCAATCGCCGCCCGATACTACGACGTCGAACACCACGCTGAGCGCTACATCGTGGCGATGCGAACCCTCGACGCCGAGATCCAAGAGCTCGAAGAGCTATACACCGCATCCGTAGCAACCGGCAAAGAGGATAAAGATCTGGCCAAGCAGCTCCAGGAACGTCGGGCAAGAGTTCAGTATTATGAACTCGGGATTGAAAGGATGTTGCTTGCCAAGAGGGGACTCACCGCTACCTTTGCTGTCCCCACCGCTACTATCGCCTGGCCTGGAGAATCCTCCTAGTCTCAGTGAGGCACACTTTTTGTCTTGTTCTTTCTATAGAATAAAACCTGTCTGGTGGAGAACAGTTGGATAATTCTTTGTAAATGTGTTTTTTTCCTTTTTATTTTGCTTTTGTTACATTATTATCGAACACAATCGACACGGAGGGCAGTCATCTTCCTCAACACCGGCAACGAGGAAACATGGTTCAAGAACCGCTCAAACAACACATAATTCGGCTTTAGATACGTCCGGTCCACAGGCACATCCATCGACACCCTCCACCCATGCGCAAACACCCTCCCAGGCTCAAGATACTCCATCTCCAAATCCTTCCTCCGTTCCAGAATCCCAACAACCAACTGCAGTTCCTCGAGTCGATCACATCGCCAAGGCCGTTCCATCATCGTATCTGCGAAATCGGCTTGACTGCTCCTTTGGCGAAAGTCTCGAAATACGAGGAGGCGGAGGGAAAGGAAGGAGTCGACGACTTCCTGGAGGAATTTGGTTTGTGCCTGTCCTGCTGCTACTCGGTCTGTTGGCGGGGGTGCTGTTATTGTAGCAGCTGTTGTTGTGGTTGTTGATTGAGGTTGACAAAAAATGATCGACATCTTCAAGTGTTCGAGTGTGGCGCGGTGAGCTCTTGTGGCGCGTTGGATCTCCTGTGTCAAGTTGTTGCACTTGTATTCCAGTTGTGTCAACGGTCCACAGGCTTCGATGACCTTGTGGATCTGGTTCGCCTCGCTGGTCGATGACAGAAACTTCAATGAATGGATCTTCGGGCAACAAGTATACATGTCCGAACCGTTTTGGAGTCGGAGGAGAAGCATAGTCGCCAGTGGTTCCAAGCTAAGCGACGGGTCTGGAGAGAGGCAGAGCCGTTCCAGGTTCGGGCACCGAGCAATCAGGTCCTCGATCCCTGGTGTGATCTGTGGTGAAAGGTCCGTTCTGAGTTCGACCACATTCGGGAACCAAAGCCGTGTGGCTGTTGTCGATGGTGTTGTATCGAGAGTATACTCCCCTCGAATGTTGATCAAGGTCAAGTGTGTCAGCGTACTCGCCGCCGGCCTCAAAAACAGCCCCAAATCCTGCTCCAACGATACCTGGGTGGTAAAGTTGTTGATGCTGAGCTCCTTCAGTCGCAAACATCTCGAGAGCGCAGTGGCGTTGATGGGCTGCGGTTTAGCCTCGTGAGCCGTGAGCCCGACTTTTCTCAGATGCCGGTTTAGATGGAGGACTTGCGCATAGGCTGGTGGTGGGATGGCGTGCACGACCTTGCCCCATCCTGATTTCCGGAAAAAGAACACATCCAACTCCACCAGACTCTTGCATTGTTCCTCCTCTCTTTCCTTCTGCTGCTGTTGCGCTAACTCCCTACTGTCCTCGTCCTTCTTTCCCTCTGCATCTGCATCCTCGCTCAACACCTGCCCTTCCTGCTCCACCTGCCAATGTCTCTCCACCTGCCAATGTCTCTTCACCTGCCAATGTCTCCTCACCTGCCAATGTCTCTCCACCTGCCAATATCTCTCCACCTCATCCCTCGTCAACGGCATGAACCTCCCCAGAAAATACCGCATATGCCGTCGATACCGCATCCAAACCTCCTGCGGAACCCTCCACATAAACCGTTCATCAAAGCACCTCCAAAGCACCGGCACCAGAATCTCCCTCCAGGTCTTGCAGACCAGACAACAGTTGAGTAAAGTGAGGGGAAGGAATCCTGGTCCTGTCTCTGCAGTGTCGAAGAATGTTATGTCGTTAGGGGACCGGAGAAAGTCCTGTGAGGTTACAGAGAAGGAAGAGGAGGAGGAGGGGGGGAGAGGGGCGGTTGTGAAGAGGGGGATGTTGAATGCGATTGCACGTAAGATTTCTGGAATTGCGAGTGCTCGATTTGTCGCGATGGTGGACATTGAGTGGAGAGGGGATGGAAGGAAGAATGGTGGTTGAATGAAGACAGTCGAAAGAAAAAAAAGGTCGAAAGGTACTAACTACTAATAAGTGTTCAGTCAACAAGCGCGCGCGCTCAGACCTCAGTTACTCACACACCCAAGCAAAAGAAAAATGGCATTTGTCACAATGGTCGATAACGACATTAATATCTCCTTATTGCTTATCTACAATCGCTTGTCTATGTTACGGACACATGTCACCCTTTCAGTCTTCATAGTCCTAAGGCGGGGTAAGGGTGACACATGGCCTCAACAACCCATAATCTGGACTTGCAACCTCCTTCCCAACCTGACCCTCATCCGTAAATATCCTCCGCCACCCACCACCAAACACCTTTCCAGAGGCCACCAGCACCTCTCGCTGAGACATATCGTAAGCTCCTCCAAACAACTCCAGTCGTTCAAGGTTCAAACCCTTCCAGGGCCTGTACATCAGTGCGTCATAAAACTCGAACTCGGTTGTTCGCACGCGCTTTTCATAGAAACTCAACTCCCCGAGACTCAAAAACGAATCCGCCACCTCCTGAAGGAACCGCATTTGCTCCACTGCTACCTGCGGCGCCCAAACCTCTCTGCCATTCACATAGTCGACAGGCTCACGTATGTGAAAGCTCACCGCCATCCTGAATACCTCAAGTGAATCCCGGTGCGTCCGGACAGCATCCTGCAGATCCTTTGTGATTCGTGGGGCTTTACAGTGGAGCTCCAAAAGTCGCCCAGGAGTCACTGCTCGGACGACTTTACAGATCTCTGTGTCGCTTTTGAGAGTTAACGGAATCAAGATGGAGGTGAGCTTAGGACAATGGTCCTTGATGATTGTCGCCACTCGGTCCAGGTTTGTTGAACGGTCCAATGGAGAGAAGGTCAGCCGCTCCAGGCGTGGGCATCGTGTAAGCAACTCCTGCAAGCCCATAAATGTATGAGTATCGCTGCCGCCACTGACGTTCAATGTGAGGTCGGTAACTTGGGGGAGCCAGATGGTCGTGGGGTCAAAGCGGCCTCCCGCCAGAGCGTCTTCAGAGTTGCAGAGACGGATCTCAGGAAGCGACCAAGTTCTGAAGCCTCTCTGTTGTCCATGTTGAAGCGATAGATCCTGAGTTCCTCAAGCCGCGTACAATTGTCCAAGGTTGACATGAAAATACAAGGATGATGTTGGATTTCGGACGTAAGTACGACACGTCGGAGTTGCGGATTCGACTGAATTAGGCCAAGGAAGACCAGTAGAGGTGCTAGTCCAAAAGGTGCGCGCCGCGATACGAACTTGCAAAAGAACACTTCCAGGTACAGAAGGTTCCTGCACTCCATGTTTTGGTAGTGACTCTGCTGGTGGCGTTGTTGTTGGACTTGGGTCTCAATCGAATTGGCGAGGTCCTTCAAAGCGCAGGTATGAGACGTTACCATGTCCCGCTTTTCCCGTCCTCTCTCTCTCTCGCTCCTCTTCCCCCTCCTGGGAAAGAGGCATGACTTGTCCACTGCAGTACCGAAAGAATGACCGATATTGGACAATGATGTGACGAGGGACGATGCCCATAAGCCTGCCGTCGTAGCAGCGCCACAGGACTGGCAGTAGAATCGCGCGCCAGGATTTGGAAACAAGACAACAATTGAGCAGAGTTCGAGGCAAGTAACTCTTCTTTTCGATGAGCGTTCCGACAGAGGGATTGGATAGCGGTATGTTGAGTCAGATGAGGCGCACAATCTCGGCCATTTCGAGTGCTGTTGCCGTCGCCATGGTTTGATGAGGGGTGTGTGTTGCGAAGATGCACTTTGAATTTCTTTTTGTGTCGATGACGTGTATCAATGAGACAATGGGCGCGAAAATGCGTCGAGTGATACAATGAATTATGATGATCAGCGGAGGCGCGCATTCGAAGGAACGAGCGCTTTGTGCACAAAAGCCTTAACTAAACAATGTGTGAGTGGTTGGCGTTCTTTATCTGAAAAGAAGATATTCAAGGCGACAGGGGCTATTGTTGATTCGGGGCAGGTCCAACCTCGGCCTGCATCTGGATAAAGTCCAACAGAGCGGCCTCGTACTTGCGCATAAGCTGACGGCAGGCCATCAGACCAGGCGAGTCCTGTTTGTGGCCCCACCCCAGAAACTCTTGCTCCTCTTCGTCCAAGATGTTGAGCTTACGTTTGTATCGTTGTGACATATCGCAGGGCGAAATCATGACTCGATTACCGGCTTGGCTAGTCCTTGTCCCTGCTGGTGCCGCTGTTGCTTTTACTGCTGCTGTTGGTACCGATGTTGGTGCTGGTGTTGTTGGTGTTGATGGTGCTGTTGTTGCTACTTTTGTAAAACCAACACGTCGCTTCTTGGGTATAGCGTTGTCCTTAGATATACTATCACTATTACTACTGCTGTTGATAATGTTGGCACTATTAGGTGCATGTGGGTCGTGGTGGAGGAGATCGAGAAGGATCTGCTTGTTGGGGACCAAGGGGTACAAGGACTGGAGAGATAACTCGTAATCGAGGATGGTGTGGCGGACTTTGTAGAGACACTCGGTGTCGCGTTGGTGGTTGATGGTCGAGGAGATGTGCGGAGTCTTGAGGTTGAGGAGGAGGTGGGCTTCTTCAGAGTCGAGGAGGGCCAGTCTTCGGAGACAGCGATTTGTGTAGTAAGTTGTGTGGTCCGAGTCGACCATGTTGAATGTTGTTTGTATGGCGTCGAGTAAAGTCCTGAACTGCTATGCTGGTTTAGTGGGTAGGTCGGAGAGCACATGCCTTGGACGGGGGTTTCATTATTGTGTTTGTTGTCCTGATGTCCCCTGGGTTATGTTGTTGTTGGTTGGGTGAAGAAGAGAAAAGAAAAGAACAAAATAAGGGTCCTCCCTTTTGTTTCGTGGTGGTGATCAAAAGTCTAAAAAAAAGAAAGTAGGCGGCCACCATGCATTTGACGACAGGCTTATTGCTTGTTAACGTGTGAACAACGTGTGTGTGAGCATGGGTCAACGCACACACATTTTATCTGATAATGCGTGCACCTCTTCGTCTATGCTCTTGGCATCATTTGTTTGCATTCCCCTTTTGTTTGTTTGTTTTTTGTTTCGTTTTGTTTGGCATGTTCAACCCCTTCCCCTCTCCTAATCCACCTATTTCTTTCCTTTCCCTTCCTTTCCTTATGATTTTCCTCTCTTCTTCCTTCTCTCTTTACTTTCACTGCTCCTCTTCTTACACTTCCTCACCCAAACAGGAATGCAGCTGCCTTCGTCGTCGCCACCAACAACAACCAGCCATTCCAATGCCAACAGCCAGAGCCGCAACCACCTCCATGCTTTCCACATACCTGAAATAACCTCCATCATCGTCTCTTCCCTCACCCAGCTCGACATCATCCACTGCAGAGGCGTCTCGCTCGAATGGCGCCGACTCTTCTCGCCCTTCCTCAAGCTACACGGCCTCTACCGCATCCACAACCCCGTTCTCAAGACACTCTTCGAGGAACAACTTCAGTCTCTCGGCCCCTTTGTCTACTCCCTCAAACAAGTTGTCCCTATCCCACAAGACCTCGAAGTCGTTCAGCAGACATGCCCAAGACTGGGTCACGTCGGTTTCTATGTGCAGCGAAAACAATCGATGCACTTCAAGGCATTGGTCAGGTTCCTCGAGAGCATGCACGTCCTGGAGAGCATTGCCTTCTATTCCTTCGACGACAGCATGGTCACAACACTGCTGCAGGGCCTTGCTACCTACCAACACCAACAACCACCAACTGCTGTGAAAACATCGACCGCCCTCTCGCCGTCAACTGCATCAACGCCGTCGTCATCTCCTGCACTCAGGAAGCTGGAGATTGGAAACGCCGCGCACAGTCTCAAGTTTGCACGGATCCAATGGGAGCAAGTCATGCTTGTACTTCTCAAACACCCAGAGATGAACTCCCTTGCGCTCAGGGACGCGCACTTATGTTGGTATCAAGACCGCGAAGACCCCTCCACCGAGGATTGGTCGCGCAATGTCCTCGTCCGAGCGGTGTTTGGAGCAGAGACCCAGCGGCAGTGGAATGGACTCTTGAGCAAGCTTGGGTCTTGGCGACTAGGAGGCAGCAGGACAAACCTAACACCTGAGCTGAGCAGTCTGCGTAAAAGTGGATGTGGGTCTGGATCTAGCACGACGGCGAATAGTGATGCAACAACCCCTGTCCAGTTCAGCAAGATGACTCACCTAGTTCTGGATGGCATGCGGATCTCAGAGGACTTGCTGTGCTATATCCTCAATCGTTGCCCGGCACTCAAGTCTCTGGAGCTTTCATTGGGATCAACTATCTCTTCTCAGTTCTGGGCCGGATGGCTTCTTAATTGCCCCCAGCTCGAGTCCGTCAAGGTCAAGAGTTCTTCGGGCAGTGTCAACATTGATATACCCAACTTTTGGAGTCTAGCACCAACAACCTTGACGACGTTTCAGTTTGCTTCCGACCGTCGACAGTTGACATTTCCCGAGTTGTCTCCCTTACCTAGTCTTACCAACTTTGCTGAACTTTCAAATGATCGCTGTCACGGATCTACACTTGTGACACTCGAACTCGACATTGGACTTCGGGTCGCCGACCGTGGACTGCCCTACATCATGACTAATTGTCGATCGTTGGTGAGCCTGGTCATCGGGATCCAGTACTTTGCGGACTGGGAGCATGTGAATGATGGCCTTGGCGGCGGCGGCGGTAATCCTGTCTCGCCCACAACAGCCACGCAGCCGAGGTCTTTCCCGCCATGGTCATGTGGAAGGACGCTAAAGAATTTGGAGCTGCGAGTGTTTTATCTCCCGCAGGACTTGCAGTTTGACGAGCGGATCCACGTGTTTATGAGACGACTGGACGATCTGCGAGTTCTGGAGAGTCTGAGTTTGCCATTGAAGCTACTGAGCGATCTGTCCGAGAGTCAGCATGAGGATTACTCGGGATTCAACTTGGGAGTGCTGGAGCATTTAGAACAACAGGCTTTGTTAAACGAACAGTTCCCTACACAGGCGACAGTCTCGGTGCCTACTCAGGATCTGAGTCTAGGTGGAAGTATGGCGGCGCAAAGTCAACTTCAACAACAGGCAGGAGCCTACCGTAACGTGCTTCCACAGATGCCGTCGGTGCAGGAAGTGGTGCTGTCGTCGAGTGGTTCGTTCCGGTTCCAGATCCGTATGCGGCACTTGCACATCTTGATGGAGGCGCTGTCAGGACTGACGACTGTGTGGGTAGCGCCGGGACTATGCGGACTGGATCCATTGCCCTGGTTCAAGCAGCTGCATGATAGATTCCAAGCCCAGTACGGTTCACGCGGCGTCGCCCTTCATCTTGGCAGTCCTGCCTGGGGTGAGTGATCAAATCATCAAGAAATTCTCTGTTCAAATAAATGATTTTTTACTTCGTTCGTGAGTGACATATTTGATTTTCTTTTCTCGCGTTTGTGGAACGATGCATTTGAAAAGGACAAAAAATACTCCAATTTACTGACTCTCCGCACAAGATCCATTGCCAAGCAAACAACCATGCAAGCTTCGTCATCTCCAGCAGCCTTGCAGCAGCAGCAACAACATGCCACAGACACAGTGTCAACAACAACAACAACGAAGACGACATCAGCAACAAAGGCGTTGCAGATGCCAGAACTGCTCCTCCAAATTGGACCACACCTCACGGTCCCCATTCTGGCTCGTTGCATCCGTGTCTGCAAAGCATGGCATCACCTCTTTGAGCCCCTTCTCTGGCAAACCTTCGAGTTCCCGGCCGCCGAACCAATATTTGGCGCGTCTCCAACAAGACTGCAACCGAATCCAGATCAGGTCCGCAGGATGGCGTCGCGGATTCAGCGATTGATGTTTTACAAGGATCCTAAAACTTCTAGGTCGCCTTCATTCGAGTACCTCATCACCGAGTTGCTACTCCCCGACAACAATGACGACGAGGGAACAAGGAGTCAAGACCAACTGACCCGCCTCGACGTGTTTTTCACGATCCCCGCGGTTGACACGCTTCTGCGACAGAACCAACGGTCGTTGAGACGATTGGGGATCACGTCAAATATGTACACCCCGGAGGTTGCGTACTTGGCGAGAGAGGTGTTGACAGAGAGGATTTTAGGGATGGATCGGTTGGAAGAGTTGTCGTTGATGAGGTTTCATATCCCGCAGGGACCTCAGGGGGTGGCATTTCTGGAGACTTGTCGACGGTTGAGGAGTTTGGAGTTGGGGATGGTAAAACTTGATGCTTTTGTTCCGAGTCAAGACGCACAGGGACAAGGAAGGGGAGATGGCGGTAGCAACAACTACGACAGTGAAAGAGAGCCGTTCGTGTTCCCAAGATTACGAAAACTCAAACTGGACCGAGTTCTGGTGGAAGGTCAGGAGCAGATGAATCTGTGGAAGGCGTGTACACACGTCGAGGATCTGACCTGGGTTTGGACACGACAGCCATCCGGTTTGGATTTCCCGATCACCGAGGTGTGTGAACACCTTGCCAGACCTTCGTCCCTGTCGATGGTCCAGTCTCTTGCCCGGCTGGAACTCAACACCAAGACGGTCACCGACAAGGAGTTTTCGCGATTGTTGGAGCTGCTTCCTAACCTACAGCGTGTGGCCGTCAACGGTACTCGATTTGGACCCCTTGCCCTGGCGACCCTTCTTGGGAATGGTGTTGAGAGTACTGGGGCACAGAGAGGACAAGGAGGAAGGGCGCATGGGTGGAGGGAGCTATCGTTCGTCAATTGTATGTGGCTGACGGGATGGGACACACAGAGGATCCTTACGTCCTGCTCGTCGCTCGAAGTCTTTGCTGGCAGTCCAATCTACATCTCCCAGATGACCTCCCACCGAACTCTTTTCTCTGCCACCAACTTTAGCACACCGTCAGAGTCGTTTTATGCTAGCCAGGAGATCCCGCTACAGGATCGCCCATGGGTGTGCTCAGATCTAACACACCTAGATGTCCGGTTCTTGCTCTGCACCGAGAAAGAGTCCCGGACAAGGACTGTTCCCGCTCGAGACTCTGACACGATGCGCCTCCGAAGAGGGATCATCTATGATCGCCTGGCCAGCCTAACAAGGCTCCAGGTCCTTTCCTGCAGCAACAATGACGGTATTATCTCCAGTCCAACCGTCATCCGCTTTGAAGAAGAGTCAGGGATACGAAGGGAGTATGGGTTGGATTTTAGTTTGAGGTATGAACTGACGAGGTTGGCACAATTGAAGAGGTTGCGGGAGCTGAGGCTGCATCGGTTGGAGAATGAGTTGTATATGGGGGAAGAGGAGTTTCGGTGGTTGGAAGGACAGTTTCTGGAGTTGGTTGCTGTCCTTGGGCCTTTTGATGAGAGGGTGGTGGGTGGAGGAAAGGAGTATAGGTTTCATATTGGGCGAGGGTAGGATGGAGTAATAGGATAGGCATGGACATAGTAAACGTTAAAAGGGAAACAATAAAAGTCGACAGCTTTTGACTTTTTTTAATTCCCTGGCCAAGAGTTTTTGTCTCTTTGTTTGGTTCTCCACCTTTGGTATGTAAAACAGGGTTAAATAACGTCGTTCTTTCACATGCAGTCAGCTTAACAGGGTTGAGAGCGTGTCCTGTGCTGCATTTTTTTTGACAACGTGAGAGTAGGGTGGGATGAAGAAGGTGGGAGCTAGGCCCCATTCAAAGAGCGACCTCGGCTGAGGATTGGGGTAAACGAGGGGGCAGCAGATTTGCTTTTATTGCTTTATTAGTTCATTATCTGAGAGATGATACGCCGCTCCTTGGCGAACCCCATTGGATCTGCGCATCTTTGTTACTACTCAGAATGAGTTTTTCTAACCATGCGGTTGCTGACATGCATGCTTTGTCTCTTGTTCCTGAAAATTGGCGAGAAGACCACGAGATAATGACAGACCAAGGAAAGGCAAGGCAGGCGTAAGAAATGATGGCTGAGCGTTTGTTTATTTGTTTGTACAAACAAAGAAAACCACAAGACATGCCATTTCCTTTCCTTGTCGCACTAAGGTCGAGCAACCACTTCTCTTTGGTTAATGTTTCTACTTACACCCATTCCTCTTTCAAGCCAAGGCTGACCGAAGCTGTTTGCTTTAGAACAAAAAGTGTTCGGTTTAGGGAGACAACCCTAATCCATCGCATTGCTCATTTTTTTTTATCTTTACTTTCTTTTTTTGATTCTTTTTATCACGTTCAAGTTCACAGCCGTCGTATAAAAAGCTCGAGCACATTTTTTGGATTTCCCACAATCATCAACTCCTTTTTCCTACATTCACTCCTTCCTACCCTCTCACAACAACTCTCAAAACAACAAAAAAACCTACACAAGATGTCAATGGCAGGAAACACACCCGAGGGCACCGGACACGTCGGCACCTTGACGCCCAACCAAGCCACAGCTCTGAAGCAGTTCTGGGAAGCCATCCACAACATCCAAGCCAACGGCACCGTCACCCTCACCCACGACCCCAAGCTCAATGCACCCCCAGCCCCTGCTGTCGACCCAGCACCCGTTGCTGCCGGTTGGGGTGGTGGATGGTTCGGAGCTGCTGCACCCGCCGCCCCCGTCGAACCCGTCGCCGAGCCCCCATTGACCATCACCCTCGAAGAGATCGGTCTCTCCGCCGCAGATGTGAAGACGGCGTTGTGGAACAACGTGATGTGCGACCACCCAGACTCGTTGGTGTTGCGGTTTTTGCGCGCGCGCAAGTGGCATGTGGGAAATGGCTTGATTATGCTGTTGAACTCGTTCAAGTGGCGACAGGAGATGCAAGTGGAGGATGTCAAGTATTGGGGAGATGATGACCTCGAGGCCGCGTATCCAAAGTTCAGGAAGCAGTTGGAGATGGGCAAGTTTTATATCCATGGGACTGATAAGCATGGCCAGCCTGTTGTGTAAGTTCCTCTTTTCTTTGTTTTGTGTGTGTGTGTTTTTTCTTTCTTTCTTTCTTTCGTTTGTTTGCTCAATGTTTGTTGCGTTTTCTTGGACATATTTGTGGTCGTTCGTTGTTCCTTTCCTTTCTTTATTTTTTGTTGGGGTGTTAGTTGCGTTGTGGGCGAAAGAGGGGTTTCTGTGGAGGAGGTGTCGGGATGTGGAATTAGCTCGGGACTTACTTTTTTCGTTAACGGACACATCTCACATCATTTTTGTGAGCACAATTTGGACAACCATTTCAGGAACAGGAACAAGGAACAGGAACAGGAACAGGAAAGATAAAAGGAAACTCAAAGAACAAAGAGGGAATGGCGGCAGTTCGGGATGGATTATGGATGAGAGAGTTTTTAGCCGAGGGATAGACTACTAGGACATCCATCCGATGAACTCAACAGGCAGTCAGAGAAACGAAACTTGGACACAAATACGCCCATATCCAGCATGCAAAGGACAACCTTTTACCCGACGGCATTCTCAATGACAAAGCAGAAGAATCAGGGATAACGACATCAACAAACAATAAGGAGAGAGAAACAAGTGCACATGGGAGTCAAGGCGATTACAGGGAAAAAGAAAACAAACAACAACATTCAAAATGAGGACACAAAGTTACACACCACCAAGAAAAAATGGACTAGTGGAGAAGGTCAAAACAAACACTGTAAATCTGAGAGCACACGACCGCACTGCCCTAGAAGTCTTCATTCACACCACCTACTTTAAACAAGACAAGTCACAATAGATCTAATCCCCCACAACCATCTTTGTCCAAATAACCAAACATAGCTACTTGAACGTCCAGTTGCACAGAGCAGGAGACCAAGATTACAAAACCCTGGAACGCCTTACAATCTACCTCATGGAAACCGGCCGTCTCCTCATCCAGCCCCCCGTCGAGACTGTCGCCCTTGTCTTTGATCTCACTGGTTTCGGCCTCGCCAACATGGACTACACCCTGGTCCAATTCCTCGTCAAATGCTTCGAAGCCTATTACCCCGAATCCCTCGGCGCCATCCTTGTCCATAACGCACCCCTAGTCTTCTGGGGAGTTTGGAAGGTGATCGAGCCCTGGTTGGACCCTGTCGTTGCCTCCAAGATCAAGTTCACCTACAAGAACCAAGAACTCCTCGAGTTCATCCCAGCAAATCACTTGCCCGAATCCTTCAAAGATGCTGGCTTGGACAAGTTTGTCTACCAGTACCTCCCCCCCGTCCAGGGTGAGAACGCCCTGATGGAAGATCAGGAAGGAAAGGCAAAGGTTGTGAAGGAGTGGAACGAGTTGAGTGAGAAGTTTGATGTGGCGACGAGGGCATGGATCAAGACTGGCGGGGATGTGTCGGAGGAGAGGGAGAAGCTTGCCAAGGATTTGAAGAACCAGTACATCAAGATGCAGCCTTATATCCGGGCCAAGAACCAGTACCAGCGTAAGAATGCGTCTGGAAAGTCGATCATTCAGCCCGATGGCTCTGTCGTCTGGACCTACCACAACTAGACATCATTCTTCTATTTTCTTGTTTACACAGTTACCCTCTCCCTTAATACACTACATTTTTTTTCATTTCTTTTTCTGTCCGTTATTTGGCAAACAACGAAGCATGCACCGGGAGCATATCGGGCAGCGGGACCGGCTGATGCGCGTAATAATTTAAATTCAAGAGAAGAAGGACGGAGAGAGAGAGCGGCGATGATGGTTAGACAGAATTATTCGGCTGCGGACATATCTTGCCCATTCCTGATAGACTGAATGTGTTGGTGTAGAAAAAGAACGGCGTTGGCTGTTGAAATAGCAATGAGGCAACAAGCCAGGGGAGACAACAAGGGCGCATAGCTGCGAGCAGGGGTGAGCAAGTTTAAGGGGTATAATGTCTAGTTCGCACTAATCCCATGTAAAGCGAGCGAGCAAAGGGCTAAAAAAATAGAACAAAATGGGACATCCCTGTCATTATCAAGTATACGCATGATCTTGTGCCAGCGCAGTTGTCCTTTCTCATCATACCCCCCTCCCCCCTTTCCTTCTCTCACCGTCACTCAATGGGAGGACTGGTCTTCACTTCTTGCATATAAAGTCTTGCTGCGAGGGACTGATCAATCGTGGCTACCTATGCACATTCTTTCAAACAAGGAGAGAGAACTAAATGAGCGAGAGTTTTGTCTCCCATGGCACCTTTTCCATTTCGTTCTTACTTTCTCTTTTCTTTTTGCTATCATTGCTTTTGCACACGCGCTCTGCTTGTTTTCCATCATAGGATTGCGGCCCATCAATAGTTTTTTTGTCTCTCCTGCTCGCTCCTCGCTTTCGTCGTTCCTCCTACACCTTGTTTGTTTTAGCAGAGAATTTTGTACACATTAATTAATTCAAGATTTCAAGAACATCGGCCCTGGTGTATTAGAGATATGGTGGATCTGGAACGATGCTATCTTAAAGGCACTGTGCTATATCGACATGACGACAAACTATCAAGTCCCTCTTACAGAGCCGTTTCCAGCAGGTGCGACTCATGGATACATCCTTGTCGATATACCGTTGTGGGCTCGCTCCTGGATATAGCCACACACCATGCGGAGAACGACCGTGCGCCACCGATAATTGGGTCGATCAATTCAGGTGCTACAATGTGCAGTGGTCTCAGCAAAAGAATTTTCATACTAATAAAAATTTCATATCTTCATGTCAAAACTGCTGTCATTGACACAAGAGAAATGTCAGCCATTTCACTCGAAAGTAGCTCTATCGAGGACCAACCCCACCAAGGCTTTTCCTTGTTATTAACGAGATACTCTTGGTCACGAACGGTAGAAGCAACTGTCGAACCCGTCCCTAGTTCGCCTTACAGTCATCCGAAGTTTCGTCCAAAATGAAGGCGGCATACACCATATCCGCCAGTAACTGATATGATTTACATTTCACAAAGTTACTCCATCCCTATAACCGGAAAAGATGAAGGCCCTCTCAAATCTCAATGGGAAAAATGCATAGCAAAGAGTAACGACCTACCCATTTAACCCAAAAGTACATTTCTATTGGGCACCACCCTTCATGACCGTGGTTCAATCTAGTCAATCACAATACGCCAGGTTATGAGATGAACAAAGCACTTCCTTGAGGCGACGAACGTAGAATTGCTTCTGCTGTTATCCCAAGAAGAGTGATTGGACTTCACCTCAGCTATGAACCAAGGCGAATGACGCTCTAAGAGTTACTCCATACCTGTGACCAACAAACATAGATACTCGACTTTTCTGCCCATGCATGTACTTTCCACCAACAGTACTTGAAGAACAAAAATAGCAAGAGATTGTACCTTATCAAAACACAGTTAACTGACTATGATGAGAAAAAGAGTGGACGTGTGTTTGAGAGAGGTGAAGTTGTGTTTGTTGATGTCAGTTGCTTCTCATCCCACTAATCCTACGCCATCACCGCTCCCACGGGCTTCTCTTCACCACACCTCCCTTTGCTACTCCTACTCATCACTTACCACTCCTTCTTGTCATCCCACTCTCACGCCCTTTCTTTGTTGCCGTCTCTGTTGCCATCTCTGTTGCCAGCACTCCCAAGCCCTTCTCAACACTGCTCCAGGCGCGTTGTTTAACAATCCTTTTATTCCCATGCAGAAACACCCTGTCATTAGTGGTCTGCTTCTTTAGCTCTAGCAGATTTAATGAGCATCTCATGGTTTGCCGGGCGGCAAGTGATTGCGACAGTGGTGGTATTCATTGGAGCTCTTCATGGCATGTGCTCTCTTGGGCGCCATGTGGCTCCTCTGTTTGATAAAATGCATGTGAATTATGTAGAAACACTATACCATAGGTGGTTGACTTGGACTTTAGTAACCAGATTCTTTTTACACCCGTTCTTACTAGAGGTCGGATATGCCACAAGAGTATCTGGAATGGGCTTTGGGCTGGAATGGAGCAGAGCATGTCTATATGTCGAATTTCGTCAGCCATTTCGGTTTCAATAATCGAGAATCTGCAACGAGAACTTTCCAGGAACTCATACATTCATCTCAAATCCCGAAAAAAAACGCCAAGAGAAAATAAGGGTAGCATTCAAAAGTTTCCAGGAGCACCACGAGGAGCAGTTTTGGACAAAACTTGTCCTGAAACGCAACACAGAGGTGACCGCGACAAAAGCGGCTTGTGCGATGGACTCCAAGAGGCAGAAGCTGCTTATGGTAAATGAATGTGCCCTTGTGCACAGTCAGTACTGTAGTCCCATTATTGGTGCTATTATTAGTAACATACGCGTCTTTACATATGTCCCATATTCCTACAGAAGAAAGAAGACAAGCAAGCATGGCACCAACGACGATTTCCTGTCACTCTCCAACTCTGCTACCGTCCCGAGAGACCGGCTCCCCACCCCACAGCGAAGCTGTTACGGCAGAGCGACACCTAGCATTATATGTTGTATGTTGATATAGTTCTTTCTGTTGTATATGTTTCTCCAAAATTACTAATTGTCTAATTTCTTATGAAATATGAAAACGTACGGACTTGGAGAACGTACCGTTGCTCGCACAATCGGAAAACAATCTACCTAAAGTGTTCTGCAGTTCGGTCCCACCTGTTGATGAAAGGCTAGGAGAAGGTATCGCTTTTGATTGCATTGGCAATGATGACTAAGTGCCTTGATTTTAGAAACTCATTATTAACTTACAATCGATAGTGGAGTTTCGACAGGGAACATCTTGCGACACAGTCGAAACTGAAGGTACTTCGTGCTTTAAATCTATGCCATGGACTCTGCGACCACCACTTAATAAACATAATCGATAGCTATAGGCCTTAAGCTTATGTAACCCGTACTGATCTCACCCTACGTTTCATTATTATTCCAAAGATCAAAGCGAAATAGCTGATAATCAAGAACGAGAAGATCTTCAGGCAAGTGTTAGGCAAGTATTATGCTACAATAATATTTTCTCTTCGACTGAAATTGACTGGGTGTAAGCTAATAGGCGTTAATGATCTGGCTTCATAGTGGATTGTGGAAGAAAAATGCATGGCGTGCCTCTTTCAGGGATACCAAAAGTTATCGATTGAAGCGCTGTTCGCGAAAGAAATCAAGAAAGTTGATGTGGCAGACGCTATGTAAGTACCTCTATTGCTTTCTTTTTGCCACTGTATTGTTATTACATCCCTTGATACTCAGTGTCTTTTACTATCGCTGCCATTGTAGTACGACATTAGGGGTGTTCGCGCCATCTTCGACACAAGTAATCACGATGTCATGCGCCTCTTTACTCTGGATGAGCAACAGGAGATACTGAAGACAAGACACACCAACCTATCCAATGACCGCCATTCGTCAGAGTATCTCGCCACTTTCGACAGTCAACCTATCCAACAGTTGAGAACACGTCTAGCAAGTAACGACTCGGATGCATTTGAACATAAGGATAGTGACGATTGATATCACCTTTTGGAGTGCCGCCGGTGGATATACAAGACCATGCTTGGGATGGCGGACTTGATGGAGCGATCATCAATCAATGGTTATGGCGCTGATACCCAATCGGAAAGATGGTATGAACTGCATGTTTGGAAAATGATTGACGAGTATGCGATGAACCACAGGAGCATGCAGCTGTTGAAAGGTGAGAAGTGTAGTAGCGCCAGTTCACTTCGCAAGAACGCCTACTCCCGGACAACAGGAGACCGCAAAAAGATGGGACGGCGAGTGGATGGAATATTTCGGACGATATCAGACAGACTGGAGATCGGAGGAATTGAGTTTGGGTTGCAGGATGAGAACAGCCACGGCACCAAGTTCTCCGAGGACGGACATAAATTGCAGAAGATGCTAAAAGACCAGTTTGATTTCGCCTTCCAGCACAAGCCCAACATTGTTAAGCAAGAAATGGAAATGTTGGGTCTGCAACTTCTTGGTCGTTCTATGCAGGTCATCTCTTTAGAATGGGTTGGCGGTCTCTTCCTACGATTCCGACGAGAGGACAAAACCATAATACCTGCATCCATGGAGCAATTCAGAGACCTCATAATTGGAAGGGCAAAGATAATACTGTTCTTTGACCGAATGGCCAACAACATCAATAAGCTTAATCCTACAAGGACTACTTCTGCGCTTGAGGACATCCTCAACCCACCAAGAGAACATTTTCACATGTCGCAAGAGCCACCAACAGCAACGTAACCATAGCTGCGATAATTCAAGCATTGTATGTAAATGGAAAGAGGTTTGACGACAAGGGCCACAGGAAATAAAGTACAAGGGGGAGAGGAGGTGAAGCAATGACTGAAGTTCTTTGTTTCTACAGTGCTCCAAATAAATGATTTAAATAGTGGAATTTTCGGGAACCTAGGCTAGAACAGGGCTGGGTTGATGCAACAGACATTACATAAACAGTCAGCACCTTCTTCATTTTAATAACGCAACTTATTACCTTTTTGCATTGGTAGCAGGCCGAAAATACATTCCTGATACTCTCTTAACTTTTTTCCAATCATTAACTATCGCCCTTTTGATTCCTAGTTCCCTTGACCACTTGTTCACTCGATCAATTTGTTCACTCTGGGCAAATGAAGGGGCGGAGTAGCATGCACTGGTCGCTTGTTGCGTTTTTACTCGCTAGAAACAGGGAAGAGAACGTTCAGAAGACGAGAGGTGATGGCGAATACAACAGACACGGTCTCATCCCTACTCCGCCTCCTGACTGAACGCCAGCTGGGTTAACGCCCCCCCACCTTTTTTTTTCCTTTTGAGGCTGTGTCGATTGCAAATCGTTGGAAGGGAAAGGAAGGGAAAAATAACAGAAGCAGGAGAAATGTCGACGTTTGAGTTTTGACAACTTCATTGAAGAGTCTTGGCATTCACGAGGGTGAGGGACGAGTAAGGACAACGAAACGTAGTGAACGTGTGCAAAAAAGCAATGCAGAGGTTATCTAGGATTGAGTGTATGGTCCAGCAAAAAAAAAAAAAAAAAGAGGTTATGCTGTGATGCGTAATGAGAGGTGGAAAAAAAGGTGGCTGTACGATGACCGCGCGAAGTGTACATGTCAGCAAACAAAAGAAAGACTCGTTTAATACCCCGACTTTTTCGTTTTCTAAAAAGCCCTTTTGTTGGTCCTTGGCTTGTTCACGAAGGGATAAAGGAATGTGGAGATTGGTGGGATGAACGACAGTTATTTTCACGAGACTGACAAGAAAAAAAATGCCAAGCATCCCCACAACAAAAGCGTCGGAAAAAGGGGTCATTGCCCGAGAATAAATATGAGATCATGGTTCGCTTGAATGAAACAAGGAAAAAGGAAACGGCCAACAAGCGTGGATGGGTGCGGGATGCAATCAACAACAAGTAAGTTGATGCTCTCGGCTGCCCCCTGTGGGCAAAGCACACTCCCGCCCACCTCATACTTCATGCTTGCCATGTTTTAATTTTTAATTGCATTTTGGTTTGTCCTCTTTTTTGTGTGTTTGTTTGTTCTGGTTATTTTCTCCCCTTTGTTTTCCCGCTACATCTGCTCGCTTTTATTTTTTTGCCTTCCTTCCTCAATCTCTTGAACGACCTGTGCGCAATGGTTCCTCATTATTGGACACGATGACCCTCCTTCTTTGTTTTCACCTCGCTATCCATTTTCCAACGTTGGGGAATTAGATACCAGCAAGAAAAGGCAGAGGGAGACGTAATGGGCCTCATGTAGCTGTCCAACCGGTTATTTGTTTGCGTCAGGGATGGGTCCGGCTTAGTCGACCAAACTCAGCGACTTTTGGCCGGGACACAAACAAACAAACAAACAAACAACAAAAAAACAAAAGCGGAGGCTAATTAACAAACGAACATGTGTCCTCTTCGTTCCACCTCCTCCACCATTTGCATGCACAAGAGCAATTATGATGCCCCATTTTCTCTTTTTTTTTTGAGACAATTTGAGTTATGGGGTAATGAGGGAGAAGGACAGAAAAAATATATGGATAAAAAGGGGCTGCTTCCTCCTTTTTTATTTCTTCATCATCAACCAGCACAACAGCACTCTCGATAGCCAACAACAACACTCCACTCACAACCAACAAGGACAACAAACAAGGATGGCAAAGGGAGATATTATGACACCCCCTGGGACAGGCTACATCGACACCCTCACCCCGGACCAAACAGCAACCCTGAAAGAAGTTTGGTCCATCATCTTTCACATCGCCGATTCTGGAGAAGCCGTCATCCCGGCGGCCATGATGCGGGAAGTCGAAAAAGAAGCCCTTTCAGGAAAGGGTGCTCAAACACCAACTGTCCAGGCTGCTGCAAAGGCGGGCTGGTTCTCGGGGAGTAAGAGTGTACAGGCTGAAGAGGCTGCCAAGGCAGAGGGACATGGGCAGGGTATGGCCAAGATCTCGTTGGAGGATTTGGGCCTCTCGGTGGATAAGTTGAGGCCTATTCTTTGGGATAATGTTATGGGTGACCATCCTGGTAAGATTGTTTCCTTTCTTTTTGTGGGAATGGGTGGGGTGTGGGAAAACAAACAAAGGTGTTGCGTTTATTGGGGCTATCTCCTTGTTCTCTCCCTCTCTGTCCACCTTTTTGGAAATCCAAGTTTGCTCACATTTCTTTGTGCACTCTTTCTCGCTCGACTAGATGCCCTGCTCCTCAGATTCATCCGGGCAAGGAAATGGAACACGATCAACGCGCTCAGCATGATGTTCAAGGCCTTCAAGTGGCGACTAGACGAAGACATCCCAGCCGTCAAGTACTCCTCCGACATCCAACTTAACGACCAAAACCCCAAATTCTTTGAACAACTTGAGATGGGCAAGTTCTACATCAAGGGCACCGATGTCGAAGGCCGAATGGTCGTTTATCTCAACGTCCGGCTCCACCACCCAGGCGATCAACCTCCCAAGACCCTCGAGAAGCTGACTATCTACGTCATGGAGTGTGGTCGTGTCATGGTTGAACACCCAGTCGAGACTGTCTGCCTGGTTTTTGATCTCACGGGCTTCTCGTTGTCGAACATGGATTTCACAATGGTTCGGTACCTCATTTCAATCTTTGAGGCTCACTATCCCGAATCGTTAGGTCGAATTGTAGTCCACGGAGCGCCATTCGTGTTCTGGGGAGTCTGGAAGATCATCGAGCCCTGGATGGATCCCGTCGTGGCGTCCAAGGTCCGATTCACCAGAAAGGACCAAGACCTCCTCGAATACATCCCCGCCGAACATTTACCATCGCGGTTCAAGGGCGGGTTGGACAAGTACGAGTACAAGTACATGCATGCACAAGAGGGGGAGAACGACCATATGGCAGACACGGCGACCAAGGACCGATTTGTTGCAGAATGGAAGGCGTTGATGTGGAAGTTTGAGGCGTTGACGAGGGAGTGGGTCGAGTTGGGGACGGGGAAGCAAGTGGATGTGGAAAGGACGGAGGAGGTTGTGACCAAGGAGCGTCAGGAGTTGGCGAAGCAGTTGAGGGTTGCTTATTTCAAGATGGATCCGTATATCCGGGCGAGAAATCTGTTCCATCGCCAGGGGGTTGCTCTCCCCGACGGTGGTGTCAAATGGACCTACGACAACTAGGGCCACGTCTTTTGCTGGTGTCTAGGGCGCCCTTTTTTTTTTAATCGCGCCTGTTCTCCTGCCTCTCAGTAATTAAAGTATGCAGCCCGTTTAACTTGCCTATTTGGGTCTTCACATCTAAAAAGCATGCGACAGGTACCTTCCTCTGTTCCTTCGGCCGGCTCGTACCCTTGTGGCACCATCGCCACCCAATATTTAGCGATATCCACACCACATACACGTTTATCTCCTCCCCATCACCAACACCATGGGGCTAGTCTTTGCTAACGGTGGCGGAAGAAAAAAAAAAGCCAACAGCGAAGGGGATTAAAGTTTCGACATATGACAACCAGAGTAGGGAGCCGCACTCCTCACGCCCCTGCCTCCTGTTTCTCCTCTCCCCCCATTCCTCATCTGAGCCTATTAGGTGGAGTGGGTGCGGTGCACATGCCATTGCGCTCTCAGTGAGCAAAAGACGAGAGGTTTTTTTTCGTTTGTGGACGATAAGCCTATGCATAATTGTTCCTCCATTTACGTACTTTTCACAATGTTGCCGCACAGGGAACATTAATTGAACTTTTTCTCCTTCCTTTCGTTGACTCGTGCGCATGCCCTCTCTCTGTTTATCTCCATGATACAACTTAACCAAATACTCCCCGCCCTGGTTGAGGGGTCTGAATGTGTGGGACATGGGGGCGCAAGATAACCAGTTTTTGTTTGTTCACCTCTCGTCCAAGATTTGGTTCGAGAGGGAAAAAAAGAACCAAAGAGAAAAGACAGAAAAAATGTGAGCGTTGTGGCTCTCTGTTCTTTTTTCTGTGGCGGCAGTGAACTGACAGGTGAGCAGGTGAACAAGGGGTGCATTTGGTTTTGGAGGGAGGAGAGGAGAAGGTGAAATAGCGTCTATATGTTTTTGGCTTTTTTTTTGCTTTGATTGCAGTGAAACAGCCGTTGCATGTGCAGATGGAACTTATGTGTGAGCGTGGGCGTGGGGTGTGGGTTGGATGAAAGATGTGTTTCCCCTTTTTCTCCACGCAGCCTCTTTTTGGGCGCAGGAAAGTGAAGGGCAAAAAAGAATGAAGAGAAGAGCCGAACAGCAGGATCGATTAAAAGAAAGAAAGAAAAAAAAAAACCACGTCAGCATCATCCAACCATCTCAAAGAGAAAGCGTGATAATGAGGAGTAGCTCTTTTGGGGTGATAGGGTGCAGGGAGCCGAGAGGGACGAAAGATATTCTACCTGTTGTAAGCAAACAGAAAATTACATTTCGGGTCGGTGTGATCGCGATCATTCTCATTATTGATTTTATTTATGTCCCCCTTGAATGTAAAATTTGACATACAATCCTTTCATTGAAGGTGACCACGAACCATTGACCATGCAAACAATCGATATTTGACATTAATTTGCTATACCGCTGACGGGGTTAACCCACATTAATACTCCACACCTCTAATTGTCTTTCCAAAGTAGAATATATGGTGTCTCTCTTTCGATCGGTCGGCTCCATGGGGGAGGAGGGGTTGTGGTTTTGGTCGTTGGAGAAAGTAGAGACAGGATGTGGAGAAAATGATTATATTTTCACTTGCCGCCCCAGTGCCCCCACCTCGCTATACAGTAATCGCTCAAACTGGACATGAGGATGTGGGTGGGAGAAACAGAAGAGCGGGGTGCCGAAGGTAAAATTTTCATGTGGGATGTGTAGAAACATGAGTGGAGGGAAGGAGGGTGTGAGAAAGGGCAATGGTGCAGGCTCATTAAAAGGAAGAAAAGAAAAGGTATCTTGGACACTTGTACCTTTCTTTTAGGTCCCTCTATCCCTATCACCTTCACACACATAAACAAGCATCCATGGACAGAAAAGAAGAAAATAAGCATATGGGTTTTTTACAGGGAGGGCGTACCACTGGTATCGTATAGAACGAGGAAAAAGGTGAAGAGGAGGGCTACTTCTTTTGAACGAAGGAGGAATGACAAAGGGTACGTAGTCAAGGTCACAAAAGAGTCGTCCCTATTTTTGAATATCGTTTGTGAAAGTGCTCGTATCACAAAAGGGTGTAAGAAGGAGAATAATACATGGCCATGGGGTTGTCTGGTAGACTCCAGCAACAATAACAAACCATCTTTCCTTCGTTGGATAATGAATAAAAGAGGCCAATGCCCTATTGCGAGGTGAGCACACAACAGAACGCACAGATGGGACCTGTTAAAGAATAATATGGAGAAAGTGAACAAAAACAATATCTGTCAGGGACGAACACCCCTTGGCCTCCTTGTCTCTCATGTGAAATGAACTCGTAATTGTCCTGTGCTCGTGTTGATGGTTGGTGTCAAGTGGATGTGTATGTGCATGTGTGTTACCGCAATTAACGACTCGATCTACTTTCGCCCAACCACTTCCCTCATGTCGCTCTATTAACGGATGAAGAAAAGAGGGGGAGAGTCGTTGTAGAAAGTGAACAACGGTAGACGCTAACGTATATGTATCCATGTATGAGAGAAGGAGAGACGCCGAAAAACACTGGTAGCTGGCGTCTCTTCCTTTCTTTTATTCATCCACGTAAACAAAGATTTTCATATGTGCCCAAATACATGGTTTTATTGTTCTATTGTTGTTGTTGTGGTATGTGCAAGTACGTAGATGCAAATACATAGCCTTCTTGATTCTCTTTTCTTTATTTCTTTCTTTCTCCATAGCATGTTTCGCAAAAAGAGAAGAGAGGGAGCGGCGCACGCTGCAGTTTTGCAGTTGTTGCTGCAGTTGGTGCTGTTTGCTTATTATGGCTGGCTCCAAAATACGTGAACAGGTGGTTCACGGTGGACAGAAAGGGAATTGAATTATGTTATTTTTTTTAGTTGTGCTCTCATAATGCAGAACCAGAAAAGGAACAAAGGAAAGAACCAAAGGATCCTCACCCTTCTTTGCTCATTCACTTTCACTTTCACGTTACTTCCAACATCTCACCCGAGAAACAGAATAAAACTTTATTAGTCAATTCTCAGACCCGTATATAAAGCGCCCTGGCTGATCCATTTTCCCACTTTTCTTTTTCTTTATCTCCTCCATCCTCATCCACTCCTCCTTCTCTCCTCCACACTCACTCACCCTCACCCTCCACGCCAGGACCAACTCTCTCCAACCCTCACCTCTCTCCACAACAACAACAACCAAACAACACACATACACAATGGCAAAGGGCGATATCCAGACTGCTCCCGGCACCGGACTTGTCGGCAAGTTGACTCCTGACCAGAAGGTCCTCCTCAAGCAGATGTGGGCCGAGATCCTCCACATCGCCGATGGCAACACCGGTGCCCTCGAGACCGTCCCCGTCGCCGCTGCTCCTGCTGCTGGTGCTGACAAGGCCAAGAAGGGTGGTTGGTTCGGTGGCAAGGGTGCTGAGACTACCGCTGTTGCTGTCCCTGCCACCAAGGTCAACGTTGCTGATATTGGTATTGACGTTAAGGAGCTCCGTACTGCCCTCTGGAACAACATCCTCGGTGATCACCCTGGTAAGTATTTTGGAATCATTAGAGAACAGTTACAATGTAAACACAAGCAAACAAACAAACAGTGCTAACAAACAAACACAAACATCGATGATTGCTGTGCTGAATAGATTCGTTGTTGCTCCGCTTCCTCCGTGCCCGCAAGTGGAACGTCACTAACGGAGTGACTATGATCTTGAAGGCCTTCAAGTGGCGTCTTGAGGACGATATCGAGGAGGTTAAGTCCAAGTCTGAGGACGAGCTCGATGCCAAGTACCGCGGCTTCCGTCTCCAGATGGAGATGGGCAAGTCCTTTGTCCACGGCACTGACAAGTTGGGCCGCCCCGTCGTGTACGTCTCTTCTTTTTTTTTTTTTTTTTTTTTTTTTACTCTCTGTCGTTTGTTCTCCTTACTTTTCACTTCCGAAAATTTTCTAACCTTCTTTTCCCTCTCATTTCTCATGCATCGCCATTGGTTCCAATATATAATTAGTTACATTAATGTCCGCATGCACAAGCCTTCAGAGCAGGACCCCAAGGCCCTCGAGAAGTTCACCATCTACGTTATGGAGGTTGGTCGCCTGATGATCCAGCCCCCCGTCGAGACCGCCTGCCTCGTCTTTGACATGACCGGTTTCTCCCTCGCCAACATGGACTACAAGTATGTCTTCAGGAACATCTTGGTAGCAGTGTCCAAGTCATCACTTTTACTTGCCTTCGATACTAACCCATATCCTTCTTAATTACCAACCCTCCAACAATAGCTTCGTCAAGTTCTTGGTGCAGTGCTTCGAGGCCTACTACCCCGAATCGCTCGGAGTGCTTGTCATCCACAAGGCCCCCTTCGTCTTCTGGGGCGTCTGGAAGATCATTGAGGGCTGGTTGGACCCCGTTGTCGCCTCCAAGATCAAATTCACCCGTAATGACAAGGAACTCACTGAAGTCATCGACGCCAACCACCTCCCCAACAAGTACGACGGCGGCAAGGACAAGTTCACCTACAAATACACCCCCGTTGTTTCTGGAGAGAACGATCGCTTCAAGGATGTCGAGACCAAGACCCGTCTCCTTGACGAGTGGAAGGGTATCCTCTGGAAGTTCGAGGCAGTCACCAAGGAGTGGATCCAGGTTGGTGGAAAGAATGCAAGTGGACGGTCCGAGGATGAGATCGAGGCTGAGCGTTTGTCGTTGGCCAATGAGCTGAGGGTTGCTTACTTCAAGGTGGATCCTTATATCCGTGCTCGTAACCTCTACCACCGTGGTGAGCAACCCGTCCTCCAGGCCGACGGTACCTCCGTCTGGACCTACAGCAACTAAGTCTCCGCTTAGTATCAGGACTCTTGGGAAGCAGGGTATAGCGTTGATCGCTATGGCTCATTACAAAGCAGGAGCGTGTTAAGGATAGAATATCTACTATCACATCGACTATTTTACTAGGATACCATTTTTTTTCATTCAATTCACTAATGTACAAATCTTCAAAAACAACGCTCTGTCTCTCTGTAACTTGTTGCTCATGTTGGATATGTTTATTACTTGTTGCCGGCTGTTAGCCCTGGGTATTTGTTATGTCGAGTCGAATGGTATTGACAGTGTTAATGGTGTAGAAAGTGAGAGTGTCCAGCACGGGTTGACAAGCTTGGTTTCTCTCTCTTCACTCTTTCCTGCTGCTCTCATGTCCTTGTGTCCATGTGTGTGTCGAGAGGTAGGGAAGGAGAGAAATTCGATCAAAGAAATAAATACAAAATAAGGTGTGAGGAGTGGGGGGGGTCCAGAGTCTGGGGTCGGTCATGTATACCGTTTTATCTCTAACTCCTTTAGAACCTGCGCTGCCCACTCACAACTAAAGAGAGGAGGCGTGTGAGAAAGAAAAAAAAAGGAGAGGGTGGGGGGACGTTAGTGCATGTTCACTTCTCCACATCGTTATGGGCCAGAGTTCCACTGTTTTTCTCCTGCGCTACCTTCGAACCACATCTTCCAGTCGCCCATGAGCTAGAATGAAACACAAAGAGGGAAATAGTTCCGTTAGATACTTGGGTCGTTCCCCCCAACGCTTCGTGCACAATCGCCTCTCTCGGCTCGGAAGAAAATTTTCACAGGAGAGTTTTTTTTTTTTTTTTTTTTCGCGCGAATGAAAGTAAAGGCACATACAGAGTAGATGGGGTGCTTAAAGGTCGCGGGCTTGTTCTTCTCAAAGATAAAATGGCCAATCCATGCAAATCCGTATCCTATATGCCGCCATTCAAGAAGAGAAGGAAAAAAAAAGGAGGGTCGTGTGAGTAAAGAACCTGTATGTCTAAGCATGTGGTCCGTTAATAACAAAAACACTGCAGTCTGCCAGCCCCCCACTTCTTTCTCAAAGTTACCTTGGATGAGAGTAATCCACCAGAACTTGTGCTGCTTGGTAAGGATGAGGTAGGCGAGGATACCGACGACGTTGGTGGTGCCGACGAGGTGGAGACGTCTGTTGATGGTGTTGCAGTGCTCTGAGAGATAGTATGGATAAAAGTCCTCAAAGGACTTGTAACCCTCAGTCTTGTAGGCTCGCTTGGAGTAGTTGTGGTTCGCGATTTCCTTGTTCAGCTTCTGGACAGCCATTTGTGCGTTGAATGAGTAGAGAGTGGAGAGTGGAGTAGGTGGAGGTGGAGGTGAAGGAGAGAGAGGTATGGAAGGGACGATGACCAAAGTGCAGAAGGGAAAGAGAGAGAGAGAACACCAACAACAAAAAAAAAGGTTTATCCCCGCTCTCTCCACAAAACTGACCGACCCTGCAGGCAAGGCCAAAAGCGATCGGTTGATGATGAGCCGATTGGATTAACCCTTAAGTTTCATTTCCAGCTTTCTCCATTTGACACGAACAAGAGCCGCCTTTGCGAATAATCATTCAAGAAAGGAGACGCGGAAACGGCGCGAAGGGACTATTCAAAGAAAAATATGGTACCCTTGGTACCCTTTTGGGCCATGCTTCAAGTATCTAGTTCAAGAATTTGTCGCGTTTTTCAGTCTTTGGCACACATGGTAAAACAAAGAAAGGAACCATGGGGATATAGCTCCAGCAGCAATTGCAGTGGCAGCACCATCTAATTCTTTCTCTCCCTTGTCATTCTCCATCCATCAATAACTCAGGGAGTTGAAATAAGGATGCTATCCAACAGCGTGGAAAAATCAGTGTTTTTTTTTATTGGTCACTGTCCCAAAGAGCGAAAAATGACAAGTGGGCAATGGTCGCCAAACTAATGCTACGCGAATAAAAAGCGAGGGGCTCATATCTAGACATCGTGATGGTCGTCAATGTCATGGTCCAGTAGCGCGTCGTTCAAAAGCAACGTTGCTGACCCGGTACTGTCATCGCTCGCAATACTAGCCGTGTCATCATCATCCACCAGTCCCTGCACTTGTGCAACCAATGATGGCTGATCCGTCCTGGGATGACCATACCGGTCCAAACTCGAGTAGTTGGGTGGAGGCGCAGACATGTTGGCGGCAGTAATCGGTACAGGCGAAAGACCATCAGCCCCTCCGTTCCCAATGGCAGGGGAAATGCGAGTCCTCGAGGGACTCGAATGCTGCATGATAGGTCGTCCAGTCCCAGCCAATGATCCAGAAGACGACGAGCTCGTGAAACGTTGTGGCAACATTCCTGACCCAGATCCCGCTGCTGCTGCTGCTCCAGACCCGGCCGCTTCCAACAGTATCGAGCCCAGTTCACTGCCATAAGCTGGTGGAGGCGCCAACGATCCTGCCGCAGGAGCAAGACCCCATTTCTTGACGTTCGCCTCTACAAAGACGAACCCAGATTGTCCAAAATTTATATGAAGAACACAGGGTCCTGTTGCACCAACAGTCGGGAACAAGTTCGTGCGTCCATATCCTGTGAACGCATCATCAATCCGTTTTCCGTTCCTTGTAAAGAAAATGGTTCCGTTCCTGGGTCTGTATCCACATCCGACTACATCTCCTTCGAAATAGGTTGGTCCAAAGGGTACTCCGCTCCACAGAGAGTTACAGTATTTCTGGCCATTGTTTGAAAAGTATCCAGCCGAATGGCGGTTCCAGCCTGTATAATTCAGAAAAACAAATTAATTAACCGGTTAATTATCAGAATGTCAACCGTTTCTAAGACAATCGGTTCAGAGCATCGTTCAGTACCTGGAAGGCGAGTGGAAGGATACGGCTTGGTGGCGACTCCAATGGCGATGGTGGTGCGAGGACTCTTTTCAAACATCTTGACCTCCCAGTAGTAGACCTCCTGCTGCTTCGGGAGCGGTAGATTGGTCTGCACAGAGGCCACCCGATCAAAGAACGAGAGCTCAGTCCGGTCATGAACATAGAGCTGGTGGTCATATGATGGTTCGAACTCCCATGCTGAGACTCCCTTTTCCTGAATGGATAAGTATTGCGAAAGTGAGATGTCGGTCGGTACGCTGTTAGGAGGATTCACCACTTGGAAAGCTATGAATTCGGTGGCGATGAAGAAAGAATAACGGGTGACAAGTAGGAGATAGGGTCAGCACATATGCCATTAAGTAACAAATGTTGTGATTGTTGCATGGGTTAGACACGAGTTCAGCATGAGTGAAAGAAGGGACACTTGTTCACTGCCAAAGATAAGCACCACTTAGTAAATACTATTCACCTGACCCACTCTCCTGTTTACCCTTCCCTATCCTCCATTACGACAATTCAAGCTTTGTTGATGCCTTTTACCTCTCCTTCTGTCGATTTGAACAACACCATCGACTTTTTAAGCTCCAAGGGGTGAGTGACAATGGGCTGTTTTTTAGATCCATTTCACACCTTTCCTCTTGAGCAAACTTTGGGCGTTCTATCCCAACGGTCACTCTCTAGTCTCTTTTTCTCGTCGGAGTTTTTGGGATTGTCGATGGTCGAAGCGTTTCACTTTCGTCGGTATGACCGAAGTTGACAATGGTAGTTCATACCTTCAGCAGCGTCGTAAGCTTGACGGTCAGCATCGGAGAGGGTGTTGAGTCGGTCGGGGGTTGCTTCTGGATCAACCTCCGAGTCAGGGACCAATAAAGCGTTGCCAAATCCTCGTCGACCGCCTCGACCAGTCCCGCCGTTGCGACGATGGTGAGGGGAGGAAGATGAAGCGGGCGAGGACGACAAAGAAACAGAGGATCCTGTGAGCCAGCCAGCCTTTTGGCCACAGGTCCGGATTGCCGATACGATGGAAATGATGAATGCAGTAGTGAGGACAAAGGCCACCAGCCAGGTCAAGTCCAGGTCGTCGCCGTCCCTGTCGGGGTCAGTCGGCTGAGGAGTGGTTGTCAACGTTGGGTAAGGGCCTGGGAAAGGGTCGCGAAAAGTAGGGTCGATGTTGTTAGAGTAACCGTTGCGAGAAGCCAAGAAGGTCTGCCTATACGACGGCGGGTAGGTGGTTGTGGGTCTCCAGTCGTGGTAGGGGTATGTTGTAGGCGAAGGGAAGTATCGAGATTGACTCAAAGGCAACTGCTCGTTCGGTTCGTATGGGTTGTGCTGATTTGAGTAGTGTGAAGGAGATGCTGCAGGATAAAATTGAGAGGAGGGATGACGGTCGTTCTTGTAGGGGTACAGGACGGAAGAGGGCAAGGGATTGAAAGGTCGAGAGGTGAGGGTATGGACGAATCGAGGAGGAGGGAAAGTCGGAGAGGGGTTGTTGTAGTGGTGGTCTGGGGAAGGATAGTCGAAGAGATGGTCCCCCGTGTTGTCGTCAAGGTCAAGGTCAAAATCGACGTTGTTACTGTTGACGTCGTTCAAGGTGCCTTGCGGGTCCAGAACTTGTTCGTAGCTGTCTTGTTGGTATCTGCGTTCCTCTTCCTCAAGTAGCGACTGTTCGCTGATGCGAGCTTGCTGTTTTACTAGTTCCTCTAGTCTGTTGAAGAGGTCTTCGTCGTTGTTATCGTAGTCGAAGTCCTTGTCTTGGTGACGGTAGGGTGAATAAGTTGGCGACTTGTGTCGAGTAGAGGAGGGGAGGGGAGGAGGAAGAAGAGGTGACATTGTTTGAAGAGCACCACGAGAAAGTAAAGTGAAGGAGGGTGTATTTCGTGCTTATGCTGGCAGTGTTTGGGTCGGCGGGTGAATGGGACAGCACACACACGGACACGGACACAAAAAGAATACTCAGGGTCAGGCAGTCAGTCTCAGTTCAAAAGAGGGCGTGTGTGGCAAAGGGGTCAAGAGAAGAGTATGTTTGTTTGTTGGAATGGACAGGGAAGGGAGCAAGGAATGAAGAAAAGAAAGGGGCTTGTTGAATGTTTTTTGTTTGAATGTTGAATGTGAGAAGAAGAAAAAAAAACAAAGGCACGCGCAAGTTGAAGGAAGGAGGGAAGGAAGGAAGGAAGGAAGGAAGGATAGAAAGGGTGGGAAGGACAAAGGAAGAGGAAGAACAAAAGGAAAAGACAAACAAAAAGCACGCAAGAGTTGTCTTCAGGTGAAAAGTCTAAAAAGGCGCGTGTTTGCTGACGAACAGTCGGAGCAGGAAGGAGAAAGGAATGAGTGAGTGAGTGAGTGGGAGAATGAGGGTGAATACGTGTGAGAATGAGTGTGAGTGAGTGGGTATGTGTGTGAGGTGATCAAGGTGGGTGTGATCAAGGAGGTCAAGAGGAAGGAGTGAAGAGAGAGAATAAAAAGGGCGGTAGAGGAAGAAAAATCAAAGCCAGCCAGGAAAGGATGGAAAAGGGAAGCCTTGTATCCGACAATGCGACAATGACAACACACAAACACACACTCACCCCCTTACGCCAACCGCCCCACCGCCACGTAAAGGGCTGGACTTCAAGGTCAATCTGTCTGTCTCTTTGTGTGATATGTCTTTGCTCAGCAAGCACAGCACAAAGTTGCGCTCGATGAAAGTGCTAGGGGTGCCAGTCTGGCTTTCAGTTTGTCCATCTTAAGCTTTTGGTGGCAAAGAAAATACGAAGAGACACCGAGACAAGGGGATTGGTCTGGGGGGCAAGTTCCCAGTTCCCGGCAGAGTCACATGATTATGACCTAGTAGATCATCATTGAATCGTGTTTGCTGTACAAGCAACGAATAAAAGAAGCACAAAAATTTGGCCTGACGAGGATCTTTCACTTTTGTGACATGTAAGTTGTCGCACCATACCCTTCGAATCCAGGATCTCATCCAAAACTGCCGCAGCGGGATTCAGTCATAGGCAGCAACATGGAACCCACAGGACAAGGAGAGGAATCCCATTCTGAGGATCATCTGTTGTCGCAAGAGATCTCGGGCAGCTCAGTGGTGATGGAGAAACCAACATTAAATCCCATTTTCGTCGGAACTCAGCTCCTTACGGGATTCGATTCAACCAGCAAAAATACAACACTTCTCTGTATTCAGAATTCACATTCAACCACGAAGCACACTCATCATCAACCACTAGCACAGAACCAACTGCAGGACAAAGAGGAGAGAGAGAGAGAGCAGCAGCCTCTTGGACGCACTCAAACAACATCAAGCAGGATATCGAAAGGAAGCAAGAAACAACTCCATTGACACCAACATCCACATCATCTGTTTATCTTCTATAGCGAGGACGTCTACCCCCAACAAAACTATTATCAAAAATGTCTGCAGAAAGAGATGCCGCTATTGCCGAGGTTGAGGTTGCCGCTGATGCCTCTCCCCGTGGACAGATGTCCGTCGAGGAGGCCCTTCAGGATGTCTTGAAGCGCGCCCTCGTCCACGACGGTCTTGCTCGCGGTCTCCGTGAGTGCGCCAAGGCCCTTGACAGGTAACTAATCCTTTTGTCTTTGTATCAAGTTTGGTTATATTGTGTAGTTCAGACCTTCACCAATGCGATCAGATGTTAACCTTTGCATCTACTTTCTTCTCCCCAACCAATTATAGACGTCAGGCCCATATGGCTGTCCTCGTTGAGACCTGCACTGAGAAGGAGTACATCAAGTTGGTCGAGGCCCTTTGCGCTGAGCACAACATCAACTTGATCAAGGTCTCTGATGCCAAGAAGCTCGGAGAGTGGTCCGGTCTCTGCAAGATCGACCGTGAGGGTAACGCCCGCAAGGTCGTTGGCTGCTCGTGCGTTGTTGTCAAGGATTTCGGTGAGGAGTCTGAGGCCATGAACGTCCTCTTGGAGTACTTCAAGACTCGTTAAGAGTGGCTCAGGTGATGACTTTTTTCGTCATTCCTAGCTTGCTTGCTTATTTTTCTGTTGCTTCTGCCTTTCCTTGTAAAGGCGCTGCACAATTGAATGAGCGAACAAACAGCAACCCATTAAAAAGAGTTTTTGCTTCGGCTAAAGTCATCCATTCGTCTTTTTTTCTGTATTACTGATGACATCGCCAAGAGGAAAATGTTAGTATCAACTTCATGCCAACTATTAATGAAAGGGTTGGTCGACCACATGGGCTGATGCCAATACCGTTTTGAACTGCAAGGAGGAACACATAGTGACATGTACTTCTGTGCACATGGGCGAACCAAGTCTACGAGTTTAAGACTTGGGTTTGTCAAATCAGGCTTGAAGCAACGATCAGAGGGAGAAAAAGAAGAGTTGTCTACCTAGCCCCTTGCAGAGGGAAAAAACGGAAAAGTTTCTCCGATGGGAGTGGGGAGTAAAAAGTGGGAGACTCCCAAAAATAACGCGACATTGGGGAAGAACTGAGAGCACGGGAACATGGATCTTTCAATCCAGGAAACGAAGGAAAGGAAAAGATAGACGACCATCATACAATGGCCAGCATCCGCCGTTAGGTTAGCAAAAGACATAACGGTAGGAGGAGTTTCTCCGATTCTTACTTTAGTCGTTGCGTCGGTCATTGAGATCTTTTGTTCAAGGAACAGACACACGATTGCACAACTGCGATTAAAACATGGTCGTGCGCAGGATGGCAGGATGTGTAGGCGTGTGTGGTTGTGGTGTTTGTTTGTCACGAGGCGAGTTAGAGTTCAGTCTTTTACACATCGAAATGAAGACGTAGAAATGAAGAAATGAAGTATCGAGTCCAACCCATCGCATGCTATTTGTTCTTCCGCTACCCTCATTCACCGTTAAGAAATTTGACTGACCAAGTGAGGGTCGATCCCTGTCCAGGCACCATCCAGCCACTGATAGCTTCTTGTTTTCCTCTGCCCACACATGCCCCATACAGACACAGGCATTTTTCTTGACTCCCTTTTCCTTCTTCCCTCTTCTTCCCCTTTTGTTGTCTCTCCTTTCCTCCTTTTGCATACCGAAACCATATCACTCTCTCTCTCTCTCTCTCTCTCTCTCGTTCTACTCCCACTCTTCGCTTTGACTGGTCATCCTCCTCCCATCACTCTCCTTCCCTCTCTTTCTCCTTCTTTCTCCCTCTCTCCTTTCTCCCTTTCTCCCTATCTCTCCCTCTCCCTCTCACTCATTTTTGTTTCTTCCTCCCCGCTCCACACCCACCAAACCCTTTATCACTCCCTTCCCTTCCCTCTCTCGCCCTTCACTCTACTACTCCACCCTCATCAACTTTCTCGCACACTCCACCTGCCACTGACCCGCACACTCCACCTGCCACCGACTCGCACCACCACTCATCTACCACACTTCAATAAAAACCAATCACCTTCTACTACAAACACAGCATTCCACATCCACTGACGAACAAGCTCAAGCACATCTCCCATCCCTCCCATCCTCCACTATGCTGTCAGAGCGCAAAAAGCTCTTGGCCCTGCTCTCAAAACGACAGCAGCTCGAACAGGAATATGAGCAGACCCACAGCTCATCCATCCAGTCCCAACTCGACAACATGGTCCCTGCCCTCGTCAATTTCTTCAAGTGCACCGACCCAGCCGACCTGGTCAAAAAATACCCCGCCACCGCGGACATGCAAGCTGCCGCCGACAAGCAGCGCTACTTTGCCTCGAGAAAGATCAATGTCAACCCCCGGGCAGCCCAGGTCTATGAGCAGCTTCGACAGAATGGAACCGACGCCGACTACCTCGAGTTTGTACGCATGACCAAGACCGCCTTTATCAGCATCGTCTCCTCCGTCCTCAAGCAGAACCCACTCTACAAGAGCCAGTCCAACGGACAGGAGACCATCGAGAAGCAGATGGCGGTCACCCTCTGGCGAATGGGCCACCATGGCAAGGACGCTGGAATTGGCGACGCCAGCAAGATTTTTGGCCTGTCCGAGGGGTCAATTATGAAGTGCACACAGCGGTGTATGGAGGCCCTCAACGGAATCGCCATCGACGTCGTGAGGTGGCCAAGTCAAGGCGAGAAGCGGACAATCAAGAACAGGATCAAAGAGCTCGCCAAACAGCCAATGGTCATCAGCAACGGTAACGACTACAACAATGCAGGAGCACCGGAGGACGAACCAATTGATGATGCCATTGGAGTTCTGACTAGCATGAAGGTCGTGCTGCACTCGCGACCCATAATGACCAACCCGGACGAGTATCTGGTGCCCGTGCCGCCTCGGTTACTCCACGCTGCGGCGGAATGGTTTGCTGCCTCAGGAAAGAAGCACTGGACCTCGATTCCTATCGCCGAGTCGTCTCTGCTGGTGGGGCATGACTGGGCCGATCAGGATTTCGACCACCCTTCTACCACATCGACCACTCCAACCGCGCCAGTTGCTGTAACAAAACCGAAAAAGCGGGGAAGAATGACAACCAAAGGAAAAAGGACAACTAAAAGATCTTCAAAACAAGCTGATCCCAATGACAAGAACAGGGAGGTGGGCCCCGATACGGAAACAGGAAACAACAACCGCAAACGCCGCAAGGGCCGGAAATCCCGCACAGCAGAGGTCACACAACAAGTCCCTTTGACCCGCTCAACCACACCCGTGTCAGAAAACTCGACCCCATCCACTTCATCATTAACAGCAACAGCAGCAACAACAATGTCGACCTCAACACCAACGATCTGCCCGTCAGGAACGGCCCTAGATAATGGCGGAGCAGAGGTGAATGCAACAGATGATCCTGCAGACACCGGAACGCCAACTGACACTGCAGTGATCAACACACCCACCGACATATCGGGTATCAAATCTGGAGGATACGTCCGGCGCGACTATGGCTATAACGTCCTGATGGTCTGCGACTCCACCACCCGAATCCGGCTTGTCGAAAAAATGACACCAGCATCCTGGACCGACCAGCAGTCTCTAGAGTCAAGTACCATTCACAACGGCGACACCTACTTTGACGAAGGCGAGTACTTGGTCTCGGACGGCACCTTTTCACTTGGCGACACTATTCTCCCAGTCATGCCTGTTATCTCTCCATGCGCAACATCTGCCCCGCCGGCACCAACAGCAGACGGAGATTTCCAGATAGGGATCAAGCAGGAGGATATCGTCGTCGATGTGCGTGATTTCGAGGATGCCGATATGGAAGAGGTGGAGGCTCAAAAGCGACTGTACGAGAGTTTGGCACGGATTCACAAGCGAGCTCGGGATTGTGAGCGAATGCTGAAGGCTCGGTTCCCTAGTCTGCTGGGCGTTCGTGTTCAGATCAAGGACGACCAGGTCGGACACGATAATGTCAAGAGCTGGATTATGGCCTGCGCGACAATCCACAATCTGGTCCTAGCCGATGACACAAGTTTCAACCCGGAGTGGGAGACGCAGCTAGATCGCTGGGAGGAACTATTTCATGCGCACCAGGAACATCAAGCCCGATACATTTGGAAGGCCAACCATAAGCCTCATCGGAAACCAGCCAGGAAATTGGATCTGAACAACACAATAAGTGGGTCCGAGGATCCTTTGTCGGGTGATATGAATGACACGGAGGCAGAGGACAGCAACAGTGTTCGTGCAGGATCCAATCTCTCGACAGTCCAGTATTCGACCATGTCGCCACAACCGGCACAACCGCCAGCATCAACCGATCACCCTTCACTGCCTCCACTGGTGTATGGAGACGAACTCGCGCGAGAGTTCAATTCTAGACTTGTAGAGGCAGGATCGTTCCCGCAGAACCAGGCTCTCGGCGAGGCGGACTTTACTGAGACGCTGAACCGTTTGAGCGAGTCAATCAAGGCATTTACCCAGACCAAGGTGGACACCCAGACCCTGCACCAGGAACACCAACAACAACTTCAGGAGCATATGGAGCACCAACAACAGCACCACCAGGAGCCCAGTGGTCACATTCACCCTTCGACTTCTATGGATATCGAGGGTCACTCGTCGACCATGCGCTGAACTGAGTCTGGCTAATTCCTCCTAGCGCTCTTGCCCGTTTATTTTTCTTTCTTTGGTTTCTCGCTTTGTTTTTCTTTTGCTACCACCACCACCACAACCGTACTTTTACATCCCTGCTATTATTTTCTGCCACCATCACCTTCTACTTTTACTACTACTCCAATACTTGTACATAATTTTTAGTCACTACAACCAACCCAATACAGACAGTATTTGAGCCTGCAAAGAACGCCAATCCTTGCTAGGGGACACGCCGAATGAATTTTTTTTGTATGTCTTTTGGGCGCCCCGTAAATTGAGTGAGAGAGGGGCGAAGATGGAACATCTCAAGTGGAAGAACGACGGACGTGACGCGCTGGAGAAAAAGATCAACACTGACCACCCCTCCTAAAACAAATTGCATCAGCCACAAAGTGAAAACAATTTGTCCTGTCACTTTGTCAGTACCTGAATCCATGTGGAATCAAAAAAGCCTATCGTTAGTTATCCCCGTTGAGTAACCGGATAATTCTTGGAGATCTAGGCGAATAGAAGAAAGGTGAGTGTGGTGGAGCACTTGTTTATTGACTGGCTGTGTTGTGGGTCATTCACCAAAATAACAGTTTACCAATGTTTTTTTTGCGCGTGCATGTGTGTGTGTGTGTGTGTGTTGGTAGTGGTGAGGCTGGATATTTGTTGATTGAATCAAAAAAGTAAGGTTTTCAAAGACAAACAAACAAATGAGGTCTGGAGCCAAAAGATGAAGAAGAGCATTTCATCCAGAGGGAATAAGGGATGCGCAAGGTAGGGCTAAGGGTAACAAAAAGACTGTCGACAAAAAAATGACAAGTGAGCACTTTGGTGCAAAGGAAACCTGTTGTTTTCTCCAGTATGTATCCTTTACTTTAGCAGCAACATTCCTCCAAGGAGACAACCGCACATGAACTTCTGTACACCAAGTGTCGTCTTCGCCCGATTCTCTTATTATTTTTTAGCTCGCACTATCCTGTTCTACCTTTCCATCTTTTCCCTCTTCTTCGCTAAATTTTCTTGCTTGGCCATCAGCTGGCATAAGTTCATCTCATTACCCCTCTCCTTCATTTCATTTTGTCTACATTTCTTCTCATTGTCCTCTTACGAGTGACACATTCACACCTTCTCACTCTCTCTTTATAAATCAAGAAAATGCAACGACTCTCCATTCTTACCTCTCTGCTCTTTTCCATCCTCATTCCTCTTGCATCAGCATTCCCTGCACCAACACAACCTACCCTTAATCTTAGTCTCACCCCTTCCTCTACAAATCATCAAGGCACTGTCGCCACAACATCCAGTGCCCCTACACCTCACCCCACAGAACATGCCCCCTTCCTCCCCCAACTTCACAAACGATAAGGAACCTTAACATGGGCAACAAACACTGGACCACTCGCACCAACTACAGAACCAATCCCCGTGACCACATCTCCGGAACGGTCAACTAACCCTCCCATATTAACAACCCCTATCACTGAACCCTCGACAACTCGATCGCCTAACCCCACAACGGACTCGAAGACTACTACTGAAGGAGGAGGAGGAGGAGGGATTCCTGTGACTACGGCGACTGTCATTCTTCCGTCTCCCTCTTCTAGCAGTGGCGGTGTTGGAGGGAGTACAGCTTCGAAGGGTGCTACAGTTAGTGGGACTGGTATTGGAGCAGGAGGTGGTAGTGGTACAGGAGGACTGACTGTGCCAACTTCTGGGCCTGGATCGGTGCCAAATAGTCCCAAGAGTAACGGCAGTTCTGGGTCTGGCTCATCGTCATCGTCTGGTTCTTCTATGGGTGCCATCATTGGAGGTATAGCAGCAGCAGTCGTCATCATTGCCGTGATAGCTGGGTTCTTATTCTACAGACGCCGTAATCGCAGGTCTTCTCTCGACAAGACTCAGAACCGTCTTGATACCAAAGGGAGAGGTCAAGGAGCAGGCAGAGGTGGTGATAATGACCCACCGTTGATGGAAGATGGCAAGATCGAGGAGGCTCTTATTGACGAGAAGGACGTGACAGGTGAAGGCGCAAGGGCCTCTGGTTCGACATCTGCTGCTGCCACAGAAGAGGAACTAGGAGGGCTTGTCACTCGCATCAGGGGACCTCAAGTCTCACATGCAGACATCGACGACCTCAACATCAAGACGCCTCTCCACGAATTCGAAGCTCAAAGGAACAGCTGGTTGACCCCACCACCCCCTTGGGAGAAAGTCCTCGAAGCCCACAGGATACGATACAGGAGGATCATTTGTTGAGGTTGTTGAGGGTCCAGCAGGAGCAGATGGAGTAGTTGCAGCATCTGGTTGTGCAGCATCGGAGGAGTCAGACGCCTCAGTCGCCGCATGCTTTGAATTATGCTGTTGAGGGCGGCGATAGCGGTGGTATTGCATCTGGAACTGGGTTTGGTGGTGGCGATGGGGTGGCTGTACAAAATTTGGTCAGCCCTGGCAAGAATGCAGGAGAGAAGAGTCATGGGCCCAAAGATCTTGATCGTTCGAATCTGTCTGGACTGCCAGCTTCAAAACTGAACGACATTGATGACGATGGATACAGTGTCACCACCACCAAAATCGACGACAATAGTAACACCACCAGTCAAAGCAACAGTAACAACCTCGTCGAATTCGTCACTCCTGACGCCGCCAATATCAACACCACCACCGCTTTCTGTGCTGACCGGGATAGTGTGGTAAAGGATCCCACAGTGCCATCGACAACTGGTGGTGTATCAGAGGAGAGGGCGGCGCTGATCAATGCCATTGCGGCGATGAAGGCGCAGTATGACGAGCAGTATCAACTCATCCACGAGGACCTTGCCGGCACTAGCAGCGTTCCTTGAAATAAAAGACGAGGAAGAGAAACTGCGATACGCATGTGCACCCTCGTTCTTTTGTTTGCGTAAAGAGATGGTGCAGGAAAGGAAGTGTTTAATTATCAAGTGTCACTGAAGCAGCGAGTGGGGTTCAAACGGTAGAGATGGGTCCCGACGAAGATTGAAAAAGAAAAGAAAGCAAAGAAAGCAAAGAAAGCAATAATTTCAATAGTTTTTGAAGGCAGGGATCGCTTTTATACCCCCCCCCCCACTGCACGCCACCAAGGTAGACAGCGCCAAGGAAGGCGACTTTGTTCAATTAATCTTTGGTGGAGGCCAGAAAAAAAGTTGAAGTCCTCCTCAGCACCGCGGCCTGGCGACCACTATTTCTAGATTAATCTCTATTTTACCATCAACGCTCGAGTTTGACCAGTGTCCATTCAAGGGACAAAAAGGAGCCTACACTTAGTTCCTTGCTGCCTCTAGTCAGCACAAAAAAAATTCACCTCTTTGCCAACCAGATCCTTTGGCTGCTACTGTATCGTCCCTTCTACTGTCATTTCTCTCTCTCCGAGGGAGTGAAATGACCATCAGGGGAACGTCTGCACTCAATTTTTCGGCAAGGTGTTATTTATTACAGAGAAAAGACACAGCAGAAAGAAAATCTGCGATGAAGGTGTAAACAGCGAGTGCTGCCAAAAAAAAAAAAAAAAAAAAAAAAAAGGAGGGGGGGGTTGAACAATAATGACAGGAAGCACCCAGAAGCAAGGTAAAAGAGCGGAAGGAGTTTACTTGCGCTTGTAGTGCTTGAGTCGAAAGAGGTCCTCGATTTTGTCCTCAACCTCACGGATCCTTGCATCCGAGGTACTCAAAGTCAAATAGAGACCGCGATATTCTTGGTCTTGCGAGGGGTCGTTGATGTGCCCGATCACTTGAACTTGATCCTTGCGCGTGCGTTCAAAGTAGTCTAATTTGTGTGCGTATCGGGTGATGAAATCCTCGATGGTGTAGATCGGACTTGTTGGAGTAGGGAATGGGGATGGGTTTTGGTATTGCTGTTGTATTTGAGCGAGAACTTGTTGTTGTTGCTGTTGTTGTTGTTGTTGCTGTTGTTGTTGTTGTTGTTGTTGTTGTTGTTGTTGTTGTTGTTGTTGTTGTTGTTGTTGTTGTTGTTGTTGTGAAAGTTTCTGCTGGGAGGCGCCAGTGGTGAGGCTTGGTTCGTCAGGACCGGATGTTGCGCCGATGGCAACGGCAGTGGTGGCGGCAGGAGCAGCCGTCAAATCAATGAAGGTAGAGACATGGGAAACTAGGCTTGTGTAGTGTGACTGGTCCATGGTAAGGAGCGAAGTGAGGTAGGCGTCAGATCTGGATGTCTTTCTGGCGTGAACCTTATTAAATGCGTCTTCTTGCTCGCGTTCTCGCTCACGCTGCTGTCGTTCACAGTATTCTTGGAGGGTGATGGTCGACATGGTGTTTTAAGTTCTTGGCACTGGTAAGCTTGGAAGGAAGAGGTTGAGTTGTTTTGTTGGTGAGTAAGGAGTGCTCTATGGAGAGAGAGAGTGATGAGAAAAAAAGATGAGATGGGACTGGGCGTATTTATGCAAAAGTGGAGGAGTGTGAGCGAAGGCATGTGTTTGTTGAATCAAAAGAAAACGAAATGACAAAACGATGAGGACAATTGAAATAAGGCAAAAAAATAATGAAGACAATAGAGACAAAGGACTAATACGGACGAAGACAAAGAAGAAAGAAAAATAACAAAGACGATGGTCCATACGGGATGAGAGTACCATGGCCTTCCTTCTTTGGGGCTTTCATCCATCCTTGGAGTCAGGAGGAGTCCTATCCTCTGAAAGAACCATTGTGCAGCAATGAGCGTGATGGTGAGCGGTCTCTGTTCTTATAAATGAAGAGACAATAAACGAGCTAGGCCTTTTGTTCTTCCCTATTTTTTGCATGCGAACCATCTTTGCCTCTTTTCCACTTTTCATGGCACCTCCTAGGATGCGCTGAACGAGTTATTAATCATTTGCCACCAAGTAGGAGAATTGATTATTGCTACACAATAATTGATGGCAACGTTTCTCTTCTTTTTTTTTTTTTTTTTTTGGTGCGCGGATACGCCTCGAAATGTACCTAAAGAACTTTACCCCTTTTTTCGCTCTTCTCTGCTGTGCAGTTGTCTTGTTATGTTGCATGGTCCCTTTTCTCCTTGTTCGAGAGGCATGCGTGCGAGTGACCCGATCCAACCTTGGTCCAGATGTTGAAAAAGAGAGGCAGACAACAACTCGCTTTATTTAATGCATGCGAGTCGCTTCTTTGTCTATTTTCCTGCGACTGGTTTGGATGCAGGCATTCATTTGTTGACCTTGTCTACGGCATCAAAATTGTATGCTTGAGGAAATTGGGTTGGTTGATAAAAGTGACGACTGTTGTTGCTTCTTGATACATGATGGGAGTTGCAATGGTGTTGTGTCGATTAGGTGAGCCCCCAGAATGTGCATTTGATGATGCAACCGACCGAACTCGAAGCTGGCTGTTGATGGGAAATAGTTAGCTATTTTTTTTTTTTTTTTTTTTTTTTTTTGGGGGAGGGAGGGGGGGTTTGAGACAGGGAGAGTGTTTAGGGAAGAATAGTGAAAAGTAGCAAGTAATGACACACTATTGGATTTGATGAGGGAAAAGAAGAGGAGAGCGGGGGAAGAAGAGAGTAGAAGAAAATAATAAGAGGGGATTCGAGTTGGCAAAGACCCAGCTCCTGCCTTGATTGTCAAAAGTAAGGCAGTAAAGCTGGGCACAAAGAAAGCCAAGGTGGGATAGTGAGAAATGTGCATAGCAAAGCGGCATGTGAGTTCGGATATATTTCTGAGCGGGAGTGCAGGCAATAGCTAAAGCATGTTGTATGACGTGTGACGCTTGCATAACGCAATGCTGTGTGCTTGTGGTTCTTGCCGATGCGCCATGCCGTCAAAAAAAAAAAAAAAAAAAAAAAAAAAAAGCAGATGTGGAAAACACCTGCGCTCTGGGTTTCGTTGGCAAATGCGTACTTTTTTTTATGCCTTTCCTCTTTGCTCATTTCTTCTTCTCTCCACCCCATCCAACAAAGAAACGAGCACTACACTTTGCTGCCAACACAACAACTACAACGACTACCACATACTCTCGCAATCCAAAAAAAGAAAATATAAGCGCTAAGGTAACTCTTTGAGCCACTACTCAAGTTGTTCTCGATGCAAAGTCTTCTTTTTATGCTCAGCACCACCACCAACGAAACACAAACAACACAATAACTCAGCACGCACTCTTGTGTTGCTATATTTTCTAAAGATGTTTTCCAGAGGAACATTTCCACCCTGGCACGGTGGCGGTCAAGGGAGTCAAGGTCTCGAAAGTGGTCGAGGACGCGGAGGATTGGACGTCTCACGCGGCGGTTATTTCGGCAGGGGTCGAGATGGAGGAGTCAAGGCTGTCATCTCTGATCAAGAACAGGACGAGATATTATCCGCTCGCCCCAACACCATGCATCTCTCCAGTGAAGGAACTGACGACCTCATTGTTCCGTCTCCCTCTGGTGGCCAGATCGACCTCGCTATGCAGGTCCTCCAACAGGGCGACCTCGATGACCTTCAGTCTTCCCTCCAGATTCGCATATTCCTGCAGTCATGTCTCCTCAACATGTCGAACCACCACTCTGTCGATACTTCTGCGGTTCTCTACAACCTGGCATCGGAGAACGGTCTTGCCAAGCTACGCCACATTATGCTACATCCCGAACCTGTTCAAGACGGTGGAGATGTTACCTCGTCCATCGCGACCTTTCAGACCATTACCCTGCCATTGGTTGGTGTCCTGACACGCCAGAGCTTGTGCCAGATGACCTTGACACGCGAGTCCAGTCGCGTGTTTGGACTGGTCCATGAGCTCCGCCATCCATTCTTGAAGCTGCGCGTCCAGTCCTTCATGAACTCTCTGTTGGACCGAGACTTGGCCAAAATGTCCTCGAGTGCTTTTCCTCTCCACCCACAGCACTTAGTACATGAGTACCCATCGCATCAGCATAATCAACGCCACTCCGAAGACACTTTTGGGGGTATGGCGCCCTCGCATTGCGCACTGTTGGCTATCATTCGTCTGATATATCAGTTGATGATGCGATTCCCTGACTCAACCTCAGGAATCGCAACCCACGTTAACGACCTCGCCGGACTTGTCGATCGGTGTTGCCAGCAGTCGGAGACAGGAAACGCCAGACAGGTGTTCTTGAACTCAACCCTCTCCATGGAGATGGCTCGGCTTTCCACGATTGTCCAGAACAACATCCATGATCACATAGTCTCACGAGAACAGCGCTTGCAGGCCACACCACTCAACCTACCTTTCCAGCCCGTTGATGGTCCAGGTGAGCTCGCTCTCCATGGCCCTCGCAACGACAATGACCACGCCATGATCAGCAAGATCTCTATATGCCCGACAAGGGAGGAAATCCTCAGCAGCTCGGAGCCGTTCCTTCCTCTCAACGACAACGTGGAACCATCTACTCATTTTTTGCCCCTTGGTTGGTCTAGACATCTCGATGTTCACTATCGCCTTTATCGACAAGACATGATCGAGCCACTCAGGGTCGGCATCCGGGCTTTCGTCGATCTACTGGAGAGAACAGACGAGCGCAGCGATCAGGACTTTGTCGATCCAAATGTATTCAGAAGACTCATCAAGGACAACATCAGCCTGAGCGTTTACAGGAACGTCAAATTCCTGGACGTCACCATTTCTGGATTCAATGTTGGTTTGACCAAGATCTCCTTCGACCAACCATCAAAAGCTCAAGGTCTGAACCATGACGATCGCAAGGAGTTTTGGGAGCTGTCTCGAGGTCGGTTAATGGAGGGTAATCTTGTCTGTTTCGTAAGACGGTCCAAAGATCATTTCGGTGAGGATTGTCATCGTCAACAGGTTGTGTTAGCGGTGATTCAGCAACGAGGTGGCGACGGACTGTTCGAGTCGGAACAAACTGCTCACATCCAAGTCTCCCTGACGGAATCCGCATCGTATTCGATGGTCTTTGCACCGGCGCAGCCCTACTCTCCGCATGACGAGCAGTGGTTCATGATCGAGTTTCCCGGATCTTTTTTCGAGGGTCACAGGACAACACTGAGAACACTCAGAGACTCTCGGCCGTCAGTACTCCCATTCGGCAAGTACATTGCGCCCACGGATGAGGATATTTCCCGGTTCCGTCGACGTTCAGCTCCTGGTGTGATTGACCCACCCGTCTACACAACCATGCCTGGATTCAAGTTTGATTTGTCGGTGCTGCTAGAGAACGGTGGCCTTTGTACGCTCGATGTCAGAGACCCTCAGTCGGTCGATCAAGCGGTAACAGTGCTGAGAGAATGTAGCTCCTTGGATAATGCACAAGCTCTGGCACTGGTCGAGACCCTTGGAAGGGAGGTTGCCCTAATCAGCGGGTACGTAACATTTTCACTCTCTGATCGTATGCTTCTCGCTTGGCACTGATACTGCAAATGATACGTAATTCTAATTCTACTTTCTACTTTACAACAATATATTTAGTCCACCTGGAACTGGCAAGACCAAAGTCGGAGTCGACTTGATAAAGGTTCTTCTTCACAACAAAGAAGCTATGAACTGCGGCCCTATCCTTGTTGTTAGCTATACCAACCACGCCCTGGACCATTTTTTGGAGCATCTTCTCGATCAAGGAGTTACAAGAATTGTTCGTGTCGGCTCCCAATCCAAGTCGCAGCGGCTTCAGGAATACAGCCTCAAGTCAATACTGATCAATTCTACGAAGCCCTGTGCAGCCAGACGTGTTCTTGCTGAGAATTTTGCTACATCTAAGCAGACTGCCGTGTCTATTCGCGATCTGACTCTGGTGCTGAAGTCTGGCTACTTTGACTGGAAGCACGTGAAGGAACATCTCAGGCATAAGAACCCTGCACAGTGTCGTCAGTTCGAAGACTCGGCACCCACTCATGTCGCCTCGGAAGGTGGCGTGAGCATGATGCATCTGCGTAGACACTTGACTGGTGATGTTGCGTACGAGCGATGGGCCACTGGCAAGGATCTGGACGAGAAGTGTGTTTGGAACTGCCATCCTGACAAGAAGGACAAGGAGGAGGCATGGCCAACAGTCACCTCTGCGGCTCTTGGCGATGTTGCTCCTGAGATTGCTGTAACTCCTGGCTACGACATACTGGTGTCTGACCGCCCGATCCTTTTGCTCGGCGGAGATGTGTGGAGTATGTCGATGCAAGAGAGACGCCGTTTGATAGCATACTGGAGGCCCGATATCATCCGATCCATTGAGCAGGAGCTGGAAAGGCACCATCGAGATCTAAGGTCGGAGGAAGAGATCAAGCTAAACAGTCTTGACGAGGCGCGGCGATTGATCCTCTCTGGCATGGACGTCATTGGCATTACAACTTGCGGCTCGGCCAAGTTTCATACCTTGCTGGAGTCGGTGGCACCAAAGGTCATACTCTGCGAGGAGGCTGGAGAAGTCGTGGAGTCACAGATATTGACAGCGCTATCTCCGGTGACCCAGCATCTCATTCTCATTGGCGATCACCTCCAGCTCCGTCCTCACGTTCAAACCTACAGCCTTTGCTCGGAGTCGTCAGCTGGCCAAAGGTATAACCTGAACAGATCCCTTTTCGAACGACTGGTCACATCAGAGGTCAATCAGCTGCCTGTGTCCCCCCTGACTATCCAACAACGAATGCGGCCAGAGATCTCAAGCCTCATCAAGAACACCCTCTACCCTACCCTCGAGGACGGCGGCCCTGTTCACCTGTATCCTGATGTCGGAGGTATTAGTACCAACCTATTCTTCATGGATCACAGTAACCCCGAGGATAGAATGTATCCGTATGGCCTGCAGTCGTTCTCCAACTCATTCGAAGTCGAGATGATTGAAGCCCTGGCCCTGCACTTCATTAAGAACGGATACGACCTGCCCGGAGACATTGTGGTCCTGACGCCGTACCTTGGTCAGCTTGCCAAGATTCGTAACCATCTCGAAGATCGGTTTGTGGTTCTAGCGGACAAGCGTGACGAAGAGCGACTTTATTCAGGTGGTGCTGAGGGCGTGTATGAGGCGCCTCAAGTAATTAACTCACGGACAGATGCTCAAGAGATCCAGGATACAGTTCGCAATCACATCATGATCTGCTCCATTGATAACTACCAGGTAATATTCATCTCCTTGCGCGATGACAACACTACATGGCATTCATCACCGCTCAAAATAATCCATCGTTGACCATTCTTTTATTTTTATACCTACATTAGGGCGAGGAGGCAAAGATTGTCCTGATCTCTCTCGTGCGAAGCGAGACTGATTATGATGATAGGGAGTTGTTCGGCTCGATCGGTTTCCTCAAAAACCCTAATCGCGCCAACGTACTGTTGTCTCGAGCGCAACATGGGATGTTCCTCATTGGCAATGCAAGAGTCATGGATCAACCTGAACATGGAATCTGGCCGGCTGTAATGAAAGAGCTTCAGCAATCGGGTCGCGTCGGCCAGGGGTTCCCCATTTTCTGCAAGAATCACCCAGAGACAAAGAGGATCGTTTGCAGCGCTAAGGATTTTCGAGCAGCAGCACCAGATGGAGGTTGCGCTCTGCCTTGTGAAGCCCTCCTGCCTTGCGGCCATTTCTGCCCTCGTTCTTGTAAGTTTGTTTGCATGTTTTTGATTCCAAATTCTGAAATATATCAAATGACATTGACGATTTTTTGTCCCACTTCTAGGCCATCCTGATGACCCAGATCACACCTTATTCAAATGCACGGAGCCTTGTACGTATCTGCATTTAGAGTGCGATCACACTTGTCAGAGGATGTGCGGCGAAGAGTGCGGAAAATGCGACGTGGTTGTTGCGCCGCTAGCATTGACCTGCGGCCACGTCCTTGAAACAACCAGATGCTGGCAGTTGTTGTATCCTGTCCCGATTACCTGCACTGCAGAAGTTAAAAAGAAGCTAAACTCATGTGAACACTACCACACGATGAAGTGCCATCAAGACCCGATGAAAATCCCCTGCACCGAAAGGTGTCCGTCGATTCTGGATTGTGATCACCCCTGCGGCTCGATCTGTCATGGTCCCAATCCCTGTGCCCCTTGCACGGAGGAATGCACAATATCCTGTGCCCACACCAATTGCAACCATGACTGCCAGAGCCTGTGCCAGCCCTGCCGCTTGGACTGTGTTTGGCAGTGTGAGCATAGTGGCAGATGTACTCTGCCATGCGCAGCTCCCTGTGATCGGCTGCCTTGCAACGAGCGATGTGACAAGAACCTCTCCTGTGGGCACCAGTGCCCTTCTGTCTGCGGTGAATCATGCCCGTCAGTCAATTTTTGTCCCGAGTGCTCTGAGACAGTCATCGAGACTCTGGTCTTTGACAGATGCGAGACCATTCGACTCGATGAGGTGGACGTAGACAGAAATCCTCTGATGGTGCCACCCTGTGGTCACGCTTTGACCTTGTCGACATTGGATGACTTGATGGATCTTGGCCGTTACTACCAGGAACATAAGGGTGAGTTGTCTGGATCTGTATCGTATGCTGGTCTCAAAGAACTGCCTGGTGTTCCGAACGGCGAGGTTGTTTGTTCAGAATGCGCCCAGCCCATTGGCGCATTGTTTCTCCGGTACGGCCGATCCGTCAAGCACACTCAGCTTCTTCATCTGATGGAGAGGTTCCACAAGAAGCAAATGGCCGACAACAACCAACACTGTGCAAAAGTGACCGAGTCGTTTGCCAGAGCAAAGGGCGCTTTGTTTCAGAGTCTGAGCAAGGCCAAGGCTTCTCCTCGCCCAGTTTCGACGCGATCGATTGACAGGAGAGTCACGGTGCAGGATGGAGTTTTGGTTGGTGATCTGGGCGAGGTTGCGTCCTTGTACCTTATTCCCTGGAGACATCAGTTAATTTGGAAGGAGGCCATCAAACCAGCTGAGGATGCGCTGGCGTTCTTTGGACGGTCTCTGGTCGAGCGGTCGCCCATAATGGATCTCATGGCTCTTTTGGTCCGAAAGTCGTCGCCTCTCAGCCAAGGTTCGCAGTGGTCGCAACGCAGGAATGCACCTGCTATCCCTCCCCAAAGTCCACCTTTCTCTCCATCTGACAAGGAACTGTTTCAGGCGATCCGGACACTGGGCCTCGAAGATGCCGTTAGAGCAGACGAAGATGTCACGCTTTATGACGTTGGGTCCTCCTCTTTGATCCTATCAAGTATTTTTGCTCTGGCTGTGGAGGCGATGGATGCGGCAGGAGTCGAGTCAGGCTGGTACTGGTTTGTCGGGGATCTTATTGACTGCTGCCATCTTTACAGCTTGCAGTACAAGAAGATGGCGCTCGATTGTGGCGACACTAGCGCAGCCTCAATTGCCAGCAAAATGATTTTGGAGGGGCTCATTCGAAAGGTACACTGGATGAAAGAGAGATCCCTTGGCGGTACGGAATCGACGAAGGAATACACGAAAGCTCTCCGGGAACTCGAGCGGGTGTTCCGTGCTGAATCGAGCGAACGGTGTGGCGAAGATCTCGGAGGAGCATATGATTGGGCCCTGGCTGGACTGGAGGAGAAAGTGATGGCATTGTTGCAGGTGACGACACTGCAGCGCGAGGAGTAGCAGCCACCAACCACGTAGATGGCGACTGAAGAAGAAGTGGTTGTAAGTAGCCCCTTGTACCATTCCACATAGAACCGAAGAAATATTTTTGATGCCAACTCGGTCCCTTTCCTTATTTTTTGTCTTGTGGTTATACTTTTCTGACATTGTTCTTTTTTTTTTTCAAGACATGCAACAGCCCGTTACGTTTTCTTGTCTCTCAACGAGTGCCTCTTCTCTAACAAAAACATATATCGTTCTTAAAAAGTGCGGTTCGAGAGAGAGGGCCTTTTTTTATTACAGACAGAAGCATAATTACACAAGTGGATATGGTTTACAAACGAAAAAAGAAGATGAAAGGGTCGCAATGCAGGTAAGGAAGGGAAATGAGAGCAACGAAAAATAATTGGTCATGACCAAGAGATAGAAATGGGAGAATAAAAAAAAGTCGACAAGAATGAGAGTGAAGTAAAACCCCCCCTTTCAATTGCCACTAAACTTGAGCCTGAATAAACTCTCGATCTTATCCTCATACTCCCGGACTTTGATTTCTAAACTACTCAGGCCCACATAGAGTTCACGATACTTTTGGTCTTGTGTGGGATCGTGCTTGACGGTTTCGATCTTTTGCATCTGTCCCTTGATCAATTGGTCTCCGTAGTGCATCTTGCAGGCGTACCGGGTGATAAAGTCGTCGATGGTGTAGATTGAAGTTGGTGGGTAAGGAGATGGCTGCTTTTGTTGTTTTTGTTGTTGTTGTTGTGCCTGGATTTGTTGTTGTGTCTGCGGTTGTGTTTGGGTGAGGGGTTGTTGAGGGTGTGATAGTGTCTGCTTGGATGCGGTTGTGATGAGGGTTGGAGAGCCAGAACCGGACGTTGTGGCAGCGGTGACGGCAGAAGTATTGTGAGCCATAAGCTCAGGCATCGAGGTGGGGGTGGATGAGGAGGACATAGGTGTAGCTGTTGTGGTAGCGGACGCGGCGACATAGGGCAATGGGCTTGTGTGGTTCATCAGGTCCTCGGCGGTGTACATTGTTGTTGGTAGTGGCGGGGAAGGGAGGTGGGCGCCAGATCTGGTTTTCTTTCTGGCGTGAGTGTTGTCGGACGCGTCTTCTTGGTCGTGGTCTCGTTCACGCTCTCGCTCGTGCTGTCGGTTTCTGTACTCCTGAGTGTTGATGATCGACATGTTGGTTAAGGTCATGACACTGGTAGACATGGATGGTGATCAATGGAGCGGTAAAGGTGCTTTGAGTGGTCGAGGAGATAAAGTAAAGGGATAAGGTCGTTGATGGGTATTTATGAAAACGCTAAGAAGAGAAGGCGAGTGAAATTTTATGAGACAAAAAAAGAAAGGAAAAAAACAAAGAGCAATGGTGAGGGTTAAAGAGACGAAGGAATAAGCGCAGATGGGACAAAAGAAAGAAAAAAAAAACAAACGTTGAGGCAGATGGTTTGAGCGGGGGATGGGAGTACAAAGCCCTTCCTTATTTGGATATACTCGAAGAAGAAGGCGGTTGCCTGGCAATGCACTATGAACAAAGCTGAGACGAAATCGTAAGCGGTGAAGGCGGCGGAACAATAAGAGGGCAATGAACCTTTAGTTCTCTTTTCTCTGTTGCATGTTAAGTTATGAACCATCTTTTCCTCTGCATTTACTCGAACGATTGGCCTCAATGCGTGTCAATCATGCAAAGCCTTTGTCCATTGAACGAGCAAATGGGGCTTTTTTTTACAACCGCGGGGCGCAAAGTTTAATTAGGGTGCACAATGATCGTCCTTTTTAGGAAATCGGTTTCTTCCATGCTCTGCTCTTTTATTTTTTGTTGTCCTCCTTGCGAGGTAAAAGGTGATGGAGTCATAAAAGGAGGGTGTGTATACCTTGAACAACAGGAACCTTACCCTGACAGCATTAGCCTTCTTGCCGCCTCTCTCCACTGTGCAGGTGGATTGTGATGGTGGAAGTTCCTTGCTCATTTAGCGGGGCTTCTGAACAATAATTCTTGACGATACATATGGTTGGCGGTGTGCAAATGGTCGTGATATGGGTGGTGTTCTGGTGGACCTCGTCGCTGAGATGTTGGCGGGACGTCCTCGGTAGCGGCGCCTTTGAGTTGGTGATGATGAACTATCAAAGAAGAGTAAGGAGAGGCCAGCGACAAAAGCAAAAACGTGATCCAGCACAGACTCGGTATGAGTTTATGCGTCGTGCCAATTGCTTCATCATGACTGTTTTTCTCATGCTGCCCACACCTTCCACCATTTTCGTCAACTCTTTCAACATCATCATCAACCAGCCACTGTCATTCATCCTGCAGCCTACCACCATGCTGGCCACATTACCCCCCGAGCTCCTCTCAGAAGTCTTTCATCAAGAACTCTTGGCTTTCCTGGTACCCATCCATTCATTCGACTCTGAAGCGCGTGATGAGTCTTCGACTTAAGGAGTGCATCCCTAGCAGCAGCCACAAAGAGAAACCCTTGGACGACAATCAACTTGCACGGCATATTTTATACCCAGACCCCTATATCACATTGAGTGACGATTCGACTTTAGAGGTTGCATGGAATGCTGTCGAGATTCAACATTATCTTTCTTCCCTTCAAGATACCAGTTGGGCGCTTGGCCACGTCCAGTCGACGTGCACTTCAGGTCGTCAAGATCGTGTACGGTGAGATGATGGCGAGCCAGGATATTCAGTCGATTATCCAGCATGGTCGGTCTTTGCGTGAGGTCATGCTCCAGCACTTATCGACCCTCTTGGCTACCATTGCGCTCCATGGACGACGGTCTTGTCACTGGCTCCAAGTTACAATCTGGTTATCAGAGGAGTTCCCAGGCCAGATGTCCAGATTGATTACCGAGGTCGATCGATACCTGGAAGAATACCATTGCATAGTAGGACAATGGACCAGAGTCGGGCTATACAACGTCAGATATGTGCACAACTGGGGAGACTGGTATGTCTGGAGAAACTTGTTCTTGAGAATGATCGCCGTTACCAGTGGCTGGAACTAGAAAACAGCAATAACTCACCAATCAACTACAGGGCCGGTGTATACTACGATCCACAATTCCTAGTCGACTGCCGCTCGCAAGCGGTCTTGGATTACTTTTGGGATTGCGGGAACTTCAATACCTCAAAGTGGAAAATATCGAGCACCGGGTAGGGAAAGACGAGCTGCTGCGGATGGACAAGATGTGGATGCATCTTCAACATGTGTCGGGCTTGATCTTTCGACTAAATAGTGTATGGACCCTGATGTTGCCAAGCTGCGCCTATTCTTTTTTTTCTAGTTCAGTAGACCAAATGAATATGTGAGCTTTGACATGTACTATCTCATTTGACTATTTGTTTTTGTTTGATATTTGTTTGTTAACTAAAGCCATTTCTCACCTGCAGCAAGTCCACTTTGCAGACCAGGGTAGAATGGTGGCAAAGGGGGTAGAATGGTGGCAAAAAGGGTTATAATGGTGGCAAAAGGAAGGGTCGATTGCTCGACTTGACCGAGCCCTATAAATTTGAGATTCTGGCACCTTTTCTTGCATCTTATCTTCGAGCAAGCACTCTTCGTCTATCCTCCAAAGCACACCCAAAGCACGCTCACTCCACTTCAGCATCCCTCTTTCTTCACGGCATTGGATCCGACTGACACCCATTCATTCACCTTACCCTTATTGCATTCCCCTTTACCATTGTTGTCCGACATGCACCCCCTCTTTCCTCCAGAACTCGTCCGAGAAATCGCCAACTACCTCGACACACGCGACCTTCTCAGAGCCCTTCTTGTCAACAAAGACTGGTGCTCAACCTGGACACCTTTACTCTGGGCCGATTTCACGGTAGTGAGCTCCTCCCTCACAAGGGACATCATCGGCAAGAAGTTCCAACCTGTCCTCGCGCGACATGGGACTCATATCCGAAACGTCTTTGTCCGGCACGAGCCACACATCAAGGTCCTTCAAGCTCTGTGTGTGGCTGTTCCGGCACCTTTGTTGAGTTTGTCATCGCTTTGTGTGTCGACCAGGCTGGACCTCGAGACGAATGTGGATCGGTTGATTGAGATTCTGAAGAGGAGCCCTCAGTTGCGCAATTTGGATGTCACCAATACTCCGGTCCCTGGTGCTTGGTTCGAACGGCTCTTGGGCGTCATTTCGCCAGGTCTTCCTCGGTTAAAGTCCCTCAAGTTGATGCATATGCATGTACATCCCAAAGCGAGTCCATTGGCGCTGAGGACGTTCCTGGAGACCTGCTCGTCAGAACTTGAGACCCTTGTCGTCAAGTTTGGGATCTCGTGCCCGCTCATGCTGTTTATGGCTCCTCCACCGATGACCATTCCTGGGACAAAGTCCCATCCGAAACTCAAGGTCTTGCAGCTCGAGGTGGGGTACCCGTCCATGAGTGGGCCTATGGAGCCGATCTTTCCGTGGATCCTGAATGGGTTTCTGGAAGGATGTAGTGGGTTGGAGGTTGTGGACGATCGGTTCTTTCCATTTGAAGGGAGACGGCAGTGGTTCACAGATGACATGTCGATTTTGAGGACCTTGCATGGCGTCATGGGCGTTGCCTTTCGGAACTGTTTCTGGAGGCAGCAGCATTCTGGACAGGTCGTCGCTTCGCTTGAGGGGACTTTGTCTGGTGAGCTGTCAGATCTGAACGCGGATGATCGTGGTGTTCAGGAAGTTTGGCAAGGCATCAATCTAGGAGACTATGACTCGAGCACCATCACGGAAGAAGACAGGAAGGCCATAACTCATGCCGCATCACAACGAGGATTTCAAAAGCTCGTTATCAACAACAAGGACTGGCTGTCGAGCGAGGATCTGTTGGTTATCTTGCGGACCTGTCCTACTCTCCGGGTCTTGGAATGTGGTTACGATCGATACCCTTCTATCACGGCCACGGAACTCACTCGGCAACCCTGGTCGAGCAAATGGCTGAAGGTGCTTCACCTGATTATATCGGGGATCCCGAGGCCGGATATCAAAACCGATGCTAGGGACCAGCCCATCCCCGCAGGAACTCCTTTTCACACAGGAGATATGGAAGAGAGTCGGGTCTTGCAGAGAAAAGTGTGCGCTCAACTCGGGGCGCTAGTGTGTTTGGAGGATCTCTGTTTGGGTTACAGTCTTGCAAGAGACATGGTCGCCGAAACCGACAATGAAGGCTCCGATGATAGTGACGACAACGATGGTCGGGCGGTCAAAAAGTACAACCCGTTCCTACAATTAACCTGCTTGGAACTGACGCTCGAGAGCGGACTGGATCTGTTATCAGAACTCAAATCGCTCGAGTTTTTTTCGATCTGGGGGATGGACCACCGGATCGGGAGGAAGGAGTTGTACTGGATGCAGCGGAATTGGCATTCTGTCCGCAGGGTGTTTGGGCTGCTGCCGCTACCGTACCAAGGGTCGATGCGACATTTTGGATCTGACCCCTCAGTTCTCTCCTGTCGAGTCGCCTTCAGCATTATGTGATTTTTCCTCTTCTTTGCTCTTATTAATTCTCTTCAATAAATAATTGTTCAAGCACTCCTGCCAGGTCTTTGTCATGAACATAAAAATGAACACACAAATAAAATAACGAGATGATAACATGCGTTTATTAATTCTCAGTGGGAAGGAGGGAGGGGAACATGTCCGCTAAAAGTGTCCTTAAAAAATTTCCTGATCTCCCTGTTAAGGACCACATTTTTAGCGTTAAAATTACCCTGGACAACACGGAGCGCCTTCCAATGTTCCTCCATCCAATGTGCGTCCGCCAAGGTCATGTCCTGAGGGAGCTTATCAAAGTTCAACGTCGCGAGGTGTCGAAGTGTCTCCAGTTGCCCAAGTCCATGGTCCAGTCGGAGTTGGAGACCGTTTTTGGGATCACCGACGATGGGTCGGCCCTGCGGGGTCATGTAGCGCGAAATATTGAGTCGTCGGAGAGCTTTCAGCTTCGAGAGGAGGGAAAAGGTTCGTTGGCAGTCAGCGATATGGTCGGAGAGGGTCAAGTCGAAATAGAGTACGAGCGTGTCGAGGTGTTCATGACAGGGCCAAACTTCTCCGTCCTTGATATCGTCCGAGACAATGGCTTCGGCTTTGAAGACTCGTAAGAGGGGACAGGACCTGAGGAGCAAGGCGATGTTGGCGCTTGTGACAAGGGGGCACTGCAAGAGGTTGAGTTCTTCGATCGACTTGAAGTGTGGTTCGAGGGATCGAAGACTGGAGGGCCCAAAGTTGGTCTGGTAGACGGCTAGTTTCCTGACGCGCGACATGCACTGGACAATGTGTTCCGTGTCCAGATCCGTCAAATTCATGCCCATTATATCCATTGAGTCCAGGTTAGGCAGTCGTCCAGATCCTAAGATGCTGAGTAGAGGATCCCTGGCGAGTCCGTGAATAACCCCACCTCGCCAATAGAACGACGACAACTGCGGACAGTATCGAAGGAGCTCGATCTGGGTATGCGGCAAGGGCTTCAAAAGGCTTTCAATATTCAACTCTTGCAATCGCCGGAAGTTCGTCGGCAAGACATCCGCCGAATTGTTACTACTACCATTTCCGATCCTGCACCGCTGAAGCGTCAACACATTGGCACCACTACACGCCTTCCAAAAGTCCTTTAAATGTCCATCATCCACCCGCACCTGATCAAATCGCAACGTCCTAATCCCAGGGTGATCCGCCACCGCCTTCCAGAACACAGCCGTCGGCGTCCGATCAATCTCTGCAATCTCCACCGTCGTCAACCCCGGATTCGTTTCCACAATCCCCGCCAAACTCGCCCAAACCTCATCCGCAATATCCGCTCCAAACCCTCTAAAATCTACACTGGACCCATCCACAACCTTTAGTGTTTCCAGTCGAGTACATGGGATCGCGAAATGGTCGACAGAGACAAAGCCCCGAAAGACAAGGACCCGGATATGTTGAGCATAAGTGTGAAGGGCGCTGGTGGGGATTGGGGATTGTTTGGTATGGCGTTCATAATCGACGGTGCAGGTTTTCCAGACGAGTGGGGCGAAGTGGCCGTTCCAGGTCCAGCAGACTTGCATACAGCGTTGTTGTTCTTTGAGAGAGAGGTAGCCAGAGATAAGGCCGAGGAGTTCCGGGAGGAGGAGTGGATGCATCCTGACTTGTCGTTATTGTTGAAAGTTGTTGTGAATGAGAGAGAGAGGAATGAATGTCGAGGGTGTTTGTTGGAGGAAAAGAAAAGAGAATGAAAGAAAAGAGAACGAGGAATAGAAATAGGAAAAGAGAGGTGGGCTGAGGAGGGAATAAGAAAGGCTCCAGAAAAGTAAAAAGTGGAAAAAGGAAAAAAAGAGAAAGGTGGCCTGCCGCATGCATGCTTTGCCACTAACAAGAGGTCGAGAAGGAGGTGGTGTCGCTTTTGAGTTCGCACGTATACTCACACGCTCCCCCGAAAGTCGACGGTGGACAAATGCGACACGATATTTTATTTCTCCTTGTTCATGAATCATGACTACAAAGGCGAGTGATCTTCCTCTCACTTTGCGATCGCTCTGTGAAAAGCGTGCTATCATACACTTTAAGGGGATGCCTAAGTTCTGCTGACTTGGTGTGAATCGATGGTCCCTGGTTTCCAAAGCGAAGCGCGCCAGTAGCAAAGGGGAGAAGTTCCAGACTACCAATTCGTGTTCCTGCATCAATCCTAGCTGACGTTTGTCCCTGAAGTTTCTGCCCCGGTGTCCACTTGTGTTCTGTTGAGGGTGCAGTGACGATATCAAGTGAGTCCGGGGACGTTGCTTTAAAAAGGCTCACTCGGAGGATCTTGACAGTCCACGAGGGTTCTGCAACACTGCTGCCATCCTATCATTCAAGAGCGAAGAAAGATGGATCTCGATCCTGAGAAAGCACAAAAGAGTACGTCCATGTCCATGCTCCGGTGGTCATTGCAAGTCAGTTGTTGCAGTTGCTTGGTGGAAAGGTGGAAGAGAAAGGAGCAGGTGAGTGAGGCGTGTGGAGAGAAAAGGCAAGTGAACCCTTAAGAACCATCATTGTGAACTTTGAAGAAGGGGCAACTGATCCTTCCCTTGTCCCGCCTTCAACGCATACTCATTTAGTTGGCATGCCCGAATTGCCCTGGGAGATCATCAGTTACATCGTCTCCTTACTCGACAGGCACACGCTCACACAAGCAGCGCTCATCAACAACGAGTGGAACGCAGCAAGCAACCCTCGTCTCTGGAGTAACCTGAGGTCATCCGCCCTCGAAGACAACCTCATCCTCCAAGGGCCCTTCAAGCAGGGCCTGGACCGCAATAAGCGCCATATTCGAAATGTCAGTTGCGTCTGGGGCGCCTCTCTGCTTCTCTCCTTGCTCTCGGGCGTCCTTCCCGACCTCGACCTTTCCATCTTATCATGCAAGCCAGGACTATACGCATCCGTCGGCGACGTGAACCCGCTTTTCTTGATCCTGGAGTCGAGTCCTCGCTTACGAACACTACGCCTGAGCACCTTACCTTCACCAATTGAGAATGCGGAAAGGCTTTTGTTGACGATTGCCCGGTGTCTTCCACTGCTATCGACGCTGGACTTGTTTGCTGACGCCCTCGTGTTTGTGCCGCCCATTGTCGTGCGCAAGTTTCTGGAAACTTGTTCGCAAGAACTGGAGATCCTGTCGCTCAACATCACCTTTTGCCAACTTAGTTTCAACGACGAGGAGGCGAGGATGTTGAAGGAGCCTGTTCCTGGAAGCAAAGCCCATCCCAACCTCAAGTCATTCACCCTTGCAATCCAACACAACGTTCGCCAGAGTGAACTGGTGGAGGCGCTCGTTCTGGAAGGCTTTTTGAGTTCTTGCCCCGGGTTGGAGACAGTTTTTGATTGTGCATCAGTCAGTTTGCCACGGCGGTCATGGATGGTCGACAACCTTATCATTTTCAACACTGTTCGCGGAGTTTTGGGCGACTATCACTTCACTCGACTTGTTGTTAACTCATCATCGCCACATCTGCATGGCGACGCACTGCTGGCGGCGGAGGTGTCGCGCTACAATGTGCCTCAAGGCGGGAGACAGGTTGCTTACAGGAATATTCACATCGGTGTCAGTTGTTATCCATCGATGGAGCTAACCAGTCAAGCACTTACGAGCGCCAGCAAGCGAGGGCTACAGGGGCTATACATTGCCGACGGCAGGAAGTTTGCGAGCAATGACATCCAATCGTTCCTCCACCACGGCCGAAGCTTGCGATCGCTCACATCACCTCTCCCTCCAACAGTCATGGCAGCGGATGTCATTCAGTCGCAGTGGGCTTGCACCTGGATCACGGTCCTCAGCATACAGATCGGCGGGATCCCAAGACCGGATGTCGAGTTTGATGCTTTGGGCAAAAGGATCGAAGCAGGAACGCCTCTACACAGTGGGACATTGGAAGAGAGTCGGATCATCCAGAGGAAGGTCTATGCACAGCTTGGAGTCTTGGTATCGCTGCAGCAGTTGACACTTGGCAACAGTCCCAGTTCACGCAGTTTTATTGTCGGCACAGGAGAGCAAGGTCCAGTTTACTACAATCCTCTATTCCAGACGAACTGCCTCGAAATGAGTCTGGAGAGTGGTCTTGGGTTGCTTGGGGGTTTGACCGCGCTGCAATCGCTGGACGTTTCTAGTATGGCGCACAGGATCGGCGAGGATGAGCTGCGGTGGATGGAGAGTCGATGGCACAGCATGAGAGAGTTGATTGGGCTGAACCGGAAGAAGATCGACGCGATCTGGCTGAGCTTGTACGATCCTGATATTGAAACAGTTCCCTGCGGACACAAGTTCGCCATCGATCCATTGCTCTTCCAGTGTAATGTTGACTTTACTAACAACGTCAATAAATGACTGCAACTTTACTAAAACGCGAGTTTCACTGCGCCCTCTGCGCAAGCCACAAGTTGACCATTGCATTGATGAATGATGACTTGCAAGTGCTTCTACTCTTCTACTCTCTTACTCTTCACCCTTTTACTCACTCTTCCTTTGACCTCTCTTTCAGCACACTCATCCAGCTATGAAAAATATTTACAGCATACGAACGCTAGCAATCCCAGAACTCGTCCAAGAGATTGTCGATAATCTCGCCCTCCATGACCTGACTCGACTCGTTCGCGTCAGCAAGGAGTGGTACTACGCATATACCCCACACATATGGCGAGATATCAAGATATTTGCAACACAACAGCAGTCCGCGTTCGTAGAACCAGCCGCTCAAGAAGCACTCATCCGCAACCGCGACCTTGTGCGTCTCTTCTGGTGTCGCGCTTCTTCGTCTGTGAATCCACTCGCTGCTGTTGGCAACACGTATGGACAACAACCCCTGCGCCTGACGGATATCTGTTTTCAGACGGATATTTATGACACCGAGGACCAGGAACCCTTGTTTGAGTGCTTGATCGCTGTCCTGGAGCAGTGTCCCTTTCTCGTCGTTCTTGATATTCCCACCCCACCTCCTGCTGGCGTCGTTGTGGAGAATCTGCTCAAGTGTATTGCTCAGTCGTTGCCTCACCTTCGACGCTTGACACTGTTTACGGAGGATGAGCCTTTCGTTCTACCTTATGCCGTCAAGGAGTTCCTCGAAACTGTCTCTACAGAGCTGGAGTACCTGTCAATGGGAATCGAGTTCTGCCACGGCAATAGCACTGTCAGTACAGCAGCTTTGGATAGGCCGGTGCAAGGAAGTCGCCTTCATCCAAAACTCAAATGCGTTAGCCTCTACATGGACTTCAGCGGCGACAAAGACAAGACGATTTTTCCATTGGTTCTGTCTGGGTTCTTGAGGGATGTACGAATCTGGAGGTCATCGATAACCAGAAGCATCAGTCGGCGCCTTGGGAAAGTTGGGTCTGGAATTATCCGCCTCTCATCGATATTTTGGAGTCTTTACTGGGTGTTCGATGGAGGCAGTTCCATGTGGGACAGGCGGCAAGTCCAAGATCGGACGAGGGTATTTCGAAAGCGATTACGAGCATTGTTTCTAGTACAGGCGTCGTCACTTCTACCACTTCCTCCTCATCTTTGGTTCAGGAAGCTTGGTGCGGGATTAATATCGACAAATGTCCTTCGTCCATGACCCTCACCAACGGAGCGATTTTGTCGGCGGTAACAACACAGTCGCATGGACCATATGTCATACATGTCGACAACAGTGACACGATGAAGAGCGCGGACGTTCAAATGATCCTCCGTCAAGGCCGATCTCTACGATGCCTCTCATCTCGTCTGCCTCCTACCATCCTGGTCACAGACATGATTTCATCCCCACCTTGGTCATGTCGCTGGATCACTTACCTCGGGATCCAAATCTCGGGTATCCCGCGTCCAGATATTTACACCGACTATAAGAACAGTCTCGCGCCTACACTTCTCGGCGTATCGATGAAGCAAAGCCGTGCAATTCAACGACAGGTCTATGCACAGCTCGGACAGCTGACCTTTTTACGAACCCTCAGTCTGGGCGCTGACAGTCCTGCGGCAGAGTTGTACGTCTCAACTGACAAGAACAGGACACCTGTGTTTTTCGACCGCCGATTGCAATTGAACTGTCTTGAGATGACCTTAGAGAGTGGACTGGGATTGTTGGCGGGGTTGCGGGATTTAGAGTGGTTGACTGTTGCGAATATGGACCATCGGATTGGAGTTGCAGAGTTGCAGTGGATGGAGAAGTCGTGGCCAAGTATCAAGGAAGTGAAGGGTTTAGTGAGGTGTAGGAACGGGGATAAGTTCCGGGGTGGGCGGACAGTGCCGTCGGGTTCGATTGTTGCTCCCGGTAGGGCTTGTGGCTCCAAGGTTGAGGTCTTGGACTGCCCTGTCAATTTTGCTATTTCATAGACTTTTCCTGGTTCAGGATCAAAAAAGACATGAATGCTTCCTATTCGTTTGCAGCAAATAAATCGATGAGTGCAGGTCAAGTTCTACTGTAGTTTAGCGGTGGCGGTGTTAAATCACCCATCATTTTCCTCCGCACATGGGTTCAGAGCATTGGTCAAAGTTGTTTTTCGCGCGCGCATCAAAATATTTATTTGTTCTTATTCACAGGGGAGGGGATGATGGCAATGCGAAGATCTATGAGAATGACAGGGTTATTTGGATTTTTTTGTTATCTTTTTATCTTTTACAAAGGGAGTTACGACAATCATTGCGCTGTTTACAGCTTGGCGTGGTCCTCACTGACACGCTCAATGACGACAGCAGAGGCTCCACCGCCTCCGTTGCAGATGGCGGCAACACCAATCTTGGCGTTCTTCTGCTGAAGGACACTGACCAATGTGACAATCACACGAGCTCCAGAACTATTATATTGTCAAAACAAGAGGGGGGATAAAGGGTTAGGTGACTGTTCAAGAAACATAGTACATATCACCCTATTCGCAAAATGAACAAAGAAAAGCCAACGTACCATCCGAGGGGGTGTCCAAGGGCAACGGCACCTCCGTTGACGTTAATGTTTTCGCTGGTCAAACCCAAGATCTTCATGTTGGCACAGGCGACTACCGAGAAGGCCTCGTTGAGCTCATAGAACTCGACCTGCTCAGCAGTAATACCGGCACGCTGGATGGCCTTGGGGATGGCGAGAGAGGGGGCGGTGGTAAAGCGGGAAGGATCACGCTCAGCATCGGCAGAGCCACGGATGATGGCCAAAACGGGGATATTGAGCTCACGAGCTTTCTGTCCCGAGATCAAGATGATGGCGCAAGCACCGTCAGAGATGGGAGATGAGTTGGGGGCAGTGACGGTTCCGCCGTTGGACTTGAAAGCGGGGCGCATAGCACGCAGCTTGGCCTCGTTCAACTACAATTGGCAAAAAAGGGTCATTACAGTGTCAGTACTTATGTTTCTTGCTTCCGTTTTTGAGATCGGTGAACACCATTAGTAATGTAGTAATGGGAAGAAGGACTTACGTTGGCGACCTCGTCGTCGGCGGTGATGACGGTGTCGGGCTTACCACGAGCTCCGGGAACGACGACGGGGACAATCTCGTCCTTGAAAAGACCAGCCTCGGTGGCGTGCTGAGCACGCTTGTAGGACTGGATGGCATAGTCATCCTGATCCTCGCGGGAGACACCGTGCTCCTCGGCAGTCTCCTCAGCAGCAACACCCATGGCGTAGTTGTTGTAGACATCGGTGAGACCGTCCTTCTGAACTCCATCAATGACCTCCTGGTGTCCGTACTTGGCTCCGAAGCGCATCTTGGGAAGGTAGTATGGGACGTTACTCATCGACTCGGCACCTCCCGCAATCACAATCTATTGAACAAAAAACGTCGACATTGTCAGTATCTAGTAGGCAAAACTTGACATACAACGTCCGTGTGAAGATCCTGCAGAGACTTACATCGGCCTGGCCAGTCTGGATGGTCTGGGCAGCAAGCATGACGGCCTTCATGGAGGAAGCGCAGACCTTGTTGACGGTGGTAGAGACGGTGGTCTGGGGAAGTCCGGCGCCGAGGGCGACCTGTCTGGCGGGGTTCTGACCTGAAATGGCATGGGTAATGCGTTGGGGTATTGGGGTAAAGTTAGAAAACGAAGCACATTGTGGAAGATCGGTAATCGTCCTTTCCTAAGCCTACAGACACACACGTTTGTCGCAGGATGCAGATCTTCGACCCCTCTTCTAGTTACTTCATACATTGAAAAACTTCCGAGGTGTCCTGCTCAAAGTGCAGTTGCTGTCTTTAGCACTTTTTGTTGATTGGACCGTCTTCTTTCCCACCTTCGTCATTTCCTACTTTCTTCACCCCTACCCCTGAAGGCCGTTGAATTATTTTGTTGGGTTGGAATTCAATTCAACTACAAAAAAATGTGTGGGGTGCAGGAGTGGGAGAGAACCGCAATAGCCGCTGCCGTGTTGTTCTTGCATTCCATTGCGTCCATGACCAAAGAGAGAGACTTACCGAGACCGGCAGACAAGACGTTTCCGAAGTAGATTTCATCGATCTGCTCGGGCTTAATATCGACCTTCTTCAAAGCACCTGTAGTTCACAATATAAATTCAGCCTGGTCAGTCTTTAGCCTTTTTCTCAAACTTTACAGGGCAGTTAAGCGGAAGCCAGAGTGAACGGACAAGTTCGCTTTCTTACCCTTGACAGCAAGAGAACCGAGCTGGACAGCTGTGAACGAGGCCAGGGAGCCGTTGAAGGATCCGATGGGTGTGCGGGCAATAGCAGCGATATAGACTGTTGTTGTTTGTTAAACAAGTGAGGTGTGAGAAAACAAGAGGGTTATGAGTTGGTTTGTAATCTTGAAAGTAGGTCATTCGCTCTTGTGTGCGCTCCAAGCTGGTTTGTTGAGAAGGACGACCTACCGGTGTTGGTGTTGGTCATTGTGAGAGAAGTGTGGTGTGAGAGGGGAAAGAGGCGAGAGTGGCGAGAGGAAGTGATTGAGAGAAGTATGGCTGAGAGGTGAAATAACCGAAGCACCCTCTTCCTTTTATTGCAAGTGGGGGGCTGGGGATCTGTAATTGAATGGCTTATCTGGAGTCATATGCAGTTACGAAGGGGAAAATACAAAGTCACTGTAGTCGTTCCTTGATCAGGGACGATGATTCAGAGAAATGAAATGTCCATTATTGTCAGGCCACTTTGACAGGAAACACTCTTTGACATACGAGAGCATTGAACAAAGAAATGAGTGGATCGGACCATTTTTTTTTGTTTTTCGTTATCTCTTGAACAAAAGACAAAAAGGGTTTATGCTGCCTTGCTCGCATATGTGAGCACAAGGTGAACAATTGTTTCTAACTTCGATCTGTATGTATTCTACAAAGGAGGATCACTTTTTTTACCCGTTGGTTCCCGTTGACAACGACAGTGTTCACTCGCGCCATTCGCCCATCAACCAATCATGGCCCACTATGCACGCGCACTTTTTACTTCTGCGTTCTTCCAATTGATCAATTGATGATGATTTCCGCAGGTGTGATCAATAACATTGGCATGCTGTAACAGTGTACCCGACCTTCCTTCCCATACAGATCGTTCGATGGCCTGACCCTCTACTACCTTGTTATCTCTCCTCTTATTATTCAACGCAACATCGTTCGATGCTTCGAGCAAGTACCGGTGCGACTTTCTTTCATATCCTCTTATCATTTCGCCACCCGTGGCCACAGGACTCGGGGATACGTTTATAACAAATGGTGCTAAGAGTCCAAGACGCAAATGATCTCCTGACTTCTCGTCACAGCGTATCCAATGTGTTTGTCCGCTGCGTGACGATAAAGCGCCAAGTATTTTCGTCTTCGGTTGGTCGACTGAATTCTCCCTTTCTCTCTCCACCTTCACTTTCAACGCAAGCGCGCCGCCGAACATGGACTTCATCATCCTCGACATCCCGACTATGTTTCTTCCATTTGCTGCCCTAATCTCGTTCCATGACATCACTCAATGTGTCCTCGTCAACAGAGACTGGTACCACCACTTTCAGAGGCACTTCTGGCGGGCCGTCTCGATACTCGACCTCGCCAGCTATCCAACCATCAGGACGATGGAGGAATTGAGGCATTTCAAAGGGTATATCATCCGGCCTCTGACGCTGTGAGGTGCTTCCGCCCAAGAGCCACTACATCGAGTCCCTGCCAACACACTCCTTCGCAACGTTCGAAAAACTCGGCCCAGCAGCGGTCAACCTTCGTCATTTCCGATGTGTATACCCTGGACACCCGCGGAAGAATGATTCTGGAGCAATTGATGGACGACTGCCGATTCCTGCGTCGGCTCTCACTTGGTTTACATTCCCATTTATCTATGCAGAGCTGGGCATAGGATCGAATAGGACACTGCACTTCATTATGGAAGCTGTCTCCTCTCTCCGTTATCTAAGCGCGAATTGTCGGGAGGCCCGTGTAGTTGCCAACTCGATCGTACATGCTGTAATGAAGGCGATGTAGTAACGATTTCTGGAGATCGTTATTATCAAGAATGTTTGCGGGACGAATTCTCTACGAGACAAGCTCAAGGTCGTCATTTCCAAATTCATGGCGACAACACTTCGGATCTACAGGATGCCATAGTACTCTACCAACCTCGAGAACTTGGAGATGGAGTTTGTGGTCGAGACGTCCCGCGTATCTACAGTCGATATTTGATTGCAGGAGAGCGGCGACGAGTGCCAGAGGAAGTTCTTTGACGAGATCACTAAGCAACGGCTGAAGCGCCTTGTCCTCTGGAAAGCGACGTGGGACGTACAGACCTTGACCTCCCCCTCGTTTTAAATGGGACCTGTTGGACTTGAGCAGCTCCAAGGGTGGCCAAGTTGAAGGATCGGGAAGTGTATAGAAAGCGATACTCTTTGGTCTAAAACTGTGTGTAATCAAGTCGCCCTAGCACGCACGACACATCTCTTCCTTTCCGCCATTCGCGGCGTGTCAGACCCACAGCGCAGCACACCCACACCCAAGGAAATAAAATGCAAAATCAAAACAAGGTTGGCTCGTCACTTTCTTTCTAATCACTATTTTTCTCACTTTTTTTTTTACTACTTCACCCTTTTTTCCTCATGGACACTAACCACCATTCGCAGCAACAGCATGTCTTCATTCCTTCAGACGAACCCTTGGATCGCCGAGAAGTTGCCCTCCATTTCAGCCGGTTCCTCGACAAACCTACTCTCCTCGCCTGCTTGCAAGTCTCTCGTTCTTGGTTTGCTGCGCTAGAACCTTGTCTCTGGCACAGCTTCACGCTCCTGAGGGACCATCCCAACCCGGTCTCTCCTCACCAGCCTCGTCAAGTTATCCAACAGCGACAGCAGGACAGGAGTGCATCCCTCCCTCGTCGGTACCCGACCCTCGGATCCCTCCAAAGGAACGCTCGACATATTACTCGACTTCGGTACTTTGGCGAACTTCCTCTCCTCAAAGCTCTCGTCCCTCACCTGAATCAATTGAGGTACCTGGAGGCGACGCGCTATACAGACGACGTCAAGCAATTGCTAAAGCAGAATGCCGCGACTCTGCATACCCTCATCCTCAGAGGCGACCCATTCATCCCAGGAGACACAATCATGATCGACAGGATTTGGCACCACCTTCTCGACTTTACCGCCCTCCGAGTCCTCGAACTGAACGGGGCCATCGTGTCAGACTACGAAGGAACCAAGTTCGGACTTCTCTGTCGCAAGCTGGCCAGCCTCTCCCTCATCGATTCCAAGCTTCTCGAGCGACCAAAGTCCGAGGACGAGTTTCTTAACATCCGCACCTTGGTTCTCGACCGATCCTTCCTTCCTAAGGAAGACCAACCTTCGCTCTTCGAAGTCTGCCCTGCGCTTGAGAACTTTACATGGAGATCGCGATCGGGCAAGCCGTCGACCTTCAAGTTCTTGGACTTTCTGAACGCCGGTCGAGGAGAAGCACTGTCTGGATTGGACCTGTCGGGGTCCCAGATTACTGACAGCGATCTTGCCAGTATCATTCGATTGCTACCAGGGCTGACTCGACTCCGTGCCTGCAACTCCTTGTTTGGCCCCGAATCGACCAGGATGATCACCGAGATGCGTCAACATCAGATACAGGAGTTGATTTTATTGCAGTGCCCTGGTTTCACTCAGACTTACGCCCAGGAAGTCTTGAGGACTTGCAGTCGATTGCGAGTGTTCTCGGCGCCGGCTGTCAATGCAGTGGAAATGTCCCAGCTTCGGTGGAGTTGCACAGGGCTGGAGGAACTGGATATCAGTATTGCAGGGACACGTCGTTTGCCAGGACGGGTGACTCCAAGACACCGCGGCATATATTCTCAGCTGGCGGTTCTCACTAACCTCCGCGTGTTGCGACTTGGAGAGGTGACAGACATGGAAGAAGGGCCGTTCCTGTTGGACTTGAAGGTGCACAGCGGGCTGGGCTTGCTCTCGACACTGGGAAAGCTGGAGGTCTTTGACTGTGAGAAAATGAAGCCTGTGATGGAGTTCTTTGACCTGCAGTGGGTGGTCAGAAACTGGGAAAGCCTCAAGAAGCTTGTAGGCAGTGTCCACCCGAACTATGAACAGAGGGACCTCTCGAACGAGTTCCTGTCGTCTCAACTGCCTTTCCTAGAGACATATCTCACTCAAGAGGAGTGTACTCTTGCTTTGGTGTGGAAATAGAAAAAAGCAGTCCTCATTCACAAAAATAAAGCGAGCGCGCTTGCCACCAATTTTTGTACTTCGCTACTGTTCACAACTTACCCTGGTTTTTTTGTTTCTCTCTTCATTGCCACCAAATCTGCACATCCACACCTCCGACCCTCGACCTTCCCACACTTGTGTCTCGCCCCTGACCTTTCAAGGACGTGAAAAAATGAACAACGGGCCGGGATCCTTCAACGCCATCTGCCAGCAAGCAGGTCTCGAGCTCGGACAGAATGGCGCGCCCAACGTGCTTAATGTAGAGCCTTCGCGATTTCAACGAGAGGCTTCTCGACTGATTCAGCGTGGCGGTGCATCAGGAGCAAGCTGTGTCGAGTCTTTCCTTGAAGGTCTTCAGGAGCATTTGGAAGATGCTGATAACCTGCGGAAATGTCTTATCCCCATCATCAAGTCAAGCGACAAAGGCCAGCAGGCGTAAGTGTCACGCCTTCTTTCTGGCCTGTATGCTGACCAGCAAACTGTGGATCGAGTTATCAAATGACATAGTGAACTCAGGTATCTTTTTGTCCGTACTTTATAGGCTTTCGAACGGCGAGAGTTTGGTCCGCATCCTGTTGAGTATCGACATCATTCAGCCAGGACTTATGGAAGCGCTGCTGGAGCGGATATTTGGCTTCCTAAGCGATGAGTAAGTAGCAACAACATCATTGCCGTCGCAGGGGGGGGAAGGGTACTGAGCGAGTCAAATACTGTCACTGTCAGTCTGCTGGAACTAACACATGATTTTTTTCGAATGTGGGACTATGTAGGGAGAAGGAGTCATCTACACCGAAACTTATTCTGCAACAGATGAGATGGCTGAACAACATCATTGAGCCAGCGCAACTCTCTGCCAAGTTGCTCGAGGTACATATAGACTGAATATTCTCATAGTTGGTTTCTACACGGGTGTGTTATCTTTCATAGCGTAACTAAGACTCTTCCTGCTTGTCACTAGGTCATCGGAGTGTCTTCTGTCACAATTCAACGAGATATTATTACCAGTTTACCAGAGATTGTGCCAGATTCGGAGCACAAGGTACCATGCCTTGATGAAGATCTTTGTGGATTTGTTCCTGCAATATGGAAACTCTTACTCATTCGATCTATTACTTTCCATGCCATGTAGGCTGTTGTTCTTGGACTTTTCGAGTTGATGGAGAGTTCTTCTGAGCTTATGGTGCCGATTCTGGATGCGTTGTCGAACTTGAACTTGCAGTCGGATATGCTGGTATGTATGGGTTTGCTCATTCTGAGTCAAGAGGCAGCTGTATATGAGCTAGAGATAGTTACTGGAGTGTCGATCTGCCCAATAACAACAGTTATTGACTACACATTGTTTTCGATTAGGTCAACGCGAGGAATCATGTTATGAACAAGCTGATCTCGGCAGAGCTGGATGACCTTCCAATTGTGATCAAGTTCTTGCTGCAAACTGTGGAACCGGATAACGTGGGAGATGTCATTGAAACGATTCGCCAAAAGCTGGACTTTCGGTCTATCAACAAACTTCAAAAGAGCTCCAGGACAAAGTCAAAGAAGGTCTCTATCAACCAAACACCGGAGGTCCTGATTCTAGGTATGCCTTGAACGAGGTCGTTACAGGGATGTTATGGGGCGCTGCGGACAAAATTCTAGTGGCATCTATTCACAACGGCCATATCTTCCCATGCCCGGTTCAATAGATGCTCTTAAAATCGGTATTAGATTCCAAAAGTTTGTCATGGACGCGTGGTTCAAGGCGCTGGTCGCCATTTCCAAACCCGTAAGTTGCTAACATGGAGGAATGTACCTTTCGCGTACTATGTGACTAGAACATGTTCAGGTGCCATTTCTGACAGCTTCGCCTCTTTTCGCTTTTAGGGCCAGTACAAAGTGATTGATGTCATGGTCATGTTCATTCTGTACTCAATCGTTAGTTTGAAGAAAAAAGTAGAGGTCATGATCCGCAAAAAGATTATTGAAGGCCTGTTGACAAGGAAGCTACTGGAGGATACCATCTTGGTCCACGGAGTGTCCCTGCGAGAGTAAGTTTACCGGCTTACAAAACACCGCTCGCTTCGCTTAAGGTTATGTTCGTGTTATTAGCAACGATTTACAAATATCATACACATTGCCTCCTCCAGATACATGTCGGCTGTTCTCTCGATCTCTGAAAACCTGTTACGGTCTAGCCAAAACCACCCAATAGTTGCAAGGACTGCATCGGCACTTTACACAAGTGCGTTTCAGGTGTCAGATGGATATTACCGTCAGGAGATTGTTGGATCATTACTCGTTCATATCGGAAGTGGGTCAAGCATCGAAATCGACGCGTCGTTGGCGGTGCTGCAGGATATTGTGCAGGTCTCGCGGTCGGCTTTGAATGAGTACAGCTTGTTCATAAAGGGAGTCTTGAGCTACATGGACAATATGTCGCTTGAACACATTCGACTGCTCTTTGTCATCCTTGGGTCGCTTGCACGTGAGGTATGATTATTAGGGCTTTGTTTCTGGTCGTCACTGAACGTATTTTGAAGTAGGTGAATGAGCGCTTCGCAACCTGACAAGAACCTGTTTCCAATCGCTCACTAGGACGAAATATCTTGCGACTCGGGGACGTTGATCACGGATCTGAATATCTTTATCAGGAAGCAACTCTCCAACCCAACAGTGCAGGCCAAAAAGATCGGAGTCATGGGTGCCATTGCGCTGGTCCAGGCATTCGGTGTCACGGAAAACGGTGGGGATGAGAAGGGATCGTCAAGTCAAGCAGTTGCCAGTCACCGGCAAGCAGAAGTGGACCCACTTCTCAAGATCTCCGTGCAGTACCTTCATATGATCAAAGAGTATTGCCAGCGGTCAGCGGTAAGAAACCTGCGTCTCATGGTTATCTATTCATGAAAAGAGTGCTACACCTCGTTGCAGTTCTATTATACTGAATTTTACTCCACTGTTACTCCATGTAGGTCTGCTTGGCTATGACGTTTGACGAACTCGCAAGCATGGTTGTGTCAGGAAAATTGAATCCAAAGCTGGTTATTTGGGTCAAGGAGGAATTCTCGAACCAGTTTGCGGAGACGTTTGTTTGCGGAGCGAACGAGACTTTCCCTATGAAGCCCACACGCAACATTGCCATGGAACGATGGATGAACCTCGACGGACCTGTAAATCACTGTCATCATATGTTAATCGGGTGACTTGTCTCTGGTATTATCATGGGGGCAAATACTCACACACTCTACCTTTCCGAATAGGAATCTGAGCTGTCGATCAGTATTATGCCAAGTCTGTGCGCGGACCTGTCCAAGATTGCATCTCAAGGGACTTTGATCGAGACTGCCGACGGCGCTGTGTATTTGTGCTCGCTCTTCAAATTGCTCCAGGCAACTGAGAAAGTCACCAGCGACAACGGATTAGATGACATTGACGGACTGCTCGGTTGTGGAATCACGATGTTCAAGCACGAGTATCTTGAAGACATCTCGGAAGTCTACAGCCCAGAGATTTGTCATGCTGCCGCGCAGGGACTTCTGTGCGCGATCAATTGGTACGTTGTTTATCCCAGATTGCGGCGTAATTGTTCATCAAATGCCAACGGTTTTGGGCCAGTGATTAACTTATGTTGGTTACGTACTTGCATTAGGTTCCGTGAGATCTCTAACGCCTTCTCATACGATGCGGGGGATCAAACCTTGGGTAAGAGTTCACAAACTATTTATTTATTTCTAGCCAATGAAAATTCATGTTCAGTGGCTGATACCGACCTTGTTTTGTCACTTTCTTAGCCCGCATCATCCTTCGACTGCAACAGATATCGGAGATGGAGGAAATGCTTCGACATGTCTTGAAGAGCGTCCCTGGATTCAGACCGCTTGAGGCGATTCATGTCAAGTCGAAGGACACACTCGCTCGAAAAGCGTTAACTATTGGAGGATCGCTGTCATTGTCGTCCACCTCTTCCACTTCACAAGGCAAAAAATCGCTAAGGGCGATTGATATCGATAGCGCTTCCTCGGGAAAATTTACGACATTGTCGACAGAATTGGTTACTCTGGAGTCACTGAGCCCGTACATGCGAGAGTTTGAAGTAAGTATTTCCCAACTCAACGTTTCGTTCACAATAATGCCCTCCAGATCGGAACGTCTATTAACACTTACTTTCTTCTATTCAACGGTATGAATAGATCGATGTGTTCCAAGTTCTCCGAGTCCACCAGCCTATCACCCGCGAGATTTTCGAAGTTTCAGAGTACAACAAGAGCAACGCGGTACAGCTTCGGTTCTCAGAGATCCGATTCCTTTTGAAGGATCTGCTTGCCAAAATCACCTTCAAGTTGCCCGCACCCGTCGCTCATAACCCCTTTGCCAAGAAGCCCATCACTCCTACTACCAACAACCCCGCGTTGATTCGCATGTCATCTGCAGACTTCATGAAGCAGGTTTTGAAGATCGTACCCCATATCGTCACCAAGACGAGGATGATCCTGCATCTCCTTTTCAGCGACGACGAGGTAAGGCCTCGACTGTACTGAAGTCATCTTTCCCCTTCATGCTGCGGCACTACGACCCTAACGCTAATACTTCTTACCTGTATGTTTATTAGGATATGGATCAATCTAGCGAGCCGGAAGATCATGTCGTTGTTCGGGAGTGTCTCAGTATATCACTCAAGTTACTTTTGGCTTTGCTGTCATGGAATGAGCTCCGAGCAAGCGACCAGAAGGCGCTTCGCCTAGTAAGTTGAACAGCTCTTTGTGTTTCTATTACCAACGGCCCTGAACTGCTGGTCAGGATTTACTCACAAAACACTACGCATACTGACTGTATAGGACCTGCTGAAAGCTCTTGCAATGGACCTTGCCTCGGAGGAGCAGCTGGCTGCCATTCAAAGCTCGATTAACTTGTCGGCTATGGCGGTCGAGGCATTCAACAACCTGGCAAAATGGCGCGAGATGATGCCCAACTTTGAGACCTCTGCCATGCTGCTAGAGGTGTTTGACAAGATGCTGGATTTGGTTCCACCCAACCAGGAAACTATGGTCAGGGCCTCGACTCTTGCAACGGAAGTCTTGTCTTACAGTTGGCCTTCGACTAACATCATCAAGGTATGTCACAAAATGCTACAAATTCTTGAATTTGAGTCTGGTCCCTCCACGGAGAAGATCGTTGATCTAACGATGTTTTGATATTGGGAACATAGAGTGACAGACTGGCCTACGTGCTTGGACAACAGATCGGAAAATCTGATGTGCGCTTAGAGATGATCAACCAGTATATCACGAACGTGTTGCCATCGTTCCTGGATCAGGATGAGGGTCACTCGGAACTGCATCCCATGTTGACCACCCAAACCTTCACCACATACACGAAAGTATGACTGCAAAGGATGTTGCATTCTATAGCGTTTTTCTTGTATTTCTTATCGGCGCCGGCTGAAGTCATATTGACCAACATCTCATCTGATTCACTCAATCTCGTAGGTTTTGTATGTACAACTGGTCGGACTTGTGAGTGAGTTTACAGAGGATCACTTTGACAGTATTGACACGGCTTTTAGTCACGTTTCAGATCTGTCCCACTGTTTCCAAAAGTTGGCTGCGTTCGTAAAGTCGAACGACAAACGCGAGGTTCTGGCTGTGACCTTGAAGCATTCCAAGATATTCATGGACCAATTCATCAAGCGGGTGTTGCCATTCATGGGTGTGCACTTCCGTGGACACCAGGATACAGTTGCCAAGATCTTCAAGAACAACCTACAATCAGCCACGCGATCCCTACAGGTACCGTTATGAAGCAGCTTTTGATATGAGTGGGCCGTAAAAATTCAGATGTCATGTATCTAAATATTTTCTCTTATATTTCTATTTGTAGAATGTGTGCGGCCACGCCAAGGCATCGCGGGAGCAATCGCTGACGGCGATGGTTCCGGCCATCAGGAAAACGATGGAGAGTTTGATCTTTGAGGTCAAGTTGATGCTGGAGAACAACGATGCCAGTGCGGCGTTCTGGCTCGGAAATCTGAAGCACAGGAACTTGGCGGGCGAGGAGATCAGCTCACAGCTGCCAGTTATCTCTGAAGACGAACAGGACGAGGATGTTGTGGATGAAATTGCGTCGATGAGTGAGAACGGCGAAACCAGCCATCAACCCACAAAGAAGGCGCCTGGAAAGATTTCCAAGAAACGTGCACGTGCGGCCACCCCCAAGAAGAGGAAACAGGCGGCCGATGCGACAAATGCAGCAGTTGGTGGCAACAAGAAGACAAAGGCGAAGGCGGTGACGGCGGGCAAAAAGGTGACTGCCCCCAAAAAGCGGAAACCGACTGAACGGGATGCTGAGTCTGAAAGCGCCAGGATCCACACCATGAGGTATGTTTTTTTTCGCTATATTGGTACGTCTACATTCGTTGCGCTGTCCTTTTTTCTTGGTGGGAAGACTGACTTTTTATTTTCTGTTCTCTCTCGGGCTGGGTTGTATAGTCAAATCACAAACAGTGACATGAGTGGCGACGAAGCAATGGAGCCAGTACATTCGGCACTCCAGGATAATGGCGCAGAGGATGACGATGAAGACGATGACGACGAGGGTATTCTTCCTGTCAGGCGGAAAGCATCCAAGAAACGAACTACCCGGGAAAAATCGATTGATCTGGAAGCCGAGGATGACGATGAAGCAGATACGGTACTCCTTCCTGCCAGGCGGAAACTGATAAAGAAACGGTCTATCCCCCGCGAGGGATCGATTGATCTGGATGACGAAGACGATGAGGATGATGACGAGGAAGAGGATGAAGGGGAGGAAGACGGTAGTGAGGACGAGGACGACGAGTATGCGGATAGGATATTGCAGGAGCAGGACGAGCGTGCAGAGAGACGCCGGCGGACCCGGAATCCGTATATTGACGACTATGCGGATCAAGATGATGACGAAGAGGTGTATAGTGATGACGAAGAGGAAGAGGATGGCGAAGGGTCTGAAGATGAGGAAGGAGATTCTTGCTAATTAACTGCGCGTTTGCACGAGTTAATAAAGAACACGTTTTGCAGACCACAAGTTCTTTCATTTATTCAATTGAGGCTTTCGTTCGTTTAAGACCATTCGTATCCAACACCACACTTGTTGAGGTCAGGATCATCGAGGTCATAGAGCAGACAGGTCCTCTTTGTCTGAGTCTCGATTCCAAAAAGAGACTGGAATTCGGGAAACTCTCTCTCGAACCATTTCATTTCACGAATCCCGATCCGGTGTTCCATTCGGTGGACATACAGCTTCCTGAGACTCTTCATCCCTGACAGGATATCCATCCCACTGTCGAGCGACATTTCGAGACAGTCCAACTGCTGACTCCTATGGAAGGATCCTGTTTTCCCATTGTGGGGGATTGTGACTTTGACACTGGGGAGTTGTCGAGTGGCGCCCAGTTGGAGGGACTCTAGGTTGACGAGGGTTGCGAGGCGGGTATATATTTCTCTCTGGATACGACGGCTCTCATCCATTTCCATACTGCTGCTGCTGGTGGCGGTTTCTGCTCGGTCTGGGAGGGGGAAGATCCTGTCGCCTTTCCAGTCGAAGAGGACGTCGGGCCGTGGGATGTTGGTGATCTGGATATTGAGTTCTGTAAGAAGTGTGCAGTTCCAGGTCGATTGCAACATGACCCGAAAATCGAGTGATGGCCAATTGTTTTTGAAGGTGAGGCGCCGTAATGCGGTGCCAGTGTGGAGTATGGTTTGGAGATCGTTGTTGGTAATGCCTTCTCCGAGGTGGATCTGAAGGTTCTGGAGACCGTGTTGACAGGATTCTAGGATGGTGTTGAAGGTGATGGGTGAGGAGAGTGGGCAACCCCCCATCTTAATCGATGTCCATACTTCTCGAGGTTTGTCGTTATTGTTGGGGGTTTCTTGATGGGTCCTCCAGAGACTTGATACCTCGTCTGCCATGGCTTGGTCCTCCTCGGAAGAGAACTCGACTGCGTCCACCTGAAAGTACCGTGGCCTGGCCCCTGTTAGCGTAGCCACAGCATCGGTCACCTCTGGCTGAATGAACTCCCAGGAGTGATTGCTGTTGATTCCATAGGTCTTGATGCCCGGCGAACAGCTCTGGAGGAAGCGGACAAAGATCGCCGACGAGACCTCCGGATCCACTGGCGTAAACGCCGAACTGTACCCCGCACCCAGACTAAACACCTTCAAATTCGGATGAGGCTTAGCACCTCTGACTGCGGCAGGGTCCTTTGTCTCTTCGTCCTTGTCCTTGGATTGGATGGGGAAATGAAACCAACCGAGGGTGAGGGTAATGAGGGAAGAAGGACAGGTTTCGAGAAAGCACCGCATGGCGAGGGGTTGGATCTGGACAACGAGCTTTCTGAAGAGGCTGAGGTGTTGGAGCTGTGTCATGGAGTCGCAGATGATACGGAGGAGTGGCAAGAGGTGTTGGTGTTGGTTGCTGGCCAGGGTCTCGACGTCGAGTTGGAGTTTCCGGAGTGTTGAGCTGCAAGCCTCCAGGATCTTGAGGACACAATCGTTGCCGTTTTTCCTAAACTTGTCCCCCATCAGATACAATTCCGTCAACCGCATCTCTGGAGGCTCTGATAACCCTCCTCGTAAGTGTTTAGGAAGGACGAGGGTATTCAAGAACTGTTGGATAACATTCCCGCGAGTCGAGCGGGTTCGAAAAACCCGGATATGCTGCCTATACAGAAGGAAGGTTGCTTTGGACTCGGGTGTGAGAAATGCGAGATCTTGAGTTTGGTTCTGGAGGGTGATATGGGAGTAGAGGAAGGGGGTGTATGCGTGATGCCATGCTTTGGAGACGAGGGTCATTTGAGAGAGGTCATGGGGGAGGAGATAGATTGCGAGGTTTGCTCTGAGCTCTGGAAGGAGGGTTGATATTGATGTGTTGTGCTCGTCCATTGTCGGTGGTGGTGTAACAGTGGAAAGTGAGATTGGGAGATAAATGAGAAAAAGTGGGAAAGGGTGATCGCGCCAACAAAAAAACAACAGGGGTCCAAAGCGACCTTGATTTTTACTGCGGGGACATTGTTTCAGAGTGGCAGTGTCTGCAACGAACTCCAAAACGGCGAGTATCTTGATTCTAGGGACCCTCATGTTCATTCACCTTCACCGCAACGGTCACACTGACATGGTATTTGCCCTTACTTTCCTGCAACCCGCCTTTCAGCTGTTAACGTCCTCATCGTGAATAAAAAGGCCTCACGTTCAATATGGTTAGTGATGGTCGACGATCAATATCACTAGCAAGCTTACTTTTTTTACCACACCGATGCCACACTGTCAATCTCCATATATGCTCTTTGTGGCGGCTTTTCTTTGTTATGTTATTTTTTCCTCTATTCCTAATTCTTTCCACAACACAACCATCCTCGTACCTAAACGAAATATTATAGCATCGACACATCATCAACATAATGCTAGAAGCCAAAATCCTCAACGCACAACAGGAAGCAGACATGGCCACCTTATATGATCCTGTGCCCCTCACCATCACTGACACTGACTCGATCCTCAAACCACGAGCAGGAATAATATCAAATACTCGGAGGAAACACATAGGGTAAGGAAGAGAAGCGCGCCCAACTTATGTTCTACACCCAGTCGTTTGTGCTCCGACAGCAGGTCGCACTTCTCCCCGATGACTTCGAGGATGTCAAGTTTGTTTCAAAAACCCTGTTGACCATGAACTTGCACGTTCTCCTAGGGATGATTGGGAGGAGGAGCCTTTTGAAGCTATGGGTACTCGTCAAGCTGTTCCATAGACTCGACTGTATCATCAAAACGATCCGTAGACTCGACTTTATCACCAAAACGATTCATCATGCGCCAGCATAATCAGAAAGAAAAAGAAGCCGTGATCACCGATACTTCAAAATGATGGAAGGTGATGAACTAGCTCGTAACACTCTGGCAGTCACTAACACTAGACAGACGAAAAGGCTTGGCTGATTTCCCTCTTCCACGCCTTTTCTTTTCTCTCTTCCTCTTGCCACCAACACCAAAACCATAGGACAACAAAACGCACTGAAACCAACCAAAGCCAAGTCAGTCATGCCGCTCTCCTCCCCGGCCTGGGACCCGCCTTTCGCCCACACGTCCAGCGAAGATTCAGGTTCAAGTTCAAGCCAAACCACAAACACTACCAACACGAGTACTAGTGCACCAGAAAACTCAACAATAACAGTCTCCATATCCGAGCCACAGCAACTAGAGCAGCCACAGCAATCCGAGCAGCCACAGCAACCCGAACAGCCACAACAATCCGAACAGCCAGAGCAGCAGGCACCACTCTATGGTCCTCGCACCCTGCGCTCCTACATTCGCGACTCCTTCCGTAACCTCGACACCATTGAGGAACAGCAACAGGCTCACATCCAAGCACACCTCACCACGTCCGCACCCACATCCACACGTGCGCACACACCTGCGCCCGACCCCAACAACCCTCGCAGTGACACCGAAAGCACCAACAACTCAAGCAACACCCGACCATTCCTCGCCAGGGGTAATGCTCGCGAACGTCAGAACTTGATCACGATCCGTCGCCAGTATTACACTGCCTTCGTTCACCTCCGGGATTTGATCAACCAACTCTCGCAATCCCAAGTCGCCGCTCGGAAGCGGTACCTGCGCCACGTCCTAGTTCGCCTTGACCGGGTCTTGGATCGCATGAAATTGGAGCTCACACAGTCAACGGCAGCAACTGCTGCAGCAAGCTCTGATGCTGGTGCTGGTGATGTCGTTTACGTTGGTCGCAGAAGTGAACAACACCTTATTGGTGGTGACAGGGCTCTCCACCGAGTGGTCCTTCGGATGCATCAGGATGTTATGATACAGTTCACTCGGTTGTTCAGAGAGGTTGCAGCCAAGTATTAGTGGCGTCTCTTGGCTCGTTTTATTTTCTATCGTCGCATGGATATTTTTCGTTCTTTCTTGGTTCCTTTTTCCTGAGATGCAAATTGTACAACCAACACAACGTTCTTATTGCTTTCTTTTCTAGTATTTCTTTTTCGCTGTTTGTCCTTTCTAACCTTCCCTCTTTCGCCCAATTAGTTGTACCATTTCTTTTCTTACACCTCACGACAACAACTACAAAACGATAGTAATACAAACGACGATCTTCATGGTACCATCGTTGACTTTCACATTTGCAGTCGGAATTTTCACTCGCACAGACACACAAAAGGTAGAGGTGACTGTCTGTCCCGGAGAACGTTTACTGGCCCCCTACCTATATGATAATTGAGACAAATTGGCTACTTGCTTTTAAAGAGGCACCATCCCCTGCTGTGTACTAGTAGGTCCCTGGATCCGTGTTTCTCGAAAGAAAAGTGGGCTCTCTTTTTTCTGTGATCACTGATAGATGTAACGAACGCAGCACCAACAGCCTAAAAAAAATCGCCCATTTAAGCTCTCCAGTCCTCTGTAGTACCGAGGGTATGTCTGGTCAAAAACCGAGGGCTGTTTTATTGATGCAGATGTTGAGGAGTAGTCCCGTCGAATCATCTATTTTCTTTCCCACAAGGATGACTACTTCAGAGAAATGAATAGTCGATGTGTGAGACGATACCCGTTGCCGATGATAGTGAGTGAGTGGAATGGAGAGGTGATCGGTATTGTTTGTTGAGGGCATGAAAGTAAACAGTCGTCAGTGAGCGTGCTGACTGGGAGAGGGCAGAAGAAGGAGGGGAGAAGAGGGTAGGGGAGGGTGTGTGGGCGGGTGGCATGAATGAGAAAAGAGACGAGAGAGAAAGAGAGTGGAAAAGGCTGAAGTGAAAAAGAACAACTCAAAGAACGAAGCTCCTCAAAACGTGGAAAGCAAAGAGAAGAAAGAAAAGGAGGATTGTTGTTCACTCAGAGAGCAAGCATTCCCGGGTAGCGCTGCCTCATTCCTTTCAAACAAACAAGTCATCCCCTTTCTCCCAGCCATATTTGCTCGGTATGTATATTGCAAATGAGTCTGCCTTGTTCAATAACGCCACGTTCCTTTCTTTTTTGGACGCACCCAACCATATGTATCATGACAACTAGGGGCCAACAGCCCTCCTTATTTCAACACAGCGTCCCCTTGTCCCTAAAAAAGAGAGCCATTTTAATAGTACCAGCACAAGCAAAAGTACGTCGCTAGGAGCACCGAGGTTGTAAGATATATCTTCTCCCCCAATTCTGGTCTGATTTTTCGATGGAATGGGAGGAAAGGAACAAAAGGACGACAGCCCAAACCCAAAGTATAATACGTGGCGGGTTAAGAAAGTCGACATCAACAAAGTGAGAAAACCTTATCTTAGGCTGTCGCGGGATTTGAATTCGAACACAATGCTACCATTCGGCCACTTTTAAAAGAAGGCCGCCTCGCTCTGCTTCCTTTCTCACCTTCTTCCTTTTTGTTTTCTTGCTCACCCACTTCTCACTCTCTCACCTTCATTATACACCCTGCTCGTTCTCTTTTGCATCCTCCTGCCTAGCCATTTTTCCATCCCCTACTCATCCTCGCTTCCGTCTTCATTGACAGGGACAGTGCGACTGCCCCCTCCCTCATCTCACAGTCAGCTTCCCTCCTCCTCCCTCCTCTTCCTTCCTCATCCCTCTTCATTCCTTTCTCCTGTGCAGAAAATCACAATCCACCATGTTTGGCAAGAAGAAGCAGGCCCAGGATACACCCTCGCCATCTCCTCAGCAGGACGACTCCCCAATCCAAATCCCTATGGAGCCCATCACAGAGAAAGAAATCCTAGAGCCTCTCCCCGAACCCGTCGACTTTTCCCAAATCACACCCACAACGCGATACCAGTTCAGAGGCATGGCACGTCGGGCAGTCTCTTATCACCGCCGTCAACGAATTACCAATATCGGCTGTCTAGTCGTGTGGCCAGTTCTTCTGGTCATCCTGTGTCATGTCCTCAACAAGACCTTGGACATCATCGAACGTCAAGGGCTCATCCGCTATTGCACCAACGAAGCCGACCCACAGTTTGGTAGAACGTTTTCTCTTGGAGTTGGAGGCTTCCTGCCTGAAGATAATAATGTCTACAACTCGCCTTCTTATCCGGCAGCATTCGAACTGAAGCCTGATGGAGATTCGCAACAGGCGTGTGTGCGTTGGTTCGGAGAATCATATCCAGTCAGTGCGCCCTATCAGAATGCGACCTGGGCGAATGCTGGTTTCCTGGATTCGTATGTCAAGAGATTTTGAGCTAGCATTTCCGTGGCAAAGGCAAGGGTGAATCATAGCCTCCAAAAGTGATGCCCACATTAACATGCACACCTTTCTTAATTTTCCTCGCCATAGGACCTACATACCTTCACCTGACTTTGGGTGGTTCAACGTTTCAAACGTCACCTCCGAATACTGGGAGATGAAGAAGCGCAAGTTTCTTGAGAATCCAAAGCTGTACTCGAAGCTGCTCTTCGATCCAATGGCTTTTTCACTAAGTAGAAGTATCACTGATGTTAACCAGACAGTGTACTACTCGACCGCCAACGCCGACATCGCCAGGACTCTTGGCGTCACGGCAAATGCTACACGGTGGGTTCCTTCAGAGCCATGGCCTCCAATCGATCCCAAAGTTATTTTGTACAACACGTCTCAGATCGACCCTGCCAACGGCGTCTTGGGTGCTATCCCTCTCCGGTACACAAAGGGAACTGATTTTGTCAGATTCGACAACCACACTGGCTCAGCCATGGAAGTCTACACGGCAGGACCAACATATCGATATTTCGAAAGCCGTGAGAGTGTGGATGAAAAGATTAGAGCGATGGTGAAGGAGGACGCCGAAGGATTTGTCTTTTATTCCAGCAAGCCATTTGGTGGTCTCCATTTCGACTCTCTGGATATTGACAAGGCTAAGGTCTCGATGACGATGCAATTTGGAATGTCGTCGGATGGACGCGATTCTGATATGGCTACTCCTGGTTTGCGTCAGATCATCGTTGTGTCCCAAATGACGAATGCTCTCGCTCGACTTAAATTCAAAGGTCGGTACATCATCTCGCAGGGAATCCGAGCTTTGCCGTTCGAGTTCCAGTGGGATCGTCTAAAGAACCGTACCTCAGGAATATCTGCAACCTATTTGTTTCCCTTTGCTCTCTCCTTCTTGATGCCGAACTTTGTGACGATCTTGGTACGGGAGAAGGAAGGCCGCCATCGTATCTTGATGGCTATGGTAAGTGCTGGCTTCATTTATTTTGTGTATGTGTCAATGTTAGCATATGCAAGATTCTTTTTGTAACTAAGGTTTATATTTCATATGTTGCTTGTTGTACTTAGAACGGGCTAAACAGCGGAGCATACTATCTTGCCCACTATGTCGAGTTCATGACCATGCAGCTGATTCTGACGGTATTATTTGTGATTGCCGCCCTTGCAGTCAAGAACGAATATCTCTGGAACAGCGAGCCGGGTCTGCCTATTCTTCTCCTTCTCCTCTGGGCGCACGTACAGACGACTTTCTCCTTCTTCTTGGCCTCATTCTTCTCTAAGTCCCGGAGAGCTTCCCTTATTATCTACTTCTTCGTCGCGATATCGGTCATCTTTGCCTGCATGTCCGACATGATTTTCTCCGAAGGACCCCCCTTTGTCTGGTTCATTCACCCTACCTTTTCCTTCTTCTACATTGTGAAGGTGGGAATGATGCACACCAGCATGATCAACAACCTGTACCCATTGAACTTCTCGTCATTTGCTTCTGGAGCCAACTTGCTCAACTGCATTGGTATGCTTTTGGGTGAGAGTATCCTTTTTGTTCTCCTCACTTTGTAAGTCCTATGTGTGCTTGTTCTCCCACTTTCTCAGTATGTTTTTTTTGCTTCATGCAGTGTAGTTTGCTAACCATTCATATAACAATTTTTCCTTAAGCTACGTTGACGCTGTGATGCCATCTGAGTACGGTGTTCGTCGACCCTGGCATTTTCCTATCTCTGGCCTCGTCAAGTCCCGCTCATCTGCATCCAGCTCTGCTCGCGATATCGAGTCCAAGATTGTCCATGGTGGAAGTCAAGTCGACCTCTCGGTCGATTCTGATCAGGAATCCCTGGACGGCGGGGATGCCGATGTTCGTGCCGAGCGAGAGCGCGTGCGCACCAAATACAACCCTGACACTACGCCTCTCATCATCGACAATCTCTACCATTGCTATCCTGGAAAGGTCGAGGCAGCCTTGAAGGGCATGTCATTCGGTGTTGAGACCAACACGGTTCTCAGTCTTCTCGGACCCAACGGAGCAGGAAAATCGACATTGATCCATTTGTTGACTGGTCTGTACGGGCCTACACGAGGATCCGCGTTGATCGCTGGTGCCGATATTCGCACTGAAATGTCGCTGGTCCATGCCAGGATAGGTGTCTGCCCCCAGCATGATATCCTTTGGGATGACCTAACTGTTGCCGACCACCTGCTATTCTACTCTCGTCTTCGTGGTGTCCCTCCTTCCTTGGAACAACAGTCCATCGCCTTTGCTATTGCGTCAGTCTCTTTGACGAGATTCCGTGATCGCCAGGTTAAGGACCTCAGTGGAGGAGAGAGGCGTCGTGTCTCGATCGCGATCGCGCTGCTAGGTGACAACCGCGTGGTCTTCTTGGATGAGCCCTCGACTGGTCTGGATGCTGAGGTTCGCCGTGTGATCTGGGATGTCGTCAACCGTGTCAAGGTCAACCGCACCGTCGTCCTTACGACGCACTCCATGGAAGAGGCTGATATCCTCTCGGACAAGATCGCGATCATGACCAATGGGCTGTTGAGATGTATCGGCACCAGTCTACACTTGAAGGAGCTCTATGGATCAGGATTCCGTCTCAACATCGCCTCCAAGCCCGGACGACTGGACGAGGCGTGCCAGAGCATTGAGGACAAGCTGATGCGCAGGACTGGATTGCCTTACCGCAGGATCGACAAATTTACCAACGCTAGCGTGTTCGAGTTCGATCTTGCTCCCAACACCAACAATCAATCCGATCAGCAGGACGGAATTGTTTCTACCAATCGAGGAGAACTGTCAAGCATCTTTCATCACCTCTCACAGAACGACTTGTTCCCGGCAGTGGAGGACTGGGGTATCAGCCAGACCACCTTAGAGGACGTGTTCATCAAGATTGTCACGGATGCCGATGCGACCTTGACGGTGCCTACCGTCATTCAAGACCCCAAGTCTGAGTAGATCTTGTTCACTCTTTTTATTCTGTACTTATATATACATCGAAGACCGATACAGTGGTCAAGCAACTCTCATTACAGTTCTGATTATTTTTCACCGTGCCGGACATTTTAGGCACCTGTGGAGCATGATGGGGTGCCTAAAATAGTATTTTTGCTGACTTACTGGTGCTGCTTGCTCGCGATTTGCTTGGTTTTGACGTTAGGACGAACCACGGTTTGATGCTTGGGTGGCTCATTGGGATGACTCGCCATCTCTCCCTTTTTTTTGGTCTTGCAAATATGATCCATACCACATCGCGTTTGTCAAAAGAGAGCGCAATGTTTTTTTTTTCCAATTAACAACGCGTGGAAGAAAGAAGTGCCGATTGGGTTTCCCAAGAAAAAAATGAGCAAACGATTGATAAATCGATGGACATTTCCCATGCCACGTTCTGGTATTTTTGGGAACTCACTACAGCCCAATCATTCCCTTCTCCAAATTCCCCTCCCCTCTCCTTTTTTGTTGCGTTTCATTTAAGCAACTATCATTTTCTTCTTTTCCATTACCACCCATTCCATCCTCCATCCTCCGTCCTCCATCCCTCATTACCCAGCCTCGACCTCGTCTTCTTTCACACCGTAAACACAACATGCCAGCCGTTGACTTCGACACATACTCCGTTCAACCTGCATGTCCACAAGGCCAGCAAGCTCCACCAGGATCAGATTCCCAACAACCGACAATGCAGATCACGACCACGAAAAGCAGTTTATTCGCTCTATTGTTCCCGACATCGGTTCAGACGTGCTCGGTCACACCTTAATCGGAGATAGGGCCATCCTTTGCCCTTTGAACATCGACGTGGATCTGACCAACTAACGCACTACCGACATATTTCTTTCCGTCCAACCGATATGCTACTCAAGTGTCGACTGCATTCTGGATGGTGACTCTAACGGTGCCACCAACTATCCTGTCGAGTTTCTGAACTCCCAACAGCCGCAAGGTCTTCCTCGGCACTGTCACCGCTTGATCGACCGACTGAGGATCTCTGACATCGAGCGCACAGGGGCCACCGTTCTCCAGCAGCACCGACAAATCAAACTTGAATCCAGGCATGGTGGTGTACAAGGGTGGCCAATCACACCAGAAGCTAAACCTTGAGCGGAGCGGGCAATGTCTTCATCCGTGGGCGCAATGTATTTGCCGAATAGGAGTAGCGATGGTCGAATTCTTTGGAGAGCCTGCGACACTGGTCTGAAGTCTTCAAAATATATATCAGGACTCTCGGCCATGAACCACTGCTCGTCATCCGTGGAGCAGGGCTGCAGTGATTCCCAGATAATCGGATACGGTGCGGATTCCGTCAGGGTGATATGGATACGTCCCACATGCTAAGACTCGGACAGCTCGTCAGTATCTCGGTGCCGGATCTCCGATAACACAGCCTGGTGACGACGGTAATCACCACCGACTTGACCCTTGGACCGCCTCGCGAAATATACAAGACCTCTTTGCATCAATCGACCTCGAGCTCGTTCCCAAAACTCTCTCCGTCCATCAAAGTCAAGACCCTGGGCTTTCATCGGCTGATCGAAGGTGATAGTGATCTGCCCAGCTCGACTCCCCTGAGTGGCCCCATCCAAGAACTCGACGTTACTGTAAATATTCAAGGCGACGTTGCCATTGAAGTGTCTTCTGAGCTTCTCGGGATCGACAAAGTTCTGGTTGATGCGTTTGTCTGTACTACCAAGTAAGGCGACGAAAGCCTGGATTCCAGTGCGGAGTGGGTCCATCAAATCTTGTCAAAGACGAAAGTGAACATCGAGATGTCTAGACCAACCTGGAGGCAAAAATGAGTCGATGGCTCCCTATCATCGTTGAGAGGAAGGAACGACTCCAAGCTGCATAGGACTTCCTCCCTTGTCGGGCATATAGAGATCTTGTTGATCATGTCATGGTCATTATTATTACGAGGGCCATGAAGAGCAAACTTGCCTGGACCATCAACGAGCTGGTAAGGTAAGCTGAGTGGGGTGGCCTGCAAGCGCTGTTCCCGTGAGACTTTGAGGTCATGGACGTTGTTCTGGACAATCGTGGAAAGCCGAGCCATATCCATGGCGAGGGCCGAGTTCAAGAAGACCTGCCTGGCGTTCCCTGTCTCCTGCTGCTGGCAACATCGATCGACAAGTCCGGCAAGGTCGCGGACGTGGGGTGAAATTCCAGAGATAGAGTCGGGGAATAGCATCATTAGCTGATATATCAGACGAATGATAGCCAACAGTGCGCAATGCGATGGGGCCATGCTCTCAAAAGTGCCTTGAGGGTTGTTGATTATTCTGATGCAATGGGTACTCATGTGTTAGGTGCTGTGGGCGGAGAGGAGAAGCACTCGTGGACATTTCGGCCAAGTCTCAGTCCAAGAGAGAGTTCATGAAGGGCTGGACGCGCAGCTTCAAGAATGGATGGCATAGCTCGTGGGCCAAACCAAACACGCGATTGGACTCGAGCGTCAAGGTCGTCTGGCACAAGCTCTGGCGGGTCAGGACGCCGATCAATGGCAGGGTAATGGTCTGAAAGGTCGCGATGGACGAGGTAACATCTCCACCGTCTTGAACAGGTTCGGGATGTAGCATAATGTGGTGTAGCTTGGAAAGACCCTTCTGAGATGCCGGGCTGTAGAGAACCGCAGAAGTATCGACAGAGTGGTGGTTCGACATGTTGAGGAGACATGACTGCAGGAACATGCGAATCTGGAAGGGAGACTGAAGGTCATCGAGGTCGCCCTGTTGGAGGACCTGCATAGCAAGGTCGATCTGACCACCAGAGGGAGACGGAACAATGGGGTCGTCTGTTCCTTCGCCGGAGATATGCATGGTATTGGGGGCGAGCGGATAGTATCTCGTCCTGCTCATGGTCAGAGAAGCCAGTCCAGACTCCTCGACCTCGACCCCTGCCGAAATAACCGCCGCCTGAGACGCCAAATCCCCCGTGTCCTCGATCGCCTCGACCAAATCCTCTCCGCCCTCGTTCTTGACCTCGATATCTTTGCTGACCTCGACATCTTTGCTGACCTCGACATCTTTGCTGACCTCGACATCTTCCCTAATCTCGACCTCCTAAACCTCGACCGTGCGAGAAAGCAGACGAACCTCCTGAAGCATCTATTCAAAGGATAAAAAAGAGGATTTAGTGTACTATGCTAGCAGGGTGGTGAAGGCGAAGTAAGAATACAAGCCTTCGTTTCGACAACGACAATAGCAACAAGTTGTGGTTTAAATAGTTACCTGTGCGCTTTTTTTCACTGCCTTTCTTTTTCTTCAAGTTGTAGGTGTGATGTGTGAAAAGTGCGAGTTGAGAGAGGAAGAAGGAGGATGTTATTTGTCTTGTATTGTTTTGTACATTGAAGGGTAGGTTGAAGATAAGAGAAAAGAGCGGACAAACGCACCCTTGCACTGCTGACGAAATCAACAAGGGGTGGACCATGACATGACCACAATTTCCGCCATGCCGAACACATGCAAGGCTCAGCAAAATAAACAGGGGAGCATTCGCCAGCCTTGCACTAATCCACAACGACGCGCGACAAAGTGGAGCTTCGTTCATCATCAACCGCCTATGTAGTACTCTCTACTGACCCTGCCCACCTTCCTGGTTGACCCGAATATCTGCTCAGAAACAAATATCAATCGCATTTGTTCCTTGATTTTGTGCGCCTTTATTTTCGTCATTCGCCTTGCTGTACACTTTCATGCCGTTTTTCGTACCTTTGCTTACAACATTCATTCCATATCTTGTCCATCAATAACCAAGGCTGATTTGCATCCACATCTACTTGAGTCACCACTCATTTTTCGTTTTCTACCCTTTTGCCTCTCTCGTTCTCTGTCTGCTCCTCTTTATCCGCCTACTCCCTTCCATTCTCCACACTTCTCCAGGATTTCACTCACAGCCCATCAGCACCCAACTCATTCAAAAAACTCCCCCTTCGACTATGTCCTACCAAAAGCCGTGTTACGAGATTGGGCGTTTCTCTATCAACTGCAACGCTCATGGACTGGGATTTGTTTCTTCTGTCAGCAGATCTGCGAGATATGCGGAACTGGATCTTTGAGCGCACGCGCGACTTTTCCAAGCTGCAAGGATCACAGTTGAAAAGATTCGAATATCTGAACATGGGCAGGAAGAGCAGGATGTCTCGCGACAATAAAAAAATGCGGCACCTTCACCGTGGCACTGCCACGCTTTTTTTTGTCTTTCTGTCAACAGCACCTTTTCTCTTCTTCCCACAATTCACTTCTCCTTCACTATCACCATCTTCTCCACCATCCCAGCTTGACCCTCCATCGCTCGACATCATCTTCAGCATCTCCAACATCCTTGTAAGAGAACTAGCATGCTCGGTTAGATCTCCCAGTAATCTCTTAGTAAACCGCAGTGCACTAATGCAATACTCTGGCGAAGCACTTTGTTTCCTAAGGTTATTTCCTTTTTTTACTACCATGACAACGCTAATGTAGTTTTTTTTAGACCAAGAATAAACAGAACATAAACTGAAAACTGCATCCACATTCCTCACTTCTTGGTCCTCAGGATGGTTAGTACTTTCGCGAAATTCTCCAGCTCTTGTGATATTGCAATTTTTTATTTCAAGTTCAAGGCTTCCTTTTGCTGTTGAAAGGCATTGACTCCAGATCGCGCAAAGTCACAGCGAACCGCTCCTTCTCTCCCTCCTTTGGCTATCCGAGTTGATCATGTTGTGTCGCAGAGTGTTGTTATAGTTGTTGTTACAAAGAGTTGTTGCTACAGGGTGTTGTTGTTGTTGTTGTTGTTGTTGTTGTTGTTAAAGGTGTTGTTGTTGTTAAAGGTGTTGTTCACCGGTGGCATCACTCGAGAGCGAGTCGTGGAGATGCGTCGAGCTTATCGCCTGCAAGATTCCACAAAAGAACGAGGCGAGATCTAACTACGACGACAAGAACCGGCGTGATTGCATAGCCATCTTTTTCCCACTTCTTGATCTCTCGGCTCTGCGCGTAGTCACGAAGCTGTTGTTGAGGGGAATGCCCTATGCTATCTTTCGGTCCATTCAGAATCCATTCCTTGATGGTCTGTCCAGCTCGAAATTCGTCGTTCCTGAACGTTAGATCCAACACCTCGCTGGCAACGGGAATATCCGCGAGGGCATCGGCCCTTTTCAATCGTGATCCAGATCCAATCTCGATGAAATCGATTTGGATGGACTTCCACTCCAGAACAAACAGCTGCTTTCGCGACGTAACGGATACCAGCATGTCAATTCGACCTGGCGTTCCCGAAGGCTATTGCAGAAAATGAGAAAGCAATTGTTATTACTTTAAATAACACTCATATCACGGATATCACGACACGACATTAAGCTTTCATACCTTTGTAATGCTCGTCTCGACGCCAACTTTCCGAAGGGACGGGTGGATATTAGCCAGTAGGGTGAAACATATCGAGTTACAGTGATCCTCCTCCTTCTTTTTGAAATCATGGGCTCCGACATCGTGTTCCTGCATACCGCGGGCATATAGTCCGAGGATTCTGTCGATGTTTCCATTGTCGATTAATAACTTAAACGCGCCATTCACATCCTCCAGAGCTGCTTGATGCCTGTGCAGAATAGCGCTCCCAAATCGCTCTGCAGTCACTAAGTTTGGAATTCGTAGTGCGTTCTTGCCGACACAAAACGTCAGTCCACCAAGGTGTACCATGTACGACAACCACGCCGCCTTGCTTTTGGCAAGATCGCCAGCCTGAAGTATAAAAGGGCAAATATAAAAGACTGGGTTATTTACTGAATTAATAGAAGCATGGAAACAACAACAACAACAACACCCTGTAGCAACAACTCTTTGTAACAACAACTATAACAACACTCTGCGACACAACATGATCAACTCGGATAGCCAAAGGAGGGAGAGAAGGAGCGGTTCGCTGTGACTTTGCGCGATCTGGAGTCAATGCCTTTCAACAGCAAAAGGAAGCCTTGAACTTGAAATAAAAAATTGCAATATCACAAGAGCTGGAGAATTTCGCGAAAGTACTAACCATCCTGAGGACCAAGAAGTGAGGAATGTGGATGCAGTTTTCAGTTTATGTTCTGTTTATTCTTGGTCTAAAAAAAACTACATTAGCGTTGTCATGGTAGTAAAAAAAGGAAATAACCTTAGGAAACAAAGTGCTTCGCCAGAGTATTGCATTAGTGCACTGCGGTTTACTAAGAGATTACTGGGAGATCTAACCGAGCATGCTAGTTCTCTTACAAGGATGTTGGAGATGCTGAAGATGATGTCGAGCGATGGAGGGTCAAGCTGGGATGGTGGAGAAGATGGTGATAGTGAAGGAGAAGTGAATTGTGGGAAGAAGAGAAAAGGTGCTGTTGACAGAAAGACAAAAAAAAGCGTGGCAGTGCCACGGTGAAGGTGCCGCATTTTTTTATTGTCGCGAGACATCCTGCTCTTCCTGCCCATGTTCAGATATTCGAATCTTTTCAACTGTGATCCTTGCAGCTTGGAAAAGTCGCGCGTGCGCTCAAAGATCCAGTTCCGCATATCTCGCAGATCTGCTGACAGAAGAAACAAATCCCAGTCCATGAGCGTTGCAGTTGATAGAGAAACGCCCAATCTCGTAACACGGCTTTTGGTAGGACATAGTCGAAGGGGGAGTTTTTTGAATGAGTTGGGTGCTGATGGGCTGTGAGTGAAATCCTGGAGAAGTGTGGAGAATGGAAGGGAGTAGGCGGATAAAGAGGAGCAGACAGAGAACGAGAGAGGCAAAAGGGTAGAAAACGAAAAATGAGTGGTGACTCAAGTAGATGTGGATGCAAATCAGCCTTGGTTATTGATGGACAAGATATGGAATGAATGTTGTAAGCAAAGGTACGAAAAACGGCATGAAAGTGTACAGCAAGGCGAATGACGAAAATAAAGGCGCACAAAATCAAGGAACAAATGCGATTGATATTGTTACTCAGGGGAGAGGGTCGACGGCCAGAGTTGTAGGACCGCTGTTAGGTCCTCAATTGGTACGGAGGGGGGGGGGGAAGGGGTTGTAGGTTGGGGGGAGGGGAAGTGACAATAGTGTCCTAAAAGAATCACACAAAACGATACACTGCAGCGTGCCAGCGAAACTCTTGTCAATACTGCTCTCGTCCAAGTGATGTGTAAAAGGACAAAGAGCAGACAAGAGGGCTCGGCGCACTACTAATACTATGTCTACTAAAGAATATGACTGCTAACCTAAGGCATCGCCGCCACTGCCTAGCCACCACATCTTTTTGTAACAATATTTGTTTCTGAGCAGATATTCGGGTCAACCAGGAAGGTTCTTAAGGGTTGTGCATGGACATGGTGAGTTGATCCTTTAATCGCCATCCTTTCCAGGGCCATGAACTGTTGATCTGCCAGCGGTCGCCATAATCCTGCCCATGTCAGATGTTGGAGGGCCGGGTTGGCGTCAAGGAAGGGTACGGCCCACTCGTGCTGCTGGGGGATGATGAGCTGCTGCAGATGGGTCGAGAAGTATGGGGTAATTCGGGCTGGAGCAATTTGTCAAACACGGAAACAACAGGGAGGATGTACCTACATCGACAATATCGCAGAAGAAAGGTCCTGTCATACTATATCACTTTTTCCGCAATCGTGGAACAGAAAGTATATTTACAAGAAAAGAGCACTATTGCGTTTTCGGAAGGAAAAAAAAAAGTGCGAAATGGATGGCTACTCTGTTGCTTAAGAGGTGGGAGACAAAAAAAAGAAACTCACTCATAATTAATTAATATCTAGAAAAAAAAGGTAGTTGTATAGATACTCCTCGATAGCTGCTTTAGGCGCGCTTCTCGGAGCTGTTGACGACGCGAAGAATGGCGACCTTGGCCTTCTCAACGCCCTCCTTGGATCCGGTGATGGTGATCAACTCCTCGCCGCGAGCAATCTTGGTCGAAGTTCCAGACTCGGCCTCGATCTGCTTGATGTTGTTACCGCCCGATCCAATAATCAGTCCGTGGTAGGTCGTAGGGACGCGGATCTTAAGGACGTGGGTAGAGGCGCGAGCCTTCTCCAACAAGCCCTGGAGGTGCTTCTCAACAGCCTCGCAACCAGTCTCGGTACCCTGCAACTGGACGGTGAACTGGGCCTCATCACCCTCCTCGGCAGGTGCAGACAAGTCGTACAACTCCCAGGAGAGACCGTCAGTCAAACCGTGGGTGACCTGGCTGTCATCGGCATCGATGCGCTTGCTGGCTCCGTTGTTGTTGCGACCACCCTCGCCGCGGGGCAATACAACGACAACGTTGAACTCGTTGCGGTACTTCCAAACGCCATCGCCAAAGACAGCCTGGCGGTGACGCTTGGGGATGCTGAACGAGCGGCTGGCAGAGCTCTTGATCCTGGCCTCGAGGTCGACCTTGGCCTTCTCGCAGTTCTCATGGAGACCCTTGATGGTGACACGCTCGTTGGCGGCGTTGTCGGTAGTAGCCTCGCCACCCTCCTTCTTGTTCTTGTTGTTGGGGAACTGGATGCGGACGCTGTGACGGTTCTCGATCTCCTTGACGTGCGAGAACTGGGGTCCAATGACCTGGCGGTGCTGGGAAGCGGGGATCTGGATCGAGATGGTGGTCCAGCTGTCCTGCTCGGCGACCATGGTCAACATCTCGGCCTTGATCTTCTCGACAATGGTCTTGTCTCCCTTCAACAGGACGGCGTTGTTGTTGCTCTGGAACTTGACCAAACCAGCCTGGGCAGACATCTCCGAGGGGCCACCAGCCTTGGCAATGATCTCGCGCAAGGTCGATCCGCCCTGACCAATCAAGATCTTGTGGTGCTTGTGGTTGATCTCGACGAGCTCCTCGACCTGCGACTTTTGGGCCTCGATGATCTCGTTGATAGCTTTCTGGGCCTGCTTCAAGCCAGCCTTGGAACCGTTGATGACCAAGCGAACCTCGGCCTTCTCGTCAGAGTCGGTCGAGCGACGAATGTCAATGCGGGTCTGGGACGACTCCTGGATCTCGTTGATCTTGGTTCCGTTGCGTCCGACAATGTGGGGCAACATCTTGGGCTCGACGACCAACTCGAGGGTGTTGTTGTTCTCCTTCTCGTAGTCGAGCAACTCAAGGAGCTCCTCCTTGGCGCCCTGGACGCCCTTCTTGCCTCCGCTGACCAAGACAACGTTCAGCTTGGACTGGTCCTCATCATCTTCCAAATCGGCAGCCTTGGGGAACTGGATGCGAACTCCGTACTTTTCCTCGAGGCGGCGGACATAGTGGCCCTTGGCGCCGATCAAGGCGCTGTGGTGGGCAACAGGGATGTTGAGCTTGGCGACGGTGGCATCGGCAATCTGCTCAACCATCTTAATGATGGTCTCCTTGGCAGTCTCGACGTTCTTCTTGACTCCCTGAATGGTGACCTCCATGGTCTCGTTGCCAGTCTTCTTCTTAGTCTTGTCGTCGGCACCGGCGGCACGGTCGTTCAAGTCAAACTTGACCTGGAACTGCTCCGTCAACTTGTTGATGTTAGCACCCCCCTTTCCGATGACGTGAGGAGAAGCAGTGGCGGGGATGTCAAAGGTAACGGTGTAAGAGTTCATGACCTGCTGGTGCTTGGTCTCCTCGACCAATGCAAGGATCTCACGAGCAACACGCTCAACCTCGTCCTTGGGTCCCTTGATGACGATCGAGTCTTCGGTCAGGGCAGGGGTGCCAGCCTTCTTGGTGACATCAGCCGAGCCGGCGCGGGGAAGACCAAGACGGACAGAGGTGGTGGGCTCAAGACCCATGATGGCGTTCAACGTCGATCCCTTAGTTCCAATGACGTTGCGGTGGAGACGGGCAGGGACAGAGAGGACTTTGGTGCTGAAATCAGTGGCGTCGTTGGCGAGCTTGTCGACCTCCTGCTTGGCGGCCTCCAAAGCGGCGCGGATCTTGGCAACATCCGAGGCATCAACGCCCTCCTGGACCTCGAAGACGAGGATGATCTCATGCGAGTCGCTGTTCGCGTCGGGGACAATGACCTCGACACCGTGGGCCTCTCGGAGACGGTTGATGTTTTGGCCCTTGCGACCGACAATGTGACGGTGCAAAAGGGGCTCGACCTGGACAGTGTCAAAGAGAACGGGGGTCATGGCCTTGACAGCCTCCAGGACCTTGGCACGAGCAGCCTCGACCTCGGAGCGGGACTTGGCAACAATCTCGATAGTGACAGCAGTCTGGCCCTCGGTTCTGGGGACGTTGATCTGAACGCCCTCATGGTCCTGCTCGATCTTGCGCAACTTGTTGCGGGCGCTCAAGTACTTGGTGACGTGGCGGGCGTGCTCGGTCTTGCCCTTGCCGGCGACGAGCTTGTGGACGACGGTGACATCGACAGACTCGACCTGCGAGCTGTTGGCCTTCTCCATGATCAAGGTCAAGGCAGGAATCAACTCGGCCTCGGGTCCACGAACAACAATCGAGTCGGAGGTGGAGTCGACAGGGGGGATCTCGATGGTGCATCCGGTGGCGGCGTGGATCTCGTTGATGTGGACACCCTTGGTGCCAACCAAGAAGCGGTGCTGGCGCTTAGGGATGTTGATGGTCATGACGCGGGTGGTGCGTTCGATCTCCGTGTAGTGGTTCTCAATGCGCTCGATGGCCTTGCGAATGCTCTTGCGATCACCTTGGATGACGATGGCAGTGTCCTTGGCATCCTCGTCGTCTTCGTCGTCCTGGGAGGAGACGTGGAAGGGCATGTTGATCCTGGCGTTGGTGTCCTGCTGGATGGCCTGGATGTTGACGTTGCGTGCGCCAGCAATGAAGGGGTAGTAGCTGGCAGGGACAGTCGTCAAACGGTATGTGATTCTGCAGGCCTGTTCGAGTCAAATTGATAGCAAGAACTCATCGTTAGCACTTCTTGGCTCTACTCCTACTTCTTCCACTTTATCCATTCATATACCCCCCTCCATTGTCCCTTCTTCGATCTCATTCCCTTTTTGTTGTTGAGTTTCTTCTGTTATCTGACACCACCTCAATGCTTCCTGCATGTTACAATTATGAGTAGGAATCTTACCTTGCTGATGATGGACTCGATCTCCTCCTTGGCGGCCTCGATGGAATCAACATCACCCTCGATGTCGATGGGGACCATCTCCTCCTCGGCATCCAAGTCATCCTCGTTGAGAGTGGCGGGTTCGAAGGTGGTCTCACCCTCCTTGCGACGGGGGATGTTGATCTGGACACCGGTCTTGGTCTGGATGGCGTTCAAGGTGCGGCCTTTGGATCCGAGAAGATGAGGGCGAGCAGACGAGGGGACAAGGTACTCGATTTTTTCCTAAGGGGTTGTCGAGAAAAGAACATAGGGGCGAGGAGAATCGGTTAGAGGAGCGTCCCTTATGGACAAAAGCGCTTAATTGTCTCCTGAATCCATTCCTGTCGAAGATCCCCCCACCTTTCTAACTTTTCTCCATTCTTACTTTTCCTTGACCCCTTTCCTTTCCACCCCTTCTTTTTCCTTTATCTTGCTCCTTGCAACAGACAACGACTTTCCCTCATGCCTAAGCTTGTGGTCGAAAAAAGAAACTACTTTTTTCATATTTTTTTTTTTTCAATGGTCTCTTCCTACTTTCTTTTTGTAATAATTTTGATCCCTCCACTCTTTTGAATGCTTTTAATCTCTTGCTTCCTTTTGCATTATCCTGCAGTCTCCTTCTCTCCCACTCCTTTGTTTTTTACGATCCTCTCCTATTCTTTTCCTGTGCTCTGTATTTCCTCTTCATCCCGATCTTCTAGTTTCACACGACCAAAAAAAAGGGTGCACCTGTGGAGAAAAATAAACAACGTTCACACCAACGCGAAAAGAAAAACATCAATCGCAACAAGTACCTTCTTAGCAAAGCTAGAACGGAGGGCAAGACGGGCCTTGGCGACAGCCTCAGGCTTTCCAGAGATCAAGAAGGTGGTCAAACCAGTAGCCTGGGAGGTAGTCGACTCGATACGGGCACCCGAGGAAGCCATCGCGGTCTTGACATGGTCACCAACAGTCGACTTTCCAAAGCCAGGAACCTGGATCGAGGGGATCTGCATACGCTCCTGGATGTTTCCAGAACCAGAGATGCGAGGAGCAGAAGCAGCAGCAGCAGCGGCGGCGGCAGCGGCAGCAGGAGTACGGCGCTGATCACCAACGGCACCCAACTTGCCGGCAGTCGACTTTGTACGGGCACCCCAGGTGGCAGTAGTAGCAGCGGGACGAGGGGCAGCAGTGGAGGAACCGAGGGAGGGGAACATGGACAGGGAGTCGACGTCGAGACTCTGGACCTTGCGGGGGGTGGCTTGCTTGATAGGCACGGTCTCGACATCAGGCTCGCTGTCTTCGAGGGCGGCGGTGGCGGCGGCAGTGGCAGTAGCGGCGGCAGATGAGGCGGCGGCGGATTCGTCTTGGGCCTGGTGGAGCATTTGCATCTTTGCGGCAGCAGAGGAGGTTTCGATGGTGTTTTCGGGATGCATAGTGTGAGCGAGCATGGAACTGATCAGAGGGTTAACAAGTGGGAGAAAGAACGAGGAGAAGGAGGTAGAGTAAACACGAGGTTGTTGTGTGAGAGAAGAAGAGGAAAGAGTCAGGTCAAAGCCAGAGTACAGAAGGAGCAAAGGGGGGCAAGACAGGTAAGTGCAATCAAGCAGCAAACAGGAGAGGAGGACGGGAAAGGGGGGAGGGTGGAAGAGGTGGTGAGAAGGAGCTGAGTTGATGATGATGATGAAAAAGAAGAAAAAAGAACGAAAAGAAACGATGATGGACTTTAACCGTGTCCACTGGTGGCACACGAATTACCCACTCACACGGTGCTGTTGGATTCTCTCTCACTCGACACCTGTTTTTTGCTCGACAGGGAAGCTGGGAGAGGATAACCCTTAAGGAAACTTGGAGAATGATTCTCCTTCTTGGAACACTTCTCTTTGCACACCGTACGATGGACCAATGGGAGCTCGCCAAGAGGATCAGGAAATAGAGTTGGTGGCGTCTTCTTTTTCCTTCGTTTCTTGCTCTCTATGATTCCCCCTGGCTCTCTATCTGTCAGTCCTCCACACAACTGGAGGTTAAAGAAAGGATCACTCTTTTTCTTTTGCACGCGTCAATCATCCCCTTCACAACGACAACTGCTTCATGAAGTCGATCGAACAGGAAAATAAGACCAGACTGATCAGGAATCGCCTCCCTTGTATGTCCAACAACCATCATGTCGAATGCCTCCTTGTCCTGGCATGATCCCGTTGTCTTTTTGTCCCACCAGTACAACACTGTATAACTCACTAATTTACTCTTCCCTTCTTCGTCTTTCCCGCGGTAAATATCCTCGTTGTGTCCAGTTTCATTCCCGCATGCAAATGCAGCCAAAACTATAAATGTCGTCCTGCCAACTCAAACTGCTCTCACTTTTCTACGGGGTTGCTTTTTTTTTGATTGTTCTGGTATTCTGCACACTCACCTTCACAGTGCCTCTCGCTCGCCAATGAACCAAAAAGACTCCCAGAAACAACTCCCAGTGGCTCTTCCTCTTCTCTTCACCAACTCACAAACATGGACACTCCCTCGCTCGGAGAGCCAACCTTCTTTGTCTACAACTACCACCGCAATAACAACACCATCCGTTGCTTCACAAAAAAAGCAATTGGGTCCGCACTCATGGAACAGCAATGACGCCCTTCCTTCTCACAAGCAGCGTAGTATAGTGCTCTCATCCTACCCAGATGCTGAACAAACACGAACACCAACATCAACAACAGCAGCAGCAGGAGCAACTTCGTGGATGCAAGACCTCGATTTGGACCATGAAACGGACAGCTGCATCAGTAATAGCAACAACGGTATGAAGAAGGATACAGATCCGGCAAAGATGACCAACCAGAGCACCAGCCAGCACGGACAGCAGCCCCTTGAACAGCATAGCAAAAGCAACAGCATCTACAATAATGAGAGCCGGAACAGCCACCATGTGAACATTCAGCTCCTCCCTCTTCGAGATCTCATTTCTACTCGCCATTCTGGCGGCAGAGGTCGTCGCTTCTTTCTTCCTATGTCGAGGTCGACTTCTTTTCTGGAAAATAGCAAATTCAGTCTCCCCAATCTCTTCTCTCCTTCTTCTTCCAACAACAACCGGGGAACCATCCTCTCTCGCGACGACAAGGACAACACCACTACCACTGCCACTACCAACGACACCAACAACAACAAGAACAACAACAATACCAAGTCAACACAACCTATGTTTTCACTATCATCACCACCACCGGACGAGGGTATCAATTGCTCTTCTCCCCTTGTAAAATGCCAATCCTTCGTAGCAATTGCTACTGTAGCAACACAGCAGCCAACGTCATTGCCAACACCACCGTCGCCCTTACCTCTAGTTCGTACTCAATCGATCCATCTCAATCGACTCCAACAACAACCGCACCAACATCAAACTATCATGCATCCGCTTCTCCCTCCTCCGCTTCCGCCTCGTCAACAGCACAATGACCCACACCCCCTGCAGATCACCAGATCAGAGCCCACAGTCTCCTCGTTATTAGACAACCCCACGAACACAACCACAACCACAACCACAACCACAGCCACCGCAACGACGACAGCAACCATTCAAACATCAGTTGACCCCTCAACTCTAATCACAGTACCGACAAAAGTACATATCGATCATATGGGCAGGGACGAACGATCCAAAATCCTGGCTTCTTTACAACTTGCGATTGAGCGTGCACAGGCTTATCGAGATGAACTCTTGCAAGACGATCCTGCGCTCTTAACCTCTAGACACACTACTACCACTACTCACGTCGCTTATCAGCAGCAAAAGCATAGTTACCAGGACTGTCCGAACAGTTATAATATCAAGCACTCTAATCATATGCACCAGTACCAACAACAACAACAACAACAACAACAACAACAACAGCAGCAGCAACAACAGCAAGGCAACACAAACAAACACCAACACCGCTACAACCACATGCACAATAATTTACACCCGCATTTTCAGAACCATCACTATCACCCGCCACTCTCGCCTGGACCTGGGATGACGATGACGACGGGCAGCAGTCCCTCAGCCCCGTCTTACTCGTCACATCAGCATCCCCACTCGCACCCGTACAATCATGGACATGGATACCAACAGAAATACCCACACCCTCAATCCCTCCAACACTCCCCATACCTCACCAAACCCTCATGCGGCTGCGACCCCTCGCCAACTCACCCCATATATCCTACCCCCGCAACAACGACCCAACATCACCAGAATCACTATCATGGATCACAGTCGGGTTCAGCACTCATACCCTGCCCAGCAACGGAGATGCTCCTCCGCGCATCCGCCCAGTCCACAGAAGCACGAGCCGTCGAAGAACAACGCAACATGATCCGCACAAAATGGGCTGCCATCCTCTATACCGTTATCAGTACCCTCGGCATTCTCTTTGCCTGTGCCGTAAGTTTCCTCTTTTTCTCAACTCTAGTAGGGGGAGGAGAACGAAAACGTTGCTCGACAGACTTGCAAGAGGTTACTGACATGTTTTTCTCTTTTTTTTTTGGTCTCTTGCGGGATTGGATAGTTGGATGAGAAGACGTCAGATAGGATCACGTTCGTAGTCATGTACCTTCTAGGTCTAATCGTGCCTATTTACGCGCTAGTCGATTTCGGTATCACGCGCTCGCAACGATCACGCGAGACTACCACCACCACCACAACTACAGCCGCTGCCGTTGCTGCTTCTGCTTCTGCAACTACAAACGGAATCACCAGCAGTGGTGCTACTGCTGGTGCGAGTAATGCGCCGCCTACCGATGCAAAGAATCTGCATGGAGACGAAGAGGTAAGAAAACAGTCATCACGGGTGCGGATCCTCTTTCGGGTGTTATGGTACAATTGTCTGTGCACAACTCACAAGAGAAGTAATTAATTGACATTTGACATTTCATACGATATAGGCTTTTCACACAGGCGCGTTCATTCATTATATCTGAAATGAACAAGACGCCAAAGGATACATTTTGAGACGGACCAACGCTAATTGCAAAAACTTTGAATAAAGTTTTGCTGCTACATGCTCCTCACAAGAAAGTTAATGCAGGTCCATCTGCCGTTGTGCAAAAAGGAGAATTGCATGTTTATTCTTACAGTATCCTAGAAAAGAAAAAGAAAAGAAAGGACTACAAATAGTCATCATAATGGTCCTGGAAAGAGTCCTTGCACCCCGTCATCGCGTATCCAGTCGGTGGTCTGCGGATATCAATCCCAGGCAAATGCTTCATCAACCAGTTCAGATGTATGTTCCCTTTGATCCGTTTAGGCTTCGCGGCCTGGTACTGGATCAACTCAATCACCTTCAACCGCGGCCAATGACGCGCCACCCATTCGACCTCCCGCTGCCGGAACGTCTCCTCGATTTCTTCAGAAACCAAATGAACCGACCCTCGGAGTTCGCGCAGGTTCTTGAGTCGGCATAGGTAATTCAGGTACCCGACCCGATCGGCCGCCTCATTTCCTAGAGTCAAGAGCTGGGGGAACGAGGCCTTATCGCGCATGTCGTCTTCGATCCCGTTGTACAGCTCGTAGTCCGGGATGTCCTCAATATTAACTTCCAGATACGCCTTCAGACCCAGTACCTCCAGCTTGGTCATGCTCCCGACCTGGAAGTAAAACTTTTCCAGCAAAACCCATCGTGCGTAATCCTTCGGCGACAGACCCGTGTTAGGGTCCTGAAGGTAGTAAGGGCATCGGTCCTCAAAGTCACCCCAGATAACCCTCATCTGGAGGACCCGCAATCCATGGCACACCCAGGGTTGGGCAACCAAGTCCTCAATGTCTGCACGTCCTGTCGGCCCCTCGTCGTTCACAATCTCCAACCTCTCCAAACCTGCGCAAATCGTCAGCAGCGCCCGGATCCCTGAACTGTAGACAGTTCGAGCGTCGGTCAACCGGACATCCCGTAATGTGCGATGGTGTTGGTAGACCATATTGACCATACTCCTTGGCACACCCTCGACAAACTTTTCATAGTGTATCGTCTGCAGTGTGCTCCAGGAAGTGTTCAGCCCCGCCAGCAACTCCAACACGACATCCTCGATATGGAGCCGTTGTCCCTGTCGGATCCTGACAGTCGAGATCTCAGGACAATGCTGCTGGATCCATGGACCGATCGCTCTGATGTCCTCCTCCCGACACCCGAGCAGCTCCAGGTCAAGTCGCTGCAGTCGTGGGCACAGTCGGAGGATATGAAAGTAAAGCGACATGTCGGCCTTTGTAGACATGGGCAGAACGAGGTGTCGTAGATTCGGCCGTGGCTCTGTGTCCGAATATAACCGTAGTGGCCCCAGCATCACATCCAAGTCTTCCGGTCCTGGCGTCAACTGGGGCACAAACCCCTTCGGCACCCCTCCAACTTCAATGACAAGCGACTCGAGCGACGGACTGCAGCAGAGAAACATGGTCCAGTAGACGTGGCGCCAATTGTCACGAGAAGGGATACTGTCGATGCGTAGGCGAGAGAGATGGTCGAGGCTGTTGATCGCACGAGCGAGACTCCTGACTTCAAGGGATGAGCGGAAATAGACCGACCGGAGCGAGACGTGGGTCAGGCCAGGATTCAGCTGAATCAACCAGCACAGCTGGGCAAGTCCTTGGGGCGGGTACTGGATCTCAACCCCTGCGACGCGGGCAACATAAAGGTCCAGAGGCTCTCCATTGAGCGAACATTCGAGACGTGTTAGTCGGTTCATCGGATAAAACTTGGCAGGCAGGCAATACTCCGAGTCCGGCACGGGAAGCCAAGGCGGGCGCCCGATCAAGAAAGCCGTCGGATCCGCGTCATCCCTCAGTCCGTTGATATACATGATCAAATATCCCCTTGAAATAACAAGACTGGAAACAAACTTGGCCCGCCGACCTAGGTTCACGAGCTCCTGAAGAGATGTCTCGACTTTTTTGTCGACTGTGAGTTCGAGATCCCGCCAGAGGAGGGGGACGAATGAGTTGCGGAGACGATGACATGTTTTTGCGAGGCGGGCGATGGACTTTTTCGTAAGAAAGGTTGATAGACGAACGCGGAGCTCAGGGGTCTGGAAGAATATTGAAGAGGCTGAGTGCTGCATTGTAATGTGTTTTTGTCGTAGTTGCTTTGTTGCTGCTTGTTGTTGTTTGGCTGATTGGTGATGTTTATTTTGGTGATGGTGGGCTGAGGGTGAATGCTGTTGGTTGCTTGTTTGATGGGTAAGGATGAGTCTGCTGAGAGCAAGAAAAGACGAAAAACGTGGGAGGGTGGCGGAATGAGAGCGAGAAGGAGGGGGGGGGGGGGGGGGGGGGGGGGCGAGAACGCTAGAGTGAAAAGCAACAGTGAAAGCAAAAGGGAAAAGAAGAGACAAAGAGGAGAGAGGGGGCACACCAGAAGAGCAACCAGGACGAGGTAGGTCGAGGGCGAAAGAAGAGAAAGAAAACAACAACAAGAACAACAACAACAGCAGCAAGAACAACAACAACAGCAGCAAGAACACACTAAACAACTCAAAAATTAAGGTTTTGTCGCTTCTTTGGTCAACAGCGACAACGAAAGGGGCGTCAGGTCAGTCCAATGTCGACCGCAACTCAAAACAAAAGGAAATAACGCCCACGTTTTTTTCGTGGGGATGTCTGTCTGTCCATCCCATGTTAAGGTTTGTTTCTCATTTTGCAAATATAGAGGGCTTTTAGTACCCCGACGGACTGATTGATCACTCTCACTCGCAGCCTTGGTACACACTTGCTTCCTCCTTCCTCCTTCCCTTCTACAGCCTTCATTAGTTTTGTATCAAGAAATTCGTCACAGAAGACCACCTCGATGATGGAAACCCGACAAGGCCGTCATTGTCCAAGTCGACAGAGAAAAACGGACTAAAGTACATCATTGACTAGTTTGTGGCTCTTCATCCCTCCCCCTTTTTCTCACCTTGTTCCTGATCTAATTTGCTTTTTTTTTTACCGCGGGAGCGACATTGCGTAGCGTGGCGAAAGAATTAGCTCAGCAAACAATCGGCATCGTAGTTTCCCAAACAAACAAAATCTCAATTGCACCATAAACCTTCCTTCTCCCGACAATGCAAAAAAAAACCACAACGAGCAACCACTCGAACAGCCGCTGTGCCAGCACCAACACCTCTGCGTCTCGTCTCATAAACCTCTCTCACCTTCTCCGTACCTGATGAAACATTAGGTATGAGCAATCAACCCCCTATTCTCAGCCATCTGCAAGAACCCCATCTGCGGTTGATTAGCAAGAAACTTTGGTCCGCATGGACCTATCCCAAGCCCATTTGGGATCCGACTCGAGATCCAACCTGCTATCGCTCCTCCAATGCCTTTCTAGAGAGTCTTTGCACGCCTGGTATTCGATGACCATTTGGTGAATGCCTTTGACACCGTTGGGGGGAAGGGTGTAGGCCAAGTTGGCGAGCGCGATCGCGTCCTGCATCGCTGCCATTGCGCCTGTTGGAAAAACTTTGCTACTTGTTAGAGTTCATTCTGTCCCCGTTAGAGTTTCCACGATTTCCACCACGACTTCAACTTTAATGTAAAAAAAGTGGATGCTCTTTTTGCATGTACGAACCTTTTCCTCCTGCGGAATGAAACTTGTGGCATGCTGGTCACTGTGTGAAGTAGAAAAAGATATTTGGTCAGCTAGAGTTGACCGTCCATGATCGAATTGATCGTTCCTGAAAAGTACTTATGAAGAATGCCAAGTCGTAAACATCATCTCTTCCAACATGATTTTAGATATCAACTCCTCGGGGGTCCGATCAAACATGTCTCCCAAGAGTCCTTCCTTCTATCTCAATGGGATCAAGAAATTGCGGATCTCGTCGCACATCGATTGCGCAGCTCTGAGGACCTGGCCACATTGTTGCTCCTGCGCTGCTGTAGTGTGGTGGCGGGATGGCAATTCAACACACGGACAGGTTAGCCGTGCTAAACACACTATGGGAATAGATGAGATCAAAGACGAAGGAGAGGGAGGGGAATGAAATTTAGTTTAGCACACTGACACCCTAACTAAACAAAAAAAACCCGTTTGGTGTAGGGTTAGTTGTCGCCAAAGGTTGGGGTGGCCGTTAAATTAGTTGGACAAAAAAAAGGTACGGGGAAGGAGATATAAGCGCCTGTGTCAGCGAGAAAAAATAGAAAGAGGCTTACAACTCTTCCCACTGCAGGAAACTACGCGTAGAAAAGAGTTCAAAGTCCTCAGACTCTCGGAACAGTTGTACGGTCGCCATGGGCTTGCCCATTGCCACGATCTCGTCGAGTAAGGACTCATGTTCCGACGCAGGGAGCACTTTCCCTCCGATCGAAAGTGCCGATCCTGTTTCAGTCATAAGCAAAGAGCAGTAAATATTACGATCGCTCTCTGTTGCGCTGTGCATATGATGAGATAAACAAGGAAGTGCATTTACCTAGGGGCTTGACAGTCAAAGCACGTTCCACAATAATATAAGCGATGCGTGCGTTTTCGATGAGGGTACCAAGCACAATACCCTCATATCCCCGCACCAACAATTAACACCGTCCGTGGCGACTGTGGTTGTCCTGTTATCGTCGTTACCATTATACTTTCAAGGAAAATAGATGGTGAATACAGGATGAGAGGTCTGAGATGAGGAATGTGTGTGTGAGAGAGAGAGAGAGAGAGAGAGAGAGAGAGAGAGAGTAGAAAGAGAAAAAGAGGAAAATTCGTCGCCGAGGGGTGGCCATGACTCCTTCAAACCCGCTTTTTGCCCGAGCCACATGGCCTTAGCATGCCCTGCACTACCACCCCTTCTTTGTCTTGCTTGGTAATATCCCAATTCTTGAAGGGACCTTTGCAAGTTGATCCGTTGCGACTCACTTTTGTATTTTTCCTTCCTCTTCAAGCTCATTGCTCTCTTTCTTTTAAATAGTTCCTAATCGAACGCAAAATAAAAAACATTTGTTCCCATCTTTCCAATCCTGGTCAGGGTCGTAGTACTGTGGATTGACCGAGACGAGCACATTGGAGGCAATTGAAAGTGGGGCCACACTTTTTTTTTTCTCCATGCGCACATCCACCACAACAGATACGTTTGTCTTAAAAAGAACTGTAAACAACCACGACAATGGGCTGTGAACAATGATCGACTCAGGGTACTTCATAGCGCAGATTACTTGTTTTCTTAAGTACAATGCATGACACCTTTCCTCTTCTCTTGTCCCCTATCTCTGGCAGATGGATGGTATGCATTGTTTTCAGTTCCATCTACGAAAACAAAGTACATAATAAGCTCTTGTTCTTCGCTTCGCAACATCTTTGATCATCGACACGCGTCGCGTTAAAAAATCAATTGAGTTGCCTCTCTACGCTGGTGATATTTGTCTCCATAGCACAATTTTTTTTTTCTTCTTTTCTCCAAAGACCCTCCTCTCCTTCACCCTGGTCACCTTATCCTCCTTTCCAACGTTTCCTTCTCTTGATGAGGAAGCGAAAAAAAAATGTAACTATCGAGTGGACCTCTGCATCAATTTGAACAAGACGTTGTTTATTAGAGAGAGAGAGAGAAAAGATGGAGTACCATAGTAAGATGGAGCTAGAAAGGCCTAAGAAAAGAATGGAATGAAAAAAAAATCCGCAATGCAGGTGGATAGAACGACAATAGAAAAAAAAGAGAAAATGAACGAGAGTGGCATGAACCATCCCCCCCCCCCCCCCCCCCCCCCGGGGGGACAGGGGATAAAAGGGGATACAAAATGGAGGGGGTTTTACTTGCCATTGCAGATCTTGAGTCTGAACAGCTTTTCGATCTTGTCCTCATACTCGAGGAGCTTGGCCTCGTAGCTGCTGATACTCGAATAGAGCTCTCGACGTCTTTGACCTTGTGAGGGGTCGCTCTTGAGGGTCCCAGCGGTGAGCACCTTTCCTTTGATCGAGTGGTCCAGGCTTTGCAGCTTGTGTGCATACCGGGTGATGAAGGCGTCGATGGTGTAGATCGGAGTGAAAGGAGTAGGGGATGTCTGCTGTTGTTGTGTATGGAGTTGTTGATGTACGAGCTGTTGTTGTGCGTGCTGTTGTTGCTGTTGTTGCATCTGGGCGAGGATTTGTTGTTGGTTTTGTGCAAGTTTCTGTTGGGAGGCGGTTGCGCTGAAGCTTGAAGAGGCAGGACCGGATGTGGTGACAATCGCAGTGGCGGAGTTGGCGGCAGGGGCGGCCGATGGGAGGGCGGCCGATGGGAGGGTGGAGGCAGAGACGTGTGGAACTGTGTTGGTGCGCTTCAGCTGATCCTCTGCGGTGTACATTGTTGTTGGGTGAGGGGGTGAAGGGAGTTGGGCGTTGGATATGGATTTATTTCTAACGTGTGACTTGTTGAATGAATCATCTTGTTCGCGTTCCCGGTCGCGCTGCTGTAGTTCACGGTATTCTTGGAGGGTGATGGTCTTCGACATGATGTTAGGGTTCTTGACACTGGTTGTGGATATAGACGGAAGACGTTGTATAGCTTTGTGTGATGAGGAAGGGGTTATGTGTGGTGAGGGTGAAGAGAAAGAAAACAAAAGGACAGGGGTATTTATAAAAAGAGTTGCGGATGGAGAGAGAGCCCAGCGGCGAGGGTATTGACACAAAAGCAAACGACTTGACAAAAACTATGAAGAGGACAATAGAGATGAAGGTGGAAAAAAGACAAAGAAAGCGGGCAGTCAGAGAGATGGTTCGGATGGGAGTACAAAGCCCTTCCTTATTTGGAGTGTGCATTCATCCTTGGGGTCGGAATGAGTTCTATCCTCTGATTAACAATAATGAACTAGACGGCGAGCGGCAAGACAATAAATAGACAAACAATGCTTTGGTTTCCCTTTAATTTGCAGCATCTATTCTTTGTTTTTGCTGGAATGGGAGGCGCCACCCACATCACCATGTACTGTACTGTACTACTTTCGCCTATTGAACGAGTAATGGGGGCTCTTTTACCAGCAAGCAAGAATTTTAATTATGATGCGCAATGATCGCCCCGTTTTTGGGAAATCGCTTCTTCTGTGTGCTCTTTTTTTAGCCATGGCGATCACATACGTGCCCTGAAACTATAGTGCGAGAACACCTTTTTTCACTCCACTTTGCTGTGCAAGAAAGTAACATACCACTTTTCGAGATTTCAAATCCCTCATCGTTCGAAGCTGCATATTGATCGTGTATGATTTCACTAATAGGTGTCGTAGGCATGCGAGTGGCCCGATCCAACATTGGCATGGAAGGTAGAAAATGTGGAACTACAAGAAAAGGCGGAAAATGATGCTCAATTGAAAGACTGAAACAAACAAACACGGACAACAACTCACTTTATTTGACGCATACGCGTCACACCTAGGCCTATTTTCCTGCGGCTGGCTGAATGCTGGTGTTCACTTGGATGGCTTGCCTGCACCATCACTGGCGACCTTGGAGCGATCAATTGCATTAGTTGCAGATGTAGCAACTACTGCTCCTTGGGGTTTGGCAGGAACCGACGCGGCATTGGTGGTGTTGTGGCGACACTTGTAGGTTCCTTGAGCGTTGCAGTTGACGGAGAAACGCCCAATCTCGTAACACGGCTTTTGGTCAGACATAGTTGAAGAGAGAGATTTTTTAAATGAGTGGGTGCTGATGGGCTATGAGCGAAGTTCTGCTGGAGAAGTGTGGAGAATGGAAGGGAGTAAGCGGGTAAAGAGGAAAAGACGGAGAAGGAGGAACGCAAGGGAGGTAGAAAACGAAAAAAGAGTGGTGACTCAAGTAGATGAGGATACAAATCAGCCTTGGTTATTGATGGACAAGACGTGAATTGAAGTTGCAAGCAAAGGTACGAAAAAAGGCATGGAAGTGTACGGCAAGGCGAATGACCAAAATAAAGGCCCACAAAAAAAAGGAGATAATGCGATCGACATTTGTATGTGAGCAGATAATCGAGTCTTGAGGATGGAGTTCGCGCTTGTCGGCAGGCATGGGGCTAGGGACCCAGAGTGGAAGGAACCAGCCCTCGACACGGACGACTCCTGAGAGCAGGAGCGGGTGGATTGGGATCATTCTTGAGGGATGAAATTGAACATTTCAAGAGAGTTTGATGTTTATATTCTGTTTATTCTTGATCTGTTAATAAATGGAAATAACTAAATCTAGGAGGAAACGTGCTTCACCAGGGTGTTGCGTTAGTGCACTGCGGCTTACTATGAGATCACTGGGATATCTAACCGAGCATGCTAGTTCTCTTACAAGGATGCTGGAGATACTGAAGATAATGTCGAACGATTGAGGGTCAAGCTGGGGATGGTGGAGATGATGGTGATGGTGGAGAAGTGAATTGTGGGAAGAGGAGAAATGGTGCTGTTGACAAAGAGGCAAAGAAAGAGAGCGTGTCAGTCCACCGGTGATAGTGCCCCATTTTTTATTTGTCGCGAGACATCCTGCTCTTCCAGGTCATGTTCAGATATTCGAATCCTTCGTGTGATCCCGTGCAGCTTGGAGAAGTCGCGCATGTGTTCAAAGATCTAGTTCCGCATATCTCGCCGATCAGCTGACAGAAAAAACGAATCCTAGCCCATGGCAGCGTATGTCCAGTCTCGGCTCGAAATGTCCGTAATGAATGGGCATGAGCCATCGGCCTTGGAGTGCTGAGGAAGGACTTGCAACGAAGACCGTATTTGCATTTTCGTCCTGAGCCGGCCCATCCTCAGAACCGCCTTTGCAAAAAATGTCAGACAAGTCTTGTGGATAGACAAATCCGCTCAGGTTCATATTCTCGAGCTGCACGCGGCAAGAAGCGAGAGAGAGAAACGAGGAACTGACAATCACAAAATAAATATTGTAATATTCAACCACCACCACTTTTTATCGGCTTACACTTGCTCCACGCGAGCGAAGCCGCTGGTACTATTCTAGTTTTACTCTACAAAAAAGCTGAGTTTACAGTCCAAGACCTCGGGGTCAGACCCACTTACCCTCCCAAACGGTAACGAGATGATATTCGTTGCCACTCCACTCCACCCATCCACCTCAACATGAGTCCTCACCAACCCTCGTACGTCCGTCAAGTACGGCCAATGCCGCTGCATCCAAAAGAGCTCCTTCTTTCCGATCCGATGGTCCATGGTGCCGACATTTAGCTCCCTCAACCTTGTCAATCCAGACAACAAATCCAGTCCACTCTCAAGTGTCATCTCCAAACTAGTCACCTGAAGCATATGATCGAACGCCACGTAATCCCCATTCTTGCCATTCTCTCGCACCACGTTTCCTCGATGGTAGGTCGTTCCTAGTTCCAGCACTCTTAGATTCGCCAAGGACCCTAGCTGGGAATAAACACGCCGTTGGATCATTCGACTCTCTTCCACAGTCCCACTGTGCAACGGCGTCCCTTCAGGTATCGGTCGATTTTTGTAGTCCCTTTGCACATCGGGGCGTGGGATGCCTGCGATCCTAATCTTGAGCGTAGTCAACCAACGAGAATTCCAAGGAGACGATAGCAAGTCCGAGGCGTGAATCGTGGGGAAGTTGTCAAAGTTCATCATAGCCAGCGACCGACCCTGATGAAAAACCGAGTGGAGTTCCGAACCAACGACATAATCACTGTCGCAGATGATCAATTTCTGCAGACCCTTCCGAGAGGCATCGACTAGAGCTCGCAGACTGGCGGATCCTGGTGGCGGACAAGTCATGAGGAAGATGGTGTGCCAGACCTGTTGTATTCCGTCGTCTCGTCGTTGGCCACCAAAGTTGCTGATCTCGTGGGCGACAAAGTTCTCCATCTCGAGAATGTCCTCGCTGCTGATCATTACGAGCGCCATCAGACGAACACCCATCGCCTCTTGCAAGGCGTCAAGGATCTCGGGGTGTGCATGGATCCACGACAGGCTCGAGGCCTTGAAGGTGAGAGTGTCATCGACGACTTCGAGACTCTTGCATCCCCGGAGAAAAGTCGACAAGACAGCGGGGACAATTCGGGGCTCATCTGAATGGACATGGGAGCGTAGAGAAAAGTACTTGAGCTTGGGATGGGTTTGCGATCCATCCACAGGTAGCATCAATGACTCATACTCGTCCTCGTCAAGGTCGTCCGAGTAGAACATCAGTCCCAAGGTCATAGCCACCAGCTCGGAGGAACAAGTCTCAAAAAACTCTCGGGCGACTCGTGGCGAGACTATGGGCTGCCCCTCGGTAAACAGCTCCAGTTCTTGAAGAGCCGGCAATGCCCTCGCGATAGACTTGAGCAATGGCTCCAGCCACTCTGTTGGCGGTGGTCTCTCCACATACAGTGACCTTAAATTCGGGCACTTCTCTAAAACTGCTAGCAATTGGTTGCACTGCTGCTCCGTAGTGAGATAGTCACGAATTGAAAGCGTGGTGAGATTGCTCAGCCCAGGGAGGCTGGCAATGGTAGAAAAGGCGCTGGACTTGAGGGAACGGACGTGGAGGGTGCGGATACGATAGTGGTGTTGGATAAGGGCTTCCTTGACCTCTGGTATGTCGAATGGGTTGTTCTTGTTGCCTGAACGCGTGTCTTCGATCCTCAGCTCGTCGAACAGGAAAGGAGCGAGTGCTTGGTGGAAGAGGGAGTTGATGAGGAGGAGATGGACAATGTCGTTGTGATCGAGATATCGGGCTACTTCCTCAATGAGTTCAGGAATCAATAGTGGGTTCATGCCAGAGAGAGAGATAGGGAGGGGAGGGGAATCAGTTTTTGTTGATGGGTGTGATATTGAAGGTGAAAGGAGTATGTGCGAGTGTCTTATATGCAGGAGAGGATCCAAGGGAGAGACAAAGACATACGCTCATACAGGCTGATTGCGAACACCCATGCACGTGTCTCATTCGCTCCTCTTGATTTTCTTTTTTTTGCATTTGTCAGGAAGAAATAATTGCACCATCGGTGGCCCGTGAACAGCAATCGTGTTTACGACAACGAGTGAAGAAAACGACTCCACTCTATCTAGATCGCATTGCGTGCTCCTCTCTCTTTGTCATCATACCATTTTTTTATTCATCTGAACAAGCTGGTACCCCCTCCCCGGCTACGATCAATCGGGCGGAAGAAGATTACCCGTCTGCAGGATGTCATCCTATTTTACTTTTACTTTTTGTTGTAACACTGGACACGTCCCCCATAGTAGGTGCCAGGAGCAAACCTAAAAAACATATGCGATGAAAACAAAATATTTTTTATTCATTTATTCTTTTGCTCGCCATCTCCACCACGACGCTAACAAAGAAACATACTACAGATCGTGGCGCTGATAGAGGCGGCTCCAGATCTCATCCCACTGCTTATCAATCTTCTCTTTCCACTCCTCCAACTTTTTCTCATACTCTGGGTCACCCACAAGAACCTCCTTCATAATCCTGTATCTTTCCTCCAGGACCGCGACATTCTCCCGCATCTGCCGCATCAACTCATCTGGATCGAGACAATCCGAGGCCCCAGTCGGGGTGGCGCATTTGGAGGTACTGTCCAGGATAACGATACCATGAAGCCCAAACCTTTGCTGGTTTGGCCACAATGAGAGTGGGAAAGGAGTGGCGAGGACAGCAGGTGCAGGAATGGGAGCCGGAGGAAGGACTGGCTGATTCGTCTGTGCAGGAACCACAGGATTCACAGGCATGCCGAAGCCACCTTGCTGCAGGTGCGCCCGAGAGGCAACGTCCGTATTGCGAGCCTAGATGTTTGTGGGCTGGTTCACAGGAGGAGGAGGGAGTGAAAGGAATGCGCCAGTAGGGTATTGGGACTGCATCGAACCAAAACCTCCAACCTGGCTTCTCTGCGCAGGGCATGTGGCAGTGAAGGAATGAAGTACCTGAGGCGGACCGAAGACCAGAGGCGGGTTGCACTTATGAGAGGCAATCGCAATATGTGTAGCCAACTCTTGTTGCGAAAAGCCAGCGGAGATTATTTCCTTCTTCTTCTTAGCAAGTTGTACGGCCGTAAATGGAGCTGAGTGCCCACCAAATCTGATTACGTTCTGCAAGCCCTGGGCTGATGCAGCGACAGGCTGCGAGAAAGCAAGGAGCCCGGCCGCAGCCGTAGCAACCTGATTCCGAAAGGTGGGAGTTGGAGGTGGAGGAGGGAGTGTGTTATTGTTGCTGTTGTTGTTGCTCGGGAGGACAAGAGGAGTGGTGCCCCAATGAGCAGGCACAAGAGCAAGTGGACCTTAGCTTCCTAGAAAAATAAAGGACGTCTAAGTGTTGAAGACGGGAACTCCTTGAGTGCGGACAGGGTATGTGGCGCGAAGCAGATCGACGGCGTCTTTGGGGATGGTGGGAATCATGCTGCCCTTTTGTTTGTTTGGTGTCGAATTTTTCGAGTTGCGGTAGATCGCGTCTCTTATAGTCGCGCCGGGGAGGGAAGGGAGGAGGCCGAGCCAAAAAAAATGGCGATCTGATCAAGTGAGTTTGTACCACTCGGTCGTGAAAGGAGCGATTGAATATCATCAAGGTGCACAATAGCTAACGATGCTGTAGCACAAGGAGCAACAGTCGCGCATCAATCCAAACGGACTTTTGTACTCTATCCCGCCTTTTTTCACCTTCCGTTCTTGTTCACCCAGAGGAACAATAGCCTTGGTAGAATTGAATGTATGAATATCAGCTTTGCACGTATGCTTCATTTGGAGCTGCGACTAAAAACTGCTTCTCGTCAATGTTTCGTTTCATTTATTGCGATATCAAGAGAAAAGGGTGGGGCAAAAAACTAAATGAATCGGAGTAGAAAGATGCGTTTCCGGCAATTGGCATTCTGCTTTACAATCGGCTCATCCAAGGCCTTGATGTGCTGAAAGATCCTGATCTCAACCTCACGTGGAACGGGCGGGATCGTCAGCTCCGTTAACAGGAACTCTTTGATCCCTCATATCCTCGGAGTTCTCTCATAGCCTACAGTTTCTCATGTGGGATAATACAAGTTGTGCGGGTGCGAACACTTTGGCCATAAGGCATGGGAGGAAGAGTAAGGGATTAGGGACTAGGAACTCGGTTGAAAAAGGGAGCGCCTTGAGTGGACGTAGAGAGTGGAGGGGAATGGGGACCGTGGGCGGTCGACGTGGCTGACGTGATCTGAGAGAACAAAGGGCGGATGGACAAGAAAATAAACACCAGAAGATGAGACTCCAGAGAGACGTGTGAAAATGAACCGAAAAAAGGGGAGGTGATTGAAAATCTATCGAGGCACAACGCTTCTTACCAAAAGAGAAACCGTTTCAGCAGCCTTTCTCTTCCCATTCCGCCTCTCCTTGTCTTTCACTGCTTCGAAGGCGTTGAGACTTAAACATGTTGCCTTAACGCATTTCTCATCCGTGAAACAAGTAGAACAGCCGCGTTTTTGTATTTTTTCATTCCTCTCCTTGCACTGATCCTTGAGATGTGGGGCTGCTGAGAAAAAGGAAGAGAAGATGCTTATGGCTGTTGTGCCAAAATATTGTCCTTCTCGAAATCGGCAGTCAGACTCTCAATCTCCCTGGCGAAGATATGAAAAAATCATTTTTCCGTCAACATCAAACGCTTTCTCCTTGGATCATATCATATTGGCTTGTTAGTCCTTCCATCTGCTCATTTCAGTCTCAACATGTGTCTTTGCGCCTTATCAATTAATTGTAAGAGCGTCTCTCTTGTAGTTTTAAACTTTTAATCATAGTAACCTCATTTCTAGCATCTGCATAAGGTGTCAACATACCAAGACAAAAAGGTGAGGGGAGAGGGGCCTTGTTTATATCTCTCCCTCTTAGTGAGTGACAACGCGTTGCCGCCATATCGACGACCATTGATCATTAATATTAACATGTTCGTCTCGGGATGTTCATCAACGATCAAGGGATCAAAAGCAGAATCCTCATGTCTCAGTCGAACGCGTCTTGGTAAACGCGCCCTCGGCCAGTCGTCTTCGTCCAAACCAGTACATCAATGTGCAGGGCAGAGAGAACATAAAAAAAAGTCAGGAAATGGTGCCTTACCCTTCTTATGCAGCCTCACGAAAAACGAGTACATATGGCATTCTTTATTTCCTCAAAAACGCACCTCCTCTCAAATAGCACCTGAAGCAGCGGCGGAAGCACCTTGTCTCTTCTCATAAACGGCTCTAGCCTTCTTATAACTAAACGAACTCATGAAGGGGGACGTACCCTTACTCTCGACCTCCTTCAGGAACGCGACCTGCGGTCTGAATTTTACGCGTTTGGCCCAAAAGATCTTCCATAGCCATTGAGGGATATGCTTTGAGATCCACAATGCAACGGCTCCGCCCAGACCCTTTTCCATCCCCTTGGCCAGGGCGCGACTGCTATCGAAGGCCTCGGTTGCTTGGGGTAGTCGTTCTGCTTGGTATTCGGTGAATGCTTGTTGGATGTCGGAGAGTTTGGTGGAGGGGAGAGCGTAGATGAGGTTGGCGAGCGCGACTGCATCGTGCATTGCCGTCACGGCGCCTATTACAATGGATAAGGAATAAGTAAATAGCGGTCAGTTCAAAAGTTCTTTTTTTCTGCAGGTAATAAAAACTGAGTAGAAGGTCAATTGTGGATTGTCGAGCTCTTACCTTGCCCTCCTGCAGGATGGACTTTGTGGCATGCTATTTATGAGAAGTGGAATGATAGTAGTATATGGTCAAATATCACCGTACTGACAAATGGCCGTTATCTGTTCCTGAAAGCTGGTAAATAGTCTCACGTCGTCTGATCACTAAATCAACGATCAATGAACTGAAACTTACCATCGCCCAAGAGAACGGTGCGTCCAGAGTGCCACGTCATAAATACCTTCTCCTCCAGCATGACCTTGGTAATCAGCTCCTTGGGAGTCCGGTCATAGAGGTCGCCCAGCGTCATTTTGCCTGCTCCAATAGAAATAGGGAAAGCGCGTGTCTCATCGCACATCGACTGGGCTGCAAAGGTACCCCACTCGGAGTTCTCGCAATTCTTGAACCGCTGTTCCTGGGCTGCCCTGCTTGTGGTTCGATCCAAGTGGTGCAGCACCATGAAACAAACGGACCCGCTGGCTGTGCCGAACACAACCCACTTTTTCCCGGGAAATTACGCCAGAAAGATAGAGAGAAAGAAGAGAGTGAATTTGTTGACATCTTGTGTTGAATTGTTGATGTAACATGTTGTTCTCGCTTTTCATTTCAGTAGAACGCTTACAGAGTACGGTTTTTCATTGCCAAGGGTCACGATAAATAAGCACTTGTCGTCCTTCAGCTCGGGGAACTCCTCGACGTCCAACACGTTGGTCTGACCGACAAGACAGGTACAACTAAACGGAAGGTCCTCCTGGTCGGACTTTGGAAGAGTTCCCTCCGTGTTCAGTTTCTCGTAGATCCGCTGACGAATGGCACTGTATGCGCCATCAGCGCCAACTAAGATGTCACCCTGGTATGTCGTTCCATCTGCTGCCTTGATATGGACTTTATCGTCGTCGTCCTTGTTCTCGGTGACGGTCAGGATGCGTTTGCCAAAGTGGATCTTGTGTGCCGGGATCTGCTTTAGCAAGAGGCTGTAGAGACAAGGGCGCGCAACAATGTAGCTTCGATATCCAGTCCTATTAGTGCAATGGAAAGTTAGGTGTTAGTGCCATGTTATGTATACGTTCATACAGCTGGCAATCGATAATCAAAAGGATAAACCTACAGCTCTTGCACATGGAGGTGATTCGTGGTGACAATGGTCTCGCCCGCTTCGTTCAGGAGAGTCGACTGTGTAAACCACTTGGCAAGAGAAACGAACTCGTCAAGGATACCCAATTGCTCAAAGAGGCCGAGGAGAGTGCCGCCAACCGCCATTGCGGATCCTAAAGTATTGCAGTGATATGAGGGAGGAAGTTAGGAGGGCTTTCTAGTAGATGCAGTGTAAGAAAGAACGGTGCTGCACTCACCCAACGGCTTGACGGTAGTCGAGCGCTCGATAATGGTGTAGGGGATATCGGCCTTCTCCATGAGTGCCCCGAGCATGAGGCCCCCTAGTCCTGCACCAACAATCAGGACCGTTGGCTGTGATTGCTGTTGTTCTGCTGTCCTTGTCGCCATAATTTTTCGGTTGCAGAGGAGGGAGAAGGGAAACGAAAAAAAAAGATGGTGAATGTGGAATGAGTGAAAAGTGATGAGGCCACTGAGAAGAAAGAAGGAAAGTAGTTTCGAAGGGTTGCTCTCTAACTTTTTATTGCGCCATGTTCTTGTGTTTTCCTTTCTCTTTTCTTTCGTTTTGCACTTTTCATCTGTAGTTGGCCGTCAGGGTCACCTTGAACCACCCCTTTCTCGCCCTCTTCTTTACCTACTTTGTGTCCAAGTAATAATTCAGCTTCCGAAGGGAGGTCTGAGAGCAGCTGTGCGACCTTGACTCTGTTTTTTTTCCATATTTCCAATCTTCCTTTTCTTTTTCCATTTCTTTGTATTCGTATGTTCTTATCCATCACAAACTCAAAAGTCGGTGGGAATAATTTCGTGGATTGACCGAGACGAGCACATTGGAGCCAATTGAAAGTAGGCCACACTTTTTTTTTCTCCATGCGCACATCCACCACAACAGATACGTTCGTTTCCTTCTACACATCTACAAGGACAGATAACAACCACGACGATGGATTATGAACGATGACCGATTCAGGGTACTTCAGAAGAAGCAGAAAGCAACGCGAGTATTGATCGTTGCGGATGCAAGAAATGGCTGTGAATGTTGAAAGAAGTGGAGAAGAGAGAAAGGAAATGTGTGTTTCGCGGGAATGTTTATATTTTGAAGGCTGACTTCATTTTCGATGGTTCATTTTGATGCTGCACGTGCTCTCGCTCGCGTCTTTCTTTTGCTTTCCCTATTAGCATCCGTCCTTATCCATATACTTCTACTCTTTCTTGATGAGGTATCGCCATGTAAACAAGGTAAAGAGGTGCGGATGAAATTATATTGCAATTTAAGCTTCCAGGGGACATCACCACTGGCCAATTTTGCACAGCATTGTTCAAACGAACGAAAAAAGAACAATGCTGTCCACGTCCTTCATCTCTCCTTTTTATTTTTTCTTATTTTTAGCGGGTGGTCGGCCGCCAGGAGGTAGAATGAACCAGCCCCGGTAGGTCGCACTCTGCTTCTTGACCTTCTTCGGTTTGGGCTGGTGTGACGTTGGTAGGTGCTCGTCCTCAAGGTTGTAATAATCTTCATCTCTCCAGATCTCCAGCATATACCCCGGTGAAGGAGGGATACGACCAGCATCGAATGAACCTCCCTTCTGCGACAACCTGAGTCCAGGTTTCGCCTTCAGGAAAAAGTTTAGAGGCACATTCCCTGGTCCCTTGACTCGCTTGGGCATCTTACCATAGGGCTCCATCAAATCCAGCAACTCCAACTTGGGCCAGACATCCAGCATGTGCTTCGCCTCAGCCTTCCCCAACGTCGCGTCAATCTCCGGGAATGAGACTCGGAATGAGGGTCCTCGGATCTGCCTCAGATTCTTCAATCTGCCCAACCAGGTCAGATACGCCCGGCGACCCCTAGCACCGTCGTGCAAAGCTAATAGTTGGGGGAACGTCACATATGTGCTGGCGACACTCTTCTTGGGAAGGGTGATGGCCTTAATATCCAAGACCTCGAGGCTCAACAGGTTCCCGATTTGGCGATAAAGTGTCTCCAGCTTGCCCCACCGGTCCATGTCCTTGGCTGACTCGAGTGCCACTGTCTGTTGAAGGTAATGAGGCTGGGTTGCCTCAAACTCGCCCCAACAGATGGTGAGGTCGAGATGACGAAGACCTGCGCACGCCCACTTTTGGGAAACCAAGGTGTCGATCTTGACCGAGAGAGTGATATCCTTGGGGACGACCTCAAACCGCTCCAAGGAAACACACCGCGATAGAATCTCAACCACCAACACGTCGTCAACTTGCTCACAATTGTAGAGTCGAATATCCCGCAGTGTCAAAGAGTGTCGTTGGATTGCCGTGTAGCCACTGTATCCGAGATTCGACCTGTAGCACTCAATGTAGAGGGTTTCGATAGGCGCAGTCATCGCCTCGATGAGAGGCATAAACTCTGCGGGTTGACAGTACGAGAGCTCCTGTCTGATGTGAATGTGGCGAATCTGGTGACAGAACTCCTGAATGGCTGGGGCAAGGGTGTTGAGGAAGCCGGTCCTACTCGACACAAAGAGGAACTCAACAGTGTCGATGTTTGGGCAGTGATCCATCATCCATTGGTACGAGGAAGAGTCTGAGTGATCCACAGGGAGAGACAGTTTCTTGAGGTGAAGAAGCGGATCCTGTCGTAATGTGAGCGCGCCGAGTAAACCATCGGTGTCTCCCACCCTGGGCACCAGCCTGAACTCGCTCTCCTTGATTGACGAGCCACTCCCTGGTTTTATCAGCAGAGTCTCGACCGACTCGGGCACGCTCAAAAAGATGGTCTCGAACGCGTCGCGCCAGCTTCCAGTGTCGGGGATATGGTCGATGTAAAGGTATTTGAGATGATGAAGCCCCGACAGAACGCGTGACAGGGATCGAACATCAATGGACCGCTCGGCGTGAATGTAATGTAGTGTCAGGTGGATCAGTCCAGGGTTGAGTTGGATCAGCCAGCATAACTGGGAAAAGACGTGAGCATCCGAGTACTTGTCGAGTCCCGCAGCCTCATGGATGTTTTCCTCAATTCGCTCGTTGTCGTATCCTGCCCTGATCTCAAGTTTTGTCAGTCGAGTGAGAGGAGGGAACTCGAAATCAAGATCGTTGAGGTCGCTAGCAGGTGGAACCCAGCAGGGTTGGACTGTGGATGGGGGCGTTTTGTTGTTGTTGATATTATTGGTATTACTGGAGGATCCTGTGACGTGGGTGTTGCTCATGAGGAGGACCAAAAAGGCCTTTCTGATTTTGAGGGACCGGACGAGGACGCCCTTGGTGGCAAGCTGTTCCCACTGCTGGACAAACTTTTTCATCTTGGTGACGCTCTCGAAGGTCGAGAAGTCAACGTCTCGCCAGAGTACGGGGGTGCAAACGCGGTAGAAGAAGCGGCTTGTCTTGCAGAGTCGTCCGAGGTCCTTCTTAGGCAAGCTTTGGCCATTGAGCCCGATGGCGAGGTGGTTTGCCACCATTGTTAGCAGGTCGGGTTGACTGAAGAAGCGATTCGATGCGCGCTCCATGGTGAGTTGAGTGAAGTGAGATGCAAGAGGAAAGGAAGGAGGGAGGAAAGAGGGGGTGATGACGTGAGGAAGACGGAGGAGTAGAAAAGAAGAAAGAGGGGAGGGAGGGATCAAAAAGAAGAGAAGAAACAGGGAAGAACCCGTGAAAAAAAACACAACAGAGGACAGGGAAAAAAAAGGCCGCTAAATGAGACCGGGGTCAGCTCACAACATCGATTATGATCAATTTAGAGTTTGAGTGATGCTCTTTGCCATGCAATTGATGAGAATACTAGTATTACAATAATACAAACTATCGCCTGCCGGATGGCAACCAGTCTGGTTTGTGGCTCCGTGCCCACTTCTCAACCCCAAGCTCGGACACATAGTCGCCCGTCAACGAACTCAGGTCCGCCATCGGATTCAGACCCTTCAGTACATTCAGACGAGGCAACTGCCGAGCCATCCACTCCAACTCACGCACCCCTAGCCGGTGCCATGTCATCCTCACATCAACCTCACGCAACTCCTTCAAACTCGCCAACTGGCCCAACCCACTCTCAAGCGTCCAATCAAGACAATCCGTCTGCAGCCCAGAGTTGAACGACGGCTCCCCTTGGTTAATGTCCAGCGGATAGATAACATGAGACCCTTCACGATACACACAACTCACATCCAGGACCTCCAGACAGACAAGTCTCCCTAGTTGTTGGTACACCTGCCGCTGGATATCCTCCCTCCTCAAGAAACAACCGCCACCGGTCTTTCTATCCGCTGCAGACAACACTTGACCGTGCTCGTCCATCTTAAGGTCAGGTCGCGGAATCCCGTAGATCTGAACACAGAGCGTCGTCAGCCATTGACACGCCCACGGTTTCGACACCATGTCACGAGCAACCAACCTTGGTGAACGGGTCGAGCTGAACTCTCGGAGCGCACTGGTCTGGGATAAAATCAATTGGACATCTGTGCTCTCCATGGTTGACGCATTCTTGATCCGCAGAGTGACCAAGCCCTTCTGGCATGTTCTCCCGATCGCCTCCGCTGTCGCCTTCATTCTGGACGAGCAGTCGCGCTGGATGTTGATCTTGTTCCAGACCTCCCTGAAACTGTTCCCTGTGATACTCGAAAGTGCCGTCGAGATGGTGTGTGCAATGTCCCCATCCGTCTCCCACTCGCCTTCCTCGCTTGCAACAACTGTCAGATCCTTGAGATGATACCCCACTGCCTCCTCCAGCGCAGTCTGGACCAACTTGTATCCGGTGATGGGCCTCGCCGTGATCCTGTCAGGGGTAGGGTTGTCAAAGACCTCCAAGTTCGGGCAGCCTCTCAAGAATACCGGCAAAACCCTGTCCTGATCGCCCTCCATGCCTCGGAGTGAAAGGATCCTTAGGTGCTTGTGTTGTTTAGCGGCTCCCAACCCAAAGTATCGCTCAAAGTCCAGGTAGTCTGCTTCATCGTGCGCATAGTTTTCAATGTCCTCCTTCAAATGGCCGTTCTCTTGAGTGCCCTCGCTCCAAAAGGTGTGCGCGCCCAAGGCAAAGTACTCCAGCTCGGAGGAGAGGTTGTCGAAAAAGGCTTTCAAGAGTCGGAATCCGATGCGGGGGTAATGGTCTGGTCGAAAAGACTGGTCCGAGTACGAGATGTGAAAGAGCGAAAGTGACCTGAGACGAGTGAGGTACTTGTCGATGGCAAAGAAGAGTTGCCCTGGGTGTCGACAAATGCTGCCAATGTAGAGGTGCTGGAGTGAGGAGCTGCGTTTGATAAGGCTGATGATGTGCCTTGTATGGTCGTCGGTGAGAAAGTTGACTCTTGGAGGGATGGTCAGTTCGAGACGCGTCAAGTGGAGGTCCGGGATTACGTCAAGGTCTTGAAAGGGGATTAGCGTGTAAGGGAAGAGGGTCCGAAGGGTGCGGATATGGTGTCCTTGACGGGACAATGATCGAAGGGCACGCACTGAACAAAACCACTTGTATTGAAACTCGCCCGTTATATCGAGTGCCCTCCAAAGGATAGGAGTACACGATTGGTTCCAGTCCTTGTTGACACGGATAAGACGAGCGAGGTCGTGTAACTGGAGAAACTCGGCAACGGCCGTCTGGATCTCCTGTGGCAGCATGGTGGAAGAGGAGGAATGGCGGTTGAAATGACTTTCTGGTGATGTAGTGATGGTGGGTGTTGACGTTAGTGAGGAATGAGTGAGTGAGGAAAAACGAAAAGGAGCAAGAGTGGTTGGGCAACAAGACAAAAGTATCAACGCGGGGGTGGCCATGGTAAATCAAAATTAACGACGAATCCCCTTCACGTACGCCGACCAAGCACACACGTACACGTATCACTCATTCCCTCATGCATCAATCCTTTTCTAAGGAGTGAGAAGGAAGGAGGAGTTGTTTTATTCTTGCCTGCCTGTGCTCCCCTTTGTATTCTCCTTTCTCATGGCCCAACCATCCATGCCGGTCAACCAAACTTGTGGCAATGTATGCAGTAGAGCCGCGTTGCGTAACTATTGAAATAAGGCTAGATGTCCGCCACCAACTTAAAAAGTAATTGGCGTCGGTTCATAAATCCAGGTACGATCAATTGGCCAAACCACAAATCAAACATGTCTCATCAATAGCTTAACGCGATCAGAGTGATCCTGCATGCAGTTGGCCTTGGCGAAGGAGGAAGAGGAAGGCAGGTCATGCAAGAAAGGACAGGCTGTCTTGTCTCTTCTGACAACCTCAGTACAGCCATGAGATGTCAGGCAAACATGGAAGAGAGGGACAGAAGGAGAGGTTGAAGTGGATGGGTTAGAAAGAGGAAAAATAATACAGCCTACACAGACAATAAAAAAGGAGAACAAAAAAAAGTAGGGCTTTTGTGTTTTCATTCTTGCCGACAACCCTATTTATCTGGGAAAGCAAAGTTGTCAAGGAAGAGGAAGGAAGGGAGAAGGAGAGTTGTCCGAGTAAGAAGGGTTTGCTCTGCGGTAATTGCATGTTATCGTTTTGTTGTTGTTTTGGCAGCAGAATCGGAGTGAAGGAGGAGTATTTTGGACACAGGGCAGGACAAAGAAAAGGGAACTAATGCAGGTCCACCATACAAGAATCATGCCTTCCCCCCCTCCTCTTGAAAAATAGGGGTGACCATCCCGCGAATCTTGTCCGTCCTGTCTGTGTGCAAGTGTTGTTTGTTTGCTTGTTTGTTTGATTTTCTGTGTATCATGCGTTTGTCCCGTTCGTCAGTCATTTTTTTTTGTATCTGTCAGCTGGTCTGTGCCCCTTTTTTCAAGTCTTTTTTTTATGGTCAGTTTTCTTGTATTTTGTCCGATCAGAGGAAGGAAGGCACAAACGAACAAACACAAACAATGGAGTAGCCCTATCCCTCTCCTCTCTCTTGTAGTGACCTGCATGTATCTGCTTTGGAGATGTAAACAGCACAAAAACAACAACAACAGTCGCGTCGGTGTCATGAACCATCTGATGATGAGAGAAGATGTTTTCTTTTTCTCTTCGGACTCTGAAGTAACATTTGTGCAAAGAGTACTCCAATATACACACAGTTGGTGAACAAGAACCTGACATGGCGTGTTCATGACGACTGGTGTCTTTAAAGACGGAAGAACCTATTATTATCCATTTCAGCCACGCGGAAATAGGGGGGTAGTGTATGTAAGTGCAGACGAGGCAAGGCAGTGATCACAAGCTGGGATCAGGCCTGACTTGTGGTGGGTGAGCTGAATCCCTTCGCCCTTCTGTCCACTTAGTCCCGACTGAGCTTGGACTGACTGGCGCGGGCGGACCAACAAACGGCCAGCAGCAGACAACATGCCTCCGCGCAATCGACAGCATGGACGATGATGATAATGTTGATGTTGTTGTTTGGTTGCGTTGTGCGTCTGGCGTTAATGACAACCGATGCAAGCTGTCAGTCCCTTTTGCATATTTGAAAATGCCCTACCCTGAATTGTATATTTCCTTCCTCCTTCCTTTCCTTTCCTTTCTTCTTCCTCCTCTTCCCCATCCTCCTTTTCTCCACGACCCCTCCTCCTCCCTGACTTTGCCTCTGTTGTGGATTGTAATGAACATCAAGTGTTAACCCCTCCATTCTTACTTAACGAACCCCTTCTTTTTTTTCTTTCACGATTCTTCACTATTGTCGTTTCGTATTCATCCCTTTTGCGCCACTTTTCTTTGTAACTTGCCTCTCTTGTCTCTCTTTCTCTCCTTCTTTCCTTTTCAAACTTTTTCTCTTTCTCTGTTTATATTTCTTCTCGGGGCACCTTCTCTCTTGTTCACCGACTATCTACCTCTTCCTCCTCCTTCTCCTCTTCCCCAACTTCCTCCTTGGACCTTGGATAGTCAACTTACATTCCTCCACATCAAGCACGGCTCTGTTCTCCATCCTTACCTCTCCCAACATTGCCACATCTTTTTCTTAACGACCTGAAAACACACCCCTTCAACTTCTCGTCTAACGCCATCAAGTCGTCTCCAACTCTTCTGTAACGTTTTTTTTCTTTTTTTTCTATCTCAACAACCTATTCTGTCCATTTCAGCCCCTCGTTCTCATTTTATCTATCCATTACCTTTTATTACGACCTTTTCTTTCCTCCAACCAACAATCTTCTCTTAACAACAACACTTTCAACGAAAGCAAAAATGTGGTGCAACAACTGCTGTCTTTGCTTCCCAGTCCGTGGCGGTGCGATGTGGCTCGCCGGTCTTGTGATTGTGGTCAATGCGATTGGAGGTATCTTGCTCTTTCTCTGGGGTCCTTACTTTTTCTCGTCAACCATGGCGATGATCTTTGCCGGCTTCTCAGTTATCCAAGCAATCACTGCCGGAGTCGCTTTCCTCGGCCTCTGCAACGTAAGAACTCTCTCCTTCAGTTGGTTTAGTGTCCTATGCTTTCTGCCTAGTCCCTCAATGTATGTTTCTGTAACACACATTTTTATCTAACCTTCTTCTCATTTGCCTTCCTCTCGCTCCCTCTTCCAACGACGACGATAGTGGTCGTATATGTTGACGAGGATGTTTGTGCTTGTCCAATGGCTGGTCGTTTTCCTCGGCATTGCTCGCATCGGAACGATGGCCTACCAACTTCAGGCAAACAAGGACTGGATCTCGTCCGAGTGCTGGGGAGCAGTCAACGACAAGGGGTATACACCCATGGGCACGGCAGCAGCCTTTTACTGCAATACACCCATCCCGACGTTCATCAAGCTGTTTATTGTTGGACTGGTGATCGACTTTGTGCTCAACTTGTACATGTACTTTGTCGTCTGGCGGTTCTATGTTCGTATGCGCCTCTATCCCTTCCAGAAGGGCATTGCTCGAACCTACGAACAGGGACTTTATGAGATCTAAGCCTAGCATGGTTCCATTCTCTTTCTCTTCGGTGTGTGTTTTTCTTTGGGTGTTTCTGAGTGAGGACATGCTCTTTTTCGTAATAATATCTTTTTCTTCTCTTTCTATATGGATTTATAAAATAAAAAAACAACTGTTGTCTGAATACCTCGATCCATCAAAGGGAGCATGTTGGTGTGCTCATGTTTTCGTGTTTTGGTGGCAACGTGTTCGTTCGAGGAACGAGAGAGCGCAACCCAGGTAAAAAAGTCACTTTTGAGGGACCGGATTGGCCCACGTTAACTTGCAGGCTCTTCTTCAAATTTGCTACATACACCAGCAAGATGGGCTTGGCCAATGCATAGCATATGTGCACATGTTGAGTTACTGTACGTAGGTGTCACACAACCCATGGATGGACCAGTCGGAAGCAAGCAAAGCATCCAAAGGGTCTCCCATCCCTTTCACCTCCCATCTCGCAGCCCAGCCGGGCAATGTCTACCTTATCGTACTCCTTAAACAAATTATTGCGCACGCACACTCCCTTCCCTTCCCCATTCCCCTCTTTCCTTCTTTCCACATTTTATCCCCCTCTCCCACTTCCTTTTCTCACAGCGCCTTTTATCATTCTTTCTCTTTCTCATTCACTCACCCATCGCCACTTCTCTCTCATCCCACCCCATCCTCCTCTTCAACACTCAAACTCATTCCCATGGCTGAACCCACCAAGCAGGAGATCCAGGACGTCTTCAAGAAGCTGTCTCTTCACCGCGCAAATAAGGTCCGCACTCCACCCTCTCTACACCTCAATAGTCACACACACTCCCACACACTTCTCACTATGAGAGCCTGTTCCCACACACACACACACACACACACACACACACGCACTCTACCCTTTTCACCCTGTTGACACCTGTATGGTTTAAAAAGAAAAGATGGTTTTTGCGCCCAGGGTCAAGCGATTTACTGAATGGGAAGAATTCAAACAGTGTCCATGGATCCATTCAGCTATTGGTTCAACGCATGGGAAAGACCTGGCTCGCCTTGAGAAACACACCCGATAAACTGACACTTTTTTTAACGCCCTCTCCATTGTGATATATTAGAACTGCTTTGACTGCCACGCAAGTATCGACAACAACTGCTGGACCAGCATTCCCTTTGGCATCTTTCTCTGCACAGACTGTGGCGCACTCCATCGTAGCTTTGGAACCCATGTCAGTTTTGTCCGGTAAAGCACCTTTCCCTTGGTCCTTCTTTGCCCTCCCTTTGTCGTTACGAGGCACCTTTGTTTCAGTCCAACGAGGAGGCCCAGGATATACATACTGAGATGGAGAAAAAGTGTGAGAGCGAGAGTGAGAGTAAGATGGCTAGCTACTGCCACTCCTTCTTCCTTTGTTTTCATAACCCTTTTTCTTTCACTGCCCCATAAATACATTGTTGAGCAAGGGGGATGAAAAAGAGGTGGCGATGAGAGGTCTATTGGCGATGCATAATAAGCGATTCTAGCCCTGGTCTCGTTTTCTGCTCGCCTGGTATGAGAAACTCTTTTTGTACAGAAAACAAACAACATACGGTGCGCAGACCTCTCCTGTGACAAGAATCTCACATCCAGGGTTTGGGGCTAGAGTGAGAAAAAGAAAGACACTTTACTAACCCGATCAATCGTAACAAAACCTATCATAGATCGACAGTGCTGGATAAATGGACCTGGGAACAGCTGCGGGCAATGACGGTCGGAGGCAATGCTGCCGCAAAGGAATATTTTAACAAATACCCAGGTTCGGATTCTAAGGATGCAAAGACAAAGTACTCCAGCAAGATCGGACTTGCCTACAAGGAGAAATTGTCCCAGAAAGTCAAGGATGACCTGATTGCGTAAGTTTTGCCCCTCCCTCTACTCGTTGATTTGAATGATATATGCATGGATCGATGGATCAAACCACAGTCAGTCATTGATTCAGGGTGCACTCATAAGTATAAGGGCTGACATTATTCTCATTTGCTTCCATTCTTGCAGTCACCCTGGTAGACAAGGTTTGGAGAACGAGGAGGCCAGCAAGTCCACGTTATCAACACCAGTGTCTGCGAACGTCCCAGAGGACGATTTTTTCAATACCTGGAACCAGCCCAAAAAGCCTACATCCTCAACCGTGACATCGCCACAGACTGCCGGACCACCCGTGGTTGGACTCGGATCTGCTGCCAACACCACTCGCACCAGTACGTCAACTTTAACGTCCAATCGACCAGTCAAATCAACCCTCACTTCTGCCAGAAAGACTGGCATGGCAGCAAAGCCCATGAAGCTGGGTGCTAAAAAGACAGGAACCATTAGTTTTGAGGAAGCAGAAGCACGTGCCAAGGCGGAGGCAGAGAGGATTGAGATATTGGGTTTCGAAGCTGCTGAGGAGGAGAGACTTCAAAAGTTGGCGGCTGAGAAGGCCAAGGCTGAGGCTGTGGCACAGGGAGGAGCTCAGGCTAACAAGGGTATGAACGCATCGGCTGCCCGCACCAACTACTACCAGGCCAACACTGCAGACAATACGCGTGTCTCTTCTGAGGATCTGGAGCGACTGGGTATGGGTATGGGTCGCATGGGTTTTGGAGCAGCGCCTGCAGCAAAGCCAGCAACAGCCCGGTCAGGATTCGGTAGCATGGGCAGCGGTTACTCTCCTCAAGTAGAAGGTACATGAGCGGTTTGTTTTGTGATCATGTTGCTCCATGGTTAATATGTGACCATTTCTGTTTGGATCACGCATGTTAACACACTGGCTCTGTCTTTGTGCGTTCACAACGCATTTTAATAGAGAACTCGACGGCGGCGCGGGAAAAGTTTGGCAGCCAAAAGGCAATATCGTCGGACCAGTACTTTGGGCGGAACAACTACGATGCTGACGCGCAAGCCGAGGCCAGCAACCGACTGCAGTCCTTCTCAGGGGCCACTAGTATCAGCAGCAACCAATACTTTGGCCGGCCCGAAGATTCACCTTCTCTCACCAGTGATGGTACTTGTCTTTGTTCTCTCGCTTGTTTGTTTTTGGGCTGGGTAGCGACATAAGAAAAGGTTGTTACAACTGTAATACTGACCCTCGACCGCCCCTTGCTTTTGTTTTCGATAGTGTCATTGTCGTCGTTGAGCAACATTTCTGGATCAGATTTGGCCAAGAAGTTGGGACAGGCTGATCTGGCCACTCTTAAGAACGCCGTACAAACTGGAGCCGGAAAGGTATATAGCAACTTGAGCTTTTAAAATGGTGAAAACGATTATATCTCCTCGCAACTCACACCCGTTCTCCTCTTTGTGACCATTGTCATAGTTGACGGATATTCTGCAAGACATGCAAGCTCGGTACAACTATTACTAAGATCATGCGCAGGAAGCAAGGTATAACCCATACGCCAACAACGACAATTAACCACAACCATCACCAGCTAGCAAAGACCTAGCAAGCAAAGCGGAATTCGCTTCATTGTTTTTTCGCGTTTCAGAATAAAGCGCGCGGTTTTCCCCCATTATCCCAGGAGCCCAACTCATCATTTCACATTTCGCATTTCGCATTTCAATTTTTTTTTGTTTTGTTATTTGAGTGCCTTCATTCCCGTTCTTTTATTAATTCCTTCGCACGCGCAAGTTCAGATTCTAACCGGACTATCCGCAAAGCCTGGGCCTCCTTGACCACTTGCCACTGCCTCTGCTCAGCCTCGAGCACAGCAACACGTATCTGAAGAGCCTTATTGGCGGATTCGAGTTCAGTGGCTCGGAGACGTTCTTGTTCGAGGATCATGACCTTCTTTGCGCGGGATCGACGCGCGGCCAAGGTGTTCTTAAATCGTTTTTTGGTCAGTTCTTCCTCGATTTCTTCTGTAGGCGTGTGTGGCGTTCCTGTGGTGTTGGTAATGGATACGCCGTTGAGCATAGAAGACGAGGTAGGAGGTGGGGTCTCTTGTTCGGGAGTCGGGGTTGCCGTTGTTGTGGTTGTGGATGTGCGACGACGTTCGGCTGTTGTTTGGGCTTGGGCAACAGAGGAAGGGGTTGGTGGTGGTGGATGGGTCGAAGAGGTCGATTTTGGTGAGGGCGTTGTAAAAGGAGGAGGGGCTGGGTAAGGAGAAAGTGTGGTCTTGGTCAAGGACGGCGAAGACGACGCGACGCGCTTCAATGCCGGCGTGGTGGTAGCAACACTGCTAGGTGGCGGCAACTTGGCTCCGCTGGTTGAGGTGATAGTATACGACACGCTCGTCGAATGTTCCGTCTTTGAGTAAGAATGTGTCGTCCCGTTTTTGACTGTACCATTGCTGTTGGGGGGTCCAGTCCTGCCTCCTGCTCCTGCTGGACTGCTGCTACTTGTAATACCAAGCCCGTCACCGTTGACAGGGTGATGGTGATGATGACTTGATGATTGGGAGGCGGGCCTGGGGCGACTGCCTTCATGAGGTGTTAGAGGCGAAGACGCGGGTCGTGCAGCACCCTCAGAAGGGTTCCAGGCAGAATGGTGTCGTTTCCGGGGAGGCATCGCTTCGTCAAAGGAAGGTGACCGACGTCTCTCGTAATGAGCCGGCGGCAGCGGCGGCGATGACGGTCTCGATGTCGATGGAAAACGCGTCTGTTGAGCACCAAATTTATCCGTGGGTGATGATGACAAAGACGACGGCCGATGATGTTGTTGCGCCGCGCTAGAACTCTGGGCATAGGTCCAGTGGTGGTCAGCATGATCACGGTGGTCTCGGGGGTCCCGATAGTCTCGATGATGGCGGTGGTGGTCGTCCTGAGGAGAAGAGGGGTGGTGGTGGGGTTGGTCCCAATGTTCCCGATGATCCCGATCGTCCTCGTGATAGCGAGGGTTCTGGTGTTGTTGCTGACGTTGTTGATGATGATGAGGGTGACCAAAGTACTCGGGAGAGGATCGCACGCTGCTACTGCCGCGTCCTGCTGCCAAATGATGTTGCTGGTGCTGCTGGTGCTGATGTTGGTGGTGAGGAGAGTAATGCTCCAAAGGGGTAGTCGGTCGCTCTGACCCCCGCCTCTCGTGTTGTGGTAATGGCGACAACAACGGCGGCTGCGGTGACGGTAGGGATAACGGCAGTGACGTGGACGACGGGTGCTGCTGCTGACGCTCTCTGTTTCGCTCCTGGTCTCGCTGCTGCTGCAGCTTGTTGTCCTCGTGCTCTTCTCTCTGCTGGTCAGCCAGGGCAATCAAGATGCTTGCCGCTAATGACCGCTCTTTCTGAGACAAGTCTGCTGAATATGGAGGGAGCTGCATGCCACTATTGCTGTTATTGTTATTCCCGGATGAAGCTGCTGTTGGTGGTGGTTTAGAGAACGGTGGCACCTGAGCCGACGATGACGGCAGTGGTGGAAGGGCTGGCGACGACGGAGAAGCCATATTAGAAGGGGACGATGTCGGTGCGGTCGAGGATTGTCTCGAAAGTCGAGGTGTTACTAAAGAACCAGAACCACCGGGTGTTGAGTGTGGTGTGCGATATGAAGAATGCGGCTCAATTGACGACGGCTGGGATGATAACGAGGACGAGACGGCCCAGTCTGACGAATCCTGGTCGGAAGAATGGTCTGTTGTAGTGTTTTTAGGTCCTCCTGCTGCTGGGTAGCGTCGGTGGTGAGAATAAAAATAACTGGGATCGTCGCGTTGGTAATAGTTATCCTGAGACTGGGAATGAATGGACGACGAGGAAGAGGACGACGTGTAAAGGCTTGGTCTTCTTGGGGGGTCGGGAAAAGTGGAGGAGGGGTGTTGTTTGCTTGACTCGAAGGAGAGACGATGGTGGCGGTCTAATTGGTCTTCTTCTTGTTTGACTAGGGGATGGTGACGATAATGGTGGGACGAGGACGATAACGCTGATGGTGGCGACCGAGAGGGCGATGGGATATCAAAGTTGGCAGTTGCTGCAGCACTCGTTGCAGTTTTTGCTATCCTGAGCTTCGAAGGAGAAGTAGCTTCGGATGAATAGTGCGTTGCTGCTGTTATTGTTGTTGTTGTTATTGTACCGGCGGAAGTTTTGGAGGATGGTGTCGGAGATGGTGAAGGTGACGCCCTGGGGTGACTCATCTGTTGAGTGGTGCCTGGGTTTTCTTGTGTTCCAGGAGAGGAGGAGGTGGAAGAGGAGGGAGGAGGGTAAGGGGGAAAAAAGATGGAGAACTCCTGAACCTCGTGTTGCAGTTGAAGTGTTGGTGTTATCCCGAGGTGTGATGACGGCCTGATGGCATCAGGCTCAGTTCCTGCGAGTAGGAAAGAGATGAAGAGAAAGAGGGGTGTCTGGTCGGATCGGGGATCCCGGAATGGCAGTTGGAGAGAAAGGAGAAGAAAAGAGAAAGAAAAAAAAAAAAAAAAAAAAGAGTTGGCTCACACAGGCGTAGATAAGGAACGTGTGATGTGATGTAACCGATTAAGGGTTTCATTTTCATTCAATTTGCACGTTCCTGCTCAACAATGGCAAAAAGGCGAAACGACTCGTTGCCCTTGTTCGCTTCTCACGTCCTCACTTGTCAACTTGTCAACTTGTCAACTTGTCAACACACACACAGGACATGGCACAACCGACTCATCAGGAACAGGAACAGGAACAGGAGGAACAATCCACACTCAGGATCGCTGTCGTCGGTATGGCTCAACAGACTAGACAGTTGCAAAGGAATCTCAATGCGAAGACACGTTTCTCCATCAACACTGCCACTGAAAAGGCATGCCTCTAATACTCTATTACGCTTCGTCACAAAAACATATATTCTAGGCGGCCCTCAGTATGACAGATTGTACAGCAGGCTGGCGACCTTTGAGGCAAAGACTGGGATCCATGTCGAGATTGTTTACAAGGGCTCGCATCCCGAATTGAACGACTATATCGCCACTGCCTTCCCTCCTGCCGACAACAACAACAACAACACTAGTACCTACAAAACACCAGAGCTGGATCTGATATCGACACATATCAAATACGCGCCCTCGCAGGCCCACTACCTCCAGGAACTCGATTCTTTGTCCGTCTCCCAGGAAGATCAGGACAAGTTCTTGGACTCGGCATTGGAGGCGTGCAAGATCCAGGGGAAACTGATGCAACTGCCACGGATGGTCGATAGTAGGGTCTTGTTCTACAGAGCGGATGTCCTGGAGAAACTTGGACTGGATCCGGCCCAGACTTGGCAGGATCTTGCAAAGTGTGCCAGCATCATTGGCCAGGCATTCCTGCCTGTGGGGACCAGTGGTCAACATTCGCCGGAGGAAAAGGATTCAAGGGTGGCCAAGGTAGAGGTAATGCAGGGGTATGTGTTTCCGGGAAAACTGTCAGGGCTATTTGGGACGTTTTACGAGCTCGCCATGATGGAGATGCGTCACCCCGAGGCCCTCTTTGACAAGGAAAATCGACCAGTGTTTGAGGAATCGACTGTGGTGCCTGTGCTCCGTTATATGCGCGACTTGGTCGAAACGGGGGCTGTACCTGCCGACATTGACCACTACTACTTTGATCAAGTTTCGAGCATGTTTGCAGAAGGAAAAGTGGCGATTGTGGCAGATTGGCCTTCTTTCTACAAAGACATGAAACAACGACTGAAGAAAGTTCCAGGAGCCAAGGTCAAGGTGATGCGGTATCCCGTGGGAGCGAATGGATCACGATCGGCATACTCTGGAATGCATTCGTTTGCGATCCCCAAGAGCTGTCGGTATCCTCAAGAAGCGCTTCGACTGCTCAAGTTTCTGGTAGACGATGAGCAACAGTGGCTGGAGGCGACAGAGTCCGGCAGTTTTCCGACCAAGAAGGCGGTGCTCCAGAGGCTGGTTGATAGGACCGAAGAAGTGGCGGCGGCGGCAGTGAAGAAGGGTAGCAGTGACGACGAGGCGCAATTGGACAGCGAGCGGCTGGGTTGTTTACGAGCCACTGTCGAAGAGGATATGGCCATGTTCCCTCACCTGTTGACGTACCCGGAGCTGGAGGATGCATTGTACCCCATGATCCAGGATGCTATGATGGGTCGTCTGTCGCCTGAGGAAGCAGCTCGCCAGATGAAGTCAAGAGCTTTGCGACCTTTTTGAGTAAGACGGCATAGGAGAAAAAAAATAAAGTTGTCTTTATGTTTTATTCACGGTTGAAATTTGAATACTTTCTTTGTGTGTGAGCAAGCGACATGAGATGAAGCTGTATCATTTTGGGATGGCCTGTCAAAACGGGGCGCATGGTCTTGTTTTTTTTTTCTTTCTTTGTTTCGCAAAGAGGGGGGGGGGAGAATGGTCCTTGTGACGGAAGGACGGACGGACAGGCTGGCGTAATGGAAAAGAATGCACAAAAAATAGACGTGCGTGTAGTATGCAACGAGCAATACACAACCCAAAAAAAAATGGATAAAATAAAAACAGACGAGGGGGATATCCTATCCGTCCGTTCATGTACGCCTAAAAGAGTATAGTTTAGAAGTATGAGAAGATTGACCCGGCCAGCATGCTCCTGATCCCCATGTCGCCCCTCGTAAAATTTTGCTTCAATTGAGATTGGAATTAATTATTGCATGTGTGGAAAAATATATCATCGGGGACCTCGGAAGAATATTCATGTTGTTGACAAAAAGTGAAAAGGCTCGACTGTTCGAGAGGCTGGAAGACCCTGATCGTCAAGATGACGATCATGACGGGGGTTCAGAATGTCATTGTTTTGAGTCAGCGAAGGGCCTATCGACGCTCATCAAGGCGCAAAATACAAAGAGTTGAAAGGTGAACGGCGTGGCCTTGTGTGTGTGTGTGTGTGTGTGACGAAAAGAAAGACACACGCGACGGACCTGACTGGCGGAGAGGAGGAGAACCTAATAATAAAGAAGAAAATAAAAATAGGAACTCGGTTTTATTTTCAGACAACCTACTACGCATACGGTTGTACAAGGGAAAAAAATAAAGAAAAAAAAAGTTGATCCAGATTCAAAAGACAGACTGGATAAACGCGTTTGACCAGCCAGGAGGTTTGCTTAGAAAAGAGAAAGGGTATTGAGGGAAGAGCTGGGCGTCGTTGTTGATGCCATTATTGCTGTTTGTTCAACTTTGTTGTGTGTATGTGATTGCCAAGTCATGGTGTTCGTGTGGCAGGGTGTGTGAATAAGAAAGAGAGGAGTGTACGCCCTCGCCCTTTTAGTTGTTCGTGAGATGTGCATGGTAAGTGTAGTTCCGAGAGAAGGATGAGAGGGAGAGACTAGACGAGACGAGACGAGGCGAGACGTGGAAGAGAGTGATGAAGGGTGAGACAATTGGGATCTAGTCAGGCACACCGTATCAGTCCATTTGGCAGTTAAATCAACACTGATAGAGTGTTGGGAGAGACGTGAATGAGCGACTGATGGTGCCTGGCAGTCCTATTGATCACTTCCTCAACCATTATTGGCCTACGAAGAAACGGGTGTGCCCCATGGGACATGGGTTGATGACCATGGGTGGGTGTGAACTCCCTCTCTTGTTATTTCCTTCTTTCTGCAAGCCTTTATTCTTTCTTTCTTTCTTTCTTTCTTTCTTTCTTTCTTCTTGTTTGTTTGATTGTTTCCCACTCTACCCAACTACTCGCCCCTTCTTCTTGTTCTTCTTCTCCTCTTTCTCATTCGCCCTCTCATTCACAAGTGCCATTTCATTCAACAAGGAACAACAACAAAAAAAAAAAAAAAAAAAAAGAGAAACGAATCATCTTTGTCTGCATCTGTCCCGACCTTATAGTTCTTTTCCGGGACCCCGTTCCAATATTCCCGTATCCTGTGTACTCTTGTATCGCTTTTCGAATGAGATTGCCATCTTCTCCTTAAAAAAAGAAAGATACTCACAGCAGGCGCACTAGAAAGAGAAAAGGTAGGTACGCCACCTCTTGGTCGACCTGGTTGTTGTTGTTGCTGTCTATCGTCCTTGTCGGACCCTTTACGTTGTGCCACAGCTAAAGAAGAAAACACCTCTTCCTCCTTTGTTGTAGATTTTTCTATTTTTCATCTCCTCCTCGCTCTCTTTTCTTTCTCTTTTCTTGTCCCTTCAACCTCTTCTCTTCTTCTTCTTCTTTGTCTCGCTTTCTATCCTCACCCAATACCATCCTCTTTCCCCCTCCTCTTCTCTTCTCCCCCTCTCTTTTGCATTCAACAACACTCTCTGGCATACACTCATTCCTCCCTTCCTAACATACCCCTCCCTCTCTCTCTCGCACACATTTGCATTTCACGTCTCCCCCTTCATTCCATCCTCCGGCTGATCTGATCTACTTTCCTGATCACACAATCACATAAACAAATAACATCGCCAGTGGAGAGCTAAAAATATAATGTTGCCTGTTCAAGACTTGGTCGCACTGGCCAGGCACGACAACAAGAACGATGAGCCCCCAACCCAAGAGTCCATCTTCAACGTCCTCACAAGGCGCCACCAGCTCGGCCTCCCTTACACCCGCGCCGGAACATCGACTCTCCTGGTCGTGAACCCCAACCAGCCCCTGAACATCTATACCGAAGCCAACGGCCAGCTCTACATCGACCACCATGCCGCTAATAATAATAACAACAGCAATAAGCCGACCTCCCCGACCTCAGCAACCTCCACCTCTCTCGAGCCTCATGTCTTTGAGCTCGCAAGTACCATGTATTACCACATGCGGCGGACAGAGCAGGACCAAGGGGTGATCCTCAGGTATATATCATACACAACGCAACAAACCACCTGCCCTGCCCTTCCTTCACCTTGCCTTAGTTCTTTTTATGTGCCCGTTTTTGCTGAATGGTGTTCCATTTTGTTATGCAGCCTGATCCGTTGAGGAGACAATGAGGCGAGAGTGTGTATTTTGTCCCATGTTTTTTGCTTTGGGCTACGCTGTGCCCTGTGAACTTCCGTCCCCTTTCCTCTTCCTTCTCCTCCCCTCCTCGCCGACATCCCCACCCTGACCCCGACTGTCACCTTGACTTTGACTTCGACTTTATTCACCCTCCGTCTATCTTTATCTCGATCAATGCCCCTTCTTCCTCCTCCTCCTCCTGCTCCTCATCCAATGACCCACCCGCCCGTCCCCCACTGTCCACTCGGGCCCTTTCCTCAACTCCCTCACTCCCTTGCACATATTTTTTCCACTTTGTTTTGTCTGACTGACCTGTGTTGTCGGTTCCCCGTTCCTTTGTCCGTCCCTCTCGTTCTTCTCTAAACATGATCATTGAACCATTCGACCGTGTTTGGCCCCATGCTCTATAAATTGACGGTTGCATGAAAGAGAAAGAGATAGAGATAGAGAGAGCAAGCTGCACAGACGAACCACACCAAATAACAGGAACAACAAGAACAGCCTAGTTCCGTGTTCCGGTGTTCCCCTCTTCCTTCTTTCTATTGTCTTTGTTTCATCGTTTCATATACGTTGGCCATCGTATCATTTCTTTTTCTTTTTTCCCAATGTTGTTGTTGTTGACTGATTTGCTGTCCATGATTGTTTTCAACTTTAAATTGAAATGAATCAACCATCATCTCCAATCCGCCCCTGAGACGGACGCAAACATGGCCGACCTGGGTCCCAATCTCACCTCCGCCTCTTTTCCTTCTTTTTTTTTCTTTCTTTCTTTAGTGGTCTTGCAGGATCGGGCAAGACGACTTCCCAACGCCACCTTGTCAATCAGCTGATCCGCCTTGGTACTAAGCCTGGCCATGACTCCAAGATCGCCACTCAGATCAGAGCCTCCGCCGACGTCCTCGAAGCCTTTGGCAGCTGTCCCTCCGAGCACGGCCTCAATGCATCATCACACTCCCTCTACCTCGAGCTCCAATACAAGGCCCGGGGACGCCTCTTTGGCGCAAAACTCCTTCCTTTCATGCTGAACCAGGAGAAAGTCACCAACGCCCAGAGTGGATCATACCAGGTGTTTTACTCAATGATTAAGAACGCCTCAAACGAGGACCGGAGGCGACTTCGACTTGGCAACAACATCATGGAATTCCCTTACCTGCCCTACCACACACACCTGGAACGCTCGGATAGCCATCGGGATCTCACACCAGCCCTCTCGGCCTTGGGTTTCAAGCCCAAATCGATCTCGCAGATCTGGGAGCTCTTGGCGGCTATTTTGCACCTGGGCAGGATTGACTTCGTAGATGCCACCCAGGACCCGACCCTCATGGCGACAATCCCCAGACAGAGGCATGTCTTTGACCTGGTTGCTGACCTCCTTGGAGTGGAAGAAGGTAAATAATACGGCGATGAAAGGATGGAAACGGAAACCAAAAGGGCTACATCAAACGCATGTTGCTAATTTTCTTGCTTGTTGCGTCCATGCGTATTTTTCTCCACATCCACATACACAAACAGACGCTCTACAACAGGCATTGTCGTACAAGCGTAAGATGATTTCAGGAGACATGTGTACAGTCATCTTGGACTCGGCATCGGCCAAGGGGCAGTGCGACAGTCTTGCCCGCAGCTTGTACAGCCTCTTATTCACCTACATTGTCGAAACCATGAACAAGCAGATGTGCAGGAGACAGGAGGAGCAGGTCTCGTTCATCGGTATCCTCGACATGCCCGGATTTGACAGCCATTCACCCACTGGATTCGAAAACTTTTGCACCAACTTTTGCAATGAGGCGCTCCAGGGATTCGTGCACCAGAAACTCTTTAGCGAGGATGTTCAGACAATGGCAGCGGATGGTCTTCAGGTCGTCGAGCCCCTTTTGAATGAGCGCAACCAGTCAACAGTTGACCTTCTCTGTGGCTTGGACACCTTGACGGACGCTTCCCCCAGAGGATTGGTTCGCTTCCTTCATGATTCAACTCTGATGGCCAGCAAGCAGTCGGGCGATGCCGAGTCGAGCTCTATGCTCCCAGGAATGAACCGTAATTTCCATTCAAACACCTCGTTCATCAGTGGATCGACTTATGCCTCGTCCTTTGGCATTCGTCACTACGCCGGTGATGTCCACTACAATCTCGAGAACTTTTTTGTCAAGAACCAGGACATCCTCTCGCCCGACTTTATTTCTCTGTTCCAGAACTCGAGCAGCCCCTTCATGGTGCAGATTCTGGAGTCTAACCCTGCCTTGGTGACGGAGAGCCACCCCCGTTCCAAGGAGACCATTGTCAAGGCCCAGCTGTCGACGATCCCTCTTCGTCAGCCCAGCATGCGTAGAGGCAAGCAGACCCAAGTCCAGGCCAGGAGGAAGGGCAAGAACCACACCACTGTCTCGACCGTTATCAAGCAGTTGCACTCGACTCTTCGCGACATTTGTACCTCTTTGGATGGATCTCAGCTTTACCAGATTATCCACTTGCGTCCCAACAACAGGATGACCGATGGTCTTTTAGAGTGCGATACCGTCTTGATTCGCTCGCAGATCGAATCCTACCAGCTGGGCGCCCTCATTCAGTCCAAGCTCCGTGCAGAGTACTGTGTGTCGTACGATCACGCCGGTTTCTTGCAGAGATACAAAGTCTTGTTTGAGCGCCGCGGAGTTACCTTTGACCGCTCAGGCTCGAACCTGGACCAGTGCAAGGCCGCAGCGCAGGCTCTTGGATGGGAATCTCCTAAGGATGGTGCCATTGGACGGGAGTATGTCTGGATTTCGTTCGCCGCTTATAAGTCTCTTGAGGATGGCTGTATGGATATCGAGAAGGTGGAAGGCAAAGGGCTGGCTTTTGAGGCGGATGCCGACGAGCAGCGTGAGTTTTCCAACTTTATTTCGCCCGGCGCTATTCCTCAGCTGCCTACACCTGCGGCCATGGCCCTCGATACGCAGTCTCCTTACCGACCCCGAGCAGAGTCGGACGCCTCGGCCAACTCGGAGAGCTACCCTACTGCTGAGTCTACCAGATTCTTGTCAGACAACCAAAACCAAATCAGGTTCCAGCACCGTGTTCAAGAACCCGAGTCGCCCGTGTCTGAGAACAGGACCATCGGCACCCCTGGAACTGAGAGCGACAGGTATGTATAATATTGTCATCTATTTGACTCCTTTTCTTGCCAAGGGCATTTTAAACAAGCAAAACTAACGAACCATAACCCTCTCTTAATACCCGACATAGGCAACTGATTTTCCAGAACTACGACACGGGCAGCGCCGAGATCAAGCGCAAGCCCACTTTGGCGTTGAACAGGACCAAGGCCGACGAGTCCATCCAGCCTCCCAAGGCCAGGACCAAGACCCGTCGTGCATGGGTCGCCTTTGTGTGGATGAACACCTGGTGGATCCCTTCGTTCACGCTCTCCCTCTGCGGTCGCATGAAGCGGCCCGATGTTCAGATGGCCTGGCGTGAGAAGGTGACGCTCTGCTTGATCGTCTTTTGGATGTCGGCGATCGTCATCTTTTTCATTATCGGTCTCCCCAAGGTCATCTGCCCTACCTTCAACGAGATGTACACTCCCGAGTCGATCAGCTTCCACACCGACCCCGCCGACTTGTGGGTCTCGATCCGCGGTATCGTCTACGACATCTCCAAGTTTGCCAGGAACGACCACTCGGGATCGAATGCTGCAACCTACCCCTCGCCCTATTCGTACGTCAGCGAAAGCGGTGGCTTGGATCTGACGTCCCAGTTCCCTGTCGACCTGCGCTGGGCTTGCCCCGGCTTGGTGACGGACCCCATCCTTATCCTCCCCGTGGATCCCTACCAGGCACAGCACATGCCTACTCACGGACCCTCGCCTCGCAATCTCGAAAACTTCCCTTGGTACCAGTCAACAACCTGGTATGCCGACACTGCCTTACCCAAGCTGGCGCCAATGAAGAAAGGCATGGTTGCCATTCCTCCCAACGTCTTTGGAAATCAGTCGGGGCCTTACATCTGGGCCAAGATCGACGACAAGATTTACGACCTGACTGTTTACATCGCGAACACCGGCGGCAGTTTCAGTAAGGATCCTTCCTTCAAGGCCTTTATCAGTACGGATGTCATTGATCTTTTCCAGAACAACTATGGCACGGACATCACCAAGGCGTTCAAGAAGCTGGACAAGCAGGTTCAGTCGGACACTTTGACCTGCCTTAACAACGCCTTCTATGTCGGTGTCCTGGATGAGCGCGACTCGGCCAAGTGTCAGTTTGGAAACTGGATTCTTCTCGGAGCGTCGGTTTTGATGGGAGGAGTTGTCCTGATCAAGTTCTTAGCCGCCCTGCAGCTGACGTCGAAGCGTGAGCCCATCCACTATGACAAGTTTGTCATCTGCCAAGTCCCCTGTTACACCGAGGGTGAGGAATCGCTCCAGAAAACGCTTCGATCCCTGGCTGCGCTGGAATACGACGACAAGCGCAAGCTGCTGCTGGTTATTGCCGACGGAATGATTGTTGGATCCGGAAACGAGCTGCCTACGCCCAAGATTGTGCTGGATATCCTTGGATGGCAGCCCACCGAGGGTGTCGAGGTCGAGCCTGTCACTTATAAGGCGTTGGGTATCGGAGGACAACAATTGAACTGCTGCAAGGTCTACTCGGGTCTGTACGAGTTTGAGGGCCACATGGTTCCTTATCTGGTTGTTGCCAAGGTCGGCATGCCCAACGAGACGGCCAAGCCTGGAAACCGCGGCAAACGTGACTCTCAGTTGATCTTGATGAACTTTTTGAACAGCATTCATACTGGCAAGAAGATGTGCCCCCTCGAGCTCGAGATGTATCACCATATGAAGAACATCATTGGTGTCCACCCTAACCTCTACGAGGTAAGTCCTCTTTCTTTGACCATTTCTTGGATGCATGGCAGCAGGATTGCATGGAATGCTAATTATTGTTTTCTTTTTTCTTGAATAATAGTACATTTTGCAAGTCGATGCTGATACGGAGGTCATGCCCGATTCCCTTAACCGCCTTGTTGCTTGCATGGTTGCCGATTCCAAGGTCATTGGTCTCTGTGGAGAGACCATGGTTGCCAACGAGGACCGCTCCTTCACGACAATGATCCAAGTCTACGAATACTACATCTCTCACCATCTTGCCAAGTCGTTCGAGTCTCTCTTTGGAAGTGTCACCTGTCTGCCAGGTTGTTTCTCGATGTACCGTATCCTGAGTGTCGGTGGCAAGCCCTTGATCGTCGCCAACAACATCCTGAGAGATTACAGCCATAACGACGTCGACACCCTCCACAAGCGCAACTTGCTCTCCCTCGGTGAGGATCGTTACCTGACCACGCTGATGATGAAGTACTTTCCCGGCTACAAACTTAAGTTCACACCCGATGCCACCTGTAAGACTGTCGCACCCGACAAGTGGCGAGTCCTGCTGTCGCAGCGTCGTCGTTGGATCAACTCGACGATTCACAACCTGGGAGAACTTATGGTTCTGTCGGAGCTCTGCGGTTTCTGCTGTTTCTCGATGCGGTTCATTGTCTTGATCGATCTTCTCGGAACGTTGATCTTGCCGGCGTCGTTTGTCTACCTCGTCTACCTGATCATCATTGTCGCCACCAAGGCCTCACCTCTGCCCATCGTTGCCGTTGCCATGTTGGCTGCTGTCTATGGTCTCCAGGCATTGATCTTTATCCTCAAAGGCGCCTGGCAGCATATCGGATGGATGATTATCTATATCATTGCCATGCCATTCTTCTCGGTCTTTATCCCCCTGTACTCATTCTGGCACTTTGACGACTTCTCGTGGGGTAACACCCGTCAAGTTGTTGGTGCGGACGGAAAGAAGACCGTCATGGTTGCTGAAGCCCAGACCCGATTCGATCCCAATTCGATCCCGCTCAAGAGTCTTGAGGCGTTTGAGGCCGAGAGGATGATGCAGTTGGAGGGAAGCGGATACTATAACCCTCACCATGAAGGGTCAGTCATTGCCAGCAGCTACCAGGATGATCATGGATCGGTCATCATGCCCCCCTCACGCTACGACCACTCGGGAATGTTGGGCGGCGGTTTGCAGTCGAACCAGTACACCAAGTTGGATTCTTATTATGGACGGTCTCCCTCACCCTACTTTGACAACGACGGCGCCAAGAGTGTGATTTCTGGTATGGGCGGTGAGGATGTTGTTCACGACTACTACCGCGATTCGAACGCCATCAACTTGAACCAGGCTGGACGACACTCTAGAGTTCCTTCTCAGATCCCTACTGGATACATCCCTGGCTCGACTGGTGGTCGTGCCAGCTCCGTTTCGCCTTCCCCCGCACAGTTCTACAACGAGCAGATGCAACAGCAGCAGCAGCAGCACATGGGAGGAGGACCATTTGCCAACCCTCAGGGAATGTATATGCCCAACAACAGCAACCTTATGCAGAACACTGGACCCCGTGGCTCGATGATGTCTGTCCGATCACCCGGAGATATGATTGAGATGAACCAGTTCGGGAACCCTGTCGGACTCGGCTTGGCCCCCGTCGGTGGCGTCAGCATGGGAACTCCCGTGATGAGCTCTGCCGCCTTGGGTATGATGCCCATGGCCGGTTCGCCTCTCCAGCAACACCAAATGCTGTTCCAGGATCCTCAGCAACAGCAGTTCATGTCAATGTCTGGATCCCCCTTGCCAACAATGTCCATGGGCTCCCCTTTGATGGGTGTCAACCAGCTCCACTATGTACAACAGCAAGGATCCCCTATTTCCTCAACCATGCACTCGCCTCAACTCATGCCCAACTCTTCCCTCGGTTCCCTCCCCGGAGCTGCTGGTGGCAGTCCATCGGATGAGGAACTGGTGAACAAGATCCAGGACTTGTTGACGGGCGTGGATTTGATGACGGTGACCAAGAAGAAGATCCGTCAGCAGTTGGAGCAGGTGTTCGGAATTGACCTCACGCCCAGGAGGGACTTTATCAGTCGTGCGATCGATGCCGAGTTGCAGCGACAGAACCAAGGACATTCCCAGCAGGATGCTCCCCCTCATCCTTTGTAAATCTACTATATCTACTATCTACTATCTAACTACCACCTGCCATAGAAATCTCATTATAAACTTATCTTTGTTTTTGTTTTTGTTTTGTAAGCAACCAACTTCATGACGTGGATCTTTGTGGGTTCAACAAGGAAACCAGATGAGATCTGAATTGATAGACACAGAAGAACAACGACAAATTTGGGAGTATTAGAGAAAGGGACTACTGGAGGTAAAGGTAAAGTTTCGAAGCGTGAGGGGTCTTCTCTACAGGACTTTTTATCTGCATCAGAAGAACTAACCTTTTAGTAAGGAATGCATTGGTAATGAAAGCAGGCCCACCCGCTACACAAGCCATCCTTGAACCCCGAACCGTTTACAGTTCAAGGGACAGTCGTCTGGGGAGAAGGAGCATCCATAGTCGGCGGCGGACGGGTGGTGCCTGGATGGTCAGCGCGAGGAGAGCGATTGCAGTCCCGAAGAGGAAGGTTTTTATCTTGGAAGAGGGACGAAGGTGTGTTTGTGGTTGTTGTTGTTTTTTTTTTTTTTTTTTTGGTAATAATTTGTGATTGAGGAAAGCGGGGATTATGACGGACGATAGAGAAGCGCGAAGCGAAGGGGATACCTTGGGCGTAATGTTACCGGTCGTAAAGGTCTACCATGGCGCATTACATAAGAAACAACAGGTCCCAAAAACAAGCGAGGAAGTTTTACTCTCTTTGTAGAAGAGCGACATCATACAATAAGTGCATATTCATTCAGTCCCCTTCTGTGTCGCGTTCGAGAGCTTTCGTTGGTTATTGAACAAAAGTTTATCACTTTCACCGAGTTCAATCAGCGGTCAAGACGACGCGTCCCGCTCTATGGCCCATATACCTCCGTACTAACTTGGACAAGGCCAAGCTGCTGCTAAATCTCATCGCTTGTATCATCGTGTTTGTCGATGGACTCATTGTTGTCCCGACCCTCCTCGACGCTGTGTTTCTCATCTATGGCCATGGTAATTCCACTCCCTTTCTTGTTTGATGTCTGTGGCGTTTGAATAGCGGTTCGCTTTCTTGCAATTCTCCAGGTCCGATGGTTCCCCTGTGTCCTGTAAAATCCTCGTGCTGGAACTGACCCTCGAGCATGCAGGTCAGAGCCTCAAATCCGCGGTGGGGGTGGTCGGGGAAGCCACCATTCCTATCGACCGAGAACTCGTCGAGCATGAGGAAGGGGTCATGGTTACGGAGTTCGGGACGTCCGATGGATCGACGAACACGGGCACCGACACCCTTGGATTATTCTCTGGAGAGGACGGACTTTGTGATGGATCTAGAGATTGTGGTAGTGGCGGCAGTCATTTTGGGCTGTTGTCTTCCTGTGGGTGTAGCTGAGAGAAGAGGAGTTGTTGTGTGTATGTGAGTAATGAAGAAGACTGTTTGTATTAGTCGAGTAAAGTGAGAATATGTTTTTTGTTGAGATGAATACGGGAGTTGTGCGGGAAGTGGGTTGCTTAAATACTTTTTATTGATAATGCGATGATCATGCGGGGAGAGCAGAGAGTTGTTGATTTGATCAGTGGCGAGACGTGTCAAAGGCTCGCGAAATTTTTGATCGTCATCTCAAGAGCTGGCCTAGTTCTACGTGATACAGTAACAAAGAGAGATAAAGTCGAATAGAACGGACAAACGGTCTCTCTTTTATTCCAAGCGAAAAGGGTGTCTGTCTGTCCACACAGAACAATGGTACACTGTGACAAAGGTGAGGCCATATCACGGCATTGCAAAGCTGCCTTCTCACCTCAACTTGATTTGAGCGCTCTAGGTTTTTATGCCCTCACATTCCCAACCTCTACTTCTCTTATGTACCCTCTTTTGTTTACCGTTGAGTGAGGAAAGTAAGAGTTACACTACATAAGCAAACAATTTTGTCCTTTCCCTCCTCTTTTCCTCCAGTGACAAGCAGTACAGGTTGCATTTCTCTTCATCCTCCCTTGTCCTGACTGTACTAAAGCATTACGGCAATATCGGTCAGCCACCTAAGAAGCATTGGCAAAAGCTACGATCCTTCAACACCCAGTTGGGCAAGTTGAAGGAGTTGGAAATTTTTATTGCATAGCCTACAACATGAGCTTTTCGTCCTATCCCAAGGAATTTAAGCACTCCAGCGTACTCCCTTCGCTTATGACTGGATTACTATCAAGGAGAAGGGAAGGCAATGATTCCTGTCTTTGCTGGGCGGTTTTTTTTTATGAAGTTGAGGGTTCTGCATGGGAGCTTTTGATTGGGAACTGAAGAGCAGATTGCGACGTTGGACAATTGGAGGTAGAGTGGATTGTGAGTCATTGGCCTGCGTTGGAGACGATCGACCTCGTGCCAGAGGGGTATATGAAGCTTGCGGGGTTTCGGATACCGAAGCGTTTGGAGTGGTTGCACGAAAAGAGGCCAGAGCTGAAGTTGTGTGGATAAGTTATTCTGACTGTGTCTCATCTTCCCTTTTTTTTACTCGCTCTTTTTTGCTAGTAAAACACTCGTTTCATGGAGAAAACGAGAAAACGCGATATAATTTGATCCGCACCATCATAACTCTTTTCTCGATTGAAAGGTTTCCTCGGCGGATGAGTTTCAGTACTCCATCTCCAGAAACTATACTCGTCCGGGCCAGGCACAGCATCCACCGCAATCATCATTTGTCCTCGTATTGCGAGTTCGGAGATCGATCATCGGTTTCAGCTTCGTCAACAGATTCGAAGCCTCGGCTCCCGGTCCACTGACACGCTTAGGCTTTTAGGGTTTGTACTCCAAGAACCCTGTCCGTTCCAGTTTGGTCCAGTTCCATGCCACCCATCATGCCTCGGCCTTCGTGAATGTATCGTTGATCTCAGAGTAGCGAACCCTAACCATCCCATCCACCTCTCACAGGCTCTTGAGTTCTCTCAACCTCAGGTACGCCTTGCGGTTGTTGGCACCGTCTCCCAGAGTCATCAGTTGGGGATATGCCGTTTTGACGGAGCTTTCTACTGGGGCGATGGCCAAGACTTCCAGTCGCGTCAGAGATCCATTCTGGCGATACAGCATCTCCAGTGGGAAAGTTACGGGTTGAGCTCAATTACCCAACTAATGTGCGCAAAACAAAACACACCTCCCTGCGCAAAAATAGCCCTTTGCACCAACAGCGCCGTCGCAAGCCGCTCACAGACATGATGCTCACCACCGCTGGAGCGGACAAAGGCGGTCCTCCCTTGTAACGAAGGAACTGGTTGGCGAGATTTTGTTCCTTTTTGGCGGAGGGTCGATGTTGCACCAGAGGACAAGGATGATGAGACATTAGATGAGGCGGGTCATTTGGCAGAGTTGAGCGAGAGTTTGGGTGTCGCAGTGTTTGGCGAGGAGGGTGATGATTTCTGTCGTTTGGAAGAGTCTGTCCTCTAGTGACTCCATGGTTGATCATGTGGTTGGTCCTGTTTACTCAAAACAGCGCCTGTGAGAAAAAGAGAGCGAGGACCCTGTTAAGGGTTTATTCATGTTCACTCACAACCATGCACCCCCACCTTTCGATCCCTTCCTCACATTCAAACACTCAACAACAACAAAACCACCATGAGCCCAACACTCCCTCCAGAGATCCAGATCATGGTCGCACAGAATCTCAAACACCAAGACCTCTCCCGTGCCGTCCTGCTCAGCAAAGCTTGGTACTCGAACTGCAACCCTCTACTCTACCACACTGTTCGTCTGTCAACACCCTTACAACGCCAACGGTTTCTGAGCCTTTTCGTATCCAAGGATCGCATTACTCGACATGCGCCCCATATCAAGTACCTGATGACACGGCATCTTGAAATCCTTCAACCGTTGATGCGACTCGACAACACTTCAGGACTCTCGCTCGTCGGGCTAGAAGTCCTAGCTTTTCGAGCTCTTCACAGCCTCACCTCGGAAGAAGACGACCTCCTGCTTGCATTTCTCAAGAAGAACCCTCAACTGCTTCATTTAACTATCAGGAGGGTCTCGGAGAACGCAGAAGCTTATCTGTCAACCATCGCCAAATATCTACCCAACCTGCGCACGCTCAGCATCTTTGACGTCCTGGGTCTCAGTCCTCCGCTTGTGCTCAGGGACGCGGCTGTTCGGTTTCTGGATACTTGCTCAGCGGATCTGGAACAACTTGTGCTGGCGTGGGAGACTCTTTCTTACGACGAAGTCGGAATTGGTTACCACGGCGGCGATGATGGTGACGAGGCGCAGGATTCACTGAAGACGAAAACACATCCGGCGCTTAGATTTCTCTCGGCGAGAGTCAATTCGAACTCTGTTCTTGCTTCGTTTGTTGAGGGCTCTCCTGGACTCGAGGCCGTCATTCACCCAGAGTTCCAAAGCAGGCTGGTCAATACTCCTTTCCAACACAGTTCGCCATTCCACCTGGCCCTTCAGAAGATCACTGGTGTGCGATACATGGAACGTTCTGTGCCCGCTACGATCTCTGACGACCGTACCATTGCTAGTTTGATATCGGCCATTAACAACTCGCAGGACGGTGTTCAGCAGCAGTGGCGCACGATAGGGATCGAAGGCGTCGTATATGGAGGTGGAGGTCTTGACGAGACTGTCAAAGCCATTGTCAACAACTGTGCGCATGGATTGGTACATCTTCACATTCCGCAGGGATGGCAGCTGATGAGTCGAGACCTTCATTCTATTCTTTGCTCCGCGACGGACTTGCGGGTCTTTAACGTGGTTCATTTACCTAGGATGAGCGCTACGTATGTGATATCGTCGCCTTGGGGTTGTCGCTGGTTGACCAAGCTGTCGGTTCAGATTATCAACATCCCTCGACCGGATATTCTCATTGACAGGAAAGGGCGTTTCCGTTCTCGGGGTGAGAGAGCAGCGGAGGGGACTTTAGAAGCGAGTCGTGCGATGCAGCGGAAGGTCTATCGGCAACTCGGGGCATTGACGTGTCTCGAGTTTCTAGCCTTGGGGCTGGATATCGAGAATGGGTCAAGGGAGGAACTTGTGGATGATGTTGATGGAACGATATACGACCCCCAGTTTCAGTTGAATTGTTTAGAGATGTCGTTGGCGAGTGGGCTGGAGTTATTGGGTGGACTATCGAAGCTGAGGTATTTGAGGGTTGTGGGGATGGAGCATAGGATTGGTGTCCCTGAGCTGCAGTGGATGATGGTGCATTTCCCTCGACTGGAGCTGTTGAAGGGTGTTGATCCTGAGGTTTGTTATCTGCCGCTAATTCTTCGTCCGACCCGGGAGTATCACCCTGAGCCTGGAGTCCGCCAATGGCTCTCTTCGCAGGCTACATCTTGGGTTTCGTGAGAGTGGCTAGGTTGCAAGGCAGTTACTACGACTTAAAAAGTTCCTTTTTTGCTCCTTCATAAAAGTTCCCACAGACCCAAGGTAAACCTTCCTTTCTTTCCCTCTAACAACTACAACAGCTCACAAAAGCATTCACAATGGATTCAGACCTCCCGCCAGAGATTTGCACACTCCTGGCCACCCGACTCGGACACCAGAGTCTGGGCAGAATCACCCTCCTCAATAAGGCCTGCAACAAAACCTGGACCCCTTTCCTCTACAACCACCTTCGCATCATCACCCCTCTCCAACGAAGTCGAATCATGACCGCAAAGTTCCTCAATGCTCTCTCTCGCAATGCTCGATTTATCAAAACCATTCAAACCCGCTACCCTCTTACCCTCGTCCCATTTGCAGACAAGGACGAGGTGCCCACTTTACAACTGCGCACTCTCGATATCTTGACAGACGCTCGGGCAGAGACGTTGACTCAGGAGGAGGATCTAGCGATTGTGAGGATTTTGGAGAGGAATCCGGGGCTGCTGCATTTAAATATCCGCAGAGCGCCTATTTACCCGGTCAGGATCCTGATGACGATCGTGAGGTACCAGGTGGCCCTGCGGTCGTTGAGTCTTTTCAATGTGACAGAGTATGAGAAAATCCCGCAGGGGACTGTTGAACTCGCCAAGGTGTTTCTGGATCAGTGCTCGGCGGAACTGGAGACCCTTATCCTGGCACTCTTCATCGACGGGTTACAGCTCAGCCACGACCCGTTGCGACATGGAGGCCCACTTTCGATCGCGGGGGAAATCCCGACGACGTGCAAGAAGCATCCGAAGCTTAGGATTTTTACATTGGTGGGTCTTCAGGACGGGTCAGAGTTGGAGTGGGATGTGTTGAAGACGTTCCTCCCCGGTTGCACGTCGCTTCAGATTCTAGATAGTGCGAGGCCACAACTCTCGGATGGGATCATTGGTTGGGTGACCGACGGTGGCGATGTCGGGGATGCTCTGGGACAGGTCAAGGGTGTCTGGCCTCAACCTCTCTTCGCCAACAGCAATCGTCCAAAATACAACGAGGACCAGGTGATCTCGACGACGGTCGCCAACATCGTCAAGGAGACAGGTCAGTTTCGACCGGTCTGGCATACCATCACTCTCCACTGCCGCTTTGCCCTCGAATTGACCCAGACTGCCCAGGCGATCGCCCGAGTCTGCACAACGGATTTAGTCCGCCTCAACGTCGGCGGCGCTTCACAGTTCGGAAGCAAGGGAATGCAGGCCGTCCTTACCAGCTGCCAGGACCTACGCCAGTTCGACTCGTTCGATCACGACAGGACGAACAACTATCTCTACACATTTTACCCATCGATCTCAGCCAAGGATATGATCAGCCGCCCTTGGGTCTGCCGCTGGTTGACGCTCTTGCATCTCGAGATTTTGGATATCCCAAGACCCGACATCACTGTTGACGGCAGCGGCGATCCACTCGAACTTTTTGGGGAAGAGGAAAATGCGACCAAGGAGGAGAGCCACGAGATCCAGAGGAAGGTCTATAGTCAGCTTGGAGCCCTGTCGTGTCTTGAAGAACTGTACCTGGGCCATCGACAACATGCAATGACGAACTTGGCCCTCCAGCAGGAGGTCGAGGGCAGTGATTACGACTATGAGGACGAGGAGGATGAAGAAGACACGGTTGGCACAAGCCAATTTCAGATGAACTGCCTTGAGTTTTCCCTCGAGAGCGGCTTGCACCTCTTGGCAGGTCTAAAGGAGCTCCGGATCTTGGATGTCACCTTTACTTGCCACCGGATCGGTGTACCAGAGTTGGAATGGATGGAAATCAACTTCCCAAACCTCGCCTCACTCCGCGGTCTAGACCCCGTACGCTCAATGGAGAACGATGTGCAATGCAAGTCTGTGTTGAAGACACTCGGGTTCTTTGGTCCCGAAGCGCTGACATGGGCACGAACCCACAAGATCGAATGGCTCCCTAAAGAAGACCGGACGGACCAAGAGTGGCGGTGGGTTGGTGAACAGGAAAGCGATTAGGACGCTGACGAGTCGGCGGAGGATAGGGAGCAGGAGGCTGAAGAACTTAGGGCTTTGCGGGAGGGGAGAGTGCGAGAGACCAACATGAGTTGTGGCTCCTTGAGCAATAATTAGCACAATGAATAAAAAACAGGCCATAACATTGCTTTTTGAACTTTGATGTTTAATGTGAGCAAAACTGTACGAAGAAAAGAAAAAAAAAATAATAACAAATAGCATTACGGCTCCGAAGAAGGAGGGGAAGGTTGTGTGACCGAGGACGACTGTGAGGCCGCGATAATAGTCGTTGCTGCCGTGAATGCAGGGCTAGCTATGAAGGGAGGAGGTGACATGACGCTGGAGGAAGTCATGCTCGTAGGTGAGGCAGAGTGAGCATAACTTGTTGTCAATCCTGACGTTGTGGAAGTGAGTCCTGCTGTGAAAACTTGTTCAGTGGTAAATTCTGAGGAGATGGGGGTCGTAGAGGGTTGTGATGACGTAAAAGTGCTTGTGGTGGTAAAAGCAGGCCCTGATGTGAATGTCGCTGGTGCCATAGCATTAGGCGCTGAAACTGCGGAGGAAACCTTAGCCGATGCGTGGTACCTAGCCCTAAACTGACGACTGAGCCTCAAATCCGGCAATTGGGTTTGGAGCCACCGCAGATGTTCAGGGACATCAATCGCGGGGACTTTGTCGTGGTTCTCTGGCAGGAATGTGGCAAGTCGTAAATGTCTCCAGTTGTGCGCCATCCACTCGACCTCTGCCTGACCCACCGTTGCCGAAGAGTCCAAGGACCAATCCGTAGCATCCAGACGGACAGATCCTCGCAGCTCTCTCAGCTCCTTCAAACCCTCCAACATCATCAGATATCCATGTTTGTTGATAGCCTTGTCCTCGAGAATGAGCATTCCCGGGAACACACGGGACTCGGGTGTGAGGTCAAACTCATTTCCTGTCGGATTGACTCTGACAGCGACAGACTTGAGATCCAGAATCTCCAGTTTGGTCAGCGTGCCGAGGTTGCGGTAGAAGGTCTCCAATGCGGTCCAGCGCCTCAGCTCCTCATTCCATCCAGTCTGCAAACGGTTGTAGTCTCCAAGGTTCACCGCCAGTCCCAGATATTTCAGGTTGGAGCACACCCACGGAGCAAGAGTCGCGTCGGCCAAGGTGATAGCCAATCGCGAATGCCGCATTCCTGAAATCTCAAGGTGCTCCAAAGCGCGACAGCTGGCCAAGATTTCCTGGATGCCATTGCTTTGGAGTTGGATGGCTTCACGCAGAACAATCCTTCGAAGCGTCGTCGAGTGCGTTGTCACCGTTACTCCCAGTCGTCCGGGCGAATCATCCTGAATTCCAGTGAAATGAAGTGTTACTAGCTGCTGTCGAGGCAAGGATTCGGCCACACCCAGGACACAACGCCCGCGCCCATCTCTGTAGCTTTGTCTGACGAAGACACGTCGAATCCTTGGGCAATTCACCTTGATGACATCGACCATGTCATAACAATCGTTCTCGTCAGGGTTGATGAAAGGAAACTCGAGAACCTCGAGCATAGGACAGTGGTTGAAAATGTGTTTGAGCTGCAAATGAAGGTATCCTGTGGTGTCTGCTGGCAGCTCCAGGACTGTCAGGCTCAACAAGGGTTCGTGGCGTTCGACAAGGATACCTTCGTTCCAGTCAGGTTCTCTTTGAGTCACACTGAGATCGGGAATCGGAGCAAAGTGAACGAGCTCGCCCTTCCATTTGAACGAGACAATCGACGGAGGCAAGGCGAAAAAGACCTTGGCGACATCGTAAAACGTTGGACGAGAGGTGGTGGTGCACTTCAGCTCCAAATGCTTGAGGTTCTGGAGCCGGGAGACTGTCCGGGCCAAGACGCGGATAGAGAGAGGAGTAGGAACGTCAACTCCGTGAATACAAAGATCGGACAGACCTGGGTTGAGACCAACGAGCCAGCAGACTGTGAGAATCAAAGGGGTGGTGTTGTACATGTTGATGGCAAAACTGAGGTATCGCCCACCATACAGGAACTCGAGGTTGACATGCAGTCGGTTCAAGTGCGTGAAGAGCGGGAGGGGTCGGACCGTTAGCATCTGGGACCTGTAGCTCGGGGTAGGGTGCCAGGCGGGTTTGGCCAGCCTCAGAGGAACGGGGAGTTCAGCCATCGATGCGTCATTGTTGTTGTTGCGCTGCAGTTGTTCCATGTATTCTTGCGCGGCGACATGGTGGAAGCAGAGGAAGACGAGGGTTATCTTGAGAGAGCGGATACGGTCAAAGTTATTGACGAGGGCGGAGAAGGCGTCGGGGGACTTTATGAGTCGAATGACTTGCTCTTCGGAGACGAGATCGAGATGGTACCAGAAGCAGGGGTAGAAGAGGGTGTGGAGTGCCCGGTTGGTCTGCATGAGGTTGGAGATGTCGCCTGCGCGGAGGAAGGACGAAAGCAGACTGGCCAGTTCCGGCAGCTGGAAGAAGGTGACCGATGGCGGAGGAGGTGAAGACATCAGAACGTGATGTGTATTGGCTGTGGTGGTGGTGAGGGGTGAATGAATGAGTGAGTGAACAAGGAAGAGGAGTTGTGGGTCGAGAAGCGGCGTGTGAGAACTAAAGGTGGTGGCAAAGTCGACAGAATGGCTAATTGCACGATCTCTAATTGCACAAGCGTGAATCGCTATCGCATGCAGAGAGAAGATATGAAAAGCTAGATAGACGAAGCCAGTGCCCACGCGAGTTTCCAGGTACCTGTCTAGGCAGGACGCCCAATGTGCTCGGGATGGTTGTGTGCCAACTGCCAAGACGGCCTGGGAAAAAGGTTTACGATGCCAAGCCGTTTCCCGCAGTAATAAAGAAAAGAGAAATCTGCGGGGATAAGAGCTCTTTATTTCTTTCATTTTTCGCAGCCCGAACGAATATGGCTGAGGGGGAAGTGCATAGACATGGCTATCCTACCGTACATTCCTTCTTTCCTTCTGTCCTTGATCACTTTGCTCAGAGCACCGTCCTTCTTCAACAAGATTCTACTTCAGCCAATGCTACACCTCCTCCCCGGAAAGAACTTTATTCGTCAAGGCATTTATTCTCTACATAAGAATAAAAGGCACACCTACTTTCTCCTGCTTCTTGTTCACTTGACTTCCTTATTATTGAACATAGCCCTCCCTCAAAATGACAACAACTCTGCTGCCCACAGAGCTCTTTGACCACGTCGCCAACTTCCTCGCCTTACCCGACTTTGCGTCCCTCACACGAGTCAGCAAGGAATGGCATCAGATCTGGACCCGACATCTCTGGAGGTCAATTCATGTCCGCCATGATGGCCACCTCGACCCCTTCAACACCCCCGAAGCCATCAAAAGTAGGCTCCAGCATGGTAACTACATCAGGGCTCTCCACCTCTGCGACTTTTCCATGGTCGAGCAGATCATGCTCGATACCAACATTCGCCTACACACCCTCGATCTCCTCGATACCTCTCGCACCCTTGGTCTCTACAAGTCTCAACCCGACATCCTCTTCCAGATCCTCCAAAAGAGCCCCTCCCTCGTTACGCTCAAATTGGCCGAGTGTCCTCTCGAATACGAACGCTTCCTCTGCACAATCATTGAGTGTTTGCCTCGACTCAAGACCCTGGATGTCCTCGATGCAGAAATGGCCCAGATCCCAAAACTCAAGGATGAGATCGTCAAGACCTTCTTGGCAAACGCTCCATCGACGATCGAGTATATCCAGATGGCCGTCCTCTTTCACGACTCTGAGGATTTGGAAGCAATGAGCGAGCCCTGGCTCTCCAAGTACTATGGCAAGACCACGGACCACCCGGCTCTCACAGTCGTTTCGTTCAACGGCCACATGGGCGACCGAGTACCCCTGGTTCTCTCCGAGGACTTTCTCCGATCTGCACCACAGTTGAGGGCGATTGAGTTTTTGCAGGAGAACAGTCCAAGGACAGACTGGGTCACCAGCGGCGCCTTGCACGACACGATCCAGCGGGCAACCTCTCGATCTCTCAAAATGTTGTCTTCTCCTAGCCTCAAGAACTTCTCGGACAAGGATATTGCTCAGCACATCACAACAGGACAAGGGATCAGAGATGACGGAAACCAACGGTGGTACTCTCTTAACCTCAAGGGCTGCACAAATGCAGGATTTGCGACCTCTCAAGCAATTGTCAACACCTGCCAAGAGGATCTGACGGAGTTGACAATTGTGGGCTGCGAGGCGATGGACAGCCAGGATCTCCAGGCGATTCTCGGATCTGCTGTTCATTTGCGGTTACTGGAGGCGAGCCTTATTGGTGACTATGTCGAATCTTGTCCCAGGCTACTGGCACAGGATATGCTCCTTTCAACATGGGCTTGTCGGTGGCTCCGGACCCTCAGCGTCGAGATTGGTGGTATTCCGAGACCAGATATCAAGGAGGACCAGCATGGCGAACCTATTCCAGAGGGTCATCCGATGCACAACGGGACGGACGAGGAGAGCCATGTTATCCAGAGACGGATCTACCGACAGCTGGGTAGCCTTGTATACCTGGAGGAGTTGTACTTGGGCAACAGGCATGGCGAGAATCAATTAAATTGTCTATCGATGACATTAGAGAGTGGGCTCGACTGCCTTGACGGACTGCAGGCGCTGCGAGTGCTTGGGGTGGGGAGGATGCATCACCGAATCGATACTGCAGATCATGACTGGATGTGGAGGACCTGGTGCAGGTTAGAGACCATCTTGGGGTTGTAGTAAACATTATCACTGGCACTCGGTCTTCGACACCAAGATAAAATTATTTCAAATTGAAAATGGGAACCCGTTTGATCTGTAGCCAATCAATGAGCGGTGCCTGAATAACTAATCCAGGGGCGGGCCCCTTGTCTCTGAGTCTGTTCCGTGGAGTAGGAGTCAGGCCATGTCCAAGAAGGATCCTCCTTGAATGTGTGTGCATGGGTAGGTCATGAGTTTGCATGCAATGTTCAGGACTGTTGTTGTTGTAGTTGTTGTTGTTGTTATTGTTGTTGTTGCTGTGGCTGTTGGTGTGTGCATGGTTGGTTCCCTTTCTCTCCTTGGTCAATAGCGTGCTCCCAACTGAACTAGTAGTCTCTTTTCCTTCCCGTCGAACTCCTTCCTCCCTTACTCTGCGTGACCCTCAGCCACGTTTCGTCCAAACTCCAAACGAGAGATGCTGTGTCATTCCACCTTCTGATCCCTTCTTTTCCTTTCTTCTCTCTTCTTTTCTTCCTCTCTCCTTCCTTCCGCCCATCTCCACATCCCTATCCTCACCCCACGTCGCTCCATCCACTTTTCCTCACGCGAGACGCCCTCTTTGTGCATATACCTTTCTTTTTAAACGTCTACGTTAATATACCCCGCATATATATCACCCATCAGCTTTACTTCTTTCATCGTCACCCATCCTTCGTCCATGATGACAAGCTCGACTGCGTCAGGTCGCTGCAAGGCCATTGCTGTCTCCACCGGTCGGCAATGCACCCGCTCAGGCAAACTCGACGGTTACTGCTCGGAAAAGCACAAGGAGCAGGCAGGCACGCCTTATGGTGGCCGCAAGCCGGGCGCAAACCCTTTCACCGACTCTGAGGCAGAGAAAGAGGACGAGGACGATAAGCCCAAGGCCTCCAAGGCCACCAAGGCATTGAAGGCTCTAGGCATCAAGAAATCGGCTGCTGTCGACGACAACGACGATACTGTGAGACCTGCGCCTGTCCCTATCGCCAAACCTGATCCCAAGGCCGCCATCAAGAAGACTGCTGCAGCCAAGGCTACCAAGACTATTGCTCCTCGCAAGGCTGCCTCTGCCGCTCGCAACAAGAAGATCATCGAGTCCTCTGATGAGTTTGAGCCCGAATCCGATGGCGACTTCGTCCCTGGCGACAGCGAGGACAGCGACTCGGACGACGATCACTCTGACGACGATGACTTTGATGACGATGACTCTGACGACGTGGATGAACTTTCAGGAAAGATGGCATCTATCAAGATCCAGCCCAACAAATCCGCAACCCCCGCTCGTACTGAGGAAGATGGACCCCTAAAGACCAAGATCAAGCACACAAAGTCTAAGATCTTCAACACCAGCGCAGTTTTGGCTCCTCCCAAGAACAAGACAAAGTCCAGTTCTGCCTCGGGGCATCCCACGGGAGGATTTTGGGTTCCTGCCCCCGCTCCCGTCAAGCTCTCTGAATCAACTATCAAGACCCTCTCAGCCATCAAAGAGAAGCTATTGGACCGCCGCGACAGCGACGACGCGGTGACACCCATTACGAACCCTCACGCTGCGCCCGAAAGGGAGCCTTCTGGTTTCTTCAAGTACAAGGTTAAGGTGCAAGAGTTCCTGCATTCTCACGAGGACAAGGATGATCCAGACTCGAAGCGTGCCTCTGTCCGTCGTCTGTTCCACAACATTGGCTCGCTCTTCAAGCCAAAGACGATCGACACGCCTACACCTGAGAAGGAGGAGAAGAAGACGCCTGTTGGTGGTATGACGGCGACAAAGCCGGAGAAGCGCAGAGGATCTCAGGACAGTGTGGACTCGATCACCAAGAACATCAACGACCTGTCCGTCAAGGCTGACGAAGATGCTGACGACGAGATCCCCAACCAATGTCACGGTTTCAACACGAACGGACACCGTTGTAAGCGTAAGGTCAAGTTGGATCGTCCTCAGGAAAAGGGTGAAGTCTTGATGTGCCACGACCATGAGGTGAACGATGAGGATGAAGTTGTCGTTCACATCGAGGGCAAGGGCGGTGTGCTCCTTCAATGGCTCGACGTCTCTGGTAAGTCGTCGTCTTTCATGTTCTTTGGCTCTTTGCATTTTGCATCGAGAGTTGCCGACTGACGATTCATTTTTTTCGTTTCATTTCGTCGATTTAGAATGGGTCAACCCTAATCTGCCTGACTATGTGCAGAACAAGCTCAGGGCGGCCATGGAGAGACCCACCTCGGAAAACGATAAGCCTGGATACATTTATGCCTATCAGCTCTTGGAGAGTAAGCTCTCTTTTTTTGTTCTCTCTTTTCTTTTCGTGCTCTCTTACATACACACCTTTGTAAGGCGTTTATCGTCATCGTGGTCAGTCCTCTGACTCAATTGCCTTTGACTCTTACCAATTAGCACGCTCGACGGGAACTCACACGTTGTTCAAAGTGGGACGCACCGACAATGTGTATCGCCGCATGAATGAGTGGTCAGATAAGTGCGGCTCGCCACCAATCCTGCTTGAGGTCTTCCCCGAACAAGGAGCATTGGCGCCCACGGACGAGAACGACTTGGCAGAGACATCGAAACCTGAGGATGACAATGTGATTACAGGATTTAGGTGCCGATATGCTCATCGTCTGGAGCGGTTGATTCATATCGAGTTAAAGCCGTTCCACGACAAGAATCATACGTGCCCATGCAAGACGAAGCATATGGAGTGGTTCATGATCCCCAACCAACCTGGTCTGAGCGAGAAGCAGCAATTGAAGCAAGCATGGGCGCAGGTCCGGCGTGTGATTGTTCACTGGACCACCTACATGGAGCGCGTCTACGGACCTGGATAAGGCCGTTGTTTTTATTTGTTTATACGGCAGTGCGCGGCAGTGCGAGGTAGTGGATGCGTGAATAAAAATACTCTTTTTCAAACACTCTTTTTCGTCTCACTGATTAAACCACTTTAGAAATGAAACTTGTTCTCGCGTCCCTTTTTCACTTGTGTTTCTCTTTCCTCTTTGCCCAACTCCACCTCCTCCTTCTTTTCCTGCTTCTCACCTGTCACCTTTTTCTATCCACCTTCTTCACCCTTCTCGACGTCCTTTCAACGTTCCTGTGGCATCCGATGCTCCATCTCACCACCAGACCAGCCTCCGCCCACCTCGCCCACCTAAACCCATTCAGCCATGCTCGCCTACACATTCAACACCCTCAAAATGAATCCATCGCTCTCGCAAAAGTCCTCACCATCCCCCTCCTCTGCGACGAAATCGTCTCCTCCCTAACACCTTACACCCTTTCTCTCTGCACTCGCGTCAGCCGTACCTGGCACCAAGCCTTCTCGCCCATCCTCTGGGCAAACCTCTCCTTCGTCAACCAGTACACCGTCTCCCTCTTCCGCTCCTCGCCGCAAATCCAAGCCGCCATCCTCCGACACGCGCCCCATGTCCGGTCGATCCACAGCGTCTTTTGTTATACCTTCGAGTCCCTCCCTGTGCAGGTTAACTTGTTCCAGAACCTGACTCGGCTCGATTCACTTGCGTCAGAACTGCACAACAAGGGGATTGTCGACCATACGAATGCAGTTCGTCTACTGCAATTTATTAAAGTGAACACCAGTTTGAGGGAGATCAGATTGACAGTTTTCCCATTGGCGAATGAGAGCGTGTCGGAGTTGTTGGGCGCCACGCTTGCGAGCCATCCGGGGCTGGTCTCGGCGACGATCACTTGCTTTACGGAGGCGCATTTGAGGGGGGTCAGGCATGTGTTGAGGGGTGCTGCTTTGGGTCGATTGGAGTCTTTGAGGTTGACTTGTCGGGGGAACCACAGTAGCAGTGCCGCGTTCAGTACTTCGTCAACAGCATCAACATCAACAGCGACAGCAAGGACGACAATTGATCAGGAGCAGGACGAGGGGATGGAAGCGCTCTTACCAGAGGGACATGTCGCACGGCACTTCAAGGAACTTCGTGTCGACGCCGAGCTGCAGCACATCTATCACCTCACCATCCTCCCGCTTCTGCGACACTGCCCCAACCTAGAATCCCTCCTCGTCACAGGGCTGGACATGACTCGATCAATGCAAATGCAAGGGCTATGTCAAGTCCTCGAGGGAACTGCCACAAGGCTCCGTCACCTCACTCTCGCATGCTCCTCTTCCTCCTCTTCCACATACGACAACAACGGTCATGACGAACAACACTCGGCAAGGCTACTGGAAGCATGTCAGACAGATCGCCTCCAATCCCTGGTTGTCCAGAGTGGACTCTTTATCGGCCGCCACTCTATCCGAGCATTGTTATCATTTTCGCGACAGCATCGGTTCACGCTTCAGGAACTGGATTTCGAGAACTGTCGGGGTGGGAGTGTGGAGAGCAAAGATCTGCAGTTGATTTTGACGTCGTGTCCGAATTTGATCACCTTCTTGGCCATGGCACCTCCTGGACGGACAGCAGGATCAAGCAACAGCAGCAGTACGACAGGTGGCAATGGCGGTGGCGGTGGCGGTGGAGGCGGTGGTAGCAGGAATTCTGGTGCGGATATGAGGATCAATATCAAGGATTTGCCGATAGGGATGGGCAATAGGCCGGCATGGGTTTGCCTCCGTCTTCAGCGTCTCAGCATCGGGTTCTCGGGGTTCTTGTCTCTGAACCGGTCCAACTTGCGGACATCGTTGTCCAATTATTTGACCAGCACCGACAATAATGGAGTACCTGTTGTTACTGGGGTCAACATTGGTGAGAGTTCTGGTACAAGCATCAAGATTTATGTTGACCATATCTACTCACAACTGGCGCTGCTGACCGAACTCCGGACACTACACCTCGGAGGCGAGATTGAACCTGTGTCAGGACCTGGATCAGCGACAGCAGCAGCATACGCATCCGCCTTTCCGACTGGCCAATCCTCCTTCGACTTGACTATGCGCTCGGGACTCACTCGCCTGGAGACACTTTCACAGTTACAGGAACTTGATGTGCAAAGGCTTTGGCATCACCGGATCTCTGCTCGCGAATGTGCGTGGATGGCACGGTCGTTTCCTTGTCTCCGGACCTTCCGAGGTAGTACTTCTGCTGTGTTGATGGATGATTCAGAAGCTGGTGCAGGCAGTTGGGGAGGGGGGGTGAAGAAACCGGTGTTTGTGAGGGAGATGAAGAGGTTGTGTCCGAAGGTTGAAGTCTGGGTTGGTTCTCAGCGCACATAATATTATTTTTTTATTTCATAACTGTGTGTGCGCGACTAAAGAAATATGGCTTGAATGATACTGTACTACATGCAAAGAAAAGAAGAGAAGATTCAATTTCGTCCTAAAAGAGTAGACTCAGCTCCTAGTGAACGCATCCAGCTGCCCTCACTTTTCGGCATGAGAAATTGGTAACAAGGCCAACACGGATGTTCTGAGTCCTCGCACTAAAGATATGCGAATTAGTCGTCATGGTCTTGGAGCAACCCGCTCGCGGCAGAGGGTCGGTGATGATGTCGGATGTCGGAATATGTCTGGAACTTGTACCAGAGCATGTGGAGGCCTGTGAAATGGAGGGTGCCGATGGAGAGGACTGGGTAGGCTTCAAGTGGGAAGGGGGCATATTTCGCGTAGGCATCTTGCGAGGGGTCCTTGCATTGGCATCGTTGCTTGTTTTTGCTTTGGTTGTTGGTGACGGGGTTGTAAGAGGAGGAGAGAAAGGAAGAGAAGAAAGGTGGTGGTTTGGAAACGCGTAAAGATATCTGTTGGATACTTCACGATGAAGGAGAAGGACGGTGGCCATCCTATTTAGAAGGAAGGAAGATCACCATGGTGCGACTGATATCTGTCTAGAGAGGAACGAACGCGACATGATCAAATGGAAGCAAGTGTAAGCAAAAGGAAAGTGTAAACACGACGTCGACGCGTCGTTCGCGATCAATGGGGTATCTTTCTGTTTGGCAGCACCGATGCAGAAGGTAGGTGTCGATAAGAATTGTTTCTTGTGGTCAGTCGACCGTTTGTTCCTATCGAAACGAAAGAAACTGAGGGGAGGTGAGGGGTGCATGCACGAAGGACATTGATATCATTCGCCTGCTGGCGGTGGACCGGGCGGACAAAAAAAGCCGTCTGCTTTGGAATAGCCCTTGTCCACACTCATGGCTGCATGGTCACAAGGGGCAACTTTCTTCATCTTCGTCTTCCTTCACATTGTCTTCCATTCACTCTTTTCCTCTTTGCTCATCACTTATTCGCTTGCTTAAACACTTACACCAATCTCCACAGTTCATTGCTCCTGCCACATCCCTTGCAACTTTGGAAACGCACATCCGCCAACAAGCATACATACCATTCTGCACTCCCTCGCTCTTCTCTACACTCCCTCGCTCTTCTCTACACTCCGACAAATACAAAAATGATCTACAAAGCACCCCCAGCACCGTGGAGACAATGGCTAGCCTTGCTCAGTACCCTAATTGCGCTTATCCTGTTTGCACCCTCTGGTGCCACCGCAGCTGCAACACTCAAGGCAACAGGAGAAGCAGAGGCAGCAGCGGGATCCTCTTCTAGGGAGTCTGAGCACGTTGCTACTGTCGACACAAAGCATGGACTTGACGCCCTTGACCAAAAACAACAAAAACCACTACAACCTTCGGTTATTGTCGGCTCTGCTTCTTCTCAAGAACCCATTGTGCTCTAAAGAGAAAGCACCACCGTTGTTGTTCTTTCTCCCTTCGCCCTCAGTCACTCTCCTTATTGTTCCCGTTGTTTTTCGCCTAAATAAACGTGAATGGCATGCCCCACCCATCCACAAACCAAAAGCCACGTATTAATGAAGGGTGAAAAAAACGATTGAAAAGGGGGCATTTCGCTCGTTCTTTCTCGTTACCTTCTCACCTACCTCCCACCTCTCGCTCAACACAATAAGAAAAGATGAACTCAGCGAAACCCTCGCCGTCGTTGGCTACGTTCAGCTGCCCAGAACTGTGTCACATCATTGCCAAGTACCTCAACCAGACCGATTTATACCGATGTCTCCTCGTCAACAAGACCTTCTCCAAGAACCTGCATCCTTTCTTTTGGCGACATATCTCGTTTTCGGATTGGGTCCCATACTACTCGGAGTTTTATTACCTTGACAAGAAGCAGAAGGAACTGGGCCAGTCTGGAGTGGATGCTTCAGAGGACAAGACATCGACTTCAGCATCGTCAACATCGCAGACACCGAAGCGAGAACGACAAGAACGGCCGGTTATCAACCGCCGAATCCCTAACCCATGGGCGGCGACGGCGGAGCTACACGACAATTCTGAATTTTTCTTACCTCCTCAACCCTCCTTCGCCAGCCTCACCCTCCACGGTCACCTCGTCGAAATCCTAACCCTCGAATGGGACGAAGGACAAAATTTCCTGCCACAACCCGAGACGTCCGAACCCGAAGAAGCCCCAGGCGTTACGCAGACATGGATATATATCCGCCTCTTGCAGCAATGCTCAAACATCCGGGCGTTGAAGATTATGGGCAGGAATACAGAGTTGCCGTGGGTCTGGCCCAAGGGGATGTGTGGGAATGGACTGGGGATGGAGATTCATACGAAGATGTTGAGGAAGGAGGCAATTGATCGCTGTTTGGCCAAGGTTATTTGTGCGGCTGGGCTGGTGGGTGAACAACAGCGATTGGCCATGAGTGCTTTGGATGGCGAAGGAGAAGGAAAGGGAGGAGGAGAAGCGGAGGCGCAAGTGAGGGCGCGGGCGGAGGTGCGGGCGACGACGGGTCAGGGGATCGTGGAATTGTACTTGTCGAACAGCTGTGGATTCAGCCATGAAGCGTTTAAGGCTTTGATTCATGCCTTCGCTCCTCCTCTTCCCGCTCCTCATCCAACATTTCCTTCGCCCATTACTGCCTCACAGTCACAGGACGATTCACCCCTATCCTCTTTGCTTGCTAGACCTCAACTCCGTGTCCTGGACATATCAGCATGCGAGTATATACAGAATTATCAGATGGTCACTCTCCTCGACCGGTTCCCGGGCTTGCAGGTGGTCGACTTCCGATGCCGCGAGTATCTGACTGAGCTCTTTGCCGATTCTGGATTGCGTTTTGATGGATCGCACCAGAAGTCCGAACAGGCCAAGAAGTTTGCAGGGACAAAGGCAATCACAACACTGTCGATGTTGTGGGACGACGGTGGAGGTGACCAAAGGATCACTTATAAACCATGGTCCTGTGAGGAGTCTCTTCGGGTGCTGCGGACAGGAATCGCGAGTGTCGCCATGCGAAAAGACCGACTCTGGCGGGGTCCATTCACCCCCCATCCGGCACCTACCCAACCTGGAGAAGGTCCGTTCGATCCCCTCTCCGGACTCGAGTACCCAGCCTGCTTGAAATGGTTCTATAATCATTTGGCTCGTTTGACTAACCTCCGAGAGCTGTGTCTGGTGAGTGTGATGGATCCGTTTATGCATGATGGGGGGGTGGCCAGGGACTTGCAGTTTACGGTTGAGGAAGGGTTGGAGAGGTTGGAGGGGTTGAGGCGGTTGGAGGTTTTGGATGTTGAGTATCTGAGGCATCAGATTGGGGTTGCGGAGGTGCAGTGGATGGTGAAGCATTGGCCGATGCTGAAGGTGATTAGGGGGTTGATATTTGAGGAGGATGCTGGGAAGGGTGGAGAAGGGGTGGAGGAGAAGGGTTGGTCGGAGGGGGTGAGGTGGCTGAAGATGACACGACCTGATATTGAACTGCCTGTTCTTGAGAAGCGTTGGAAGGGGTTTCGTCATTTTGGATTAGGCTGAACTTGAGGAAACGAAGACGAAACATGTAACATGCTTTGGATTGAAATAAATCTATGGATTCAAGTATATTTGGGTGGTTGTGATGATAGCTCCTGACGAGTGCTGGTATCGCTGGTATGTGGTGTCTCCAATGTTTCGGCAGTAGGATTTGGTACGCTCTGCTCATATAAAGGAGAAGGAGAAGAGACCTCGGTTGTCGCAGCAGCAGCATTAGTAGTAGCAGCAGTCTCAAGGGTCCTGCGCATCCTCTGGGCGAACGCATCAAAGTGGGTATGCTGTGCCTGCCTGTAAGATGCAAATGTTGGGTAACCGCTCTCAAGACTGTCCTCGTCTTCCTCTTCTGACGCGCCGAAAGATGGAGATCCGAGGACACGTTGAAACCGCACACCAGTAGCAGCGGCACTTGACGAGTTACTCCTGCCGTGGCGGGTTTCGGTACTGGATCGTTTCAATGGCGCGCTCTGGAAGGATACTCCTCTTGGCGATGACGAATTTGAAGAAGAAGAAGGGATAGGAAGTGGTGGTGGGTAGAGTGCTGTGGGGAATGAGATTGGACTGCTGGGTGTTGAGACGTATCCACGGCGAGGTGCCGACGATGTTGGTGGCGTTAATGATGAAAGCTGATCCAGAGCAATATTCTTATCGTTTCCTTGCCGCCTCCGCCCCTGCTGCCTCCGATTCATGTCATCGTCTATCTGTTCTTCTTCTGCGAATCGTGCCGTCCTTGTCACTGTTGGTGGTGGCGAGGCAGTAGCCACGGTTGCAACAGGTGCGGTATCAGTGGAAGAAGAGAAGGTGATATCCTGCGCCAACTTTTTCTTGAGCTGCTCAATATTCTGATCTTCCTCCTCCTGTTCCTCATTCTGTTCCTGCGATAGTCGATGTTCAAGAGTGTCGATGGCTCGAAGAGGGTGTGCGGTGGTTGAAATGGAAGAAGACTTGAGCGCAGATGTGGTTGGGACGGCGGTTCGACTACTGGCAGGGTCGTGTAAGAAGACTGTGGGCTCTGGGACGTGTGTATGAACGGGGAGGGTTGATTCGATAACCACTGAAGAGATGCATAGGCGGACTCCTATCTGTTTGTTTTCAAAGTTGGGAAAGGACGATTAGCTACAATGAATACCATTGACATTCGGGGGGTTTAGATAAAATCAGAGGCTGTAGATGTAGCCCTTCTCTGGTACGAATTGCGTGAGCCTTCTGTTCGAAAGGGTGTCGAGAGAAGGCCCTATTTTTCTCGGGCAAAATAAAACGCCGGGAAAATAGCGTGTGTTGGTTGTTTTTTGTTCACTTCAAAGTTCAAACTGCAATTGAAGTAACACGCGCGGAAGAGAAGGGAAGGTTGTGGAGGTTACGCATGTGCGCACTGTTTCCAACTTGGAGGAAGCACGAAGGAAAGCAAGGTCAAGTTTCAAGGGTCACCCTGATCTGAGGGTGCTTGCTGTTGTATGTGTGCAAGAGTGACACTGAAGGATTGGGGTGAACAGTTGAGGAAGGCACTTGCCGAGAAGAAGGCCCAGAGGAGAAAGAAGAAGACAAAGACGACGATGACTTCGGTGGAAGTGAGGCCGATCTTGTGGTGGCCGTAGAGGACAGGGAGGGTGATTAGAAGCGCGACTGCGACGATGAAGAATAGTTTCTGCACCCTGTGGAACCACTGCGGGTATATATGTGTCGCCATATGAATCAGGCGAGGACGAGAGGGTAAGGGAGAGGGAGTGGGGGTGGGCAGTAGTAAAAGAAGGAGGTGGCGGAGAGGAGAGAACGAGAGAGGTAAGGGAAAGGAAGTTGAATGAGCAAAAGTGGTAGAGAGAAGAAGAGTGTGGTGAATGAATGAGTGAATGGTCCAAAAAACTAAACCTGAGAAGAGAGGAAGAAGAAAGAGTCCAAAAGGGAGGGTGCATAAAGAAGACTCAGGCACCAAGGATTCTGGCGTCCTTTTATTCCCGTTTGCGGTTTTGCTTGGCATACAAATTGTCCACTTGGATGCATGTGTGTTCACTTTCATCTTAGCGTGTTCCTAAACCATATTACACTCAACCTACCTCTGCTCTGCAGGGTCAAGGTCAGGACTAATGTCATGGTCTGACGGGGGTCTAGTTCTGTCTGTATCATTCCATCCGCATAATTGTTGTTGTCGACTTTATAAAATGTCCAGAGGCAGGGAAGGTCGTCCGGTGCAGTCTTTTTCCACGGATACTACGATGGACAGCTGAACAAGAGAGTGAAGATGGGCTTGTCTCTTTTATCTTTTACAATATTCATTGGCTAACATCTCGCATGGGCTGTTTATTTTATTTATTTTATTTTGTTGGATTGCCGAGTAAAATGGCCATGAATGCCCCCGATTTCGCCAGAGGAACAAGTCCAGTGAACACTAAGCGCAGAAGAGGCGAGTGAGTGAATGATAAGAAGAGAGCAAACAAGAGAAACAAAAAAAAGGTGAAGACTCGGCAACAGCCCGGCCGAGCATGGTTCTCAAGTAAGGGCAAGACTAGCTAGGCTGGCATTGGGATTGGTTGCTGAATGAACGATTTCTTGCCACCAATTTTTGTTCTGTCCCACCCTCTCCCCCTTAAACGAACCCAAGCCATCGAAAAGAAAATAAAAATGGAGTGCCGGTAAGCCATTCAGTCATCCGTCCATCCCCACCACACACATTATTTGCATAGTTCACACAGAACACACACGCTGTGTCCCCAAAAAAACCAAACACACCTGACACGCACTCCCAGTTCATTCCAGCGAGAAAGATAGACAGACACCCTTTTTTACCGTCCGTCCTTTTTTCTTGTCTTCCACGCCCAGACGCACTCATCCTCTTTCTTTTCCCTTTCCTTTTTTTTCCTTTCCTTTCCTCACTCTCACCGTACACGCACACAAGCACACCTGTCGCCTGTCCTTCGGCCTGTCATCACTCCGGGAACAAGCAAGTTGAAGAGAGATTCACGGCCCTGAAGAGAGAAACAAGTCTGCGATCCTCCTTACCCATCCGATCTGAGGGAACACCACGGGATTATTTTACTCCTGTTTACAATCGAGGGAGAGAGACATCACTACAGCCACATACACTCACAGGCGAGCCATACCTACCTGTATTTGCCTGCCTTCCGTCCTACAGGCTGTCATACTGTCTTCAAAGGGAGGCCATATACACACACACACACACACTCATACACACAAGATCTGAGCAAAAAAAGCCAAGCAACACGCGTACACTTTTATTTTCAATGGAAGAGATGAACGGAGACACCGTCGTCGCACCTAACGACACCAAGCATGTCGAAAACGAGAGCGAGACAAGTCACTCAGAATCTGGCCAAGAGGTTGCTGCAGCAGCAGCTACTGAGCACCCGGCCGAGGAGCCAGAGCGTCACGTCGAGGTCGAGGTTGAGGCCCCCGAGCCTGAGGCCCAGGGTATCCTGATGATATCTCTTAAACCAGGTGGTCAAGATGTTGTCCCAGGTACTCAGGAACAACAGGACCAGCCTGACCACCAGAACCATTCTGGCCATCACAATAACCATCAAGGCGGGCAAGACAGTCACCATGACGAGGGGGAACAGGCTCAAGGGGACCAGCGTGGCAGCCAGCAAGACCAGTATGACCCCTCCGCTCCCGATATCAGAAGGCAGCCGATGGACCCTTTTCTTCAACACAACATCAAAGTTGAGGAAGAGGATGTCTACGATATCAACTCGCACCAGGCCATTAATCGTCCCGCTCACCACATGAACCGCCGTCCAGTGGACCACTTCCGTTTATATGAGCGACCCAGTGACCCTTTCCAGGGCATGCCATATGGAGACGGAGACGCTGAGGGCCCTCATTCCATGTCCCAGGGCATGTACTCTGGTGGCAATGACGGGGACTATGACATGGAGGCAAACCAAGAACAGCAGGACAAGGATCCTTTTGACGGGATAAAGAGTGGCTTTGATTTGTTCAGAGGCAAAGGCGTTGGCTATCAGTCCCGGGGATATTCTGGCGATCACTCGCAGAACCGGCCTCGTGAAAACAACAAGCAAGAGCAGTTCAAGCCACAAGAGCAGTTCAAGCCACAAGAGCAGTTCAAGCCGCAAGAACAGTTCAAGCCGCAAGAACAGTTCAAGCCGCAAGAGCAGTTCAAGCCATTCAACGATAACAAGTCCCAAGGCTTTCACTCAAGGTCCAGCCAAGATGGCTCTGAAATCGGCGTTCCTCTCGGTAAGTAATCGTCCAAACTGTTGTCTTTTTAGAATAGAAGGCTTGGACATGATTGGACTACTTGAGTCTCGGATTAGTTCCGTTATTAATTAACAACTGGTTCTTTTTGACCGCTTAGGCCCACGAATTCAAGTTATGAGCAAGGCCAAGAAAGCATTCATTGACGAGCGCGCAAGTCTGGAGCGTCCTAACCGGTCATTGTTCATTAGAAACATCGATGTAAATATCATGTTCCAAACGTCTGTATAAATGCCATGCCACTGAATGCTTGGTGAGGAATTGTATTAACGCCTTCTGTCTTTTCATTTCTATTTTCTTCGTTACTAGTACAATACCTCAATTGAAGATGTCAGAGCGATGTTTGAGCCTTATGGAGATATCCAGAACGTTTTCAGTCTGATCGACGGCCGCGGGATGACATTCATTACCTATGTAAGTGTCCCACTATGTTTTTAAACTTGCAATGCAGGATAAATATCGACGGTGGACTAATATCCTTTTCCTCTACCGTTCCTATACTAGTATGACATTCGTGCTGCGGAGTACGCCAAAAAGGAAGCCCACCTGAAGCTCTTGCACGATCGTGCTGTAAGTCTTGACAAGGCGAAATAATTGTGTCGTCTTCAGTATGCGTGATCACAACGACTTCAGTTTTGAGCCTGACTTATATTCGGTTTTTTCTCAACTTCTAGCTTGATGTCCACTTTTCATTGCCCAAGGAGATCAAGCATAAGGCGGAGTGCCACGAGTCGGACCACAATGTATGTATCTCGGGATCAAGCCTAAGTTCAAGGGCACGGAATGCGACTTGATCTCACCGCTCACTTTCTATTGTCATCATTTTAGGGAACATTGTTTGTTTATATTAGAGGCGTGACTAACGAGCACATCCCTGACGAGGAACTCGAGAACTTCTTCTCGCGATACGGAGATGTCAAGAACGTCTTTTCACGCAGGGACGCGGAACAGTAAGTCGCAGTGCTGCCATAGTACGCTAGTGATTTTTGAACCAATGACGGGCGTTAATATCTTGTATATGTTTTGACTGCAAATAGCCAAAAGTTTGTCGAATTCTTTGACTCACGAGCATGCGCCCGTGCTTTCCATGAAGCTCAAGGGGCTGCCTTCAGGCACGGCTCCATTGACTGCAAGTTTGCATGGGATCACTACAGGCCGTAAGTAATCAATATCAAACCAAGATATGAATGACTGGCACCCGATCCTGAAGCGGACATGTGCTAATAATGACTGTGAATCTTGTGCCGATAGAACGCCTGCACATCTGCGTGGCACTGCTGCCAAGAGTTATGAGCGTAACGATGACAATGGTGGCAGGTCCCATCATTCCAGAACACCCTCCCCCGCTCGCGAGAAGAGTAACTCTCGGAGACAAGACAGTCGAGACAGAGGCAAAGATGGCGACAAATCGCGCAATCACGGCTCTTACACTCCCAAGAATCCCAGAGGAAGAAGCGAGTCCAAGGATCGAGACTCTCGTAGCAAGTATGCTCGACGTGACAGCAAGGACTATGACAGTCGATCGCGCAATGATAATTACAAGCGCAACAATGACCGCTCCAAGGACCGAGGTCGCGAACGTTCGAAGGACCGCTCCAAGGATCGTTCGCGAGACAGAAAGAATAGATCAAGAGACAGGTCAAGAGATCGATCCAGGGACCGTTCCAGAGATAGGGATCGCAAGTACGACCGCGACCGCGATCGTGGACGTAACCGTGATCGCGACCAAGACAGGGACCGTGACCAAGACAGGGATCGTGATCGTGATCGTGACCGTGACCGCATTACTGGATCCAACTACAACAGTAACAACAGTAACAACAATAACAGGTATCGACAGGACTCGCCTGTCAGAACCTTCCACAAGCCAGGTATAGTAGAGACGTACACGCTGCATTGTTCTCTCATCCCTACCAACATTATCTTTTGTTCGAGCGCGTTGCTAACATTATCCTGCCCTTTTTTCAACTTGTAGGCAGTCTTGGTGACAACCGCAAGGACGATCAAGGCAGGCCACCGTTCCCTGTTTTCCAAGGAGGTCAGCCTGCTGCATTCCAGCCATTCTTTCCTCAGCCCCCTGTACCTGCTCCTATGCTGAACCCCCTCGATATATCCGCTCATCAGCGAATGGAGCAGGCGCAAAAGGCTCAGCAGGTACATATACATAACTTGGCTATGCTTATCCTGTGCTGTCACCATTTTGCGCAACATACCCATACCAACCTATTTTCTCCTTTCTACTCATCTCTGTGACATAGCTTGTGAACGAAATGCTCATCAGTGCAGGAAAGGCTGTGCCTACGCCACCTCCCCAACCCATGTTTGGCGGTATCCCTAGCGCCATGGACTTTAGACGGCCTTTCGTACCAATTCCTCCTACACATCCATTGTCAATGGGTCAACCGCCTCAAGTGCCCCCTATGCCACAGATGCCGACAGCAAGACCACCTATGCTTCCTGTTCCACCAATGCCACCTGTCATGCCAGTGCGTCCTCAGTTGCCAACGGATCCTCGATCACATATTGCTCCAGTTGCTCCAATTGCGCCAGCTGTGAAACCTACTTCAAGTGAAGCACCTAAACCACCCACCTCAATGCCTTTAACATCTACTTCTCCACCTGCCTCCGCTGCCCCAAGCCAGTCCGTGTCATCTGCTGCGGCGACGGCGTCTCGTATGCCTGCTCCAGTATCAGCAGCTAGCCAAGACTCCTCAAAACCCACCACAGAAGCTCAGGTTCAGCAACTTCTCCAGCTTTTGGTAAGGCGTGTTTCCTTTCGAAATGTTTAGCTGATCTACTCTGCTAAGAGCTTTTCCTTGTCGCCATGCCTAACTTGTGTCTTATCCTACCTCTTTGTTTTTTCTATCTTTATTACACATCTAGACCCAAGTTCAGCAGCAAACTCAAGGAGCACCTGGTGCAAATGTGAATGGTAACCAGCCGTCGGCTCTTGGACAGGCAGCGGCCTCTAATGGTGTCATGGCACTTTTGCCTCATCTCAGTCAGTTGTCGCAGATGGTGCAGCAAAACTTTCAGCCTCAACAGCAACAGTTATCTCAGCCACAGCTACCGTCGCAAGTCCTGTCGCCTCAGTTTCAGCAAGCTCCTCAGCCTTTGAACTTCGGAAACATGGGTGTGCCTTCAGGAATGACGGGAATGATGATGTCGCCTCCGGCTCCTCCTATGATGCCAGTACCTCCTCCTCCTAGTCTACCAGTTATGCCACCTACTCTGGCAGCGACTTCCAACTATGGTGGTGGTGGTGGAGGGCACCAGGCCAGACCAAGCCAAGACGGTAACATTTGGTACAAGAGACCTTCTGAAAGCCACGAGCAAGGAAAGAACTACTCTGACTATAACGGCACCAGCGGCAGCAACAGCAACCCCAACGGGACCAAGCGTCACTACACGGATGGAAGAAAGGACTGGGACAAAGATTGGGACAAAGATTGGGATCGGAAAGGACATGCTGACGATTACAAGCGAAGAAGAGACGATGATGACGATAGGAGTGGCAACTACCGGTCTGGAGGGTCATTTAGAAGCTATCAAAACAACAGCAGCAGCAACGGAGGTCCATCATCTTCATCTCGAAGAGAAAGTTCTGTGGTTTCTGAGCGTCATATCAAGCGAGAGAATGACGATGACTACCGTTCTAGGAACAGCCACCGCGACGAGGATTACAACGGAAACGGAAACGACAATGTCGATGGTACAAGTGGAGGCTATGGCAATCACGACCGACGTGACAGCAATGACCGAGATTGGGACGAGCAATCGAACTCTTCCTTCCAGCGTGATTTCAATTATCGAGGCCGTGGCCGAGGCCGAGGTCGCGGTCGTGGCTGGGTTGACCGTGGACGAGGCCGAGGAGGATTTACGCGAGGCGGCGGATACGGTCGCAATGATGACCGCGAAAGCGGCGATTATGGTAACGACAACCGAGACGGCGGCAATGGAGGCAGCAATAACTACAACAACGGCAGTGGTGACTTTTCTGGCCAGCGTGGAACTTGGATCCCTCGTGGTCGCGGCCGGGGCCGTGGTACAGCCCGAGGAGGACGCACAGCCTCGTTGGAGGATGATCGGTACTGAGCGAAATGAAAACAACGAGGCCTTTCAGCACGCAAGTCTCAAGTCTAGTCTCTAGTTCTAGTTTCTAGTCTCTAGTCTCTGGTCTCTAGGCTCTAGTGTCTAGTGTCTAGTCTCTAGTCTCTAGTTCTAGCCTCCGGTCTCGCAAGTCTCAAGGCGCAAGCAGCAGTTACGACCCTTTCTGGACCTTGGAGTCGTGTTACTTGACCTGAAACGAAAGTTCCTCTCAAGACGTATATTGTCCTTGTTCTTTTCACCCCCTTTTCGCACTCACACCCTCAATCGCATCTTAACCTGGCGGACTCAGTGATCCAGCCAGTAGTCAACGTAGCACACCACTACTACTACTACCACGCTTTTTTAAGATAAATACTTTGTAATCAAAAGGTGTGGCGATGCAGGTGTTGAAAAAACTAGAAGCCGGCAGGGAGGATTATACTCAACTTCAAAAAAGAAAAGAAACCTATGGTTGCTGCTGCCGTACTCGCAGCTTTACACATTTACACTCGTGGCCAATAGTTCATGATTGACACACTTGGCACTTTTTGATCAGCACATGTGGGCCTATCAAGTTAGCATTTGCCACGGAATAGACCGCCACAACGAAATATCGCAGCAAACTGGGATGGTTAAGGTTGCGATCGTGGCTAAAGCGGAGCCAACGGTAAAGAGTGCGGAGAGCTTTTTGGACTTGAAGATGGACATTGTGGCGTGTAGATAAGGCCGTGGAAGAGGATTCATTCAGGGGACAGGCAACGTTTCAACAAGATCTAGCCTAGCCACTCCCCTTGACAATAGAAAAACATTTAGCGAAAAGAATACCATATGTCAGAAAAGCACATGTCGCGCGAGAAAGATAAATATTGAAAAATGAACGCGTCCCACCCAATGAAGTCTGTTGTTGATCAAACACCCCAAAAAGTGCTTCATTTTCATCACTTGTAAACGAAGGGACAGTTACTTGCGGTAGGAATGATTCAAAATCTTAAACCCTCTATTCTCCATCAACCCATCCAGCTTGACCCGCTCCTCCCGTCGATGATGCAACTCCCCCTCAACAACCCTCAACTTCGGCCAATTCTCCAGCATCCATTCCATATCCCTCTCCCCCATTTTCTGATAGATCCCCTCCAAATTCAACTCTTCCAATTTCTTGAGCCCGCTCAGTTTCGCCAGTCCAGCATCGAGTGTGAAATCCAATCCGTGGTGAGAGTATCCGTTTTCGTACATCCAGAGGACACAGTGGCCGAGGGAGAGTTGTTGGAGTTGGGAGAGACGGCCGAGTTGGTTGAAGAGCCGGTGTTGGAGGGACCGGTTTAGCCAGACGTTTTGTGGGTCCCCAGCCATGACCACGTGAAGTGTTTTGAGACCCAGGCAGACCCATGGCGCATCCTTTGCCATGTTCTCCTGCTGCTGCTCCTCGTCATCTTCTCCTACTTGTTCCTGGCGGCCTCCATGTTGGTGTTCTCCTCCAGCCCCAGAGCCCTGTGCCGTCTCCACTAACATCGACGGAATAGTCGCAGATGAAGAAGAAGCCGATGACGACGACAACGACGCCTCTGGAAAGAAATGCATCATCCCCTGACGACTACAATCCAATCTCCCATAGGCAACCAGCCTCTCCAACCTCGGACACCTCCTCAAAAACTCCAACACCGTCCCACACCGAATCGTTGACCGCACCTGTCCAAACTCCAGATCCTGTAACGTTCCAAAATGCCGTCTCATCGCATCCATCACCTCCTTGTCGTTGAACATCGACTGGACCGTGTCGAATCTGAGGAGGAACCGGAACAGTCGAGGGATCGCGAGAAGGATCTGGGCCAGGTCTGTGGGCTCGAGGTTTCGATCGGACAAAACGAGGGAGGTTATATGGGGGCAGTGCAGTCGGAGAAGCGTACAGAATTCTGGTAGGGAGAGTTGGAGGGATCCCATGATTGACCAGGAGAGCGACTGAAGGTTTGGGAAGCATTGGATGAACTCTAGTTGCGTTTGTAGGTCGATTCCAGTGTTGGTTGCCAGAGTGAGCGATTGGAGGGTCGGGTACTTGCGTCCGTGCAAGGTATTTGGCGGAAAGAAGAGACCCTCGAAGGTGCAGTGCTGTAGGACCAAGGACTCAAGCCCCGTTAGAGCTCTCAGGAAGGAGGTGACAAGTTGTGGGTTAGGGAATCTTGTAAACACACACTCGAGACTCTTGAGCGCCCCACCTTTCCCTCCTCCTCCTCGCCTTCGTCCTCCGCTGCCCCCGCTCTTTCCGTCTCTAGAACGAGCATTCGTCGCGTGTTCGATCGATTCCCAAAACACCGCCGTGGGCTCAAACCGCTCCATCATGATGCAGATCTTCTGCAAGGAAGGGTTCTGCTTGATCAAGGCAATGAAAAGCTCGACCCACTGGTCTCCCGAGTAATGGTCCTCGTCTTCGTCATCACAGTCGTAATCTTGCCCTGTCACATCGTCCTTCATCGCTATTGTCGTTCCAGAGGAAGAGGTTCCTGAAGCAGTACCAATTGCATTCAATACACTCGACGATGATAGTCCACCACCACTCGTGATCGTAGTCTCAGGCAACGAATGTCTCCGCGCCTCTCCATTCGACCCAAACGCCATGATTACCTTCTTCGCCTTCTTCATCCTTGTCCTTGTCGCAGCCGCAGCCGCAGAAGTTGTCATACTACCACTCATCAAATCCCACTCCGTCACCCTCTCATCCTCCAAATGCAACCTCCTCAGATTCCGACACCTCTCCAATGTCCCGTACCTCGCCGGATCAATCTTGCCCACCCGAATCTGATGGACAAGGTGTACATTCCTGTCGATGGCTGTACGAGAGAGTTGGCCTAGTGGAAGGAGGCGAGAACAGGATAGGGACCGCCAGAGTTGTGGGTTAAAGGCTTCATGCCAGGTTTTGGAGACTCGACTGCATTTTGAAAGGGTTCGGGTGTCGGCTTGGAGGGTTGTTGCGAGGAGGTAGAGGATTTCGAGGAGTTGAAGTGGATGTAATGGTTGTTGTTGTTGTTGTTGTTGTTGTTGTTGTTGTTGTTGTTGTAGTTGTAGTTGGTATTGTGGCGGTTCTATTGACATGCTGTATGAAAGGGTATGTAAGAGTATGTTGTATGTGTATGTGCATGAGTGAGTGAGAGGGAGAGAAGTGTAGAGGAGGAGAGAAAAGACGTCGTTGTTCAAAAAAAAAAAAAAAAGAGACGATAGGAAAAAAATTGCGGGTCAAACACGCACGCCACCAATTTTCAAATCACACATGAGATATAAAAACGACAATGGTATGTTTATCTCATGCTTGTCTTCATCGCTTGTTGTCTCTAATGAACCTCACACCCGCCACAACAAGCACGAAATTACTCACCAAAAACAAAGAAGCAATCCCCAAGTTCCTCCATCGATGCCCAACATCCTTATTTAACCACTTATAAAAACCCTCCCCCGTGGAGAACTGACAGTACGGTTGTTGAGATACCCTGTTGTGAGTGCAAGGAATGTGCTGGCGTATTGGAGGCGGGTTTGGTTGGGAGATGTTGTATTCTGTGGGGTGGCAGCGGACGATGAGGCCGTGGCGTTGGCTTGTGACGAGACCCTCGACAATGTAGTGGCACCTGGTTGGCGGTGATGATTTGTTGTTAGTCAAGGGCAACATGAGTAATAGCTTTGATGAGCGGCTTGGTTTTCAATTTTACTACGCAGGTCAAGCACAGAGCAGAAAGACAACGAAGAAAGTGAATGAATAACGCGTGTGTTCAAGCTGTGTCTGTGTGTGTGAAAATCCAGACCTGCGAAGCATCTTGTTTGTAATTCATCGCGTCGGTTAGAAAAAGGAGTGAGATCGATTATCGAATGTCCAAGGGGCACAAAAAAGAGAGAATGTCTGCATTCTAGGGTGGGGTGTCACAAACACTCAATGGCCTGCAAAGTCCAAAAGGGAGACTTCTCGGCTCATTTTCGACAAACGCAGGTTGCAGTCTCATCGGCGTCTGTGAAAAGATAAGAGTGGCAGGGTACCTCGTCGTGATCAGATGACCCCCTGATGAATGTATGTGGCTTGGATATTTGTGATCATAGACCAGCAAGAACAGACTCTGGGGAGCCAGACCGGGCCATTTGGGAGACTGGTGCGTACAATAGAGAAGAGAGAGAGGCTGGTGACCATGGGGATCGATTGGCCCCTAATTTTGCCACCCAGCAATGATTGGCTAATCCTCTCAACAAAATGAATGAAGAGGGAAAAAGAGGGAGGTCGATAAAAATAGACGCCATCCTTTCATGGGGCTGGACTGGGCTGGGAGAAGGACTTTTGGCTGGAAAGTAGGAGCACAAAGGCTTGGTAACCAGCCAGCGACCTTGAAGGATGATCGTGGTTCTAGACTCGGGAACAAGCAGGCTCTGGAGAACGGGATATCAGGACAGTCAGACTCTGCCTTACTTTCAAAGTGACATATTGTCACGTACAACGCCAATGATCGTTTGGTTGCCCTGCCACAAAGAAGTAAGGCTGCAGTCGAATGTCTATCTCTGTACAGTAGAGTCATGTCTCTATGCTGGCTGCATGGTCTCCCTGTGGCATTCTGTCTCACTTCTCAGGCACAGTTGAACCGGTGTCCCTTCTCTTTGATCACTTATTCTTCTTCTTTTTCTTCTTCTTCTTCTTCTTCTTCAACTCCTCTCCCCTCTTGTCCATTAACCTACTTTCCCCTTCAACTCCATCCACTTCTTTCTCTCTTTCTTCCTCGCTCATTCTGCATTCCTCCTCCCTTCGTCCTTCACCTGTACCAAAGTCCTTTATCTTTCCCTCTCCCTGTACCCACCAGCCACTTTTTTATTTTCCAGCTCCGTCCGTCACCGTCACTCTCTGCTCTCACCACTCCGATTCCCGCTCTCTTCTTCACACAACTCTCACACTCTCACACTCTCACACTCTCCCTCCCCCTCACTCCATACTTTCTTTTTAAACTCTCGTATTCCACCCCTCATCATCTCTTTTTTTCATCTCTCCTTCTTTCATCCTCAACAAACTATACCCCTTTCCTCTTCCTCACTTCGGAATGATCGCCGCCACTACCCCTCTCTCCATCAAGACTCCCAAGCCCGTCTCCCCCGAGACTTCACCCTCGACCCCCCTCAGCTACCACCTCATCAAGGAACGCTACCAGGCTGCCGGTCAGGGCCATCTCCTCACCTACTACGATGACCTCTCCGAGGCTGACCAGGCGACCCTTCTCCACCAGCTCCACCACCTCAACGTCGAGAGAGTGAACCGTATCCACCAAAAGGCCACGACCTGCCCCTCGCCCATGCTGACCAACCAGTCTGCTCTCCTCGCTCCGTTGCCCGAGGAGTGCTTCGATTCGATCCTCGAAGCTTCGCCCGATAAGATCAATGAGTGGCAGACCATCGGCTTGAAGCAGATTGCCCAAAACAAGGTCGGCGTCATCCTACTCGCTGGAGGACAGGGTACCCGTCTCGGATCCACCGCCCCCAAGGGCTGCTACGACATCCAGTTGCCCTCGACAAAGTCTCTTTTCCAGCTCCAGGCCGAGCGTATCTTCAAGCTCCAGGCTTTGGCCCGCGAGCAGGAGGGTGTCACTGAGGAGGTTATCATTCCTTGGTATGTCATGACCTCGGGCCCCACCCGCCCCGCCACCGTCAAGTACTTCGAGGAGCACAGCTACTTTGGATTGAGCCAGGACAACGTCGTCTTCTTCGAGCAAGGTAAAAGCACAGTTGTTGCTTGGTTCCCTTTATTTATGCACATCAACAGGACCCTATTTTTTTTCGGCTGCAACAATCATTTTCCTTTGTGCCTATTTTTGCACCAAGCTCAAACGATCGAAGGCGCTGGATGTTGATCATGGATGCACACAAACACATTCGGCAGGCTGAACAAAAGGGAACAAAAGAGAATGGCGATGTTTAGGGGTGACAAGTCCTCGTCATCTTGCATTCAACCCTTATCGACCGTGTACAAGGACAATCGGCGAACACGAATCATTGCATGAGGTCGTTCTCTCTCTCCCCCCCGTTTTTGTTCTCCTTTGTTAATGCTTATCATGGCATACTCGCTTCTACATTAATCTCCCGGAACGCGCGTTATCATTCAATGTTTGTCCGAGTGCAGACGGCTTGTTGCCTGCCTCTATCTTTACCCCACTGGAGCATACTTTGTTGATACCTTTCCATCAGGAACGAAACGGGGTTGGAAAAAACACAAAAAAGAGATCATTAATACTTCGTGTCTAAGACATTGATACCACTACCATCACCACCACTTTCATCCATCATCATCATCGTCATATCTTTTACCGCCACCGCGATCGCCGCCCTTATCGCACCAGCCTGGGTAACATGCTAAAACTACGACAGCCTGAAAATAGCCCGACAACACGACACAAACAGCCTGCAAGCAAGCTATACGAGATGTGGGAACCTTCTTTATTTTTTTTCTCTCTGGGCTCTTCTCCCTCTCCCTGTGTGACAATCGATGAGATTTCCAGCCCGGAAATTGAACTGGGGAAATAATAACACAAGACGTCAGAAACTTAAACTAACGCACTCCCCTCTGTTTCTCTCATTTCTCGATCATTCTCGGTGTCCAATCGTCACTTAGGAACTCTCCCTTGCCTCACCTTCGATGGCCGCATCATGATGGAGTCCAAGTCCCATATTGCCGTCGCTCCCGATGGCAACGGAGGTGTCTATGCTGCCCTTCGCGGCACTGGAGTTCTCGCCAACATGGCCGAGCGCAAGATTGAGTACCTCCACGCCTACTGTGTCGACAACGGTCTCGTCCGCGTTGCCGACCCTGTCTTTATCGGATACTGTGTCTCCAAGAACGCCGACTGTGGTGCCAAGGTCGTCCGCAAGAAGTCCCCCGATGAGCCCGTTGGCGTTGTCTGCCTCCGCAATGCCGCCTTCAACGTTGTCGAGTACTCTGAGATTGATGAAGAGGTCGCCAACAGGATCAACCCCAGGAACGGCCAGTTGGCCTTTGGCGCCGGAAACATCGCCAACCACTTTTACACTGTCGACTTCTTGAACAAGGTCGAGTCGTTCGAGGGAGACCTCGAGTACCACATTGCCCGCAAGAAGATCAAGTCCTTGGACATTAGCACTGGCGAGGTTGTCGCGCCCAAGCAGGTCAACGGCATGAAGCTTGAGATGTTTGTCTTTGATGTCTTCCCCTTCACCCAGCGCATGGCCGTCTTTGAGGTCGACCGTCGGGAAGAATTCTCACCCCTCAAGAATGCCCCCGGTACCGGAGAGGATTGCCCCGAGACCTCCAGAAGGGACATTTTACAGCAGCACGTCCGGTTCATTCAGAACGCTGGCGGCAAGGTCGTTGTTGGCGAAGATGATAAGCAGCTCGAGGGCGCCCCTACTCTGGAGATTTCCCCCTTGGTCACCTACTCTGGCGAGGGCTTGAGCAACCTTGTCAGCGGCAAGTCTATCAAGACTCCTCTCTTGATCAGCTCCTTGGAGGACCTCGAGAAGGCCCTCTTCTAAACACTTTTTGTTTTTTCTTAGTTTTGCTTTTTTTTTTGTCATTTTCTCTCATCTCCATCAATCTTCTCCAAGTAACTCGCCACCACCATGTACACAAAACCCCACACACCCGTAGATACATTTTTCTTTTCCGTCATGATACCCCAACGCCATAAAGAAAAACTAAATAATTTAAATATGTTTGTACGCATTTTCGCCTGTCTATCCTTTTTTGGCCCTCACATCATTTTGGCCCCTTGAGCAAGCGTGTCAAGAGCCAAGAAAAAAAAGTGTAAGTCTTTTTTTTTTTTTTTTTTTTTTTTTTTCCCAAAGTCTGTACCTGTCGTTATCATAACCTCGCGTCTAGGCTTTGGAAGTTCTTTCGTTCACTGTTGTTGCTGAACATATTACACATTTGGAGTCACGACAAAAAAATGCATTCAAGTTTGAAAATGGTTTATTCTTCCCTTGAAAAGTATTTTTCTATAATGTTCAACTGAAGGAAAGCAAGAGATTCCCAACAATTTACTTCTGGTAGTTCCAGACCATGGACAACACTAGAAGAAAATAAAAAGAAGAGATGAAGTGAGGTCAGTATACGATACTCTTATATAACATAAATAAATGATATCAAGGGGAAACGACAAAAAAGGGCAAAAAGATCAGGGCTACTTACAACCATCCTTGGTGGCAAGGCGGTTGATGGAGTCATCAGCCTCGGACTGGGCACGGACGTATCCAGAGAGGGCATAGGTGGTGAAAGAGCCGTTGAAGCGACCGTTCTCGTCAACACCACCAATGTTGATCTGGACCGAGGCGTGGTCCTTGGCGCCAATGAGGCGGTTAGTGGCAGAGCTACGAGTGAAAGAAAAAAAAGTGATACGGGTTATTATTCTAGTTCATTTGAACAATTGTCCAAAAACTTATGAGGAAAGGACTGGGTGTTTGGTAGCTCCTAGTGTTCCTGCGCCACAGTCTCTCTTCGAAAACTGCAAGACTAGGGGTGAGTGTGTTGAGAATAGTGGCCGAGCACAATGATGGGTCTCTTCAAGTTGTTCGGTTGTTTTTCCGTGATAAAAAAATAATATATATACGCCAACTGGTTGTTGACAGGGCTCAATTAGGTCGTCCTGTCAATTGTCTGTTGCTCCTCGTATCGTGGTGTTTGCTGAGGGGTTGTCGAGTCGATCGAGACGTGCAAGTCGAAGCGAGTGCATTGGATTCGATCGATGTTGGGTTCGCCATGGGATTTGGACAATCGATCCTCCTTGCTTTTCCGATCTATTTCTCTTTGGTCGAAGGTACCGATCCCGATCTCTGCTTCCAAAGTTAACAGTAGTATCCTCCACCCTCCTGACAACGTCAACAAGATCGGTCGTTGTGCTTATTGTTGTTTTTGGAAGGATGAGTTTCGGCAAAAAGTTGAAGATGGATGATGGATCTTGCCCATCTTTGAAGAAAAAGATGCCACCTCCAAAAGTGTCCGTTGTTTCCCAAGAGATGTTCGGTAGTGGTTCGCTCTATGGTGTCGGTTATTTACCACTTGCGGGGGACGTAGGTCTCGAGGGTGATCTGGGGGGTCTCCATTTTGGTTGTTTGAAAGCAAAAGAAAGAATCCACGACCAACAACACCCGCTTTTCTTTTGTGTCTGTCTGATTTTTTCTTTGTTTTGTTTGCTTTTGAATCTCACGTACAATAAGATTTTATACGTGAGGAATGATTTGATCAGGTGATTATAAAAAATCGACTCCTTAGCATCATTAATGACAGCAAGAACCCAAACGACGTATCAACAGTTACAGGTTTAAGTGGGATGCTTACGAAAAGAAATGAGATATGAAATGGAAATGGCGTTAGGGCCAATGAGGTGCTAAACTTACAACAGTAAAATAAACGAAAGAACAAAGAAAAAAAAATGAACAGCTAAACTAAGGGGGTACTCAATGGCACTATTGAGCACCAACGCCGTAACTGAACATGGCATTGAAGTTCCCGCTTCGTCGCTTGGTGGCACGCTGCATAGAGTCGTCCATCATCTCTGCCTCCTCCCTGATCTCCTCCATCTCCTCGTCACGGCTGGCATGAGAGTCGTTCATAGAGTCGCGCGAATACGAGTCCGATCCTGGTGATTCCCGGTTATTAACGCTGAGGTTGTTCATGCTGTCGCCGTTGCTCTGGCTGCTGTCCTGTCTTGCCAAACGAGAGGATCCAAACTGGGGAGAGGGGACCATCACAGGTGACAACAATCGGTTGTTACCGTTGGCACCATTGTTACCGCCGCTGTTGCTCTCGCTCAGGATAGGAGGCAAGACGGGGATCATGGACGATGGTGGGAGCGCATGGTTCATGATCCCCGAGGCTGCAGTCGATGATGAGCGTCTGGGGCGCGTCAGGCCTCTCTGAAGAAGCAACTGACTGCTCCCAGTCTCGGTCGAGCTCCGGTAGCTAAGCCGCCTGGGGTTGGAGCTGGGCGAGGGTCGGCTGTAAGAGGCCAAGGACGACGATGGTGACTGGGGCATGAACTGGTTCTCCTGGTGGTCATAGAGAAACCCGCTTCCGCCATATGTGACTGGGCGGCGGCGTGAGACATATGGACCATCATCTCCTCCACGACGCCTGGGAACAGGCATCACCTCGTTGTTGGGGTTACTGTTGCTGTTAGAGTTGAAGGTGCTGTTGCCACTACCACCGCCGATAGGTGGGCTGGCCTCCCAAGTCATGCCGGAGGATGAGTAGCGAGAGGTGGACGATGCAGAGGGCTCATCCTGATAGGGCTCTTTGCTTGGGTATCCTGATGGCCCGTGAAAGGATTGACGCTTGTTGCTGGTGTTCAACAGTGCGGCCATCTCTCGCTTTTCGTCGTTGTTATCCTTGCCGTCCTTCTTGTGCTCCTCAGACTCTTGAACATAGGCAGCCGCAAACGCCAAAAGATCAATCGCCGATTCGGGTCGGGGTTCCTCCTCGGAGATGACCAGCCTTGTGTCCATGTTGAAGTTATCGCGCATGAGCTGTTGATGCTCGTCATACTGTGCATCGTCATATGACTGCCTGTTCTTGGTCGTGCTGGCAAAGTAGGCACTCGAGGGACGCTCGCGGGGGATGATGGGCGTATCCATTTCCTCGGCCTTGAGCCCGAACGAGGACCACGATGTGCTGTGGCGGTTGTTGCTTGTAGCGCTAGATTTGGTGTGGTTGCCATTGGCAAAGGGGGAAGGTTGAGTAACAGATGAGGGCGAATCTTCCTTGGTATCTCTGTATTCATCACGGTACTGCAAAGTATCACTCATCCGCTCGGGAGGAGGTGAGATGGGCGACAATGACGTCGGTGACATGTAGCCTGCAGGGTGGCCCTCGGACATGGTGCGCTCATGACGGTTCTGGCGCCTAGTGTCATCAAAGTTCTCGAAAGACTGACCACCGCCGGGTGGTCCTGTTCGGCGCTGATTGTTCAGACTGTTGATGGGTGGCGGGAGAAGAGGGCGCTGTGACGAGGAGGTAGCAGAGGGAGCGTTCTTGGCCATGATAATGTCCATGCCAAAGGCGCTTGAGAACGAGCCCGAGTGTGAGTGGCCATGGCCGTGGCCGTGCCCATGGCCACCGGAAGACTGGTTATGGGATGATGGGCTGTAGAGGGACGAAGAAGAGGAAGACGACGAGGAGTGCTGCTGAGGCTGGAAAGCGCCCGGGGTCTGCTGAAACTGCTGAGTTTGAAGATGCTGCCCGTAGCTCCCGAGGTCGTATAAGGAGACGGGACGCCGATTGTTGGACGGGCCACGTTGAGATTGCGACGAGTGCGTGCGAGGCGTGGCGGTGGGCATGGTCATCGGTGGCGACGACGAGCCATTGGGGCCGAAATATCCGTATGCGGACGATTCCTGGGTAGAATGGGACCCATTATTACCACCGCCATTGGTGCTGCTGTGCTGTTGGTGGTGGCCGGGGATGGGTTGTTGAGGGGTGGCGGGTGCAGAGTGGGCGGTGTGGCCGGGGTGACCGCCAAAGCCGCTGGCGCTATTGCTGCGATGGTGGTGGGGGTGGTGATGGTGACCCTGGAGGTGCTGCTGCATCTGTTGCTGCTGGAGGTGTTGCTGATGGTGGAGGGCAGCCTGCTCGTTGATCTTGATCCTGTTGGCCTTGGCTCTCCTGTTCTGGAACCAGACCTAAAGGCACGAGACGAGAGGGAAGAGAAGGTTATATTGTTCAATAAGGTTGCTCCCTCATCACTTTTTTTTTCTTTTTTCTTTGTTGCATTATGTACACCCTTCAACACACACGTTCGACAAGGTCAAGGAGGGTAAAGGCAGGGATCCAGCACGTCCATTTTTTTTTGTCTGTCAGGAAGGTTGTGTGCGTACGTGCTTCTGTTTGCTTTAGTGTGAGTACAAAGTAAGTTTTTGGTTGTCTTTGCTCAGTTGTGTGTGTGTCCTGTGTGTCGGTTTGTTGCGTAATAAACCCTTCAAAGGGAAGGAGGGACGAGCACTAAGTGCAAACATAATACAATCACCGGGTAGGTGCAGCACGGAAAGAAAGGCTTTTACAAAGAAAGTGCAGGCACACATATGCATACACCCACATATACACACAGCAAGATGATGGAGTAAAAGGTATTACCTGGATCTCTCTGTTGGTCATGCCGAGTTTCTTGGCCAGGTTCTCCCGAATCTCGAACGAAGGCGTGTCAGTCTTCTCGAACAGTCCCACGAGGTCCTCAAGCTGCTCGGGGGTGATGCGCTTACGCTTGGCCTTCTTGGGCTGGTCAGCCTGGGCTGCTACCGCCGCTGCTGCTGCTGCTGCTGCCGAGGCATTGGTACTTTCCTGTTGCTGTTGTTGTTGCTGAGGTTGCGGGTGTTGCTGTTGCTGAGGTTGTTGCTGCTGGGGGTACGGGTGGTGGGGAGAGGGTTGTTGACCTTGGAGGGACAGTCTATGGGGATCTGAGGCCATTTTTTTTTGGGTTGATGAGGCAATAGAGCAAAAAGGCAAAGAGAAAAAGGCAAAGAGAAAAAGTGTAAGGGGGTTGGACAGGTGGGTTGATGACGGTGAGGAGCAGGAGAAGTGAGAGGGGAATGGACAAAAGAGGAATAAATAAAAGGTAAAGAGGAAGAGGAGGGAGACAGTGAGTGAAGAGCGAGGAATTATTTTATGGGATATCGTCGGGTATTGTGTGGGTGAGAGTGGGTGAGAGAGAGAGAGAGAGAGCAATTTGCGATTATATATCGACTGAGAAGAGGGCGAAAGAGAGAAGAAAGATGGGTAGGGGAAGGGTGAAGAGAGAGAGAGAGAGAGAAGAGAGAAGAGAGAAGAGAGAAGAGAGAAGAAAGAAGAAAAGGGAAGGAAGAAGAAGGAAGAAAAGAGAGAGAGAGAGAAAGGAAAGGAAAGGAAAGGCAAGGAAGAGATAAAGAAAAAGAAAAGGGGGGCAGATGGGGAAGGGCCATGTGCAGGCAGAAGAGAGACAACAAACTAAACCCTACTAAGAAAAACAGACGAATTGATGATCCTCAGACATATCAAGGGGAGGGAAAGGCATGCCGCTCCTCGTCACTCATTGGCCATCAGAGGACTCTTGTATCAGTTCAATCACTTATCATTATTACTCCATCCCCATAGTACTTTGAAGGAACCGACATGGATACATCCGTCCTCGCCCCTTTAACTCTGATGCACACACACATCCACCTTCTACACCCCCCATCTCTCCAACGACCGTCCTTAGTCCACGCCGCCGCGTAATTGGGTTCCTTCTTAGTCTCTACAACTGTGTGTCATCTGTTCTCTTTCGTCCCATTGCTTGTCCCTCCTCAAATATTCTTTTGCATTTGGCGCCTTGCGCCATGGCCTCATCCATCAGCCTCACCCGCCCTATCCATCCTTGGTCGCAGACACTCATCTCTCTTTCTATTCGTCTCTATCTCTCTCTCTCTTCCTTTTCTTCCTTATTCTCGCCCTTCGTCTCTCTCTACCTCGCTTGACCCTTATCATGGCCTCTTCTTCTCCACCCTTTTTCCCACCCACTCATCTACCGTATCAAGGTAGCTTCATTGTCCCAAATGCCTGATTTTCCACCTCATGGTCGCCCAACTAAAATATCAAAACAAAAACACTCTTTCCATCATGCATAAAGGCCAATTAACCAAAAACCAGCCTACAGTTACCCTGCCATATGCCAGATGATAATAATAACAATCAACATCTCACTTTCTAACCCCTGCCAACCCAACAACCCCCTTGTATCTCATGTCTTCCCCTTGACTGCCGCTGATGGTCCACAGCTATTTTCCCTTTCACCTCCTTTCTCTCCCTTCCTCTCTCTCTCTCTCTCTCTCAACATCTCGCACTCGCTTCCCGTCCCCTGGTCCTCCTCCCCTGCAAGGAGGAAGCAGAAGGAAGATGACAGAAATAAACAAATCGCACAAAATCTCTCTTCCAAAGACATAACACGTTTGTTAACTTTTTTTTTTTTGTTCTTTTTGGGTTTTCTCCTTCCTTTCCCGCCTGTAAATAAACCCTGCCTTCCCTATTTTTCCTTCAACGGTCTAATTGGTTTCCAGGGTCGGTAGCAATTAACCATATCCTACCATTTCACATTACTCCCTCCTCCCTTCCCCCCCTTCTCCACCGTCTTACTTTCCTCCCCCCTATCAATGGACAAAGTACCCGGAGGCTGGACTGGAGTGGGCTGGGCTGGGAAGGAGTACGTTGTGTAAATTGCCTTTAATCCACTTCCCTTCTCCAGCCTGTAATATTCGAACAATTGTTGTCCTTCCACCTCTTCCCCCACCTCCTCCTCCTCCTCCTTCCCATAAGAGCCCAAAAAGCGATTGTCTTCAAAGACACACACAAAGAGTGGGCGAACGAAACGGTAGACCAAAAAGTCAAAAAGTGAATAGGTAAACATCTTTCCTCCGCCAGGACTTCCCCCCATCGGTGTTTTTGAGCGTTCCTGGATATCAGTGACGAATGAGATGCCGCATAGTGATGGTCTCCATGTCGGGAATTGATATAACGATTAAACAAACCGTAAAAAAAAAAAAAAAAAAAAAGCAAGACTGTGGGAAAGTGGAGAGACCCGGAGAGGGTAGGGTTGTTGTTCAGTTGCAGGTAAAAGTGTCGTAGGTTTTTTTTTTCTACTTTACCTTGTCCTTGTGTATGCATCTTGAAGGACTGTTGATGTCGCTGGAATTGATGTGCACGCAGGATTTCGACCATGGTTATTTTGGCGAATATGTAAGTGGATTTGATAATCGTCGATAGAAAAAAAAAAGTGGGCGGGGAGAAAAGGAAAGGAAAGGGGGAATGATCTGCTGGTTTGAGTTTTTTGCCCGAGGAAGAAAATGGAATGGCGTATGGGTAGTGTTTCCTGAGGAGTAGGAAAAGGAAGGTGTGAAGTGGAGAAAAGGTGGTGGATTTTCCTGGTCAAGGCGAAAAAGATTAAGTGTTCGATTTTTGGGCGTATGTTTTCGAAAAGTGGGAGAGAAGCGTGGGGGATGTATCTGTGAGGCGATGGTTGAAAGAGAAGAAGAGGAGAAGAGGAGAGAGGTCGAGGGATTGTCGAGATTTGCGTGGCGCGATAGAGGAAGAATGTGAAGGACAAGGAGAAAGGAGAAGAGGGAAAAAAAAGGAAGGAAATGCGAGATGGAGTACGAGAGAAAGAATAAGTTTGACTGAGAACGTGCATGCGCTTCTTTTGGTTTCTCTCCTTTTTCTTTCTACTTTTGCCTGAATTGTTTGTGCTTGCTCTGTTCTGTGTGGCACCTCCGTACCCATTCGCAGCTCTGTGCTCCCAGTTTTTCATATGTGCAATTGTGTAATGCTTTGTCTACTACGCAAAGACAGCCCCAATAATGGCTGGCATCTCTCCTCTTTATTTTTGCTTCATTCCTTGTTTTGTGCCCCACCTGCAAACAATAAACCCAATTAGCCATTGTAATCGATCACAAAGCACAAACACCAAACCAGAGCGAAACCACAACCACTATTGAGGAGTTTATGAGGCAGCAAAGCAACCACAGTGCGGAAGTATCAACCGAAATAGCGTTGGGTTGACATATTCTATTGTGCTCCCAGGCCGGTCTGTCCATCGGAACGCGGCTCTCGTCCGGGTGCGCTGTGAGATGAATGAAAAGGAAGGAAAAAAAAAAAAAAAAAGAGTTGACTTTCATTCTTCTCTCGTTCTCAGATTGGCGCACCATCTTTTTAAGAGTGCTCAATTGCTCAACGGGTAATAAATAATTAGATAAACGCTTTTTTTGATCGTAGGTCTTTCATTCATTCGTTTCAAGAACGGGCTTTGTTTGAGATCTCTGCCTCATGACAGAGGGCAGAGCAAAGGGCAGAGCAAAGGGCCACTACTCCCTCCTCTTCATCCCTCAACTCGGAACAAGCACGAAATAAATATGAAAAGCGGCACAAAGGCCATTCTTCTGAGCAGCAGCAGCATCAATCACTATTCGCCTCGCCTTTGCCTCGACTTTAAAGTCTTTGTCAATCAAGGGGTTGATCAAGCGTTATGACGGTTCTCCACTGAAAGGAGCAGTGGTCCAACTGTTACAACTCCATCAAACATAGATAGATTGCATTTACACATCGACAGATACATTAGTTCAAATTACACATCACCCAAACACCTAAACAAAAAGACGGGAGACTAGGGTGTTCACACACAGGCATTTCAACAAAGCCGACAGCAAAGCAAACACTCCGATGCTGCATGGGTTCACGGCCCCCCCATCACCCTCTCAATTCTCATCTGGGAAAAAAACAACACATACCTTGCAGACGATGGTTTTCCCCTTCCGACCTTCTAATATAAAAAATGGACAGGGGCCGCCTCTTTCTGTGTAACATCACAAGCTCTTTTTTTTTAGTATCCCAGCTGCTCACAGCACATCACCCCACCACTACCAACACCAACATAGAAAATGACCGCCACTTCCCATTCTTCCCGTCCTCTCGCACACCCCCTCATCCCTTGCAGAAGATAAAATATTTGTTTTTCTATTTACAATGTGTACGGAAAACTATCAACAAGTAAGGTAGGAATTGAACGAATGTACTACTGTAAGATGGGGCACAAGAACTGAAAATGTCCCAGCAAGAAGTCTCCGCTAACAAAAAAAAGTGCTACTATTTTACGAGGCAGGGGTACTAGTGGAGAAGGCCTGCTAACCAGAGTGTTTGGCGGCCAAGAGCGCACAGAGAGCAGCTCCGACACCACTTCCATCCTGGGCCAAGCCGATCGAGACATTCTGACGGACAGTTGGTCCAAAGACCTCCTCCAACCCATCCATAATGTCCGTGTCGAAGCTAGGGTAGTACTCGAACAAGGACCCATCAATTCCAATAGCAGCCTTCTCCTTCCAGGAGCCAGTATGCTCAAGGACTCCAGCAATGGCGGCGGCAGAGAGACGGGCGGCACGCTTGCCGACCAGTTCGACGATCAGCTTGACGATCTGGCGGTCGTTCATGGTTGTGCTGGAGAAGTTGAGGGTCGACTCGAGGATCTTGCGGGTGGCGTGGAGGGTGGCGGATCCGTCGGCTTCGATGGTCGACATGTAGGCGGTCTCAAAGGTCCACATCTGGTTGAGATCGGGTGAGATGCAGCCCTCGAAGAGAAGGCGGCGATCGATCAGGTTGAGGAGGACATTACGGGTGATCTCTCCGAGATACATACCGGCAATCATCTTTTCGAGGATTTGCTTGTTGGGGTTCTACATTGTGCAAGAGGGGCAATTGGAGAAACAAGGTAATGACGTTTAGAAGAAATATTCTCATTTGGGAAATTGTGTGTCACCAGAACACATCACATAAAAGATTTCAAGTGTCCGTGGAACCATGGAACAAAGGAGGATACTTACGACTGACTTTCTGTCCATCTTGTTGTCAAACATGGTCAGGGGGAGGATGGCACGCTCCTTGTCAAAGGCACCAAACTCCATGTTGATGATCATCTCCTTGGCAGTCGCATCGCCCTTCCACTTGGCAATGTTCTCGATCTTTTCGACATAAGCACCGTTGCATCCAGTGCCAAGAATACTATTCGTATCGTATCAATTGAAGGGGGCAAGATGTTAGAGTTTGATGAACCAAGTGGAGCAGGATGTTCATGGGACAATGAGCAACAAGTGGTAGACTTACACTCCCATGCAGGTGTCAGGGTGGTTGTAGGCATGGGCGAGGAGGGTTCCGACGGTATCGTTAACCAGGGCAGCTAATTGCAAACAAAGATAATGAAAATGACACATAAAGAAGGATGAATATTATTGTCCACGGAGCAGATTGATAACCACAGACCGCATTCCCAAACAAACAAACAAACAAACAAACAAAATAAAGTACATGACTGATAAGCCTTATCCTAAACAACAACGAAAAAAGAGGGACGTACCAACGCGGACGGGGATGTGGCGACGGTTGAAGGCGTCCTGGAGATAAGCAACAGGGTCCTTTCCGACCATTCCGGAGGCGTTGAAGCCCTTTGTCCAGGAGATCAAAGTTCCTCTGTTGATGGAGGTCTGGAGGACGGGGAAGGAGAAGGTGAATCCGAGCTCGAACTGGGTGTCTCCACGGACTACGATCTGGTGCTCATCCACTGTTAGGTCGAATGGACAGTGTCAATGGTTAGCAGTGTGACTGGCGATTCGGTTTGCATTGGTAGCGAGAAACAAATATTGGGCAGATAACAAATCGAACGACATTCTTCTGCCGTTTCGTTGGGGGGACGAAGATTATCGTTGATATCGTTGCAAGGAAAGAAAGCAGAATAATAACAGTTGCAAGGAAAAGACAGGAGAATGATGACTTACAGAAAGAGTCGACACAGACAGCCATGAAGTCTAGAACGGGCATGAAATACATTCAAAGACATGATGATCAATTGGTTAGCATTCGATCAGCGACATCACCCAAAAGTCCGATTGATCCATCTGGAACAAACGCCCACCAGGTACCGTGCCAAACAACCCAGGTTCTCTTTTTTGTGTGTATCTATACCACGGACATTACATTCATTTCCTTCAGATCAGATCTGACACTCCTCTCCTTTGTCAATCCAACAACCCCAGATTCATTGTGGATTTTTCTTTCCTCCACAAAGAGCAGATTATAGTGTGCCCAATAACTCTGTTTTGGCCCAATCCATCTTGTTTATGCAATAAACATACAGAAAGACAAAAATTAAAAATAATATCCCGATAAATTTGTGCATGACACCAACTGGCGACACTTGTTGTTGTTGTTGGTCCAAGAAAAGGAAAGCGAACCCAATGACATGCCAGGAGAGCACACGCGATAATGACGATACGGTTTGTTTTGTTGTCAACCAGCAGACTTGCAGTGATGACGAGAGTTAGAACTTACCGAAGAGGGCCTTAGCTTCGCCGACCTTGAGCTTCTCGTCAATCCTGTATTTGGTCTGACGAGTGGTAATCTCCCCACCACCGGTGAGGTGGACAGCGACGACACGCAAGTTGGTACCACCGACATCCAAGGCCAAGTACGAGCCGACCTCTATTCATTATCAAAGATAACGTACATTATCAAAAGAAGAGAGAAGATACATTTTGGTGTCAGTGTTCCGTGTGCAGAAAGAAAGAATCCCACGGGTACAAAGAAAGTTTTACGACCAAACAACACAGACACAGACAACACAAAAACAGAAAAGATAAGGAGATTTTAACAAAGTTTACGAGAGCACACAAACGACGTCGTTATCTCCTTCTTCGACCTCTCTTCCCACTCGTCCAATCAACCCAAAAACCCGATTGCTCATACCTGAACCATCGAGACGGCCCATGACATAGGAGGTGACCATGGCCATGGTCTCGCCATCCTTCTTGAGGCCCTTTTTCATGCCCTCCATAAAGTTGGCCTTGATATCCTGGAGCATCTGAGGATGGACGGTGAATTCGTTGATGAGGGCCTCAACGGCGTTTCTTTGGCGATCCGAGGTGTACTCGATATGGGCGGGATCAATGGACACGCGTGTTGCCTTTGCGATAATCTTGCTTGCGATTGGAGTCGATGTCATCTTTGCGGTGTTGTTGTTTGGTTGTTAAGGTGCTGGTTGGTGATATTAGAGTGTGTGGTCGAGAGGGTGTAAGTTGTTTGTACAAGGATCGACCGTTTTGTGGAGGGGTGTGTGTGGGTGAGTGAGTGTGGACAGAAAAGAAAAAAAAAAGAAAGAAAGAAGAGAAAAGAGGATGATTGGTCCCCTTTTGAATGTTGTACACGAACACACAGCTTTTCTTCCTCGATCGCATGTCCTTCATATCAACACGTAACTCTCTTAACCCATTGCCCTACCCAAATCAAGCTGACTCCGATGTCTCGCCTCTTTTGTCTCTCCACTCAACCAGTTGCACCCAACATGGACACACATCCATAGTCCGCTCGTTCTCATTCGCGCGGTCCGTGTTACCCGCATCTTGGAAACACGGTCCTGGGGTTCTCAATCTACTTTCTCCACTCGCCTTCACTCCCCCCATCTCCCTATCCCAACAATTGTTGTCTCACTCAGATAACAAACCTTCACTCTCTCTAAAAGCTAATACGTGAAGAGACAAAAAAAACCCCGATAATCTTCTCTGTTTAGAGCCGAGACTTCCCCCCCCCCCACAACTGACGAAGATGTGTTTGCTGCGGTTGTTAGTGGATGTGGGGTTGTTTCGATCTACTTTCTGAACATCTGGGATTGGTTCTTTCTGAGCGCGCGGTACGCTCACACGCTCGTATCACTCTGCATCCCCTTGGGAGGACTGCCAATCGAAAAGAAAAAATTAGGGTAATGGACGTAATGACTATCATCCCATTGTATATGCAAATGCATGCAGGCAGAGATACTAGAGCACAACAAGATATCTGGCTGTTGCAACGAAAAGTGTTATCTTTTTTTGTGAGTTTTGGAAACTGTTATCCTATGGTATGTGTTTGGTATGGGTAGGTTCGGTGGGGGGGGGTTGTTTTGTTTTGGGGGGTCGTGAATCTACTCCCACTAGATATCGTGGGGGTTTATCTCGCTATGGTATCATATCTCATCTCCTACAGGCCAAAGTTCTCCTCAGACTCCAAGGGGCTAGTCAGCGCCAAACTGCCCTGTCGACTCACCCGCTTCTCGTTCTTTGTCGGCGTCGCACTATCCCTCTCCTTATCCATACTGTTCTTCCTGCTGTTGGTGTTCATGGTGTTAATAATCTTGCCCAACTTCTTCATCACGCTTTTCCTCCGGTTGGTCTTCAATCCATCCTTGCCCGTGGGGGATGAGGTGGCAATAGAAGACAACTGCTCGTTAGAGTTCGAGTTGGAGTTGGAGCTCAGGGATCCAATCTCGGTGGCGCTGTCCATAGTTGAGGCACGGCCGGTGCGGGAGATGGTCTGGCCGGAGGTCGTGCTGAACTCGTGCTGGTGTAGGGTTGTGGGGGAGTTGGACCAGGATGATGGGATGGCTACTGGGGCGGTTGTGGTTGTGGTGTTGTTTGCAACGAGGGTATCGACAGCCAAGGAGTTATGGCGGTTGTTGTTGTGTTGCTCGGGCACTGGGGCCAGTGGTGGGGTGGCGGCATCGGATCGGAGAGAGGGCACAGAGAGTTCCTTGAGGACTGGAGAGACAGGCGTCAGGGGGACGGCTGTCTTCTTCTCCGCGCTCTGCTCGGGCTCGGCGGTGATGGCAGTGGCGACTACGGTATCTTCAACGGTGAGGCTCGAAGGTGTGGTCGAGACCTTGAGCGACTCAACCTTGGAATGGATCGAAGAACTGGTCTCGCTGGGACGAATAATCTTGGCAAACCGACCCAGTCGTTCCCGAAGAGGCGATGTGGAGGGGGGGGACGATGATGAGGTGGTGAGGGAAGTCGAACGCTTGGTGAGCTTGGAGAAGGTTTTTGAGCGGGTGGGTGCCGGTGAGACTGGGACGGAGACGGTCTCCAGTGCTGGTGCTGCTACTGCTTTTGCGGGGACTTCAGGCGTTGGGATCGCCTCAACAACAACCGCGGCGGCGATAGGGAGGCTAGAGTCATCAACAACATCCTCAATGATCTCCTCCACAAACGTCGCGGGTGCATCGATAATCTGGGTCGAGAACTGCACCTCCTCCATCTCCTGCTGCCTATGCTCCTCCTGGACGACAACATTGTGCTCCTCCATCACTGTCGTAAACTCCTCAACGACCGCCAAGTCACGGCTCTTGATCTTCTCGTGGACCTCCTCCCGATGAAGGTAGCCATGGCTATCCGTCGAACTGCTTGCAACAGCAATCTCGCCCTCTACCCGATGCTCACCCTTGTAATCGTCCGTGATCACGACTGGGACTGCAGCATTGCCGTTGTTGTCATGCGAGTCAGGAAGGTGGTTGGGCTCGTCCTCCTCGTCTGTGGGGGTCTCGATAAGGTTATGATAATCTGTGGGGCCGCTCTTGAGTGGACTGAAGCAGAGACCTATCAAACGCGATTGGGAAGGAAGGAAGTTAGTTAGTCACGTTAACCTTTGTCGTAGAACACGTGTTTTATTTATGTGTGTCTGTGGTGCACATATAGGAGGCGGTAGAATGAATGTGCGAAAGGGTGCAATGTTCGAACCAAGAGCGCAGTAAAACAGAAGGTGAGAGTGTATGTATGTAATGAGAAGAGGGAAGTGGGGGGAAAGGGAGGCGAGGCTAAAAATGAAAGCAACTCGTTGAAAGGATGGAAGGAAAGAAAAGAACCAAAAGAATCGCGGGAGGAAGGAAAACAACAACAGTAAGGAAAAAACGCCAAGAACCATCCAAAACAACAAAAGAGTCCTTCATCCATACCCCCTAGACACACAGACAACACTAGCATACACAGCAAGAAAAGGCGCAAGGTCCAAATGGAACAGCAAGCAGAACTGCTAAGGTTCATAAAAAGGGGACAACAGCTGCCCATCCGACTGAGAGGAGAGAAGGAGAGGGGTGGGGACACAGGAGGGAAAGGAGAGAGCGAACACGTAAAGGTGGGGGGAGGGGGGAGTAAAGGATCTTTGACGTGATGGACAACCTCATTTCTCAGATGTGGTGTTTGTACGCCGACGATTGGGAGTGAGGGAAAACACACAAGGGAGAACCACAAAGGCATGATATCAAACAATTAAATAACCTTGGGTTTCGAGGACAAAAGGGAGATACACGCCCCGATAGGAGGGCTGCGTAAAGAACGTGAAAAAAGGCATCATTTCTCGATATCCTTTTGGGTCTGCCGACTGATTGCTGCTGATGACAAACACAAGGGTCTCTCCTTTTGTTTTGCATGGTCGTCTTTCCCTTTTCTGCCGGACACTTTTTAGTGTTTCCCTTGTGTTCGTTGTACCTCCAATGCCATACCTCACACCAACTCCGCATGCACACAAGCAAACACACGTTCCCTCCCCTTCTTGCGTTTCAAACAAGTGCGATAGCGATGCACCACCTGATGGAAATAAAAAAAGGTTTTCCATAGTTGTTCAACTTACCACATCCTCCAGAGATCTTTTGGAAGGCCAAGGACAGTCGGCTCTGCTGCTTGACCTCTGTAATGACGACAGCGGGAGCAGCAACGGGAGCAGGAGCAGGCGCAATCGGTGCGGGCTCTGTTACTTCTGGTGTCAGGGCAGGCTCGTCGTCTGTGATGATAGTGGCGGTGATGGTGGAAGTGTTGGTGGCGGTGGCGTCTTCGGAGACGACGATCTCTTGAGTCTCCTCAACGACCTGAGTCTCTTTAATCACTTGAGTCTGGATATCTGCCATTTCACTCTTGATGTGTGGGTGTATGTGTGTGTGTGTGTAGGTGTAGTTGTTGGTGTTGGAAAGAAAGAGAGCAGGCGAAGTTGTCGTTGTTTGGTTGGTGTTGGTGTGAGGTTGTTGTAGAGGGCGAAGGGGGTCAAGTTGTGTTACGATCGAAAGAGAGCGGGGGTTGTCGTGGATAAGTGGTTCTATTTAAACGAAAAGGGAAGGAAAAAGAAACAAAAGGGAAAAAAGACAGGGTGTCAATACGCATGTACAATGATGAAAATGTCGTTGTCTTTTTTTCTGCAGAAGAGGCGGGAGCGAGGAGTCTAGCAACATCTCCACTCCACCACCCCTTTTCTTATTATTGTTGGAAGAGCCTAACGTAGGGCGTAAAGACAATAACGGGCCCGGTGCAGGAGTCAGGAGGAATCAAAGAAAGGGCAAAGGGGAGGAAGGAGAGAGGGTGGGAAGTGAAGTCAGACAGACAGACAGACAGGAAGAGGGAGAGAGGAAGGTAACAGAGCAATAACCAAGTCGGATGATGACAATGGAAGTAAGAGGAAAGAAGGGAACAATGGAAGGAGATTGAGGCAGGAGTCCAGAAGCAACACCGACCTCGTGAAGGGGACAGAGAACAGCTAACAATTGCCGTAGCGGATACTGATAAAAGTAATTGATCAAATGAGGCGGAAAATATCATACATTGACTGATTGATCTGGGAGGAGGAACTTTACAAGTCTCAGTGATTAGTGATTAGGTGATTAAAGAGTATAGGTGAATGAAGGGTAAAGAATAAGGGAATAAAGGAAGAAGAGAAAAAAAGACAGGCAAGGAGGCGGGGTGTCTTTATAGGAAGATCAATGTGCCCGTCAAAGAAACACACCCTTGGTGAGATGCGGGATGAACCCACGCCATACCACAGCCATGAGCTGGTTAGCATAGCAGAGGGGAAACCACAGAGGTGGTGGTGGCCCAAGGGGGAGGAAAGGAAGGGATAGAGAGTTGGGACAGGGTGGGATCGCACAGAAACAAGTGGTGGAACATGGTGGTGGTGGTTGGGTGCCCACTTGTCAGTTCTTTAGAATTCTATTTCTATGGCATCAAGCCATTTGTGCCTTGCCATTATCGTTAAATAACGTGTCAATGGTGTGAATGCGATGGATATAGACCAATGATGATATTGAGGGGAGGTGACGATGATTATCCGTCTGTCTGTGTCGTGTTTGAGCCATTGGGATAGTTGAAGATGGGGAGGTGTATTAAAAAAGGCGGATAGGGAACAAACGAAGGTGTGAGTTATTGAAGGCGTACTTGGTGTTATTGTTTGATTCCTTTGCCTCGAAATTCTGGAGGATAAACGTTTGAAAGAGAGAAGGAATTTTGGGATTGGGTTGAAAGAAGTGGATGGATCAAAGGGGAGGAGGATGGGGTAAGTGTCGAGATATGTCTATAGTTTTGAGCGAGCGCGAGGGTTACAGAAAAAAAGAAGAGAAAAAAAAAGTCAGGTTAAACTGAGAAAGGGAGACTTTTGAAGAAGGAAAGATAGTTGAAGAACAAGAAGAAAGAGAGAAAAAAGAGAGGGGCGATCGTCGAACATGGCGACGCATTTATATGGAGGACACTGGACAGACAAAAAGGAGAGAATAGGGACGCCCTACATTCAAACATTCAAGAGCACAAACAACAACATGACAAGACATCTCCGACATCGATAGACGCACATACTTGTCAAGACAACAGAGCGATGCCCGAAGGAGAAAGGTGTCATTGAGCGCACGTAGGTTTGGGTCGACGGGAAGAAAAAAAAACAAGAAAAAGGAAACACGCCCTCATTTCTTTGTGCTGAACAGCGAGTACCGCATGAAGGGGGAGAGAGGAGAGAAAGGAGAGGGGAGGGATTAGTGGATTGCACAACACAGGGCAAGAGAGGGCAATGGGTGTGGGTAGTAACGAGAACAGACGGCACGCAAGAATTGGATTTTTGATCGATAAAATAACGACGAAGGATTGAATTGAACACTATCGCGAGAACTAAGGGAGCAACACACACACAGGCAGACAGAGACAAGACAAGGCAGACAAGACAAGGACAGCATGTGTCCATCCCATCCCTTCCAAAACCCTCATTGCGTTATTCAATTGCATGCACATAAAGATAGAATACGGTATATCTCACAGAAAAACTCCGGCAACCCATCCATCCTCATCCACACCACCCCACCTGCCACCCATCCCATAGCCCTTCTTTTCTTTTGATTTACGCCTCTTCGTTCTCTTCTACAGCGTATGGGTCATGTCCGTTTTCTGGGATGTTGAGAGGGGCGGTAGTCGGGTGCAGCGGGTTATCCCTTCCTTCCTTCCTTCCACCGTCCATCGTTGGACAAAGAGCAAGAACGACTTACAGAGACGGTAGGCAAAGAACTGAAGAACAGAAGAAAAAGAAGAGACCTCATCTGCCTTGAATGCGCTCTTCATGTCCTAATCCAGGATGCAATCCTTTCTTCTCGTGGATCATAATTCGCGTTACTCAACAATAACAGAGTCATCAGGCAAGGTTACCCAGCTCGATGAGGAAGGGTCCCATGCCCTCTTCGTCATCCATGACTCGTTGTGGCTCGAGAACAAGAATGTATCGAAAAAACAACGTGCGAAGAAAAATGAGCACAGACAGGGACTCAAAAAAAAAGCGTGGGCTAGTCAGTAGACGTCGCCAACAATCTTGGTCCTGTTAAGGTCATGAAAAAAAGGGTCGTCATTTGCTTTCCCTCAAGTTGACTCACTGTTCGCTGACTGACGCATGGAAGATGCCCCAGGTCGACCTTTTCTTTTAGGTGCCCAGGACAAAATACTATAGCCACCACAATGAAATATTTTTAAATGACCTTTTTGCCAGTTAAATGCAATATTACCTATACCGCACTGTCCTGTACTCTGCAATCGATCGATTAGCTTACATGACACCTTGCGTTTTTGTTGCTATCCTTCGTGAACAGGGATCAAACAAAACCCTTTTTTTTAGGTGAGTCGGTGGTGGTTGTTCCACTTGGTGGTGGCACGCGGGGAGGATGTGGAGAATAAAAAGATGAAGCAGGAGACAAAAGAACCCTTGCAATTTTCTTGCTAGCCTGACATATTCAATCACTATGGGCTCATCGAACGCGAACAAGAAACCGATAGTCATTTGAGGAAGCGCAAGCTTGGCTTGCTCAACAAAAGGACTTGATCACATTCACGATGGCGTCTCGAGAACAAGAAAAAAAAGGGATATGCTCTCATTATGTTAAGGATCATGAACATTTTTGGAGGCAAACACTAGACGATAGTCCAAAAAAGGGTTTGAACCACTCCTTGTGCTTCCCTATCCTTTGGTTCAGTCCGTCAAGTGGAGGAAGAGGCGTGAAGGTTGAGTTATGGCGACACAAAAGAAAAAGAACTCAAGAAAGAGTAGAACAAAGAATGGACGTACATTTTTCTCTAGCCAGAAGAGTCTCCAAGAGTAACAACAACGCTTACACAAGACATATAGCATTGCATTGGATAGGTATGTTGTTATTTTTCTATTTGATCGGTAACTGTCAAGTTCCCATCTCCTCTTCGTCTCTGCCACCCCTGCATTGTATTCTGTGATACAAAAAATACAGACAACATTTCAATTGGTTCGTCTTTCGAAGGGAAGGAGGAAGATGAAGGAGGAAAAGGAAATGAGGAGGAATTCAAGACTTTGTTCTCGGCAACTATTCCATGGATGGCAGATGACAGATGATGATGTTGGTGGAAGGAATTCTAGCTACCTTCGCTTCTGGTCCTTGAGTGCCATAGCCCATTCGCCTTCAGGAATATTTTACCTTTTGGTTCCGTTGAATGAGAAAAGAAGATTTTTCAAAGGCAGCAAACCCTGATGGGAGGAGAATGGGAGAGGATTGCCGCTGGCTGACAAGATGGGTTTGTAAGAAAGAGCGCTATGGTTGTCCAACGTGATCACCACTCCCATTCTCTGCCTCCATATGGTTCTTCCCGAAAAGCAATTTTCTTTTTTTGTTGTGCAACCTTGGCATTGGGCATCACCAGCCTTGCTGGATGTCAAAAAAAAAAGGTTTTCTACGTGATCTCAGTGAGAGGAAAGTGCAGTGTAGGACTGACAAAAGTTCAAAGTTCAAACCCGCCCTGCCATGTCTATCCGGCCAGCCCATTTTCGCAATGCTTTGCAACAAAAAGACAGTTTTTTCTTGTGCCACTAGTACTTGATGACATGTATCGCTTTCCTATGCCCATGTATGGTTACGATGACCGAATCTTGCACACCTTGCTTTTTTACTGTTGTCTGTTTGCTCTCTCCACTCCACTCAGCTCGCCTTTTGTTTGTGCCCGTCCATTGATACCCCAAGCCCACCCTTGTCTCTTCCCTTACCCCTACCTTTGTCATCGGATCATCCTCTTTTTTTTTTGCATTGCTGCATTCGAAATAAAGAGAGAGAGAGAGACAGAGAAGGAAGGAGACCATTCGGCTTGATTGCGCATATATCTGCAAGAGGGATACTGGGCGAGGAGAGAGAGAGAAGGCACGCGAAAAAAATGAACCATGGAGGACGACGAAGGACAGAAAGGGTCCAATTCTTTCCTTCCCTTCTCGCTCTCTCTCGTTCTCTTGATAAGCATATCCAGACAGAACGAGAGAGAGAGAGAGAAGGCGATGTGCGAAAAACAAAACAAAAACAAAAGTGGCCAAGAGGATAAGGTTAGCAATCATGGCTCACATGAGTGCGTGGTCCAATCCTTCTCCCTTCCTTCCTCCCACTCTCTCTCCCCCCTTCCCTTCTTCCCATTTCCCACCTGAGGGGGCTGTAAGCACGACTGGAAAGGACCTAATCGAGATGATCTGGCAGGTAGGCTGCTGGTTCCCTCTGGAAAAGATAGCCCCCCTCGGCAAGTACTTTGTTGTCCGATCTGAGCCTTGCGTTACTTGAGTTTTTTTTTTTTTTTTTTGCATAACCCCCGCATAACCTGTTGTCGCTTTTCCACAACCCATTACATACAAACATACATGGCATGAGAAATAACCAACGAAACTAACACAAGCATAACAAGAAGAATGTCTATCTAGTGTATCATAGCAGTAAAACGCCCTCCACTTTTGCCAATAAAAACAAGCAACAACACGAAAGGCGGGAAAAATAGAGAAGTGAAGAGAAAAGGGCTTTTCTTCCTTTCACTTTACCCCCTGCCTAGTCGAGTCCCCCTTGACGATGATGACGATGATGTCGAAAGTGGACGCCTGATCTCCTATTTACTTTGCTTTTTTTTTCTTGTGTTCATTTCACGCTATTCCTCTTCTCTCTGTATGTGGTTATGATCCACTACTCTTGTTGACTCGAACCAAAAGCAAGGGTTTTGAACAATGAACAAAAACAAGGGGGGGAGGGTGTTCAAGCAAAGGTATTGGCTTCCATGAGAGAAAAAGGGTCGAATGGTATGGTAGGGGGGGGGGGTGCTGGGAATGAGATTGGGAGGAGGTGATCATAAGGTCGCACAAATCGGAAGCGAAGGATGAGACCTCTCAATTGCTTTGCTCCATGGGTATTTTTTTGCAAGATGACTGCAAATGGGTCATCAATGGGTTCGCATGTGTTCTTTTTTTCTTTTTGTTATGCGCGCAATTGGGACCGGGTATCCTATTCCTTCCTTTCCTCCTTATTTGCTTTTGTTTTCTCTTCTTTCTTCTTTACTTTTAGCGTACATGCTTTGCATGGTTGCGCAACTGACGAGGCATCATCGGCGTGAGGATGGGATGGTATGGTATGACAAAACGGAAGGGGGTGGGTGGGGGTACAAGAAGGAGTACAATGGGAAGGGGTCATGTGGAGGAGAAGGGGCGAGAAAACGTGCTATGGCAACCCACGTTGTTCTTCGGACCTTTTTTTTTTCTTCCCTGTTCCCAAATCCATCCCTCCCTCACGCAATCGAGCCCCATCTTTGTCTCCTTTATTGTACGAGTATGTGAGCGATGACGCTATGCCGCTTATTACATATTTTTTTTTGGAACTCATTTTTTTTTTTGACCCTTTTCGATCTCAAATCTCACCCAAAACTTGTCAACAAAAAAGAGGGTGAGAGGTGAAAAGGGTTGAATGTGTGTGGTCTCAAGGCACTAGTAGGGTCACTCGAGGAGGACCCAAAAAAAAAAAAAAAAAAAAAAAAAAAAAAAGGTTTTTTAGACTTGTAGAAGATCGAGACAAACAACAACAATGACAAACAAAACAAGGTTGTACAACAATCACAAGGAATGAGTGTGATAGCTGTGTGGTTATGTTCGCCAACACCACCACCACCATCTCCACTAAAGCACACAAACAGATTACAGATACACGCCTTTGGCCCTTTTTTTGTTTTTTTTTTGTTTTGGTTTCTTGATTGTGATTAGCAAGCAAGCAGGCTAGCCACGTTGTTCATCGATCAGATAGGTACCAAGGAGAGAAATACAAGGAAAGAGAACTATTAAGGATATGTATTATTAGGTCGCCAAGGAAGTGTACAGAGTGGTTGTAAGCGGTAAATAACAAGTAGCTATGACGAATATGGAGTGCTTGGCGGTGTTGCTACAATGAGGTAGTGCCCTATGATAAATTGTAGTGTACGATTAAAAAATGACAAGATGATGCCGATGCAACAGATCAGTTCTTTAGCAATTGGGGATGGTGACTTTGAGTTTGCGGTCGACGGTCATGAGACCCCATTGGGACTCGCGGGGATTGATCGAGTTCTTCCAGGGCTCGTCAAAGGCCTCAAAGTAGTAATAGGGTACGTTCTTCATGTTGGCCTGGCAGACCCATGTGTTGACGAACGTCTGCAGGTTCTCCACCGATGGCACGGCTGGGCCTATTTGGGTGCCGGAGAGAGATAGGCAAATGTAGCAGGAGTGGGGCGGCGCCCTGTCAGAACACAATTGGAGAGATGTATCATTATGCAACGTGTTTCGATCTGAGGCTTTCCTGTTGTTTCACACAGACTGATACACGCGGATCACTGATCAGAGAAAAAAAGTAGCATGGTCCAAAAAGGAAACTTACCCAGGGCGGCGGAGCTGGGACCACTAGGCCATCCGACCTCGGAGATCATGGCCGGTTTACCACGGGCTGCCTTCAGGGTCTCATCCTTAAAGTTGGCAAATGCCCAATCAGCCGCTTTGCTCGCAGACGTATACGCAAAGAACGGATGGATGTTCGACAACACCCAATCGACCTCGTCTACAATCTGATGTGCATTCCTGCCCAGATCCGAAGAGAAAATAGGGATCTGCGTCAGTTGTTGACCGAGCGCACTGTAGGTCGGGTTCGAGGACAATGCGGTAGATGCAGCCCTGTCACTGAGCCCGCCACGGATTTCCTGGATGTATGCGCCAAGGGTCTCGAGGGAGACGTGGTCCTCCTTATTGGTTGGATCTTCGTTTCGGAAGAGGACCTCGTTTCCGACAGAGATGCCGATGATGCGAGAGGCGACCTTAGAGATGGTGATCGTGTCTGCGGACTGGACGGCTTGTTCGTGGAGCATGTCCGAGGTGTAGGTGCCAGCGTCCATGATCAGGCTGTTGTCGATCAGGTTCCAGAATGAGCGAGTCTGCTTCTCCCATGAGGCTTTGTTGTTGTCGACCCAAAGCGTCAAAATGACCTGCATGTCGGGCAGATCGAGGTATTGGAGGGCCTTCATCACATCATCGGCCTGACTACAGGCCATACCATAGAGTCGGATCCGGGTGGTCAACTGTGAAATGACCTTGACGTCCTCAATCACATTGCCCAGGTTGACTCTACAATCAGGCTCCTGGGATCCGCGAGGTGTATAGTCGATGCCGTAAAAGACCTTGTGGAGGTTCGGGTCGGGGATGATGGTGGTGTTGACATGGAACGTGGACTCGATGGTCTGATGGAGTTGCTCAAGAGGGTTTACTCCGGGTGTAAAAGTGGGCCGAGGTCCTTTTTTGGGGCGAGTGCCGATGTTGCTGTAGTCGTGGCGGGTCCACTGCTCCTTGTAGGTGAATCCGAGGATGGCACCGAGGACAATAAAGCAGGCGACGACACCGACACAGATACAAATTTTGACTCGCTTTTGTTTGCCGTGTTCCTTCTGAAGCCAGACGCTCTTTTCACTCGTCATCCGGTCCTGTGAAGAAGAAGAGGGATGAGAGGGGTGTTCGGAGGGTGCGACGGTGGTACGATCCATGACCTCGTCGTCGTCAGAGTCCCAACCAGGGACGGAGGCGGATTGGCGACGGCGGTGTTTCTTTTTGAAGATCGAATCCATGAAGGATAAGGACTGATGGGTAGAGCTGGTGATTGTGGATGCGACGGCCGCTGGTTCTGCTGGTCCTGGGACGGAGCTTGACGAGAAGGGTGGGAGAATGGATGTGACAATCGACGAGTCTTGGACTGTCGAAGATGCAGAGGATGCAGTCAAAGAATGAAAGGCTGTATTGTTGTGACCTTCTCCAACTGCGTGTCCCACTCCCGCTCCAGAAAAGTTATCGTTGTTACTGTTGATGTTGTTGTTGTCAGTTACATTGTAAATGATGGGGTTGTGATGCTGTTCATAAAAGTGCTGTTGCTGTTGAGGAAAGTTGTGAGGATTGGCGGTGACGGCGGTGGGAGCAGGTCTGTCAACAGTGTAGGGGACGTGCTGTATCTCATCCTGGTTATCTGAAGGGCTGAATGGATAGAGGTGCGAGGGTGTGTCGGATTGAAGGGTCTCGATGTAGGGCTGAGGCGGGACCCCCGAGTGGTTATAATTGCGTGGATCCATAATTATGGATATGAGAGTGGAGCGTGCTAGAACGTGTTGTTTGTAGTTGGATGATTGGGTGAGGCGAGGTACGATCCGCGCGTTTTTGGTGAGCGTGGTTGCAAACAAAAAACAAAAGAAAAGGATAGAGAAGCGGGGCCTCTCTTTGTAGGGTTTCGTAGATAGGAATAGGGGAGCCAGCTCGTTGGACAATGCAGTCAACTTAATCAAGTCCAAGTCCAGTCGAGGCGGCAAGTTTGGCCCAACGAACGATGTGCTCCGATTGGTGAGAACCATAACGTGAAGGGCAGAGGGAAAGGGAGGGAGGAAAAGGGATATGTCTCAGCCTAGGAGTCAACTCAACGACAACAACAGCCAAAACAAAACGAACTCGACCGACCCTTTCTTTTCTTCCTTCAGAGGTTGCTTGTAAAGCTACGCTATACGGATGAACTGGAAGATGTCGTTCTGGCCTGCAAGAGAAGGAGGGACTAATTGGTCAATTAGAAAAAAAAAAAAAAGAGAGAGAGAGAGAGAGAGAGAGAGCGTGCGCTTGTCTTTCTTTCGTAGTATGATAGTATGAGAGCAACGAGAGAATGAGCAAGAGGGGGTGAGATAGAAGGAGAGAAGGAAAGGGGACTGACTGCATTAAGGGTCTACTGATCTATGGGTTTGCAACTTTGCATGGCGAGCCGCATGGCCCATCCACATTTATGCAGCCCATCCTGTCTCTTTCCCTGTTACTTTCTTTCTTCTTGCCTTTGAGCTAATGCAATTAGGCACGAGAGAGATTGAGAAGAAGGAGAGAGATGTGAGTGGCGTTAACTTCGGAAAAAGAAAAAGGGATCTCCCTTTGTTTGTTCTTGTTGGTCAATAGTTCTTCAAGCCAAAGTGCTCCTATGATATCTCTAATGAACCAAACGAATGGCTCATTCAAACACTAGGGCCTTTTCTTTCCACATTCGCCATCTTGTTTGTCGATATCAGAAACCGACTGAGCAAAACTAATATGAATGTGGTTCACATCCGTACCATTCCCACATACTATGCTGTTCGTCTTGGGGTCGGCCTTGGCCGGGTCGGGGATGGGGATCCCACGCCATTACTTTCTCACACAACAACAACAACAACAACAACAACAACAATCACTGTGCATAATGCTTTAGTTAGTATTACAATCCCAGCCCATGGCCCAGATCTGGTCAATCAAAAGTTACCCTTTGGTTGCTGTTGTGCATGCATGCATCTGTTTCTCATCAAAGGGAACAAAAAGTCGACTCCTTTATTTCCTCCTCTCCCCTTCTTCCTCTTCTTCTTCTTGCCCCACTTTTGACCTCTCCCTCCTTCCCTCCCTTTTTTTCCTCCACCCTTTTTCTGTCTATTGTTCTTCGTTCATCACGTCCATCGCCCATCGCACGGACGGACCCGACGGGGCCTCTCTGTCTCCTTTCTTTTTTGCCAAATATCAACGACAGTAGATTCGGATAGGATGGTTGAGGGTAGAATAACACTGCATAATAAACATCAACAGAATCCATTCGAGCTGGACCTTGAACACCAAGCAGTCGGCGCGAGTAGAGATCATCGTAACAAAGAAAGACAGATGTTGTACAAAGCTAGTGTGCTAAGCCGTGAAATGAAAGTGTAAAAGAGAGTTGAATTGAACAAACACGAACACGCGAACATGCGAACACACGACAGCCATTGGACACACAAAAGTCTCGAAAAGAGCGCCACGGAGGCTCCCTTCGTTTTTTTTTTCTTCTTTCTTTCTTCTTGTCGTTGTAGGGTCCAAAGAAGGATGCACGAAGGAGATATGAAAAGTAAAAGATGATTGTGTCCTTCCATGCCTTCTCTCATATATCATATATGATATGAAGGCGAGGTGTGTGGTATTTATACATCATGTGCAGTAGCATCTGAGTTTTTTTTTTTTGATGAATGACCTGCAGTGGCCATGGATGCTTGAGAATGGATGAAATGGAAGAATGAGCTGTTTTGTTTATCCCCCAATTGTCCTCAATTTGCCTCCTCATTCAACCCCCCCATGGGAGTATCATATCCGAATAGGGTTCTATCTCTTTTATTAATTGAATCGCTTGCCTCTTTCGCCTCTCTTGTCCTCTCTTTTCTACCACACCCCCAGATGGGCTCCCTTTCTCTCTTTTTTTTTTTTTTTTTTTTTTCTTCACCCCTGTCTTTTAATAAGTTTTTTTTTGAGTCGCTTCGGAGCAACAAAATAACCCATCCCAACAACAGACGACGACAAACATACCAAGCAGGCAGGCAAAAGGCAACACGACACTACCGACCCTTGTCCTGTATGTATATCCTGTTATATGCATGTTCAATCAATGTATGTCCGCAAAGGTACCTATTGATATGTGTGTGTGTGTGTGAGTGTGAGATCACTGATTCGTTTGGCTCGCTTCTCATTTGTCTGGCTGTCCCTCTGTCTCTCTCACTCCTGTCCTGTCGTACCACTCCATTTTCTCTTTTCTCTTTTCTTCTTCTTCAGTCTCCCTCTTCTTCCTTCTTTTATCTCTTTCCTTTATTCCCCCCTTCCCCTTCCCCTCCACTCTCATCATCCCCAGTCCTTCCTTCTTTTTCTTCCCAATCAGGCTCCTTCCTCGCCTTTCCTGATCCACTCTCATTCACTCTCCTTTCATCACTCACTCGCCCACTCATTCTTAATCACTCTCACCTCTCTCTTTCATCCGCTCTCTTTCTTTCTTCCCTTCCTTCTCCCCTCCTCTCCTTCCCCCTTCACCTCATCCACAACCCCCCTCCTTCCACCAGGTAAAATACACTTCATCCACTTCCACTCACACTACCAACAACTCCATCTCCAATACATCTTAATCCCTCTTGTGTGCGACCATCATAAACAAAGCTTTTTTTTCTTCTCTTCTGCAATCACGCCACCACAACCGCAGCTATCACCACAAGCAACAACACCAGCAGCCATTCCTCATTCCTTAATCCAACCTTCCACACATACTCACATACTCACTCACTCACTCACTCACTCACCCACCCACTCACTCACTCTCTCACTCACTCGCACTCATCAAAGAAAACTCATCAGCCAACACAAAACATATCTGCTTTCATATTGCTCATGTTTTCGTCTTTCTATCTTCCTCCCCCTGTCCCCAACTGTTTAAGCTCTCTTCCGTCTTATCTCGTTCCTCTACGTCCCTACGTCCTATTGTTTTTTTATTTTGTTTGTTTTGTGTTGTTTTTTTTCTTGCTTTTTATTGGTGTATGTGCCTTTGTGTAGCATTCCTATGGGATGATGATGATGATGATATCCCACAATCATTGTTTATTCCTGCTGTTCTTCTTTTCCGTGTCATGTCATGCTATGTCATGCCATGTCGGATATGCCGATATATATGTGTGTTGAGTTGTGTGTTATATTTATGCTTGGCCCCGTTATGCAGGATGAAAAGACTCACTTCTTTTTTGTATATATTTCTTCCCTTCCCTTTCCCTTTGTTCAATCAATCTATCAATCATTTCAACAGAAGAAGGGGTTAACTGTGGCCCCCTCTCTGTCTCTTCCCCTTCTCTCTTCCGCTCTCCTTCTTCCCATTGTTGTTGCAGCCTGTGTGTTCCCCCTCTTTCTTTCTTTCTTTCTTGTTTCTTCTTTGCTCTCCCTTCTCTTCCTCCCCTTCTCTTTTCCCTCCTCCTCCTCCCCATCTCCCAACGTTATTTTATATTTCCGCATGGATTCCTACCCTGCTCCCATTGGAAGAAACTCTCTTCACAAACTATTACACTACTTAAAAATAATCACTGGGTTGGAGGGATGAGGGGACAAAGTCCACACGAGAGGGAGCGTGACCAAACCAAAACCATACGGGAACCGAAAAGAAAGTGTGCGTGAGAGTTTAAAAAAGAAAAGAAAAAAAGTGATGGAGAGGGGTTGCCGTGTCGTATTCACCCGCAAACATATTTACAATGTTTGGTTGTTTTGTTGTTGAATGAAAAAAAAGAGAGGGGGCTGTTTCTTTTTGTAACAATAAGAAGAAACGAAAAGAAGGAAGAGGGCCATTGGATGTCACATCGTATCATCGGATATGTTTGTGTACCCATCCCTATTGTCGTCTCTCGCTGGTCCTGCTTGCCTCACTCTCTCCCTCCCTCTTTCTCTTGTTCCTGCTGCTCTCTTTTTTATGCCGTCTCTCTCTCTCTCTATCGTACACCTTGTTTTTTTCTACCCACAACACCCACACACCCACTTCCACTTCCCCTACCCCTTTCCCCTACAAAGCATTTTTTTTCTGTCTCGTTCAAATCTCCTTTCTTCCTCTTCCGCTTCGATCTTCTTTTCCCTTTGTACTTCTCCTCCTTCTCAACTTCACACTTTTCACTCCTTGCACCTTTACTCCCCATTCATACCCCGATCAGCACCCTTCCTCACTCTTCTTACTCTTTATTTGACATCATCTCCCTCTTTCACCTCACACTAATACTTGCTCACTCACTCCTGCTACCCAGTCTCTCTCTCTCTCTCTCGCTCTATATCGTCTCTTCAACCCTTTTTCCTTCTTCCCTTTTCGCCCGCCGTCATCGTCGTTTTCACCATATCACACCCTTTTTTACTTATTGCTATATAACTCCTTATCGTAAGGCATACATACATATAAACACACACACACACACACCCATATCCATCTTACTATCATACCATTTACTACTGCTATCCCTGATAGTTGTTTTTCTCCTCCTCACACCTCACTTGCTTACCGCTTCACCGTCTCAGCAAAACCTGAGACTGCAAGCTCATACATACACCACCATCATGCATACAACAACAGCAACGACTTACTAATCCTCCTGCTTCCCCCCTCCCTCTTCTATCGCTCGCAAAATAGCATGAGTAGCAGCTCCCACAGCACTCATTCCTCCTCCAACGTCGTCGGTGTCCACTACCGCGTCGGAAAAAAGATTGGCGAGGGAAGCTTCGGTATCATTTATGAAGGCAAGTCTCTCCCCATCTACTCCACTCGCCGCCAAGAAAAAAATACTTTCAGCAAGCAAAAACCAACCCATGAAGTCACAAAAACACGGTGTCTAACCTCGTTATATTATTGATTCATTCCTCCAGGCCTTAATCTGTTGAACAACCAGCAGGTTGCCATCAAGTTTGAACCCAGAAAGAGCGATGCCCCACAGTTGCGCGACGAATACAGGACATACAAGATCTTGGCTGGATCAAGTAAGTGCAACTTTGACTACGAACAGCAGGACCAGACTGGAAAAAAGAGAAAAAGGCGTGTACGGTGTCATCGGGTATATCGGGGATCGGGAGGAATCCATGACCGATTGTCTCTCTCCCTCTTCTATTGGTCCTGCTCAGTACTGAAAGCAGCAAAAAGGAAAAAAAAAAAAAAAAAAGACTGGAAAGACATGTGTAAATGCGGGAAGAGTGTGAACGGTGGAAGGACGGGTCAAATGATATGGTGTCAACTGGTTCAGAGGGGAATACTCTCTTACTGTCTGGCATCACATAAAAGGGACAGAAACGCGGAAACAGCAGAAAATAAACCATATGACCATGGCGCCAGTCCAATATCAAGACGGCAGAAGAAAAAACAATGGACATACTTATGAAACGAATGCAGGCACGATACGGATTAGATTATGAAGACTAAAAGGTGTACTTATTTCTGCGGACTTGTTGAATAGCCGGTATTCCAAATGCCTTCTACTTCGGACAGGAGGGTCTCCACAACATTCTCTGCATTGACCTGCTCGGTCCTTCCCTCGAGGACCTCTTTGATATGTGCGGTCGCAAGTTCACGATCAAGACTGTTGTCATGGTCGCCAAGCAGATGGTAAGACTCGCAATTGCACGCACATGGTTCAGGCACCTATATTTCTTTTTGCAATTGAATGTGCTCGAAATAACTTATTACAATAAGCTGCCTTTTTGCTCACCGTCATCCTGATTTCAATTTTTTTTACAGCTCTTCCGAATCCAAACTATTCACGAGAAGAACTTGATCTACCGAGATATTAAGCCCGACAACTTTTTGGTTGGACGGCCCCACACCAAGAACGCCAATCTGGTGCACGTGGTCGACTTTGGCATGGCCAAGCAGTATCGCGATCCCAAGACCAAACAGCATATTCCTTACCGTGAGCGCAAGAGTTTGAGCGGAACTGCCAGATATATGAGCATCAACACACACTTGGGCAGAGGTACGTCTGTCATATCTGTTATATCACACTTTTCAAGCGATACCCCCTCACTGCAGCATATATATATTCTGCTACAAATTAACACTTGCAATATCCCTGTTGTTTCATACTATGTTCAACCCACTTTAGAGCAATCGCGACGTGACGATCTGGAGGCCATGGGCCATGTTTTCATGTACTTCCTGCGCGGTGGTCTTCCCTGGCAGGGACTCAAGGCAGCTACCAACAAGCAAAAGTACGAAAAGATTGGTGAGAAGAAGCAGTCGACACCCATCAAGGAGCTTTGCGAGGGATTTCCAGGTAAGAAAGCAACGTAACGAGTAGTCTATCTTTTATATACAAATCGTTCCCATTATGCGTACTCACCTCTTTTTTTTCGATATGTTTTTGACACAATACAGAGGAGTTTGGTATCTATCTCAACTATGTCCGCAAGCTGTCGTTCGAGGAGACTCCTGACTATGACTTCTTGAGAGATCTATTCACCAAGGCCTTGAAGAGCATGAACGAGACCGAGGATGGTGTCTATGACTGGATGCTTCTGAACAATGGCAAGGGATGGGAATCGGAAGCCGATGTAAGTAGTCAGACCCGCTCAACCCATGACTGGATGACCTTTTTTTTCTTGCTTTTGCCATTATCATTGTCGATTTTTGTGACGCGTGACTAAAACTCTATTTGTCCTCATTACGTACAACCTTTAGGGCATGGGTGATATCTACGGAGACAACGGACACGTACCGAGCGCATCGCACCAATACTCGTCGAACCCCTTGCACCCAGCAGCACAGCACGACCGTCACGCCTCTCGGGACCCCCATGCACAGAGCCAAGGGCAGTCCCAGCGCCAGCAGGGCAAGCTCCAACAGCCTGGAGCGCTGGTCCACAGCAACTCGCGGCTGAAGCACAAGCAGAGCCAGAACCGTGGACCTGGAGGCGGAGCCGCTGACCAGGATTTGCTTCGCGAGCACGCCTACAACCGCGCCGCACCCAACGGCAACCTCCGGGCCGATGAGGGTCAGAATGGAGAGGGTAGCCAGAAGAAGCGCGGCTTCTGGAACAAGTTGATTGGCGTTATTACCTGCAGTACGTGTCGTAGATGAATGCCCATTTGAAACTCGACTATTATGAGCCTTATTCCCCTATTATACAAATGTGTAATGTCCTGAAACATGGTGGTGCTGTTTGTTATGAACACTACTCCAAAGTGTTTGAGTGATCCGTTCCTGACCCAGTCGCTCTGCCGTTTCTTTTTTTCAATCTTCATCTTTCTCCTCTAGGCTAATCTAACAACTTCTAGTACTTGCGTCACAACTCTATCTTTACGCCGATATACACTTTTTACTTTCTTTGCACATTCTTTTGCTTGGATCGGCACGCCCTATTTCGCTTACAACCTATCGCTTTCAGTCCTACTTTTTTTCTTTTTTATCCGACTCGACCGGATCCTCATCAAAATACCAACGTCTTGTCACCATCCACCTAGCTACACCTTCCCCTTTTAACGTAATTTTCAATCATAATAATAAACGACGACACCTTACTACACTCCTTCCAATGCTGTTTTGCGAAGCATACGGAGAGGAACAGCATGAGAAGACGTGAGCCAGACACCATTGAGAAAGGGGTAGAAATTGGTTTATTCAGGGCGTACATGAGTGAAATAGCAAAAAAAGGTGGGCAGGAAGACACGGGCAAATGTCTTTGTTTATCCCATCTTGGCATTGCTAAAGTCCATCTCAGGGTGCTAACGTGGGAGAGGTGAACGAGAAGAGAGGTGTTAAGTATCTGCAGAAACCCTGCTGTTTGCACGTCTTTTTCATTTCCTTGGGTGAGAATGGAGTGCAGCAACGAGGATAATTGAGTTACCATTTCCTGGAACTTTTTGAATGCCTCCGCCTTCTTGAGGTCGTCGCTGGATGGTAATCCGGCAGCCTTCTGACGCTGATCGAACTATTATGTCGGGAAGGCCCAAAAAAAAAAAAAAAAAAAAAACGAAATGCAAAAATGAGTATACAGGCAATGATAATAATTGCCAGCTAAATATTCACATCAAACACAAAGCAACAATTAAGGATTCTCTCTTGTGGATGAGGAAAAAAAAACACCATCAATATGATTTACCATCATCTTTTCGACCATGCCGCGGGTCTCGCCATCGAGGTCGCTGAGCTTGGAGTTCTCGGGGACGATCTTTGTGGTGTCGATTTCGGGGTGACCCTCAATGACGGCCTTCCACCACTCGGTGCTCTTTGCCTTTTCGAGGTGGATGTTGATTTCCTTTTGGTCCTCCAACGACCATGTCGAGTCGTCCAGCCTGACTTCCTTTGTCAACGTGCCCTATTGTCGTATTGTTTTGTTTTGAGGATGATAAAGGAGCAGGGGTTAGTAGGGATTATTGAGTAGAATGAGTTCTAGAAGGTCAATCCCCCTCCTGTGAATAGAAAAAAGTGCTTTGCAAGTAGTGTGCGTGTGTGCGTGGGTAAGAGAGGTGTACGTGGTTACCTCGATGATGGGAGTCTGCCCTCTGAGACCGGCCTTGAGAGTCTTTTTCTTGATGTCAATGACCAGGTCCCTGGCGCGGGTACCCTTAGGGACCTCGAAAGTGATATCAACGTCGACCAAGGTCTGTCTCCACTTGTAAGGGAGGGCTATTCGTGAGCAGTAATTTTTTTCAATTGAAGAAATAAAAGTAAGTGCGGATACGAACGCGACATCGCGTATTAGTATTCCATGCTTTCGTTTGTTGGGAATAAGGAGGAAGTCAGAAAAAAAAATGATGGATGGGTGCGCGACAGGTGTGAATCTCAATAAAAAAGAAAGTAGAGGGTGAATGAATCTCGTACTGGCTTGTTCTTCGGCTTCCTTCGCGCGAGCGGCGGCGTCGTGAGCGGTGCGCTCCTCCTCGGTCATGGAGTCGTATTCCTTGGGGTTGACCATGGTGTGATGTGTATGAGTGTGGATGGCGAGTGGGGAGTGAGGGGTGAGTGAGGCGAAGATGGAAGGAGAAAGAAACTTCTACGCTCTCCCTTCTTTTTACACTTTCTGTGTCGGACGGTCTAGCACAGGCAAGACTGCACACTCCAACTTCGCCCTTGAACAGCCCCCCTTAAGTATACAACGAAGTCACATGCCAGAAGAAAGCATCAGTTTTAATCGCATGGCCTATGATTTTTCATAAGAACACTCCATAAGCCAGGGACGACGCTTAGTGTGTGTTTTTGTTGTTCTTCGCGTTGTGACAAAACAACGATTCGTCCTTCATTCTTCATTCACACATCAGTCAAGCCTCCAAAGTTCACTTCATACGAACACACATCACACTTCCACAATAACAAGCAAGCAAGCGCATGGACACCAAACGGAAACTACGGGAATTGGCCCAACTCCCCCATGCAGACCATCACCCACAACCTCACCTGATGCCATGGCCAATCCTGCAACGCCGGAGGATCGAGAAACTCAAAGACGACCGACTGGCAGAGTTCGAACGGGCATGTGACGAGAGCTTTGAATGGCTCGAGAACTATTATCAAGGATGTGTCTATGCAGCCTTGCAGAATAAGGACTATCATGAATCGGGAGGAGAGGCTTTCAACCGGTCTATTTCTACGTAAGATTGATGGGAGGTTTTTTTTTCAGGAACCAGCAAAGAGTTTGTACTATGTGCTGCGGTTATCAGCGTCCAGCCATAGCGCTAACATATTTGTTTGTACAAAATGCCTATTTCTTTGACACAGTAGTGACCACGGAAGGCATAGTCAACACTTCACGACGGATCAACAACAATACGACGAAGACTTGGTACATGCTTATCTGCGATGTTTTGTTTTTTTATGGACAATCAGGCTTACCAGGATCTATGATCAATGTCAACACTTGCAGGACAAACATTGATACTCGGTTTATTTTGTTAACGTGTTGCATACTAGTCACCATACCCTCCTTACACTACGGTATATTATTCAGGACAAGGACGAACAACAGCCTCACCTGGCTATCACCATTCGCTACCTCATCAACACCAACAGCAACAGCAACGGCATCAACAACAACAGCATCATCAACAGCAGCAACGACAAAAGACCCAGTACACTCCCAAGAGCAGTCCAGCAAAGTTCAGGCTAAAGAGTCCAAAAACCCCTAGCATCACCAGGATCGGGAGTCCAACTTCTCCGTACGAACGGCAACAACATCATCATCGACATGGACATCATATCCATACGACTCCTCGGAAAAAGCTTCGGGTGACCGCTAAACCATCGACCATGAAGGCACAGCGGGCTTTGAAGGCCAAGAGGAAGAGGACTGCCAGCTTCCAGAATAGTAGCTCGACCCGTCAGCGAGTTTCCAAGATTGACCAGCAGCAGCATCAGGAACAACAAAAACAGCAACAACAACAGCAGCAGCAAAAACAACGTCAAGAGCAACAACAAGTGCATGAGCGAGAGCGGCAGCGTGTATCAGGAACAGAGGAATCGATTAGGCATGGCGACAGATTTGTTCCGTTGAAGCAGCCCCAGCAGCCCCAGGAGGAAAATTCACGCCATTCGACGCTGGACTCGACGCGCAAACACTCCAACAATCAGGACATGGTCACGCAGACTGGCCATACTCCGACAACGCCTGCATCGGATAGGTCGTTTACCTTCGAGCCTGAAAAGTCATTCTCTTCAGAAAAGTCGTACACCTCCCAGGCCGAAAAATCGTTCACGTCCGATACCGGAAGGTCGTTCATTGCTGAGCTGCGCGCCAGTACGTTCAAGACACCGGCCAAAGGACAATCATCTCGGGCGGTCCGTTCGTCCTACTCGCAGACAATGTCAACAGGCGACACGGAAGTGGACAGTGACGATGACGAGCGTGGCCCTACGCCCGGCTCCAAAGCTCGCGACTCTATGACGCTCAAGTCACCCGTCAACCGTTCTGACACCAGCATGGACCAGGACATGGATTCACCACTTAGAACCAGTCTTATGAACAGTGCTGCACGGAACCGGTCGTCGTCGTCCGTGGCCAAGCGGAGTAGCGACCTCATGGAGACTGATCAGGACCGGGCAGTGGATGCGGAGAGCAAGAGATCCAAGAGCTCCCCGTTTACGGATGTAACTGTACCGATACGGTTCCATTCACCCGAGACCGAGCCTCGAGCGACAACAAAGACAGATGGCTCGACAAGGGAGAGGCGGACGAATTTCAACGACCCATCAACAGTAATAATGACAACGTCCCGATCGGCAGAAAGGTTTTTTACAGACAACGGTTCTCGCTGGCGAGAGCCTGAGGTGGATGTCCTGTCAACAAAGAATAGAGGTTCTGATGCTGATGACCGGCCCACCAGATCTACGACTCCTTCAACAACACCGCACCAGCGCTATGGTTACAGCTCCCCATTCCCTGAGCGACTCGACACCAGCAGTGAGGATGCCGCTCGTGGAATTAGTTCGCAGGATGGTGTCCGGGATGAGTCATTTAACGCTGGCCCAGCACGCGGTCAAGTCAATGGAGACCCTGCCGAGCGCCCTCCTAACGGAATGTCGAGCTCTGCTGAACAAAGGTCGAGCGCAGATACTGCAGCACGGAAACAAGCAAAGCACTCGGATCCCTTCAATCTGCCAGGAAGCCGCCAGGATGACCGGTCATTGCGACAGACAGACCGTAAAGAAGAGGCCAACACTTTGCCATTGGGTCGCTCAGGACGGCCTGGAACAGGGGACGAATCAGAGCAGAGCACTCGACTTAAGCCTACCGCCTCAAGAATTGACTCTTCTTCCTCCGACACGGGGGCTCTTCGCTTAAAACTGCCGTCGACGACTTTGCCAGAGAAGCGGACTCTCGGCGCAAGGAAACCTACTACGACAACCTCACATACATTGACAGCTGCATTTATGCTTCCCTCCAGGCTGACCAAGCTGACATCAACGGATATGACAAACGGCCCCGGGTCTGCAGCAGAATCTCAGAGCGTTCCGTCGACAACTCAATCTGACAACTCTGCAACCTTCCAGTCATCGTCTAGTAACAGGATGACTAGAATCGGATCATCGAGCTCTTTGAAGGACAGTCAGCAATCTGGACAGGTCGCTGGAGCAGGCCCCAACGGATTCAAGACCTCCACTGCGCCGACCAATTCCTCAGGTTCGACATCTAGCCTTATTGGTCGCCAAGGAGCTCCTTCACGGCAACCATTGACCTCCAACCGTACTGCTGCCGAAGGCAGTGGTGTCAACAGCACCAGCACTGGCCACTCTCGTTCCGACGGCCAAGGGTCTCATCCTCCAAGAAAGCCCTTTGCGATCCCCACAACAACTGTAACCACGACGGCCTCGACAACAAAATCGTCCGTTTTCTCGGTTAAAAAGGCAACCAGCCGGCCTGTTTTGCCAGACGGGGTTTCCAGTGCTCTCCTTGCGTCGTCATCGAGTTCGAGTGCGCGACCCGCAGGATCTTCTTTGGCGATGATGCAGGCACGAATGGATCAACACGCTCGAGAGCCAACACCTACACGGGATACCCATGCCAAGTCAGGTCACTCGACCTCCACCACCCAACGGACAGAGTCAAAGTCTTTGGCCAACTCCAGCACTAGCACTCTTAGTCTGTCGTCTGTCATCTCGTCTCGCAAGGAATCCATGACCATTGCCCCCAACGGAGCTAGGACGGAGACGCGCGTCGAGTCTAAATTAACAGCTGCTAATGATGGTGGCCATGTGTTCGCGGTACCTGGTCCAGTGCGTCATCAACCATCTTGGGTACGAGGTCGTCGGCGTATTGTAGAGATACTTGAATGAAGATCATTTGTATCTTCCCGAGTGTTGGACTAACAGTCTTTATTTTTTTTGTCTCTGAAATAGATGTCGAATCAAGCACAGACAGACCATAACCACCGCCATTTCAAGACTATTCTACCAGAGATCAAAAGCGACGACGAGGACGATAACGACGATTCGGGTGCGAAGCGCAAGAAGATGCCCGGGTGGGCCAGCTGGGAGGAGTTGAACCGAGCGATGGAGGAACAGAGGCATCTTAATCCTGAGGAAATCTTTGGACCATTACCCATATTAGATGTGGGCGAGATTTTCCCAGGCAGGAAGAAAAAGCCGTACCGGCCTCGGTCAAGTTCTGCGCACTGGGGGGCTTCGGATGCGTTGACCCCTCAAGAGGTTTTCAAGTACAATGAGGACATGGGGTGGACCGACAAAGAGTAGCACAAGAACTTGTAGATATGGCCAATGGCCAACAGTTTTAATAGATAATGCATGTGCCGCGACCTCTTCCTCCTTTTTGTATTCGACTGCAAAGGGTATGTTATGTGTTTGGGTGTGTAGGAGTGAGAGACTTGGAGAGACATGAGAAGGAGTGGTCATTTGGATATGCAGGAGCAGGAGTTGGCTGGGGTTTGCCGACTGGGACACACAGGGTATCTTAAGGTGCGAAGAAAGCAATTGGCCAACGTATGCAAGACAAATAAAGCCCAGAGGCTTAGAGGTCGGGTCGACAAAGAGCCGAAGAGTACTTGAGGCTGTTGGATGTTCTTTCCTCGGACAAACGACCGGCCTAAGGTCCCTCTCTGGATTACAAAAGCGACGCGGTGGCTGTTCACAGACAAAGGGAAGGATAGCAAACTAGAAAGATTTGATTTCAAAGCCTTCGATTTTTTTACCTTGCAGGTCTAAATTGAAACTTGGGCATGTCCCCAGTTTGGGATTCACACACACAGAGACTGAGCGCGTCATGAAGAAAAGAATTTTTTTTATGTAATGACACGGACCGAGACATTCGGAAGGAAAAAGGGTCGATGGATGGATCCTCAAAACGCGTTCACTCACGCACCATGAGTCCACTTTCTTGCTGTATGTGTGGTATCTGCTGTCTGTGTCTCCACTGCGCAAAATAAAACAAAGAGAATAAAAGAGAGTGGAAAGAGAGAACAAGTGGGTGTAGTGGCGCTGTCTTTGTTCTGATCCCAACCGAAACGTTAACCTATCTTCCTTGTCTATTTTCGCGACTTACTCTTTTCTTTTCTTTTCTTTCCTTTTCTTTCTCTTCCCCTTCCTTCTTACCCATATCTTCTTCTTCTTCTTTCTCTACCCTAATCACTTACACTTCATTAAGCCCTCTTTACCCACTGATACACAAACATCACCGCCACACTCCCTTCCAAGTCCAAATTCCCCTTGGATAGCACATACATACGATGTCTCAACCGCCCAACCTGCCGCCTAACCAGGCAGGCTCGTCGGATACACCTGCTGCACAACATGTCCGACATGGCATCCTTCGAAACGCATCAACCTCCAACCGAGGACAAGACGCCACATCATCCTCCCGCCAAATGGAGAGCATCATTCCTCCTCTTGCAGACTTTGACGACGACATGGACGAGGAGGAGGAGGACGACGATTTTGACGAAAAGGAACTGACCGCAGACGAGATCTATCAAAACGCCCTTGGCGGTCGATGGGGAGAAGGTCCCAGTAAGGTCGATGTCGTCGACGCCGAGCGCGATTTCCGAAAGTTGGAGCGATCACTGACGCAAATGTCTCGTCGCAGCAGCACTGGGCCTCCCGAACCGCCAGTTATCCGACGCAGGAGCTCGCATAAACAGCAGCCGCAGGAGCAAGCCGGTCTTACCCAAGACGAGCAGATCAAGAAGGAGGGAGACTTTGATTACGAGTCCCACCTCAAGACTAAGATCCTCCCGGGAGTGCAGGCCAAGGGACTCAAGAGCAAGAATATGGGAGTCATGTGGAAGCAACTGAGCGTTATCGGAGAGGGTGTGGGCGAGCAGTTCATTGGTACCACCGGGGATCCCTTCATGGCCCTGTTCAACCTTGTCAATCCGTTCTTCTGGGTCCGCAAGTGCACCAACAGAGGCTCTCGATCCAAGACAGTTAGCAAGACGATCCTTTTTCCTATGGATGGATGCTGTCAGGAGGGAGAGATGATTTTGGTTTTGGGTCGGCCTGGATCCGGTTGTTCGACTTTGCTCCGTGTGCTCGCCAACGATCGCAAGAATTACAAGCAAGTCACCGGTGAGGTCATTTACAACGACCTGAGTTCCGAGACGGTTGCAAAGCACTACAAGGGCGAGGTTCTCTACAACCAAGAGGGTAAGCATTCATGTCCATGGGGTCTCTTGTCGTGATGTTGTAATCATTAACCCAAAACTAACCTTATTTATTTTTGTATGAAACTAGACGATTTCCACTACCCCACGCTCACGGTCCGTCAGACACTGGAAACGGCCATCAAAGCAAAGACCCCGCGTGCTCGCTTGCCAGAGATGGAGCGCCGCAAGGATTTCCGCAACATCTTCTTGGATGTCCTCACCAAGATGTACGGTCTCACGCGTCAGAAGGAAACCTTGGTCGGAAACGCGTTTATCCGTGGTCTGTCTGGAGGAGAGCGTAAGCGTCTGTCAATTGCCGAACAGATGGCGACTCGCTCGAGTATCAACATGTGGGACGGTTCGACTCGTGGTCTCGACGCATCCTCCGCATTGGATTACGTCAAGTCGCTCCGTGTTCAGACCAACTTGCTGAAACGTGCTACTATGGTCTCGATTTACCAGGCGTCCGAGAATATCTACGACCTATTCGACAAGGTCTTGCTGCTGTACGATGGTCACTGTATCTATTTCGGTCCGTCAGAGTTGGCACGCCAGTACTTTATCGAGATGGGTTTCGACTGCCCAGCTCGTCAGACCACGGCCGACTTTTTGACCGCCGTCACAGACCCAAACGAGCGCAAGGCCGCCCAAGGAGTGCACCCCAACGTTGTCGCCTCTATGCCCAAGACCCCCGAGCAGTTCGAGGTGTTGTACAAGCAGTCGATCATATACGAGGACACTATTCGACAGATGAAGGACTTTGAGACTCTGACGAACTCTGCCAACAAGGACGAATTCTTGGAGGCGACTCGACAGAACAAGCAGAAGCATGTGTCGATCAACAACCCTTACACGATCACGTACTGGAGCCAGATCTGGGCCATGACCATCCGTCAGGTCCAGCTGACGAAGGGTGACGTTGCCAGCGTGATCTCTCGCTATGCGACTGTAAGTGAACTCTTTGTCACCATTTTTTTGTGTTTTGAGCTTGATGTAGCTGCCCCGATCTTCTGACGTGGTGCAAATACATATACTTTTTTTTTCTTTTGTCCTGTGGGTTGCTCATGCAATAGATGATCATCAAGGCTGTTGTTGTCGGAACCTGTTTCTGGCAGCTCCCAACTACAAGCGAAGGTACCGTTCACCCCATCTTTTTTCCACTTCAGGTCGTGTATATTCTGGTGTTACATGCATAGATGCAAGATTACTCACTCTGTCCTATGTATAATGTTCCCTCTGTCAATAGGCGCCTTCACACGTGGAGGTGTGTTGTTCTTCTCGCTCCTCTTCAACGCTTTGATCTCCCAGGCAGAGCTACCCCAGGCTCTTCAAGGTCGCCCTATTCTTTACAAGCTCAAGAATTATGCCATGTATCGCCCATCCTCATTCGGTCTTGCCCAGATTGTCCTCGACATTCCTGTCGTTATCGTCCACAACCTTTTGTACGCCGTTGTACTCTACTTCTTGGCCGGTCTGCAGCGTACTGCCGCAAAGTTCTTCATCTTTGTCCTGGTCCTCTCCCTTGCGACACTATGCATGACTAGCTTCTTCCGCATGTGGTAAGCATTGCTGGTTCACTTCGACTTTGCTTGTACTTTTTGGCAACACAATTGTATTGCTGACAACCTTAACCTGTATTGTTCGCTTCCTTAGGGGCTGTGCATCCAAGACGTTTGACGACGCCACCAAATACTCTGGTGTGCTCTTGCTTGCAATGATTCTCTACTCCGGCTATTTGATTCCATACCAAGCCATGCATCCTTGGTTCATCTGGATCTTCTGGATGTAAGTCCATCGCCTGCGTTACCTCTGTTTATGATTCTTTTCAAAGGCCTGCGGCTGTCTCTTGTTATGTCACTAACAGTAGCGCTTTCTAATGTCTGACTGATTACCTTTTAGCAACCCGCTCGCATACGCATTCAAGGCACTGATGTCGAACGAAATGTCTGGTCTCCGCTTCTCATGCGATGTTCCCTTCCTGATCCCCAACGGCCCCGGATACACTGATCTGAACTACCAGGTCTGCACCCTAGCCGGTGCCATGCCCGGTCGTAACTATGTCGAAGGACCCGACTACCTCTATAGCTCCTTCCGCTACAAGGTTTCCGAGATGTGGCTCGACGTCCTCGCCGTTTTCCTCTTCTGGATCCTCTTTACTGTCTTAACCGTCTGGGCCATGGAGTCCAAGGAGTTTGGAAAGGGAGGCTTCAGTACGAACGTCTTTAAGCGCCCTAAGAATGGATCTGCCCGTGCTACTGCTGGAGGTCGTATTGAGCCTGATGTTGAGCAAGGTCAAGTGTCGAACGCCTACCCCTCTACTGATCCTGCTATTGGGGCTGGCAACGTCCAAGCCCAGGGTGTTATTCCAAAGGATAACCTCGTCAAGGGGTCGTTCTTTGCTTGGGAGGATCTGGACTATGTTGTCCCTTACAAGGCGGACCCCTCTGGCAAGAAGCAACTTTTGACCAAGATTGCCGGTCTCGTCAAGCCTGGTACCATGACGGCGTTGATGGGTTCTTCCGGAGCCGGAAAGACTACACTCTTGGATGTCCTGGCTCAGCGCAAGAGTATGGGTGTGGTTACTGGTCAAATCGAGGTCGACGGTCAGCCCTTGCGTCGTGACTTTCAACGTACTACTGGATACTGTGAGCAGCTGGATGTGCATGTCCCCGAGTGCACTGTCCGCGAGGCTCTCCAGTTCTCGGCTCACCTACGCCAACCTGCTGAAGTCTCTGTTGCCGAGAAGGATGCCTATGTCGAGGAGATTATCAGAATCTTGGAGATGGAGAGTATTGCTGACGCCCTGATTGGAACGACCGAGTCGGGACTCGGTATCTCGGTGGAGGAGCGCAAGCGTTTGACCATTGGAGTCGAGCTGGTTGCCAAGCCCAAGTTGTTGTTCCTGGACGAGCCTACCTCTGGACTGGATGCTCAAGCCTCCTACAACATTATGCGCTTCATGCGTAAGCTCACGGATCAAGGCCAGGCTATTCTCTGCACAATCCATCAACCTTCCTCACAGCTGTTTGCCTTCTTTGACTCTCTGCTCCTTCTTGCCAAGGGTGGCCGTACCGTCTTTTTTGGAAAGTTGGGTCACGATTCGACTAGACTGATTAACTACTTTGAGAAGAACGGAGCCCCCCAGTGTGCAGCTGATGCCAACCCTGCAGAGTACATCCTGGATGTGGTCAACGCCCGCCATTCGGATCTGGACTGGCCTGATATCTGGAACAAGTCGCCTGAGAAGGTTCAACTTTTGGAGGACATCCGCATGACCCGCAATGTCAGCGGCGGAGATGTCGTTCATGACTCTTCTGCTGAGCTCGAGTATGCCACCAACACTAGAACCCAGTTCAAGTATGTCTTTTCCCGTATGGCCAAGACCTTCTGGCGCCTACCCGGGTACAACATTGGTCGTCTTGGCATGTTGACCATCTTTGCCCTGTTGAACGGATTCACCTTCTTCCGCCTCGGCAACTCTGTGGTCGATCTACAGTCACGTGTCTTCGTCGTCTTCCAGATCCTCGGTAAGGAGCACAAATGAAATTGACAGGCAAGAATCATTAACCATTGAACTTTTTTTGTTTTATTTTTTTTCACTCACAATACACCCTTTTCTTCTCTTTTTCATTCTGTCACTCTTCGACTTCTTCTGGCGTCCAGTCATGGCACCCTTGCTTTGTAACACTGTAGAGCCTAGGCTGCAAACGGAACGTCAATGGTTCTTCCGGGAGCAAGCGGGCAAATACTACAGCTGGAAACCGTTTGCAATGTCGATCTGTGTGATCGAGTTGCCCTTCGTCATATTTATCGCGACTATTTTCTTCTGTGTCCTCTACTGGACTGTCGGTTTCACGACCAATCCCCTCTCGACGTTTTACACCTTCTTGATGGTCCAGATCTTTGTCGTCTTTGCCATTACTCTGGGACAAATGATTGCGGCGTGGACACCTAATGTTCAGATTGCAGCCCTGTTGAATCCTTTCATCATCTCAGCTCTCAATCTCTTCTGTGGTGTCGTTATGCCTTACGCGAGTATGCCCAAATTCTGGCGTTCGTGGCTCTACTGGCTCGTTCCGTAAGTTTTTTTTTTTTTTTTTTTTTCATGTCGTTTTACTCGCGTCGTTTTTTATGTTCGATTGAAAATATTCGTATTTGGGATAGAACGATGCCACTAACTTAATTCGCTGATCACTTGTTCAAATTTCATCCTCCCTTCCAACCATCAACAAACAAAATCACAATATATAGCTACCACTACATCGTCGAGGGCCTCGTCACAACCCAGCTCTACGGCCTCGAAGTCCGCTGCCAAGAGACAGAGTTCAGTATTTTTGAAGCCCCCTCTGGCCAGACTTGCATCCAATACGCCGGCGCCTTCCTCCAACACGCCACAGGGTACCTCAACAACCCCGACGCGACCACGGGGTGCCAGTACTGCCAGTACTCCTATGGCCAGGATTTCTACGTGAACTTGAATATGAATATCGCGCATCGCTGGAGAAATGTTGGCATTTCTTGTATTTTCTTGGTCACCAACTTTATCATTATCATTTTGGGCATCAGGTTCTTTAAGGGTAACAAGCGGTAAATGATGTGTGATGGAGGTTTAGGTGAGGGACGCAAGTACTATACATATACTTCATACATAATACACTTCATATATATATTCACTAACAATGGCCTTCACACCCTATGAAAGGTATACTCTCCCCTGCACAACAATGATATTAAATCATTAACAGCACTGTCCTAAGAAATGGGCGGATTTTATTCAGCGAGGAAGGGGCAAGGCGGACCCAAACACAAAGTTGGCTGTGTACTCCTCCGGCGGCGAATCTTTCCTGGGACGGCGAGAAGACGTGACATTGACGACGGCGGTGGCGGTATGTAAAGGCCAAAGGATCCCATGCTCCTTCCACGCCCGCCGGAGTTTAGTCAATTCCCGGCGCTGATAATGGTCACTTCCCTGTTCCCGGTCCTGGGCATTGTTGTTGCCCTCAGCTTCGTCGGACACGCGTGAGCTCGTCTCCTGCGACAATGGCAATGGCGATGGCGATGGCATCAGTTCTGATGGCTCTGGTACAATTTCTTCCTCCTGTTCAAGTTCTTCTTCTGGAGATGGGAGTGTAGAAAGTAACAGCCTCGATCCACCAAGGCTCCTCCTCCGTCCATTGCGAACCACAGCTCCTGTATCAGAGCTTGAATCCGAGTCCGGAGGAGGTGTTTTTCTTGGTCGTCCAAGTTCACGTCGGCGTGGCTGGCTTTCGGATGTCTGGTTCTCCTGGAGCGACACCAATGTTCGTATCCGTTTCTTGGGCGGGAGAGGGGGTCCGTCCACAGATCGACTGTGGATAGGTGCAATCGTCCTGCGGTCCTCATACCCATCAATGCCGGCGTCCTCCTGCGGCTGCTCCACCTCATCCTCGCTACCCTCGACTTCCAAGTAAGATCCTGGACGATGGGTTCTTGTTCGAAGACTGGACCTTCGATCGGACTGCTGAGCTCGTCCCGACCGCCGTTGCGGTGAAGGCGTTGGCGTTGGCGCTGGCGATGGTGATGGTGATGGTGATGACGATGATGGTGGCTGGGAGGATGGCAATTTCGTTCGCCGTCGTGAACCTCCCTTTGCGATGCGTTTTCTTCCTGAATACTCCGCCTCCACGTTTGTCGTCGCTGTGGTGTTATCCGTGTATCCTCCATTGGTGTTATCCGTGTATCCTTCATTCTTGGGAAAGATTGGGATATCCACGCTGAGGAACACACCGCTCATATGTGGGTTCTGCAACAGGAGGTCGATCGTGTCTTTGTTGAGTTGTCGTTTGACGTCGTCTGGCAATGAGCGGCGTGGCGCGCGAGTAGGAGTTGCTGATATTGATGCTGGTGCTGATACTGGTGAAGGTTGTAGTGCCCTCCTGCTATGTGTCTGACTCTCCACTGTTGCTGCTTCTGTTCCCTTTGACTCGCTGGGAATATCCTTGCTACTGCTGGCAAGGGCGCCACGCGTTCTAACAGACCGTGGCGATGCTGATGTCTGACTCTCCACTGTTACTGTTGCTGTTCCCTTTGACTCGCTGGGGATGTCCTTGCTACCGCTGGCAAGGGCGCCACGCGTTCTAACAGACCGTGGCGATGCTGAAGGCGTCGATTTCCTGTTGTACGACTCGACCTGTTCCTCAAACTCGGAATCAACCTCTGGAGATAATGATTCTTCACGCGGGTCAACTACTCCTTCTTCCTCCTCCTGCTCCTCCTCCTCCTCGGCCTCAGGCGATGCCTGGGATTGAGTGTGGTATTTGGATCGCCTGATGGGATACGTGCTGGCGACGATTTCATCCTGGTTGCTTTGACGGTCCCCCTGCTCATTCTCGTTTGCCAAACTCAATTCCTCAGCTCTATCCGGCGTGGCGCTCCACGACATCGCGTCTCCTGATGCCACCGCCAAAGAATCATCCGCAACGGGTTGTCCGTCGTCATCGTTGTCGTGGAAATCATTTTCGGCATCTGAATACCGCGACGATACCTCGTACGCCTCCACATAGCCGCCGTACGGTTGAGAATGCATTGGTGCGCGGAGGTTGGGAGTCGGTGAACGAGACGGTAGCCGCTGACCGCATACAAGCTGAGAGAGACCGAGGGAATCGTCTGTTGATAGTGTATGTATGTCGTGATTGTCTGGTTGTGATGATTGGATGGGTGGCGATAGGGATGGGGATCGAGGCGGCACGGGAGACGATAGTTCTTGTGTGTATAGATATCCTGCTGGTGCAGATTCGCGTAGTTGTATGAGCGCTTCAGCTCCTTCCAAACCCTTCTCGTCCTCGTCCTCGACCTCGTCCTCGTCCGTGATGTATACCTGTGTCATCCATTCCTGTGTCATTGGCTGCTCTGATACAAAGGTCGAATCGGCCCCGACGGGGTGGCGATGTTGCGACTGATCATCATGACTCGAAACCGGTAAAGAATCTTCAAACCTCACTGTCCTTTGCGAGAACGAGCCACCGTCCGAAGCCGCCTGCGATGTCTGTTGCGATCCTGTCCGTTGCTGAGACGATGTTGAACTACTAGTTTGTGCTTTTGTGAGTCGTTTGTTGGCTACATTCCCGCGAGGTGATGTTGGTGATCTGGTTGTTGTTGGCGAGCTGTTTTTTTTGTTTGGCTTCCTTATGTGATCAAACAGGTTGGATGTCGTGAAACGAACATGTGTTTTTTGGCTGCTGCTGTTTGGGCCTAATATATGAGTGAGGTGAGGGCAAGACTTGATGTTAAAAGGCTTCGCTTGGAGTGTTCATGACGGAGAAGAAATGAGGAAAGAGGAGCGATAAGAAAGAGAGATGGAGAGAGAGAGAGAGAAAGAGAGAGGCGTACTTCCTGAGGGTGGGCCTTCTTCATTCGTAGCAGACTGTTGACGCATGGCGCGGTATGGAGAGTTGTCCGTGGGATGCAAATTAGGTCGTGTTTGTTGGGTGGTGTGTAATGTGCGAAGTGTGGAGTGAAGGAAAAGGAGAGAAAACGAGTGGGCACAGTCAAATGAAGCAACAAATGTGAAAGGATTTTTCGCAAAGTGACCCTGAAAATCAATTGTTCAATCAATCACTTGATTCTATTTTAATGCATGGTCCTCGTCTAGAGCGAGTGGGTATCCATGAACGCCAGGATATCGAGACATGACAGCAACCCATACCTCTCCTCCTCAGCCACACCTTCTTCCTGCCCTTCAGTATCTCGTCCTCGCACCGCCTCCTCCAGGACAACATACACAGAGTCGCCGTGACCTGCTACAGCCATACTCCTAATCACCTCTGCTGCTGCCGCCCTGACATCCCTATGCAACCACCCGTCACGATCAAGAACCACCTCTTTCGCTAGCAAAAGCATCGTCCATATCTCCTGAACCGGTATCCGGATGTACCGCACAATCTTGGACACGCTGATCAACGTCGTCATCTGTAACCGATGTTCCCTTGTAAACACCTTGCCCTGCGCCTGCATCTTTCCTTGTCTGGGAGCACGGTGTCCTTGTCTAGATCCAATGGCCGCTCTCTCGCCTACCAGAGACTTTCGAGTAGCGGTGGCTCCCTTGGCTCCACCATCGGCGGAGGGTGTCCAGGTACGCAACGCCTTGACAATGAACGGCCAAACATCATCCAGCAAATGCCTGCCCAAAAAGTCGCTGCAGTTTTCCGCCAGTGTAGTGATGACCTCGATGGCCCTCAGTCGGACAAAGAAGACCTCTAACTCTGACCGCATCAACACGCGTCCGACAATCGCTGGCCAGAACCCGTGAATGACTGGATTCAAGTCCTGAGGTCGATCCTTGAGGACAACAATCGATCCCTGAATGATTTCCAATGCCGAAATCCGCAGTCTGGGGGAGGTTGCCGTCAAAAAGTACCCTGCCTTGGTAAGGATCCTAAGACAGAGCGCCTGGTGCTTCGTCATGGGCTCTGGTTTCGACTCCTTTGTCTGCTTTGGCATGCTCGCCCGCAAATCGCCAAACGAAATGTTCTCGTCATCCTCGGCGCCTTCGGTATCATTGGTTTTGTCCGCGTCCTCTCGTTCTCCAAAGCGCCGCTCCTCATCCTTCTTTGCTTCATTGGCGCGCTCCATGAAATAGTCCTTGATCTGCTCTGGCGTCATCGAATCCAGCTTTTCCCGTAGTGCCTCATCGTCGCCATCAGCAGCAGAGTCAACACCCTTTGTCAAAAGTTGGTACTCCTTGGCAAAGCTCTCAACCTCCTTGGAGACATCGACCTTAGACGACACGGTCGTAGCGTGTCTTGCCAAGTCTGGATCCATCCCGCTCATATCTCCCTTAGTTCCCTTGGCATCCGCGGTGGTAGATCCAGCCATGACTTTGACGATCTCACACAACGACTTCAGCAAACCCTCACAGACCTCATCCTCCTGATCCTTCCAGTGATCCAAAGCCTCAAAGATTTCCGTGACCGAGTCCTCCAGCATCGTGACTGCAGGCGGGCCGACGACATGAATTAAGGCCCAAAGGACCTGCGGCGTCTTGGGGTTGGTGCTCAGGAAAGCGATGCGTTGTGAGATCTGCTGGATAACATAGTCGTAGTTTGCCTGGATCAAGTCGCCAACAGTCTCGTACTGGCAAATAAAGGCGACATGCTCCAGCGCCACCTCAGCCGCATCCCGAATAAGGGCCGAATCCTGACCGCCAAGGTGCTCCAGCAGAATGTAAAGGACCCGAACAAGCTCCACCTCGAATTCCGTTCCACCAAGAATGACAGCAATGGACGCAATGCCCTCGAGAAGCAGACAACGCAACATCACGTCCGTATTGTGATCGTACTCAACGGGGCCGGTAGCCTCGACCGTCAACTCCTCTCCCTCATCATTATCCATGCCAAACATCCTTGCCAGGATCGCCTTCTTTGAACGCGAGTTCAATTCTGCAGATTCGGCAGACCGTGATCGTTCCTCCATCTCCCGCCTGATTCTTGCCTCGTCAGAAAGTTGGGAGCACTCCACCAGAACAACCAGATATTCGTCCAAGACTCCTCTGGCCGCTCGCCTGACATGATGCTGCCTTTTCCTCTGACGTGATGTCTTGGACGATCCCTTGTCCTTGCGCTTCCGCGTCAAAGTGTCTTGCAAGGTGAAATCGCCCAATGTCGCCACTCCGATCCCAGAAGCACCGACAAGGAGTTGGTTCATCATGAGAACAGTTGACACGTCCGAGGCTCCGAACCATCCTTGATTTTCTCGCACTGCCCTGGCTGCATCCTGTAACCGAGACGTAAGCTCCATTGACCAAGTATCGATCTCGGTGGTAGAGCCAAGCTGTCGCAGGAACCCCAAGAAGGCATTGGACGTCAATTGTTCCCGTAGGTGGAGATGAATCCTGCGAGGAAACCCAAACTTTCGTCCGCTGCCTTTACGCTCCATGACCCATGTGTGCCAACGCTCCTCCTCGCTGCCAGGTGGAGAAGCGCTTGACCCTGAGGCCATCACTCCAAGAATGCCTCTCCGTTCATCCATGTTATGTTGGTCCAGTTGCTCGATCGTCAAGACTTGAATCCATGGCTGGAGGTAGCTGACTAGTGTTTGTTGGTTGACAATGAACTCCATCTGGTGCCCCAAAAACAACACCAGGCCCTGTGCAAGGCGGATCATGTCCTGCTTGGTGGTCTCATTTGCTCCATGCAAGATCCTGGACAAGGCCGCCAAACGCTCGCGAACAATCTGCTTCCCCACATCTGCCAGCTCTTGACTGCCATATTCCTCCGCAAGGGCACCCAGGTGAGCCTTGGCTGGTAAGGAGACGTCGTTAAAGTCGTCCTGCGTGCAACCAATCAAGGTCTCCAGCAGAAACCCTGGTACACTTGATGTTGCTGATCCTGCTGTTTTCCGTACAAGCGCGCCCTGACAATTGTGTAGAATCCGAAATGACATCTCGGCAAAATGCCGTCGCACGTCCCAGTGAGAATGAGCCCTCAGCTTGGCAATTTCTTTGAAAAGAGTCGAAAGTCCATGATCCGTCCTTTTGATCCAGGCCTCTGATCCATATCCCTCTGGAGTGCGTGAAGGTGACGAGGTCGATCCTGCTTTCCGGCCGCCTTGCTCCTTGAACATCGCCATAAGACCCTCGCTCAGTCCGGCACCCGTGGCACTCGAATCCTGGAGGGGTTGACGGGACGAGCTAATATTTCCGAGCACACGGACAACCATGAAAGTCCACGTGTCAAGTGCAGTCGTCAAGACTAAGTGGCTCTCCTTAAGACCTCGCACAAGCATCGCCTTGGTAAGGCCGGCAGATATTCCAGGAATCCAGGGAGCAATCCGTTCGGGCGTCTCGAGACATTTGAGGAGCTTCAGTATACCCAGAAGAGCAACTCTCCGTAATGCAACCAAGCTGGCGTCTTTGGCGACATCCAGCAAAACGACGATCATCTGGGCAAGGACGGGCTGGCTCCTCGCCTCTAAGAGATATCCCCTAACTTTGTCGTCTGATGGTACCCGGGCGCGTCCAAAGTCGTCCAGTGGCTCCTCCTGATCCTGAATGGAAGAACCGTATCCTTGATCATGTTCCAGAATACCTGGAGCCGTTGTGTCAAGAGGTAGGGTGAGGATGAGGCACCTCAATGCACCGAGTCGAGTTTCATCTGGCATCCTGTCCTTTGGAGTGTCTTTGATCTTTGAATGTTGCTGCTGTTGCTGCTGCTGAGCAGGCTTGATAGGGAGGCCATCAATGGCTCGAAAGAGGACGTTGAAGAGCATCTGGTCGTACTGCCAATTGGGTCCCATGATGAACGCGTATCCGTCTGGTAGGCGGAGGAGGAACTCAAGGCAACTGGTCCATGCGTCGATCAGAAAGTCGAATCGTTTCTCAAGCAGCATAAAGTTTTGACAGAGAAGGAGGACATGGTTGAGGGTGTGTTGGATATAGGCTATGAGTTTGGTGGTGAGGTGCAGGTCCGGGTCGGGCATGGTCGTGAGGATGGTGTGGATCGATCGCAATGTGCTGGCAATCTCCTGAGCATTGGATGCGCCTACGGACGGGAGGGACAGTAACCGCGACGCTGGCTCACGGAGCTGAAACCACGTCAAGCAAAATGAGATATGTAAGTATTGGTTGTGATCACTTTCTGTGTGTGGTTTTTGGCCATTGCGAATGTTAGAGGATGATGTCCTTACCCGTGAGAAGGTCTCTATTGTCTCCTGCGAAACTCCTTCTGGGTAGATTTGGTCCATGATGGCAGGGTAGCGTCCTGTTGCCGAGTATTTCTTTTCCTGTAGCGATTCCTTTGCAGACGACGATGCGTTGGGACGAAACGTGAGGGGTGAGAGATCAACAAGGCCCAGGCAATTATATTGGAAGCATGGCAGTCACAAGACCTACTACATGAGCTACTTGCTCACACCTTTGGCTCACCCCACCCACCCAACCCTCTCTTTCCCTTGTCTCCATCCCTATCTCTTGCTCTCCCTCCTTCCCCTTCCCTTCCACCTCCACCCTCTTCCTCCTTCTCCTTTCTTCTTCACTCCCACCACCTACCTCTCACGTTCCACCCTCTTCGCCTCCATTCGTTTCGCAGTTTGGACATAACCACCTCCATTCGTACGCTCAATGACATTGTCACCCGTCAAGAGCCCCCTGCTCCTCCCAGAGATCCTAAGCAACATTGGCCGCTTCCTCGCCAAACGGGAACTCATCGCCTGTTTCCAGGTCTGCTCCACCTGGCACGCCGCCCTCGAGCCCGTCCTCTGGGCAGACCTCAACTTTGAAAAACAGCTCCTTCAGTCCTACTTTGTCGACGCTGAACGTCAAGTCCGCATCCTCCCCGACCCGCCCACCATTCAGCGACTCGCCCGACATATCACCTCCATACGCTACAGAGGCTGTCAAAGCCCCATCTCCCTCCTTATTCTCCCCCACATTGTCCGTCTTACTAGACTTCGAGTCTTTCACCACTCCTCTGCCACCCTGCGGTCACTCATCCTTCGCAATGTGGCCTCGCTTGTCCATATCCATTGGGAGGAGCAATATTCCGGATTGGCCTCGGTTTATCGGCCGCCCGACCTGGTCGACGACATGTTCTCGGTCATGGTCCAGTGTCGGCATCTTCATACCCTCACATTGACACGGTCCACCGTCTCTGAATCCCAAGCACAACCATTCTATCAACTCTTGCAACAGTTGCACTCCATCACCCTCTCCTCAACAAGCATTCACTCCTTCCCCTCCGACCCGATCCATTTCCCCAACATCAACTCCTTGGCTCTTTTGGCGGTCGACATGGACCCGAAACAGCAGTTCAAGTTGGTGGCGTCATGTCCGAACCTGGGGACGTTCAGTTGGAAGGCACGCGTCCGGACACCCATCACAGCAGATGCACTCACCCTCCCAACAACATGTCCTCGGTTGACGGCCTTGGACTTGAGCCGCTGTGAGAGCTCTGACTCAATCATGGCGCAGATTATGCAAAAGTCTCCCCACTTGACCTTTCTCGATGCCTCTCGATCTTCTTTTGGACCTGCATGCTTCATGATTTTGGTCCGCAACCAAAGTCGGGCTCTCCAACATCTCGATGTCCGGACCTGCGGGGATGTCACGTCGGAAATGATCCACGCCATCATGGTCTACTGTCAGAGGCTGGTCTCCTTTCAGGCGTCTGACATCCCTGCCAGGGTTCTGATCCAAGAGCCACAGATCCAGTGTCTGCAGCTCGAGATCTTGACCCTCAATTTGACCGAGATTGCTCAGGACAAGACCATACAGTTCCGCGTCTATGAACAGCTAGCTCGACTGACGCGGCTCAAAGTCTTGACGTTTGGACCGGCAGCGGAAGGTTCGAGGTTAGGAGCTGGAGCTGGGATTGGGGCGGGTAACGGCGGTAGTGGTGCGGCACCTAGGACATGGATGGGGATTGGGATGGGTATGGGCTCAGGAATGAACACTGCAGCGGGGGTTGGAGCGGCAGGAAACACTGGGGGCGGCGGCGGCGGTGGTGGAGCGGCTGTTGCAGGAGCGCGACGACTACAGAATGCGATCGGCAGTACACCTTTGAACAACATGATGACGACTCTCAAGAAGGACGAACCAGACTCGATGGACTTTCGACTAAAATATGGACTTGCTCAACTGGCGACACTGAAGCAGCTGGAAGAGTTCCGGTTTGAAGGGCTGGTCCTGTGCAAGATGGATGTGGACGAAATCCAGTGGATCGCCAATGCATGGAAGAGTCTGCGTATGGTCCGAGGAGTGCTACATAAGGAGAAGAGGAGGCGGGCCAGACTTGAAAGCAAGCTACGCGAACTACGGCCAGATGTTCGCCTTGTCTCCATTGACATGTGCAAAGTCACTTTGTTCTAGCACCCAGCGACCCAGCAGCATTCTACTGACCCCCCACAAACAATCCCACAAAAAACTAACATACAATGATATCTCACCTATATACATACCCAAAATAAAAATGTTCAATACTCTCGTCGGTTCTATTTCTTTGTTATTCTGTCGTTATTAATTGTCATGGATGTGGGTAATGTGGGGAAACTCTTTCTGTACCAGCTCCTGGATAGCCAACTCTGTCACAGGATCCATGCTCAGTCTACCTTGAATCCTTCTCAGTCCTTCCCAACGCTTGCCGATCCACCGAACATCGCCCACCGAAAAATCCGGGTCCTGGACTTTTTCCACATCAAACACTCTCAGCTGTGTCAGTTTCCACAATCGTCTGAGTCCTGCCCTGAAGTGGGGTGACTTTTGTGTCCCTGACCCTCCTGGCGATCTCGACGGTGACGATGAGGACGATGACGATGTGGATGAGGGCGATGACGCTGTCGAATATGGGGGCGAACCTCTTGACGAACTCAGTCCTATAGCATTCTCAACAGACCCGAATGTCGGTCCCGAATTCAAGGGCAGTCTGCGTTCATCACTGTCGCTCTTCCAGCCATACTCCAACCGCCGGAGCTCCGTCAACTGTACCAATTGGGAATAGACCAGTGCCAGTCCAGCCGATAGCAAATGTTGCTGAAGGTTGCTCCCAACAAAAGTCACATCCAACTCCTCCAGCTCCAAACAAGCCCACTGCCATTCCCCTTGAATCGCCTTGCCCAGCATCCTCATCGACGACAGCGGAGCCGAGGTCGGAACCGGAACCACCATACCTCCTCCAGCCATAGGACTTCCAGCGGCGTTAGAAGAACCAGGTCTTGCGAATCGCGGCGAAGACCATGCGGAGGCCGGGTTAGAGAAGAAGGTGTTCTTGCTCATGTCGTTCACTGAGATTTCGTCCGCACGGAAATATCGAAGCCGCTTGCATGTCATCAACATGGTCTGGATCATCGGGTTCTGAACCATGAGATGACACTGTCGAATATCGAGTTCCTCGAGCGTGTCGGCCATCGAACAAACGACCTGATCGGCACAATAGGTTCCGAACGGCGAATGGACTGCGATCAGTCGTCTCAGTTGTAACCCAGAAGTGAGGATCATCGCCAGTTGCTTGTCAACAAGATCGCTCTGGGAGACGTCAAGAGACGTGATCCTGGCGAGGCGATCGGGTGCAAGAGTGACGAAGTGGAACATGAACGGATTCAGCGGTGTGCTGTCCAGAGGTCGCCAGGCCAGATGTTCGAGGTTTGGACACTTGGCAATGAAATCCAACTCTCGAAGGGGACTAACGCTCACTTTATGCAGGAGCAATCGTCGCAGGTTCGTCAGCGGATCCATCATGTGAGGCGACAGACTTGCAACAGACCCATTCTCCAACGACAAGACCTCCAACCGCTCACAGATCTGGAAGAATACATCCAAGTCACTGGTATACACACAGGCCACCGACAGCGTCAGCTCAGACAGGAATGTGACCGACAACAGTGTCTGCCAGAGCTCGGTCGCCTCATGAGCAGGCTGCGGGAGAGAATGGTGTTGTCGTTGCCGACTCGTCACGTTCCTGCAGACAAACGTGTGAAGGGATTGCGCATTTTGTTCTAGGATCTGCCGCACCGCCGAGTTGTACTCATCGGCAGACAGACTGAACAGTCGGTTTTGGAGGAAGGGGATCAATTGGTGACGCAGGAAGGGGCTATGGTGCTTAATGTCAAGGGATCGCAGGTGACGAATGTTCTTGACAACCGAGGCTTCATGGGCGCTGTGGTCCATGCCTCGGTACTGGTCGTGGTGGCGGTTGCGGTCGTTATTGTTGCTGCTGTTGCTGCTGTTATGGCTGCTTAGAGGCGGATGGGTGAGTGACACATTGCTCCAGAGTAAAGGTTCGAGGTAATAGTGCCAGACATGCGAGACGCGTACGCAGCTGGTGAGTTCGCCCTGCGAGAGGTGACGACCGATATGGAGCAAGATTTCTGGAAGGTGTGTTGGGTTTTGTCGCATTCGGTCATTGTCGCCCTCGTCACCCTCGTCGCCCTCGCCGTTGCCGTTAATCGCGTTGTATGCTATGGAGGTAATGGTCGAAGTTGCCATTGCTCACTAGTTGTAGCAAAAAAAATAATGAATGTCGAAGAGAGTAAGGAAAAAGAGCCAAAAGAATGGAAGAAGAAAGAAAAGAACAAAAATGGAGAGCAAGCAATGCATTCCCATGGCGCAAAGCAAAAGGTCGGGTTCACAGCAAAAGGTCTAGGCTCTTCCTTTTTTTGTGTGTTTCCGTTTCGTTCCCCTGAGAAAACCTTCTGTTAATGGGCGTCATCGTCGTCATAGGCGGGCTGAGCAATCTCCAAAACAGCGCATCATTTCGCTCCGCCACATTTATTCTTAAAAGACGTTGTTCAATCGTCCTCTTTACTAACCCTTTCTATTCATTCAAACAGCGTGCCTGAAATTACAACGTTCCATGACTGACTGGATATGGTACAAAAGGGTGCGGGTTTATTGTTATTTTTACAGTTATGATACAGACGATGAAGGAAGCCACTCGCAAGCCTTGCTGTGGATGGTGGTCCACTTCATCGTCGTCGCCGTCGCGCCGTCAATACTCCAAATCATCAGTATCCTCCTGCGACATTTCCTCCTCTTGGAACTCCTCGATCTGAAAGGCAGGGTAGCAGAGGTTCCAGCGGAAGAGGCGGTAGGATCGTCCGATCTCGTCATCCTTGATCATCTCGTCAAAGTCGGGGTGCTGGTTCAATGCAAGACGATCCTCCGTTTGCGACTCGGAGACCACATGCATCTTGATAGCTGACACCACATCGAATGGCTGATCGTTGGTTGTGTTGGCGCCGTCTAAGTAGTCGATAGTTGTGTCGCTGTTGACCAAAGGGTCTTTAACTCCGAGCTGGTCGATTATGATATCGTTGGAAGGGGTGTTGCAAGAGTCACTGGATGCATGGTCGGCAGCTCGGCTCTTCTTAGCGGGACGCTCGTCGGCCAAAAAGTCATCAGTGTCATCGCTGTCGATGCTATGCTTTTTGGTCGAACGATCTTCAGTTGAAAATTGGTCGCTTTGTCGTTCATCAGTGGCCTGCATATCGTCTTCTTCGACCGGGAAGGCCGCATGGAGGTGGGCGTTGAATGATGCCCACTTGGCGAGTTTGTGTTCTTGACGAAGGTCCTTGTCCCAGCGATATTCCCATCGGGCGTTACGCATAATGTCGTCAATGTGCTCTTCGTCCGGTTCCTCGGGAGGTCCCGTTACTCGTGTCGGGTCGAGCAACTTGATGTAAGGCGTCATGTCGAATCGAACTCTTCGAGCCGCGGCAGCTGGGGCTGGGGCGGCAGAGACGGTGCCTTGAGGGGGTGGAAGAAGAGAGCAGGCAATGGTCGTCGGGTTACCCTGATCGATCTTCTCGCCCTGGGCAGCCGTCTCGACAAAGAGGTCGTTGGGCCAAACACACAGTGGGATAGCAGGGGTTGCTTTGTCGTTGATGTCTCTAGCCTTGATCAGATCTGAGACAGGTGTGACAAGCGCCTGCACCAAGTCCTCAGCGCTCATGAAGGATGTCATAAGGCCGCCCACTGGGAGGTGCGTGTTCAACTCTGCGCCAACCCCCAAGAATGAGCTCATGACGTCGTGTTCGGAGTTGGTGCATGAATCCGAGATGCTATGGCCGTGTCCAAAGGCCGACTGGGAGGTATCAAGTTCGAGACCCATGAAGGAGGTGGTGCCACACTCTGAGAAGGAATGCTCGGTGTGCAACTCGAACAGGGAATCAAAAACATTGGTCTTGCTCTCAATCCAAGGCGATCCGATCGACAAGTCGAGAGGGGGGGAAGGAAGAGAGGTTGAGTTTGTTGTTGCCGTGCTGTCCCGTTGCTGGAATGATTGTTCCAGAGACCAAGTCTGTGCGCGAGGTAATTCAAGGGATGATGGTGGAAGAGCGACTGTGTCTGCACTGTGCTCTTGGCTCCATGCTTGTGCGGGAGACAACTCGGGTGAGGGCGAGGGTAAACTCGATGACGATGTCTCTTCATCCTTGGATGCCATATCCTGGAGAACGTCTCGACAGCTGACTTCCATCTTGTACAAGTACGAAAGGGGGCGTCAGTATCGAGTGATTCGAATTTGCAAGTGCAGTATACAAATGAGAGACACACACACAAAGAGAGCGAGACACACAGAGAGAGAGTGAGAGAGTGAGCGAACGACCCGTGGTCAGATGAAAAGTGAGCAAGAGCTAGACAGAGGGAGGGAAGGAGAGACAAGTGTACCGCTAACCAGGTAAGAGAGCAATAGAGAGCGCTGTTTCAAGAATTTATTTTAGGGTCGCAAATGAGTATAATATAGGAAGAGAGAGTGGTGTAAGCATGGACAAGACTTGTGAATGCAAACCCGATCAAAAGTCGGTATTAGTGCTTACCAGAGTCAAGGCAAGGGTGAGTTGAAGGTGGATCTCTACTGCGAACAGAGTGCGAGGGTGAGGGTGAGTGATTTGTAAGCGTGGGTATGTTTTTTGTAGATGTGTGGGTGAGAGGGAAAGGAAAGGAGGAGGTGAATGCAGCTGAAGAGGGGAAACAAGGGAAGAAAGCAAGAGGGAGGGAAGGAAGGAGGTGGAAGGAAAAGGAGGGAGTGTAAGAAAGATAAAAGGAAAAATATCGAGCCCTATTTATACTTGAAAACGGCTGCGCATTTGAAGCTTGGACCTACGTCACCGAAGATGCACTGGAGCATCCGCTGCCAGCGGACATACTGAAGGAATTGTGCCCAAATGAACGCGCTAGATAGACATATCACCAGAACAAAGGACGACAAGAATGTCGTATAGAGGAGTTTTTTGAGCAGAGTTGCCCCAACCCAACGCCAATAGCGACTATATCGTCTCGTTTCCTCCTGGCACCGATTGATCCGCCGAGAAGTTCCAGAATCCTGTTGGCGACAGCTTTGAAGCGTGTGGGTTGAAGCATGTGGTTCTCACAAAGCACTATACAACATCAACCAGTAGAGTGGAGTGCTCCAATTAGCACGACGGGTAGTTGCTATACGCTAATTGCCCTTAAAGTGTTAAAGGGTACTGCGGGCATGGAGATCCTCCAAAGGAGGGTACCCTGGTCAACTTGGGGGATGTGGTTTGAGTGGTTATTGTGTAAATGAGCGAGGCGGAAATTCTCTTCACCAGAGAGTAAGAGGTGGCTCTTATCCAGCAATAGCTGGTGACCGTTGAGTTCCTTCCAGTGTTGGCGAACCTACAGTACCATATTGTCAACAGTCAGCTTTTTAAAACTGTAGGGAGGTGTTGTTTCCACCTGAGATACAGGCTTGGGGCTACAGGATGTTGTTTGGTTGCGCATGCCCTCTGTCAAATCACTCAGTTTGCCATAACCTGAATACCCCTATAGACAAATGGGAATTGTGGTTGACTTTCGTCACTGGGCGAAGACCCACAAACAACAATCCACCAAAAGCCTGCGATTTTTCTGGGATCTGAGGCTTCTTTTTTTTTGTCAATGAGAAAAGAGGGGTTCGTGAAACTTGATATTTTGCGGAGCATTGTTGGTCTGTGAGAGATTGCGGCTATTATGGGTTTGGATTAATGATGCACTCTCCAACAGCCAACATCAAGACTTTGTTGTCTTGCTGCCTCCAACTGGGATCAGATCTTCATGTGTCGATCATGTTTTCTCTTTCTGCTGGTGGTACGGATGGGACAGAATTGACTTTCCTCAGCTGTTACAAGGCAAAATGGAAAACCAAGATGTGCCTATTTTTTTTAACTCACTTGCTCCCGGTAACAGTGTTGAAGCTTTGCTTTTTTCTGTTACCTGCGCCTTTACGCCTTCTTCCGTTGAGGAAATTGCGGCGCGGATATATGACTATTGAGGATGACCTGAAAGCATGCTTGACCAATCTTTTTTTTAATTCATCTTTTCTTCCTTCTACTACCCAACGCCTGCTCTGCCAAATATCTTTAGAACTCTTCATCGTTCAGCGAGCCCACCACCATCCATCGCAAGACAGCAACGACAAACTCTCTATCGTCTTGTATGATACAGCCCTTCCATTTCAGTGTCCCGTCTGTTGGATTGAAGAAGTGCATGGCTGCCGCCGCCAATTGAGGCTCCACACTCGGGGCAACGAGCTTGCTCCATGGCCATACCACATTCTCCGATGGCGTACTATAAGTTGTCATGCAAATGGGAGTTAAATCGTGTAAGTGTTAATGAAATGAAGAAAAACAGCATCAATTTGATCAAATATTGTCGTTTTCAGTTGAAACTTACGGGATGACCGTTGGGACACTGGTACCAATGTCCGGACCCGCGCATGTTCTCACTGATCGCACGGAAGATTTCCATCTTTTCCTCCTTAGAGATTGCTCCTTCACCCCTGGCAACCGCGCAGGCCGTGTCCATGCGCTTCTTCAGGATCTTAGCGTTATTCTCGCTTTCCGCCCTGATTCCAAGCGGAGAGTTGGAAATCTCTACCATCTGCTGGGCAAACAACACCTCCAGTTCGTTCACAGTGCGGCGACGGTCTGCTTGACCGACGGGGTCCCGCGGAAGCGACTTGCGACCGATATGCTGGACACAGTGGCAGAGAAGCGTCATACGGGTGAGGCCAGCATAGGTGACGTGTCGAGAAAAGATGCCCTTGATGGCAGCGTTCTGTGTCATGTTGACATGTTCCATTGCGCACTGGATCAGATCCTCGACGAACCAGAACCAGCCTGACGACGGTCCTGCCTTTTCCAATGCCGCCACTGCTTCAACCAGGACCAACAGCAAGATGTTTGTTCGTTCCTGTAAGGATTCCACAAACGAAGATCCACCATTGCCGTCCGCCTGGAGACCGCACTCAAGAATGCAGGTCTGGATCATCTCGTCCATCGTGGATTCATCCGCGACTCCACCTGCAGCGTCAATAAGGGCATTCTCCTGGGCCTTGACGCGGTAGAGGTGCGAGACGGCAGCCTCAAAGAGCACCTTGTTGGGTGAGTTGCTAGCCTTTTCGTTGATATCCTTGTATGCCTTAAACATCAGGCTCAAAGGCTTTACCAACTTCTTCCACGCCTTCTCCTGCTCCTTGGGTAGCCCATACACTGCGATCCTCTCATAGTTGCTGCCAGGAAATACCTCATCCATGTTCGGCGGTCTCCCCAGTGTCTTGGAATCCCTGGCGGGCGGTTCCTCCTTCGGATCGGCCTTGAACTTGCCCATCGCCGTCATAAACTCGTTGTGGGCTTCTACGACGCGGATCCGAGCCACCTCGGAGTCGTCCTGTGCTTTCTGGATGCTGGCAGCCTGGACTTGAACGTGCTTCTTGTTTCGCATCGACAGCTGGCTGTACTTGACGCGGCGACCATACCGCAAGAACTCCAAGATGGGCTTGCGGCACAAGGAGCAGCAAATCTGAGAGACCTGTTCGCTGGGCAAGCTCAATTTGTCGACAAAGGTGGACGTTTCGGTGACACGATCGAATCGCTCCTTGTAGTACTCGCTCATCTCCATCATTCCGTCAAAGTTTGTCATGGTGAAGGCGTGACCACAAGTAGGAACCAACAGAGGATCCTTGTTGACATCCACCTCGCCAAGTGTCTTCCCCTCAAGGAAATCGACATACATGTTCATGGTCTCAGGATCCTTGCACTCGACACAGTACTTAACATCGGGGCAGACCTCACAGCACAAAGAAGGACATTGATGACCACAGGGAAGGTTCTTGTCACAGCGCACGTTGCAAGGAAGACGGTCACAGGGAACTCCGCAAGGCATATTACACTGGCCTTGATGAGGACAATCCCAAACACAGCGCTCGCTGCAGGCGGCACATGGGGTATCGCAGGGGAGGTGGCATTTGGAATGTGCACACATCACCGCGCAGTCTTGTATGCAGGGTGGGCAGGGCTCCTTGCCATGACACCAGGCCTTGCAGCTATGGCCGCAGAACTGAGTACGGCCGCACTCGATCTTACAGACTCCATGGCGCGTTCGTTCGATTTCCTTGGTAGTAGGTAGTGCTCCGACCTTCTTGGCCTCAGGAGACGACAACTCCTGGCACGCGCAGCAGGAACGGATACACTTATGGCCACATTCGAGTTCCTTGTCGCACTTCGCGTTGCACTTTGCCTGCTGAGGGTCCTTCCGGCACTCCATCACCAGTTCGTGCTCACAGTGTGGAAGCTTGCGGAGAACCTTGACGGTACAGACGATCTTGGAGGGATCTCGTTTCTGCCAGCACCGAGGCTCCTCCAGGATGTGGCCGCATGGCAAAGCCATTGGTGAGACAACCTCCATGCAAAGCCCACACTTGTCTCCACAATGCTTGGGGCACACGTGTCCACAACCAGGCATAAGTCGATTGCACGGCTCTCTGCACTTGACCAGCAAATGGGCTGGGTCATCAGGATGGCCTATCATTATTGAAAGTAAAACTTAGCAACGACTATAACTCGAGCATTACTTGTGTAGGGTTGAATATCAACATTAAAATAACCAAAGAACGCGACTTACAGTGAAGCGGGCATACATGTCCACAAGGCATGCTGCGGCCACATGCAATGGTACAACCGCCATTAGGAGCATTAATCTTGAGTTTCTCTGGAGTATCGACATAACGGAGAGTATCCGGGTGGTTCTTGCAGATAATTGGAAGGCCTTCTCCAATGCGATCGTATTCTTCGAGCTCGTCCATGACCGTGGGCCAGATTCCGTTCTGGCTCCGGTTCATGAGGCTGGCCTTGCCGATCAGGTACATACCATGCTTAGCTCGAGACAACAGGACGTTGGTGCGGTTGGGAGACTTGAGGAAACCAATCGATCCCGATGAGTTGGAATCCTTAGTTCTCACATCGCTACGGACCAGAGAGATGATGACCACCTTAACATGGAGTTAATGTAAGTTTGAATAGATTAGTTTCTAGTTTCTGTCGTTTATCCTCAATGCGACGCTGAGCAAGGAAATAAGTATCAATAAATGATGTATATACTTACTTTCGCTTCTTCGCCCTGGTAGTTGTCGATGGTGCGCAGAGTAAGATGGTTCTGGAGACTGACATTCTTGACGCCGATCTGAGGAGCCGCTTGAGCCGCTTCAGTGTCGATGCCTCCTTCGGCCTCATTCTCCTCCAGCTGCTCCATATCACGGTCGTCAATAACCAGCATGAAACTTTGGCGGAGATGGTCTCTCAGCTTGGAAAGTTGACCGAGGTAGGGAGTCAAGACTGCAATGTCACCAGGCTGGTCGTATCCGTTCTTGATCAGGTAATGAGCCAAAGCCTCAACCATCTTGACTTCAAAGGTGTTAGAGAACGACTGCATACCGTACTGATCCTTGGCATCCTCTGGGTGGGCGTGATCCATAAAGTACAGGTTCGCACCCATACCAGCAACATCTGGATGTTTCAGCGCATCTCCACCGTCCTCTAGATCGGGGTAGAGGGTGTTCCTGATCAGGCTGGAGATCTCGGGTCGCATTCGGCGCTGGATGGTGAGCTCGGACATTGGCAGCGGGTTGGTACTGGAAGTAACGAGACGTTCGAAAAGGGATCGATCCAGGTTATGATGTTTGCCGATTTGTGAATCGGACTGAAGGCTATAGGTTTCGATCTGAGGTCGCAGCTGAAGGTGATCACCGATGAGGATAAGGTGTTGGGTCGACGCAGAAAGAGCAGCCAGGATATGTGCCTCAAGAACCTCGCCGGCTTCCTCGCAGATGATGATCTTGGGAGCGACCGCAGCGACCAAGGTCTGATGCTTGGCAGCACCGTTGGTGGTCATACCGATAACCGTGGCCTTGGTGAGAATACCACGTCGGATCTCGTCGAAGGCATTATTCTTCTTGACAGAGATCTCCTCCACCTGCCGGAGAAGCTGCGTCATCTCACCCATCATCATCTCCAAGACCTCGGGTTTCCAAGCTTCAATGAGTCGTCGCCTTTCCACCGAGGACATGGTCCAAACATCACCATTGAAGAGTACCGAAAGAGGCCGGTTGGTCCTGGGAACGAATACTTTAGGCAATAAAATATCTGCCCCAGTCTTGTCATCTCTAAAAGCATCGAATCTGTTCAAGTCTCGCTTTTTCTTTTTGCTTTTCTGACGCGCTTCCTCTTTTTCCTGCAGCCTGTTCCACTCGTCCTTCTCCTTGAGGTCAGTTGAGGTAGCCCACCGCAGGTAAGGGGATTGATCTTGGTTACGACGCACTCTGGTAAAGCCCTCCTCCTCCTCCTCCTCGATCTCGTCCTTGTCGGGATGGTGCATGAGCTGCCGCCACTGCTTTGGGTTGGACATCATCAGGTGTGGACTAACGAATTCCCAGTCCAAGTTCTTGTCCTTGAGGGCCTTCTCGAGCCCGCCAATCTTCTTGGAGACCTCGTCCCACAGTTCGAACGCCTCTCGAAGCGATCTACGAACATCAAATGGCTTATCTTGCGATTGCATAAGGCTCGTGAGGTTGCAATCCTCCAAACGAGTAGACTTGGAACGGGCTCCGACACGGACAATGCTGGTGACTCCTTCGTCGAGAAGGTGCTCAAGGAACTGATCGAGCGCATGGTTGGTGTAACAAATGCACAGGATTGGGCCACAGTTCATGGCAGCCTTGTTGTGCAGAAGAACGCGCATGATGTCGATACCAATCTTGGTCTTTCCCGTACCGGGAGGTCTAAAGAGCAAAATAGATGTAATTGGTGATTAGTACCGTGCTCATACATCGACGGAAAACTACAGTGCAACAAGCATCATGTAGAGTGTAATCAACATACCCTTTGATGAGAGCAATCTCTCTGGAGAGTGTCTCGACCAAGGCGGAAGCTTGAGTGTTGTCGAGCATGCTATGTGCTCGAAGCATTTCGATTGCCTTGTCGAAAGATTGACTGTTGTCCGCCTCAAGATAGCAAGGCCGTTTGTTCTCGAGAAGGATCGACAAGTCGAAGCGGAACTCGGGCGCGCGTGTGTAAAGCGGAGGATCAATGGTGCCCTTCTGTGCAACGAACTGGAGCATCTCCTCTGAGGTGGGCGCGATATACTTGCCGAAAGGCATGGTGGCAGGAACACAGATCTGAAGGGCCTTGAGAATGGGTCGGTAGGACTCGAAGAACGACCCTGTAGACTCTACGAGGAACCATTGCTCGGCAGCTGCGTTTTGGCGGGTCGAGTCCAGCATCAGCAAATACGACAAGGGATCAGATAGTGAGATGTGAATCTGCCCCACTTTAGGATCCTTAGCCAGAACGTCGACGTCTCGGTGTGTGATAATACCAAGAATCATCCGAAAGTTCTGAGGGTCGGAATGGAAGCCGGCAGAATTCGAAGGCGCACGACTGGCAATGCACACCAGGGCTCCTTGCATCAAACGTCGACGGGATCGTTCCCAAAACTCCTTGCGGCGCTTGGTCGGCTCACCCACAATCTGCGGGGGCTGGGAAAACGACATCACAATAGAGCCGGCGAGTTGCTTGGTGTTGTCCATGCCCTCAAACTGGACGTCTCCGTAGACGTTCAGGCTGACAGAGTCGCCAAGTTGCTTGCGGAGCTCCTTCTGTTTCAACAGGGTGGTGTCGCTGTTCTTGTCGGTACTTTCGAGAAGAGATATAAATGAGCCGACGCCCTTACGGAGAGAGTCCATCATGTCCTCGCGGTACAATCGAAAGTGGATGTCGACTTGACGGCGCCAGCCAGGTGGCAGGAAATGAGGAGCCTCTGCAATGTCATTCGAGGGAAGGAAGGGTTGACGCTTGGAGACGATCTCCTTTTGGGTGGGGAGCACAGAGATATCCGATATTCCAAGGTGGTCGTTGTCGTGGCGAGGACCTTCCTCAGACAACTCCCCAGGAGGATCGTAGTTATGGTGAAGCTGAACCAAGTTCACATGTCTGCCTCCTGACAAAGAAACATGGGCAGCCATAGGAGAAGGCTCAACAGGGCGGATGACGGTGTCTTGGGCATCGTTGACGACCTGTTGCAATCTGTCCATCTCTCGCGTGAGGTTTGTATTCTCGAAAGTGTCATGACTGCCGTTGGCAGGGAGGGTCGTACATCGGAGGACGAGCTCGTGGAGGTCCTGGACCATGTCGGCCATCTCGATCTGGGCATCTCGTTTGCGTTTGACCAACTGATACACGAGGCGGACTATCGCGATCAAGGCTCGCTGAAGAGACTCCACTCGGCAGACGCCAGGATCGCTGAGAACGACATGCGCGGACCCGCTGCGGTCGTCCAAGGAGCCTCGATTCAGGAGATTCTCCATGCAGCGCAAAACACCGTCCTCGAGGAACTGTCGGCGGTGAAAGTAGACGGTCGAGTAGATGATACCCGACTCGCTCGTCATCGTTGTCTGGCAGACCTTTTGCCTCGTCAATACGCCGATCAGCGGCAAGATAACATACTGGAAAGACATTACGGATCGCTCATCCCCGGCATCGATCGACATCGGCTTCAGCATAATCTCCTTCAGTCTGTTCAGCCCCGTATCGGAGGCCATGTCTCGCAAAACACCCGAAGTATCGGCACCGTGATGGTTGGAAAGGTTAAGTAAACAGGAATTCACAAAAAAACGGATCTGGCGCTGTGACCAGTGCCCCACAACCTCTTGCTTCTTGAGAATCATACTGGCGAGGTGGACCACAACGCCCTCTGGGTTGGCTACAATGATGTCGTCGGTCCCCTCGCTCGAAATTTGGAACGTCCTAGGTCGGATTGTCGACATTGCAGCCTTGTCTTCGTCTGTGAGGCCTCTACCACGCCCGCGACCTCCTTCAGTTTGGTGGCCGCCAAAGTTGCCACGACCTCCACGACCTCCACGACCTCCGCGACCACCACGGTCGCCATCATAGCCGCCGCGATTACCACGACCCCTACCACCGCCTCCGCCACGAGCTGATGCTGTCGTCATATCTATGTATTCAGAAAACACGTGAAAAAGTTGAATGGTGGTATTTCAGCTGGAGAGTTCTGAAGTAGCTTTGCGAAAAAACAACAACAACAGCAGGGTGGGGTTAGGGCTTACGTTTGTCTGAGAGCGCGATGTCTTTCGTTCGAGGACAGGTGAAAGTGTGATGTTACTGAGTAGTTGTCCGTGTTCGTGTGAACCGCGAAAGTGTTTTGTTTTTTGTGTGAAGAGACTGAGTGAATGTAGATATGAGTGTGGATGTGAGTGTGGATATGAGTGTGGATATGAGTGTGGATATGTGTGTGGATATGTGTGTGGATATGTGTGTGGGTATGTATGTGGGTATGTGTGTGGCAAAGAAAGAAGAAAGAAGAAGGAAGAAAGGAAGAAAGGAAGAAAGAAGGAGGAAGAGGCAAGAAGAGGAAGAAGAAGAAGAAGAAGAGGGCGTTGGAAACAAAGCAGGCGAAGACAAATGTAATCGACAAAACAAGCCTTGTGGAAACACAGCATGAAATCACGTGCATCACTCGCCATCACAATGCCACAATGCCTCAATGCCACAATGCATGCAGTGTGCAGATACAAAAAAGCATGGGGTCACCCGTGGGCAAAATATATTTTTTGTTTTTCTTTAGTGTTTTATTCTTGAACACAGGAATCGAGAAAAAGCCGCTTTTTATTTACCCCCTGCATTCGCCTCTTTCCTTCTTCCTCCTTCCTTCCTCTTAATCTATCCACTGGTCTAGCATCGCCTCTAGGTCTGCCAGCTTGGTGGGCTTGCTCAGATACCCATTCATCCCCGCTGTCAAACACTTCTCCTTGGTCGAAGGGACTGCACTCGCCGTCAACGCAATGATCGGGATCTGCGCTGCAAAGCTCGATGTCTGCCCAATCGCACGAATCTCGCTCGCTGCCTCAAATCCACTCTTCACGGGCATGGCGCAGTCCATCAGAATTAGGTCGATCTTGGGTGGTCTGCTGCTACTGCTATCCGTCGGTTGCATAGTAGGGCTGTAGGTTGAAGCCCCCAGTGCGGTTGCAAGAGTTGATGCGAGAGGAGCCGAATGTCCCTCAAAGCGAGGTGACGATGAGGATGAAAGAGGTGATGCTGTCGTTGTCGAAGCAGCCGAGAAAGTTGATAGCCCGGGTAAGCTCAAAGGCGATGACGGTTCTGTCTGGTCAAAGATGTGACTCATGTTGGCATTGCTGTCTGAGATGAAGTGCGAGCCTCCTTTGATCAGGTGGTGGCGCTGCCGATCGTACTCGTCTGCTAAATCCATCGAAACATCTCCATCGGAGTTGCCGGCTCCTGATTCCTCACCATCCAACCTCAACGAAGATGTACTCTCGCCCAACATTTCGACCTGAGAGTTGACAATATCGACCGCTATCTGGCCGTTACACGCTGAGAGAGTATCATAACCGAGCTTTTGCAATTGGTATTGGACCACCTAAATAAACATGCACGGAAGGACGAACCGTCAGTGAACTGGGTGGCGTTCCAAGGTTACAGGCTCGGAGCACATAAAAGCAATGTAAAATATTACTTACTCTGAGGTTGATGATGTTGTCCTCAACGCATAGCACGCATCTCCCTTTGCGCTCGCGTTTTCCCGCTGCAGCCCTTGCAGCCCGATTACTGAAAGCCGGGTTACTCCGCGTAGGTGATTTGGAGTCATGTGTCGATGTTCCTGCCGAGTTCTTTGGACCAGGAGTAGTTCGAGCAAGGCGCATTCTCCGTGGAGGCATGACAAGTGGTTTCGAGGTGGGGATGTCCATCTTGCGATCGCTTTCAGATCCGGTATTGGTAGAAGGCCGAAGAATGCCATTCGCATGAAGTCCAGATTTGTTGGCGTTACCACTAGCGATTGTGTCTGCTTCGCCATCCGGGTCGAGTGAGGAGGATTCGGGAGTATTTTTGTTGTAGTCGGTGTCGTAGTCGCTCGAAACAAGGCTCAAGTTTCCGTCTGCTGGGATGACTTGACTCGCGCCGGTATCTGTGAGATTGTCGAATTGACTCTGGGCTGCTTGACGTCGAGCCTCAGCCGATGCCTCCTGACGTTGTTGTCGAGTGGACAAGCTTCCGTTTGATCGATGGGTAAACTTAGAAGAGTCGGTCATCTGTAGACACTCCGCAACACGATCAGGCTTGACGGGTTTGACAACATAGCGGCAGTGAAGAGTATCCTCCAAACCGTTGGCTCGAATCCTCTTGACCATATCTCTCGCCAAGGATCGGCCTTGAGGTGACGAGAAGATCACCAGGACAATAGACAGAATGTGATCTCTGTAGTGCTGGTTGCCCTCCGTCTTTGCCATTGCGTTCCTTGCCTTGAAAATCTCTCCTAGGGCTCTTGCGGTCTCCACTGTAGCATCGACGGTATTTGAGCGGGTACATAAGAAAAAGTGTGCGATGGGTCTGTGGTTGGCAGCCAAGACGGTGCCATCTGCCCCAAGTAGGTGAGGGCTCCGTGCCTGTTCATCCTGGACGACTGTATCAAAGTTCTCGTAGAGCGCGACCTGCACTCTTTGCTGGCTCAGAATCCAGCCGAGTTGTTGCCTTGATTCAGTTACTGGCTCCACAACGACCGCGCGGGTTTCGAGAGCCAACTCTGCCGGAATCACCAGATGGACTGCCAGTGATCGAGTCAGGCGAGGCTTGGTTGAGACAGAGACCAGGGCGACGGGCCATGTGAAGTAAAACGTAGAGCCTTGCCCGACATTAGAGGTGACGCCTAGGACACCGCCGTTCATCTTGACAAGGTGCTTGCTTATGGCCAGGCCTAGTGCAATATATGTAATAGGTATTAAGTGATTTGCTTTAGAATGCCGCAAAATGAATAAAATCATGATCAGACCAATCACCGCGCGCCGTCTCTCTTTTCGCAGGGAAACCCCCTGTTTGACCGATACTTTGGTTCTATCGTCAAGCTTTAAAAATGCTGTGAAATGAGAGTAATGACTTACCAAGGCCAGTGCCACCAAACCGCCTAGTCATCGATTGGTCAACCTGGGCAAAACTCTTGAAGATGTTGTTCTTCAAAAAGTCCGGATCAATGCCAATGCCAGTGTCCGTCACTTCAAAGTGGAATGTCATCGGCGTCACTACCGCATCTGGCGGGAACGGCTCAGGATAGTGGACTCGAGGGTGCGCTGCTTGCTGTGGCTGTGATCCATCTGCCGACGCCTCACCGGGAAGGCTCGAGCTCGCGTTCTTGACGATTGAAAAATGAATCATCACCTTGCCCTTCGCCGTGAACTTGACTGCGTTTCCAATCAGATTCATGATAACCTGCTGGACGCGATCGCCATCTGTCCAGATCGACATTCCCTGCTGCAGCAAGGTCTCCAGTTGCTCCAGATCCTCAGATGGCTCCATGATCAAGTCGACCTCCTTCCTACCGGCCTTGTCAGCAAAGATTCGGACAGACTGCTCCAGAGTATCCGTTAATGCGGGACACTCTTTGATGCTCAGGCTCATAGCTCCTGCTTCTAATTTGGCCGTGTCCAAAAGATCGTTGATGACGCTCAATGCGACGTCGCTCGTAATCTGCATGATCTTGACCATGTCGCGCTGCTCTCCGGTCAAATTGTAGTCCGTGTCCTCCAATGCACTCAAAGCTCCCACAATTGCACCAATAGGCTAATTTTCAGAATGTGAAGAAATAATGTCAATGTTAGAAGATGAAACTTGCTGCGGACAAAATTGTTGCTCTCCAAGTGCAGAGTGTCACTTCATACACATGAACTTGTACAAGTCAAGCGTGTGTACTTACGGTACGGAGTTCGTGGCTCGTGTTGGCCAAGATCTGAGACTTAGCTTCATTGGCAGCATGGGCCGCCTCCATTTCCACCTGCTGAGACTTCTTCAACTCCCACAAACTGGCATGTGCGATCGCCATCGAGATCTGATTTCCGGTCTGCTCAAGCAACAGTTTTTCGCTCTGCGACCAATCCCGCGTATCGGCATCCCGCGAGGCCTGAAGGTAACCCCAGATCTTGTTGTTGTAGAGCAATGGAACACTGATGAAACTCTTGTTCCCATAGACTGGATGGACAAAGTTGATGACCGTCCGCAGCTCACCCGCCGTATCGTACTCACCACTCTGGACTCTGGACTCGGGAACCTCTAATCCCTTGGGGTAAAGGCGATCCATTGGTGTCAATGCTTTGGGCTGTCCGACCTTAACGATCTCGGCGACGTACCTGACCCGGTGTTGGCCAGTCTCCTCGTCTGTTCCTCGGAAGCGACAGATGCGGATGGCATTGCACTGAATCACCTTGAAGAGCTCCAACGAGGCTGTATCCAGAATTTGAGGCAGCGATAGTCCACTGCGGATACGGACCGAGATAGAGTAGATCAACTGTTTCATCTCCAATGCATGGCGCTGTTCCCGAATCAACTCATGGCGAAGGTCCGAGAGACGAATGGAAGACCGGACACGAGCAAGCAGCTCCCTGGCGGAAAATGGCTTGACTAGACAGTCATCGGCGCCAAGGTCCAACCCCTCTACGTTGGCCTCTTCGCCCGCACGGGCCGACAACAAAATAAACGGTGTCGTCATGGTCATAGTGTCGTTGCGAAGGCGCTGCAAGAGCTCGTAGCCGTTCATGTTTGGCATCGCCACATCTATACAGCCGAAGAAGAAAAACGCGTGGGTGAGCACATGTGGTTGTAACATCAAAGGGGGGGGATACAACCTCAGGTAAACAACACAGGAGCGACCACCTGTCTCTTACCACTCAAAATGAGGTCGATCCGCTTGCCATGCTTCAGACGCTCAGATATCACTCGAAGCGCATCCAGTCCATCAACGGCGCAATGAACTCGAAAATCCTTGCCAAGAATCTCTCGAAGATATGCGCGCATGTCGTTGTTGTCATCGACGATAATAATGTAGCTCCTTCTCAACTTGCTGCGATGCATTGGGCTGTCGTCCTTGGGTCCTTCCGAGGGTTCGTTCCTCTGCGTCTGGCCTCCTCCATAGACGCCATCAGTTACG